ATTTAATAAGATATTAATTTTTAATCGTAGTAATACTATTTAGCTATTTTATATAAGGCGGAGTAGGGTCCTAAATAATACTATTTTATAAGAGATATATACTTAAAGGCTAATACTCTAAGATATTATTACTATAAACCCTCTTAACTTAATAGCTAAATTAAGTTTAGATATAATTTTTTAGTTAAATAAACGTCTCTATTATCTACGACTAAGATTTAAGTAGAAAAAGCTAATAAAAGTATATAGCGTTATTAATAAAGATAATAAAGTATTTTTCTCTACTAGCGATCCGACGGCCGTAGGCCGTCGGATAATGGTTGCGGAGCGAAGCGACTAGGTCCGAGGTCATATAGACTAAATGTAAATTAAAGTGGTTACTACTATCCTCTATATAGCTTCTACTCTTTCTCTTTTAAAAGGTTAGTATTTCCTAGTTAAGAAATCTAAATTATACCCTCTATCCGGAGGGGGTTCCGCGCTAGGTATAGTACGACTTAGCCCGCTATCCTTACTCTTAGTAGATCACGTGATCCGATACACCCTAACCCGCTCTCCCTTACTCTAAGTGGATCACGTGACCTTCGAACTTTAAGATATTATACTCTTTTCGGATTAGGCCTAATAGATATCACCTAACATTATTTGCTATAGATTTAGGACCCATTAGAAGGGTCTAGTCACGTGACATACGAAGCCTATAATTTAATTGCGGAGCGAAGCGAAGCAATTATATAATATAATTAAGATTAGACTTTAGATATTAATATATAAATATTCGCCTAGCTTAGATCTAATAGATCTTTCTTTTCTATAACCCTTACTTTTTATATATAGAGTATAGGGAAAAGTAACGTTAGTACTTTTCTTTAATTTAATATCTTTAGTATAGGTCTATATCTTATTATTGAAAGAGAAAGTATTTCTACCTTTTTTATAATTTCCGCTAGACTTCTTATTCTTAGAAGTATTCTTAGTAATAGCCTTCTTAAACTAATATAGCTTAAGTATTTAAGAAGGTATATTATTTATCGAAGTAATATTACGAAGCGCCTCTTTAAACTTCTTTATAAAGTCCGAGGGATATCTATTTTTATACCGTAGGTTAACCTACTTCGAATAGTAGGTATAGGCTTATTAATAAGACTTTATAGTATAGTCGGACCGCAAAAGTTTCTGCGGACCCGCCCGACCATAAATATATATATATCCAACCTACATATCTAAAATATTTACTACCTTAGTAATTATAATGGTAAAATTTCATAAAAATATGTATTTTATAGGGAATTGATAGGTTTATCAAATATATATAGGGGAATACTACCACCACCCCCCCCCTCGGATAAGGCCACCCCCCCTTGGATCTGACCACCCCCCTCTAACCCGATTTAGTAGAAATCCTAACTGCCTTTCTCACCGCCTTTATCTTTGATTGACCGCTTTCGTTAGTCATTTATAGTAATACTAACGGTGCCTCTATTTACTATATAAAACCACCACTAAATGTAAGTACCCCTTATATAACTATATAAAAATTAATTTCGATATCAATTTTATATCTTCTAACCTTAGGGACTACCTCTCTCTCTATTAACTTCTACTTCTTTTCTCCTTTATATCTCCTCTACTCACTATAGGGATTTAATATATAATGAGCACTTATATACGAATAAAACTTTAGTTATATAAGAATTAGTATCTTTTTCTAATATTAAAGGTATGTTTTTTACTATATAAATTAATATTTAAAGAAATAGATATTTAGGTAGTAGAAAACGCGGTAGAAAAAAAAGGTTTCTACCAGAATGTTTAGTTAGACACCCAAAAAATTAGGTAGGGGGGTGGTCAGATCTAAGGGGGGGGTGGCCTCATCCGAGGGGGGGGGTGGTAGTAGTATTCCCCTAACTATAATAGATTCTCGATTTATAACTAATCTATTAAAAAGCTTTTTCCGAGGCTTTATTATAATAATCTATTAATTATATCCGACTCTAATTTAGAACCTAGTTTTATCGAAATTATAGATATCTTTAGATTAGATAGTATACTTAGTAATAACCTTTTTATAGTCGTTAAACTAATATTATACTACCGATTTATCTATTACTTTTCGATATTCGATATTAATTACGCGTTTCCGATAATAGTAATATTAAAGGTTTCGTTAAAGAAAGCGTTTTACCTAATACCCGCTAACTTAGGGGGGCTAGATTATAGGATCGGTATATATAGATATAAGAATAGAATTAGTAGATTTTTTAATCTACTAAGATTTTAGTAGAATACCTACTTTATTAAGGGTTTCGATAAACCTTTTTAAAGTAGCTTCTTACTTATTATTCAGTTTCCGACTATTTAGTGTCCGAGAAAATAATAAATTTCCACTAAAGAAGCGACGCCGGAGGGTTCTTTTAGGAACCACGAACTCTCGCGTAGTTTCGCGAAATCGGGGTTTTTCTTATTGGTTTAAGACGTCGATAGCCTTTTCTAGTTAATCCTTAATAAGTCGAGAGTTACGCGGCATTTTTAGGATGGAAAAATAATAAAAATTAGAAGGGAGTTATAAAAGTGCTAGTTTTTGATAAATAGGGGGGTTTTGATAGCTAGGCGGAGGACCCTCGTTAGCGAGGGTCCGTAATTTTGGGAAAAAATTTTAGGGGCCGGTTAATCTTTAGTATATCATTTATATTATATATAATCTAATAATAGTTTTATTAAACCTTTATATTCTAAGCTAAGTTCTATTTAAACTTACTTTTCTAACTAAAGTTAGTTTATAGCTATTAATCTACCTATTTAGTATATATTATTTAGTTATAAAGGATAAATACTTTCTTTTAATCTAAACTAATATATTAAAGGGAAGATAGAATTAGAGATAGTTTAATCAGATATCTAAAGCTTTTATTAATTATAAAATAGGTTAAGAAGGGAGTAAGTAGTTAAACTAATAGATATAAGATATTATTAGCCTCTTCCTTATAAAAGAATAATACGAAATTAGATTATTAGCTTTAAGATATAATTTAATTATACTAAATAGGATAAGGGTATAGCGAAGGAAGTAAAAGAGAGAGATTATAACTTATAATTAAGAATAGTAGGTAGAGATTAAGGGTAATAGATTAAATAGACTAGGATATTAGTTTTATATTAATTAGCTTATAGAGTATAAAGTAAGTAGGTATTTACATAAAATCTAATTCCTATATTAATTTAGAAAATCACTTAAGAATTTTCTACCTTAAATACTTAGTCTTAACTAAATACTTTGGAATTAGGGGATTATTAAGTAAATATAATAATATCTAGGCACTAATAATATTTATTTTTACTAGAAACTACTTTTTAATAAAGAAGATTTATAAAATTAGACTAATTTACTATTATTCTACTTATTTCTTTAGTATCAGGAAGTCTATACTAAAACTATATATTATAAATATATATTTCTACTACTTAAACATATAAGTTTTCTAACCCTATTAATTATAGTATTATTTTATAAGAAATTTTATATTCTATTAAGTAATTAATATATTACTACAGGGCTTCCAAGAAACAAACGTAGTTCTCCACTATTATTCTGCCAGCAATTTGTCATTTATCGCTGTATTGAATTGTAAGATTTTATACTGTACAGCCCGTCCATATTTCTCAATCACTTCTTGTACCCGCCGCGGTATTGAACATAATAGGCTTTCTAGAATACTAAATGGTAACATGTCCCATCCTTGTTGTATATTACATATTAGATTATGATTTCGAGAATCAGAGGGGCATCGGTCCGATACATATTCTTTCAGCCAGTTCCAGAGGTTCTCCTGTAATGTATAGTAATAACAGGGGGCGGTGTATAATTTAATTGATAGGCGGTGAAAAAGAACTACGTTTGTTTCTTGGAAGCCCTGTAGACCTTAAATACTAATAAATAAGGATATTTTATCAAGTTTAACTTACTATATTACTAAATATTAAAGTCTTTCTCAATATAACTAAAACAAGGAAGAATTATAATGGTTAATTTAGATAAGTAAGGCACTTTATATAGAGAATTATATAAAAGTTAGGTCTAATTAGGTTTTTATTAGGTTATCCGGTGAACCTAACGTTAGGTCCGGTATAGGCCCGGGTCGGGATATTCGACCCAATTCCGGTGCGTGCGGAAGTCTACATTGGGGTGAGTCCTTCAGTTTTTCGCCCTTTGTGGCGGAGAGAATTATTGATGCTTCCATTGTTAGGGTTGGGTGCTGTATAGCCTTAGGGGGCTATTATGCAGCTTCGGAGGTTGCTGTGCAGCTTCAGGCGCTGATAGGCGCTATATCTTGTGAATAGTAGCCTTATTTCGTGCGAACCGGGCTCATAACTGTCAACTGACGTGGTATTCAGTATAATAGGGTCCAATCAATGATGTTGAAATCTAAAGATTATACATCGGAAAGTCAGGTTGTAAAAAATGAACCTTTTCGCTGACTAATACCCGCTCGAGCTTCTTCGAAGGCCGCAGACTATGCGGCCAAATCGACTTGTCTCTGTATTTCTGTATCCACTATTCTAGCAGGAAATATGACTTTCTGACTAATCTCACAGATACTGGATAAACTAAACTTCCGGTATGCCGATCTCTTGCTCCGACATCTCAACAGGGCGGGTCCGTAGAAACTTTCGCGGTCCGACTGTATTTATTAAGGAATAGGCCCCTAATAGGCTCCTACGATAGGCTATGGGCATAAAAAAAAGCCCAAAGCCTATGCGGAAGCCTAGTCCTGACACTCTCTTATCCGCGGAGTTTGACCCTAATAATAATCTAGATAATATACGAAAGATGACAGAAACGAAGCTTAAAATCCTATAGAGATAATAAATGACTTATCGAAAGACTGTATTCTACACTTGAATCTCTGCAAAAATTCCTAGCCACCGAAGAGACCCGGTGTTGTTATAGCGCCTAGAAGAAACCGATCCGATCGGCCCCGTAAGTCACGCTATCAGAAATGTCAAGTTTTAGATTCCCATGATTCTTTCACTGACATTATTTCAAGAACCAGAGGAGTATTCAACAAAACTCCTTTAGCTGCCTCATCACCTGCAGCTGCTTTACTCAAGCCCTGACCTGAACCTAGATACCGTTTGACCCATCCCCACCCAGTCAGATATAAAGCAATGGAAAAAGTCTGTGTGCCACCTTTCTGCTGGGTCGATGGACGCTCCTCGATGTACTCAAGTTTGACATTTTTCCCCATGATCTTCTTAGCAAGTGTCTCCTTGGAGCGCAATTCTCCTTTCTGGTGCCCCAGGTCCTTAATTATCGGCATCCACAGGTCCACCAACCACTGCTCGGCTCTCTCATAGCCACAAACAGGATCGGAGAGTATGATTGCAGCCACGTAGGCTTCGAAAACATCACCCTTGATTTTGGTCCAGCGCTTGGACGGGGTATTGTAGGTTGATGGTACCGAAACCTTAGAGTCAAAACCACAGATTTCTGTGAAGCCGGAGAGAGTCTCGTTCTTGACGAGAATCTCCCGAATCTGTGATATCCGACCTGCCGGTAAGTCTGGAAAGCGTTCCCAGACGAGCTTGGTTGCCATCAGTTCAATGTATGCGTCGCCTAGAATCTCAAGCCGGTCGTAGCTCGCGTTGTTGTTCTTGTTGTTGCTAAGAGCTGGGTGGGTAAAAACGGCGAATTCTAGCTTATCATCCATGATAGGGGGTACCAAAGGGCTAGATGATCCCTTGGGCTCCTTTGAACTGCTGTTTGAGTGGTGTGGTTTTGGGAGTTCATCAGCCATAGGGGATTCTGTGGAAAGCCGTGGGTTTTTTGCCCCATGAAATATGTCATTTAATCTCGAAATTGCCTTCGCGAGTTCTGGCTCAGCGCTCGTGAGACCGGGATTGGTCGATATCTCCCGGACAATACTTTGTAAGAGAAGGAGACGAGAATTGTTGCAGGCCTTGGCCATACTGCGACTAACATCAGCGGATGATCTAGTATTCGATGGATCATCTGAGGGTTGGACCTTCATATTATGGGTCAGCAATGTACTTGAGCCAAGCGCAAAGTGCGTGGTGTGACAAGAACGAGATGTAGATGCACTCACCCTGGGCCGCTTTTGTGACTTGGGCGTGACATCTGAACTCAAGACAGATGCCGATCTTTTCGAATTCATCACTAATCCTTTTAGAGCGCCCACATCTGCCGCCTCTTTGTCTCGAGGCATTTCAATTGATGGATCCAGCTTTAAGTCCGGTCCAGTCCCATCGAGCTCTTTTCTGCCTCCAAGCTTGAAGGTAAGATAATGGATGCACGTAGGCGGTATCCATACTCGGAGATCACATGACTACATGGGCAAACTTGATCTGGTTCCAGATATTTCTCGACCCTCGTTTACCTTCGTTTCGTGCGCTGCTGTGACAGTTGCTCTAGTTATTTCTGGATTACTGAACACGGAAAATGGCGCAAACTCGCATATTGGATCTAGTGAAGGTCCGACAACCCTTCTCATTGCACCCCTGGCAATTGCTAATCAGCAAATCTCTAGACCCAATGCCGCATATTCTCCCTTAATTTTAACCCACAGCGCCTTCGGCTCGGAAATAAGGTCTTGAGACAGCGACTGCGGGGACCGGCGCTTGCAGCCTGGTATCCTAAGAAGACCGTGTCATTCCGAGATTTGCAAAATACATATAAACCGCTTGGATTGACAACATTTGACGAAGCTGAAGACGATAGAGAGGAGGCTATTCAGATGTAAGCACTCATCTTTTATACCAGATGTCGTCGGTTTCCAACTCTAACCTGCTACATAGTGCCAAACTACGAGGGAAGGGCCGACCCAAGAAGAAACGAACTGCTGCAGGTAATTCGCCCTCCACTTGATTGCTCTCTATTTGTTTTAATCTAAAATACCCCAGAATCGAGATCCGCAAAGAAGAAGAAATAATCTCCTACCAAACTTGGCTTTGCTGAGATATTACTCCATCAACATCAGCAAACATTACGTATCACCGATCCACCTCAACTTTCTATGCCCTGGCTGCATCATGGGCCCCGGCCGTGGGTTTGTTTGGTATTTGATTTGTTATTTGAACTTTCGCCGATAATCTAGCCATCAGATTCGACAGCTCTTTTTCTAAATTTTGTACAATACTATCATTTTTTGCTCTCTTTGATTTTCCTCCTTTTTTTTTACAAAAAAAAAAACGCTTAGATGGGAAACTCTGCCCGCAATTTTTCATTGAAGAGTCTTACCAATCCTTTTCCTGTAAATGTAAATGTGTAGCTAAAGCCTAGATGTATGATGTTGTGCACTCCGGATAGATTGCCTAGAAAGCTTGCCTAGGTGGGCGGTAAGGGGGCCCTAGGTTGTCGCACGTGATGGCAATTGAAATGCAATCTATTGTTGGTTTTATTTTACATCCCGAGCTCATCAAGTCTATTCCTCCTCGCGCTTGACCCAACTTGTTAATGCAACATCGCACTTTCCACCCCCCGACTTGGACAAAATTTCCAACTTGACATAGCACTGTATCAGCGCCTGTAAGCCTCCCCGTTCACCATGAAAATGGGCAAAAATCAGCTCAGAAGAGCAAAGAAAAAGGCCCAAAAAGCAGAGGTAAGGCAGTCATGCCCATTTATTTTTCAGCCAAAGATATTCAATCACTGACAGCAACTTATAGAACAACGGTCCCCACATTGACGAAAAGGCGTCACTGCAAACGTTGCCACCGCCAGTGGTCACTTCTCAAGATGCATTGGCTGAAACCGACACCGATCTCTTTCCCGAACCAAATGATCCGCTTTGGGAAATGTACAAGGGAGTTGCTGGAAAGTTTGATGACACGGGGGTTGAGAATCTGCCAACCAAGGAGTCTGATAAACCTGAGGTCTTTTTCGATGATGGCGACGAAATACCCGACGAGGAGCAAGAAAGCGAACCAAAGATCTCCAAAAAGAAACGAAAAGCGATGAACAAGTTGTCAGTTGCCGAGCTCAAAGCAATGGTCCGAAAGCCTGAAATTGTTGAATGGACCGATACATCCGCCCCTGATCCCCGACTACTCATTCACATTAAAGCTCATCGGAATGTGGTTCCAGTTCCCTCTCACTGGTCGCTCAAACGGGAATATCTCTCATCTAAACGTGGTGTAGAGAAGGCGCCCTTTGCTTTACCAAAATTCATACAGGAGACGGGCATATCTGAAATGCGCGACGCTGCTTTAGAGAAGCAGGAACAGGCGAGTTTGAAACAGAAGCAAAGGGAACGAGTGCAACCAAAGATGGGAAAACTGGACATTGACTACCAGAAGCTTTACGAGGCATTCTTTCGCTTCCAAACCAAACCAGAGTTGACTCGCTACGGTGAGATCTACTACGAGGGCAAAGAATATGAAACAAATCTCAAACATCTCCGACCCGGAGAGCTGAGCGACGAGCTAATGGATGCTCTTGGTATGTCATCAGGAGGCCCTACCCCGTGGCTCGTCAACCAGCAACGATTTGGTCCCCCGTCTTCCTATCCAGCATTGAAAGTCCCCGGTCTTAATGCGCCTCCCCCGCCAGGTGCCACGTGGGGTTACCACCCCGGGGGATATGGCAAGCCACCCGTTGATGAACATAATCGTCCACTGTATGGCGGTGATATCTTTGGTGTTTTACAACCACAGCAACACGCTCAGCAAGGAGAGCCGGTCGAAAAAGACCTCTGGGGAGAATTGCAGGAATCAGATGAGTCTGAAGCGGAGAGTGAAGAAGAAGAGGATGGCCATGATGACGACGATGAACAGGATACCGATGAGGATAGCCATGGCGGTGGTGTTCATTCGCCTAGTGGCCGGGAACTCCCAAGTGGAATGGATTCAACAATGCCATCTGAGTTCGTTGGCGCTGAGGATGTCTCTGGGGAGTTTGACGTGCGCAAGCATCATCGCGGTATTGATACAGAGGAGTCTGTTCACCCTCGGAGTGCTTATCAGGTGATACCTGAGAAATCAACCAATGTTGAAGGCTTTTTTGGGGGCGATAGGGCATACGATCTTAGTGTCTCCTCGAGCAAACCCCCTATTCTCGGTGCCGATGATCAGACCCGGAAACGCAAAAAGCCTGGGGATGTTGAAGTGTCAGTCGACTTGGATGAAATTCAATCTGGCGACGGTCTTAGCAAAGAGAACCTTCGGACCATGTACGAGTCGCAGAGGCAGCAGCAGAACCCACCCAGTTGGGGTTTCCAGGAGGACTTGAGTGACATGATTGCACAGGAAAGTCGCAAAAGGTTGCGAAAGGAAGAAGAAAGACGAGGCAAGGCATAAATGCTTCCTCCGATTCTATGTCCACATGTTTCTCCCACATGTTATTTGCCTCTACTTTTTCTCTTTCCTCCTCATGAGCATTGGAGTTTGGCTGCTTTTGTGTGTAAGGTAGGTAGGGTCAGTCAGTTCTTGCTTTTCAGATCATCAATGAAACCTCGAAGTTATAATCATGCCAAGCGCGTAACATTACTCCTGTATATTGGTGCACCCTCAATGGCTAGAGTATCATGCTTTTTGGTAATTTGTGAGATCAAGTATGGACATTAGGTAGGTGACTTTCATGGCACTCCAACACAAGGTACAATTTCTATACCTTAACGTTTCTCAATCTTCTAGGTCGCTCAAGGAGATATAATACTCTTAGTATTAATTTATATGTGATTTTTGATCAATCTGCTATTGTAAACATTCGAACTGATTTGGCCTTCAACATCAGAAGCAGTTAACAAACGACATGGGTAACCTTTGGAAACTTGAGTGTACTGTTTCCTTTAGTGTAGACAATGCAACCAGATTAATCGAGCTTTTTTCATTATACACAAAAGACCTAAAACAGATTATTCTAGTCGTTAGGGAGTTAAGAAAAATGTGTGTTATTGACTTTCATGTGTCGTGTACCGTTTGTACCAGCGTGCCATATGAAAGCTACCTACTCCTAAAAATATGATACTCCACAGCGCATCAAACTATGAAATTAGTGCTCGTCGCTTGTAGTTTGCCCTCTAGATGAATTCTAGAATTGTAAATTCTTGATCCATGTTCCATTTAGAGGTATGTTCTAGGCCCAATCTGGTACAAAGAATACTTGCCTCATGTAGTAAGGTCGCTTCCAAAACAGGTTTAGCTCATATCCTATCTATCACCCTGGGGTCCGTGGACAATCCAACCCTTCAACCTTACCTACATGTAGGTACTTCCCTCGGAAACTAGAAAAAATAGCACTGGATAATTGTGTGCTCCTGTCCATTGTCTTACATTTATAACCTGGGGAGATTTGACCTCATTCCCCCCCCCCATACTTTCTCCTTTGGACTTAGCCAGAATGGACTGGGATCGCAGAAGGTCTGTAGGCGCAAACATGCACGTCCGAGAATTGTCTAACATTTCCTTCGCAGATTTGAGGATCGAAGAGGCGGAGAGAGTTATCGTCCAGCTGAAAGAATTGGCCGTTCCCCTTCCCGTGGATATGATATTCGTCACCGGCATTCACCACCAAGAACCCGAAGCCCTCCTCGACAACGAGCCGACACATGGGTGCCATCATCGAATAGAGGATATGGAAGGGCGCGCAGCCGGTCCCCGCCACCCTTTAGGCGTCGATCACGCACTCCTCCGGCGAGAAATTTTGGTCCAACACCGTACGAACGAAGACGATCCCCACCAAGAAGATTTTCGCCTAGAAGAGATGAAAGGATCAGGTCGCCGCCCCCTCCCCAAACCTGGCGCTCAAAATCTCCCTACAGTGATGGTAGGTCACGCGACGCATCCCGCGCTCGTAAAAGCCCACGAAGAACTCGCGACACGACTCCTAGCAGCCAGGTCTTTCGGTCGCTGAGACGAGATGGTCATGGAGTTTCGACCATTGATAAGCCTCCCGGGGATCCTTCACCAGTGATACAGCCAGAGATATTGCAGCCAAAAAGTCCATCCCATCCCTCTCACCGAGATCATCTGCGTGATGAGATAAAAAAAGATCCAAGTTCATCGCCATCAAGGCACGCTCCACCCACACAAACATCGGGCTCACAACCCGTGGCGATATCTCGGTGCTCGCCTCCACCCACAGAAAAGTTTCTAGTTTCCCACAGAGTTCGCAGCCGGTCGCCGGTTCACTCTTCGGTACCCATCGCACGTTTGTCAAAACTCCCAGTCCCATCTCCGAGCCGGGATCACAGCTATGATATGGAGCCTTCTCGGCCTCAAAGGAGGCTAGAGCACGAAGATCGAGTATCTTTCGGTGGCCATTCATCTTTCTTGATTCCAGAAAAGGGGCTATCCGACCCTCAGACAAGCGGGGCCAGAATTGGTGGCAATATTCCAACTCAGCCGAAAAACCATGGGGCTTGCCCGCTGCCGCCATCAGGACCTTACCAGGGATCGAGACCACCATCTAATCACCATCACGGTGCTCAGAATGTCTCTTTACTAGCAGCACCGACACGCCCTCGCCGCGGACCTGGCCCACGAGAATCTTGGATGGGGACTCCCCCGGCACGCCGCGGACTGCTTGCAACTTCACAAGTCCCACCAGCAGGCCCTCGTGCTTCTTTCTCATCTCCTATATCGAGTAGCGGTTACCGACATCCAACTTCCCGGCAACTTAGTACTCCGTCTATAAATCAGCCCTTGGCTCAGAAGGGGACAAATCATCTTGCAGGGCTTTGTACTGTCATATTGGAAGGCCGGAGTCTTCCATCTCTTCTGGATCCTGCTGCGGAGAAGCGGCTTATTCAACTTGATGTGGACAAAGAGAAACTCCTGGAGCAAATGGCGGAGACACAACGATCTAAGCGAGCGGGGCTTCGGGATTGGGACAAACTTGATCGTGAAAGCTCAATCTGTGCTCTCAAGAGCGAGCTGGCTGAGGGTCATCTTCAGCGAATGGCCGATGAGAGCATTGGATCTGCAACTTTGTTTTAAAGAGATGAATGTAGCCAACGTTAGGTTCTTCTCGCAGTCGGTGGTTGATTGCCAGCCCTTAATCTTGTTTGACATACCTGCACCGACTCACTAAGGTAGTTTGTATCAATATGATGACTTGACGACATTCCGGGCTATAGCCTAGGTACATAGTACTACCCCGATATGCACTCCGTACAGAGTATATGTAATCAGTATGTACCTATATAATACATATGTTCGTACATGTATTCAGATACAAATGTATATACGTATAGAAAGGTATGTAGGGCCATTATCTTTTCAGTGGGTTAGAATTATTGATCGTGGGATCCTCTACACATCTATATATGTAGCATATATACATGTTTCAATAGCTATAAGCCTACATACACTACATGTAGATGGATTGAAAAGTACAATAGTTTAAGGTTTAGATAAGATAATCTATACCTAACATAGGCACCTGGACCATACTCTACATCATGTGAATAAATATAACTATAGATTGTGTATGATCGATGTATAGCCTTGATATCAATTGTACGCCTAGATATTAAATTGCTCATTAGAGATAATGAAATTCAAGGTACGTCTCAGGTACGTGCATCGTACCAAGGTACATATCGCCAGTCATTCTGCGGTATATCGGTAGGTACCTGTAAGTACCGTACACGTCGCGTACATACATAAGTGATCTGCAAGTAATTTAAGTTTCCCTTCCATTTGCCTTCGTGTCAACAACTCAGGTGTTTGTTCCTGATCATCCAACGCGCTTGTCCTTTTTCTTTCACTCGTTTTTCTCTTCTCCTGGTCCAATCTGCAACCTACACACCTTGCACATCCTCCTACCTCTCGACACAATGAATCTTTTTAGGTTATTAGGTACAACACCAAGTCACACACCTTACTGCAACCTACTAACATGACAATATAGGCGACTTCTCTCATTTAGCGTCGATCCTTATGCTGTTGCAAAAGATGAAGACATCAAGCGTATGTTCCTCTATTGTCAAGGTCATTTGCGTCTTGCGACTAACAGGCAGTGCAGAGTTGCTCTGGGTTATCATTTAAGTCGCAGGTGCTATACCTCCTTGTTTTTGTCACTCGGTATCTTGGTAGGTTTTTGATGTCACTGTCAGCTCCTATAGTCCATCATAATCGCTCATGCTCCTTAGATCTGTTCTGGACATTCACAGAGTCCCTCTACCTCACCATATTCAAGCTTCTGTTTATCGGTTCCTCGGCCTACGTCATCTATCTTATGCTTAATGACTATAAACCTACGCGTGATCCCAACATTGATACTTTCAAGGTTCAATACCTCCTTGGAATCAGCGCGGTGCTTGCAATTCTCTTTCCTCGTGATTATCGCATCTCTGAAGTCAGTAGCACAATGGTGGGAGAGATAAAAAGCCCAGGACTGACGTGATCTAGATCCTCTGGACTTTTTCTATTTGGTTGGAGTCAGTTGCAATTTTACCCCAATTATTCATGCTTCAACGTACGGGAGAAGCAGACGCTATCACTACCCACTATCTGTTTGCCCTGGGACTTTACAGGGGACTCTATATCCCGAACTGGATCTTCCGCTACCTCACCGAAGCCTCCTTCCAACGTTCCTTCCAGCCTGTGACTGTTATTGCTGGCATCGTCCAGACATTGCTCTACTCCGATTTCTTCTACATTTACTACAACAAGTGAGCTTGATCATATTCCAAAATCGGCTATCTGCTGATACTGACATCCCACGCTCTATTTAGGGTTTTGAAAGGCAAGAAGTTCTCGCTTCCCGTCTAAAACATCCCCTTCATGCTGCGTGGACCGAGGAATTGATGATATCTCGGATCCGTCCTCCCCTCCAGACCTCATGCGACACGGAGTTATGGGATCCACTAGTTCATTATATTTGCCAGGGCGCTCTGAATATCCAGTCATCTCGAGCAGAGGGCATCCGCCTTGAGCTCACCCAAAGTGCACTGAGCCCGATATTTTCAGGGACCTGTTGACTACGAGTTAATGTTTTCATGTCAATTTCTTATGCATTTCAAAATTGAGTAAGATGAGACTTGAATCTGGTGCAAGACAACCGATTACGAGGGTTGCCACTCAACCCTGATCGATGGATTCTGTGGCAATCTGCCGGGCGACACGACAATGTCACGTGGAGTTGTTGATTATCTTTTCTCATGTGCTGATGAAGCGCTAGACATGGAGTTTTCCTAACTTGCTAGAGAGGAAAGGAAAAGATGGGATTGCCTTTTAAAATCTCCAATATTAACTAGTCTTCCCCGTAACCCAACCCGCCACATCTACATGCATATATGTAGCAGTACCCATGTGTACGGAGTACTCAAGATACTGTTCAAGATTTCGATCCCCAGACCATTTGTTATGATATTGTTCTTTTGAATTGTCGCTCAGTATTATCTTCTTGTTGTTCTCCCCCCTTTCCTCCATTTATTCCTGTCCTAGAGAAACACTGTTTTTTTTTTCTTTTTCCTTTGGCTTTCTTTCTTTCTTTCCTATTGCAACGCCTTGTCCCTTCATACGTTCAAATCACTAGGCAAGGAACATTTTCTCAGCTTGTCCATGTAGGCTTCCTGTAAGGCCCTCGACTGACAGCTAGGAAGCAACCTAGAGGTTTTTGACAAGCTAAACTTTTGCAGAGCACACAATATGTGCACTTCGGTTGATTATATCACATAAAGCAAGATCGCAAGTTGACCAGGGCAGACCATTAGAAGTCTCGGGGTGCAGCTCCATGTGTCGGTACGTATCCCGTTGCATAACTCAACTGGGATGGGGGGATGGATAAATCGCTAGAGAAGGGATCCAGGGTACTGGGAATCGAGTGTGAAAGGTTACCCATAGCACCTTGAAATGACCGAATTCCACCACTTAGGCTTGGACGACCTTGCACATTTTGGTGACTGTCCAGCCAGCCATTGTGACCATGCATATGGCCAAAATAGTCAGGCTGCGTCCTGTCAAGGGACATTTGGCCAAATGTGGATTCCCGTCGCGAGATCGGTGGCGACGGGAGTTTTGGAGATCGAGGAACCATCTCCAGTCTAGGAGAACTTCTTCGCGAATTGGGCGGCGTCAGACGCGAACCCCCACGGCGCACCTGGCAGGTTGGACAAATCTTGACAAAACGAGAGATTAGTTCCTTAGGAACCCTAGTGAGATGGTCAGTGGGTACAAGCCCAACATATCATGTACATGGAATTGCTTGGATTTGCCTACCATGAATAGATCCGCCGGACCTGAGCAGATGTCTTGTCTCGGCCACCATGCTGACATTGTTGATGGGCCCTGGTGAGGATTTTGAATAACTTTTCTCGGATGGCAACGGGCTTTCCCTCATGACAGATCATCTTTTTGTGCTGTAAATTGAGAGAGATTCATTTATCAGCATCAATGGACTCAATAATCGGGATAAGAAAGCTTACATCTGATCCCACAGCTTGCAACTTGAACATTTTCTTGACCCAGAACCTAGTTTGGTTAGTAGGAACATACAAATACCATTTGAATCAAAGTGTTGCATACCGAAATTGAGCCGACTCCACTGCAGTGTCCTTGGGGTCAATCAACACGGTTTTGATATTACGTGCTCGTTTCGCATAAATCAATGCTTTGTCTTGCTTCTTGACGGATAGGTCCTCAACATAGCTATAAAGACGCCATGTCAGTCTCGATAAGTCTGCATAGCTTACTGCAAGCACTCACTTCTGCATCAGCTGATCAAACTCCTTCACATCGGGAAAGCCGCTGGGTGCAGGGATCACAGCCTCCGACAGCAATGTGGCCTCGTTGTGAGACTCTTGGCTTTCAATCTCCGTTTCACCCAGTGGATCGCGGGGCAGGTACCTCGGTCCCTGAAGATAGCGCGATTGGGACATGAATTGCGGCGGGTGGTGCAGCCTGGGATCATCTGGAGTTGTCATTGACGGGATGGAATGCTCCGAGGTATATTGGAGATGTTGTAACCCCGAAGACAGACTTGACTGTGGGCCATAGGGCTGTCCAAATTGAGGCCCATAAGGATTGAAGGAATGTTGAGGGAAGTGATATGAACCAGATCCATGTGGGCTGAAGTCATGGCTCTCTTGCTTGAAATCATGGCTCTCTGGCTGACCATATGAGCCGGGCATTGCCATTTGATGATTCATGATATAAGCGTCGTTCCCATCGCTGCGCCTTGCAAAGCTGCTCATGATTGAAGCCTCGCAGCGTTGAAAAGCCGTTGATTATTCGATCCAAGCCGGTTTACTTCAAACAGATGGGGTAAGGGCAAGAACAATGTCAGTACACGAAGAGTATCTGATGACGGAGAACAGTGTAGGTGACAAATATCGATGGCAATGACAACAAAATGCAGACAGCCACGAGGAAAGCGAGAAGGAAATTGTTCGCATGTACCCCGAGGAAGAATCGCCACGACACCTCCGGTACAACACAGCAAGTACAACAAGTATCACGAAGATGATAGAGCCGTGCCTAGAAGATCACAGTTCAAGAGCAAGGTAGGGAAGGAGAGGAAGAGGGATAGACCACTGGAAGACCATCTAGAGATGGGGTAGTGATTCTATTAAAAAGACCCCAAATGGACGAATGTTGAAGGACTAACATGGCTGACGCCCATGAGGAAGCGCACGAGACCATGTCGAAACAGACATGGACAGAGACAACAGAGGGCATCCCTGGAAGACGAACAGCAAATATTCCACAGAGAAAAAGAAACGATGGAGCCAGGCGAGTCAAGCAGAGCTCTGTAAGGTACGGAAGCATAGGTATTACCAAAGCTTGCAGGGAACAGAGCAGCATGGGTCGAGCAAAAAAGGACTGGGGTTCGTGGTCAATTCCTTCCGACCCACCGAAGGTATCGAAAAGTGGAAGCAGGCTGATACGACAGCGCACAGGAGTCATGGTGATACGGATTCCTGCCTTCGATGCCCTGGAGGTCAACCAGCGCCACCATTTGCCTCAGAGCCACGTTGAGGATATGAGAGTGGACAGCCTATTTGAGGCATCCTATCGGAGACAAATGAAGACAAGGGGTGGACTCATTCGACTCTTCTGATTTGACCGAAGTACAGCGGGGGGCGAGAGCATCATCTCCCCGATTTCGTTCATTTCCCTATACTTAGACCGCGGAACCACTCGACTTCCGCATGGAATGTCCCGACTCGAATCAAGACAAATGGGAATTCCCTTTTTGGCTCTGCAGGTTTGCCTCACGGTCAAACAAATCTGGCAGGAGATTCGGTATAAAGGGATTTGTCCATGCAAGTAGCCGTGCAAATTGGCAAGGAACATGGATTGGGCAAGTCCCACTCCTCTGGGAATTTCTGCATGCTCAAGCTCTTGCCCGTCAAGTTCATTCGGCGAAGAGAGGGAGAATGAGTGCGAGAGAGGGCATCAATAGGGTGTACGAACAACTCTATGGCCATTAACATGAATCGGGTCGAGATTTGATCCTCTAGTGGCAATCCTGGTCACATCGATGTTGTGTGTCTGGGCCATGCTGTCCCACTGGTCTCTCTCTCTCTTGGTTCCCCCTTTCATTTTTCCTTTTCACTTTCCAGGACACATATGCAAGTCAGCTCCCGTTGGAAGATCGGTGTTTCAACATCATTCTTTCGACGTGGCGGTTTCCAAAGCCTCGGGACCTTGGGAAGGACTTTGGGAAAGATCTCAGCCAAGAGCCCGAAACAACGCATTTGGATTGGGTTGACGCATACGGGGCAATCAAATGCAATGCGGGACGGCAGGATTGCATGCGTTTGGCTCCGAGAGTGAGACACACATCTCGGACTTGAAGGCCCAACATGATTTTGCTGATTTCAAGGTTCGGACCCTCGCAGGTCAAAAAGCAATGTCGAAAACAAACCCAAAAAATCCCCAGCAGAAGACAATCTGGCCGGTGTTACTCTGTTGCTTCCCGAGTTTCGATGTTCCCGGAAATTGCGTTCGACTGGACTCTCTGTATTCCCCTGAGTTGGAAGGGGGTTTCCCTTCCCCCCGGAGATATTCACATATAAAAGAATACTCTACGGCGTTGATAAATTGCATAGAACGGATCGGAAAAAGAGGCTAACTCGCCCCATGGATATTAAACAGTATGTACAAAGTACTCGAACAAGATATAGTTACATAGGAGCATCCCAAGATGCTGTCTGAAAGAGAAACCGTGAACTTCATGACATCGACTGGATCATCACAGTCAATGTGGGTCGTAAATTCGTGTTGGACCGTTTTGCCAGTAGAAAAGGAAGGGCGGACATCTGAGGCTATGCTGGTTCTCCTCGATTATTGTCAAAGGCCACTAAATCGCGTATGATCCATCTCCAATGATTTTCATGATCGCCTCGGTTGAAGCCAACCCATTTGTCAACCTTGCGCCTCCACTTGTCCTCCTCGGCACGCTGTCGTCGAATGAATTCTGGACCGACATCGAATTCCTCTGTCATGGGTCCTTCGTCGGACGATTCACCGGCACTTACATCCTCCCCTATTGCTGGGAATTGGTGGTCTTCCAATGCCCCGGATTTTCGTCCATTGATCGTGCTGCTTGTAATCCGATCATCCAAGTCATCCAGGCCGGCAAAAACATCATCTTCATCCGCACCAGATCCAAGGGTGGCAGCCTTGAGCCAACACATCCGATGCGGATCGAAGATCATTCCACCAACGGTCTGAACGTTCTGCATCGCGCCAACATTGGTGATCAGAGCCGGGGCAGGTTTGGGGGATTTTGGAGTAGTGGTGTCAAATTCTTGCACCAAGTTTTCATTTCCTTCCCACCGGAAGTTGACAGGGTTGTAACGCATACCCCTCACAGCTAAAAATAAGGGACGGTAAGCATGGGCAAATAATTCAATCGGAAAACAGAAAGAAAGGCTTACATTTGGCGTCCTGCACGCCAGACCCTAAAGGTTTGATCAAGTGTGGCTTGGGCGTGGACTTGGAGTTTAGCTTACCCTTCCGGCTTCTGATCGTTGCAGAAGCCGGAGGAATCCGTGAGATAGGCTGGGGCTTCCAGTTTGAGCTGAAAGCAGAAAGAGGATTGGTTTCACGACCCTTGGAATTCAGAGCCATGGATGCAATGCGTTGCTCCCTTGCGTTTCGAGAGGCGTTTGTATCTTGAGCAAATCTGGGTGTTGGACTGCGCAATTTGGAGCTTGAGGGAGACGTGAGGGATTGGGCGGTTGATTCATCATGCGATGGATCAATTCGGCCCTGGCTGAGTCGGGCGCGAATGGATCTCGGAGCACCTCGACCGGTAGGGGTTTTGACAAACTTGCTCTCTGCTAAGACTGATGTAGATAAGTCATCAAAGGACTCCAACTCAGTTCCATCTCCGAAATTGCGTCTTTTGGTAGGTCGTGTGATCGTACGTTTTGCTGAGGACCCAAGAGAGTCTGCGTTGATGTCGCCAATTCCACCACGGAAGGTTTCACTACGAGTCGGTCGCGAGAGTCGCGAGGATGTGCCCTGTGGACTCACAAGGCCACTAGAGCTGTCTGAATTGGTGCGACGCGAGGAGCGATACCCCTTCAGACTGGCATGGTGGGACTGAGGTTCCGACACAGTAGCTTGCATGAAAGGTGCTTGTGCCTGGGGCTGTGTCTTACGACCCAACGACCTTCCATCTGTCATGGGGTGGTCCACCGGGGTTTTAGGTCTGGTAGAGGGGAGCCGGACTGGACGATCGGAAAGTGGGCGCTGGGAAATGGACACTGAAGAGGTTGATCCTACGCCGCGAATTGATGGCAGGGAGCGCTTGGGTTTCAATCGTCTCGCCGCGGGGTTCGCCTCGCCTGCCGAGGCAGTGTCCCTAGGATTCCGGGGTCCAAGAAGCCGCCGACTAGAGAGTGTAGGAGTCGGCGATGTTGTATTATTGCTAGAAGCCGGGAGACTTGAAGTCGACGATTGAGAGGAATGCCCCAGACGTGATTGCGATGTCCGAAATTTGGAAAGGGGTGCACCGCTTTCCGACACAGTTTCAAGGTGGGTTGAATGGGTCCGATCATGACCGGACAAGCGTGGGATGCGAGTTCGCGGGGATCCTGTCGCATTTGTGAATGTGAGTGTTGTAGCTGATCGACGAGTCGGGCTAGTTGGCCGCTCTGTTTTGCACTTTATGTTGGGATTGAGAGCTGGCTTCCCGAAAGAGAAGGCCTTCTCATTGTCGATATCAATGCCAGAGAAGAAGTCATCAACCTCAGAGGGAATCTTTGGTGCGTCTATATTTTCAGTTTGCGCTGTCTGTCGCTTCTGAAGAGAAGCGCTAAAATCAAGGGGACCTTCGGGGATAATGAGACCGTCAAGACCGTCGTCCTCACTCTCTGCCGTGAGGCAGCTTGAAACGCTGGGACTGGCGATGGATATAGAAGAACTGGGAACCGAGCGACTATCCCTTGCGGTACCACCGACTCGTACACCAATACTTCCTTCGGACCATTCAAGATCAAAATCCTCCAGAGTGGGGCTAGAAACATAGAAACTATCTTTTCGTTGAGATAATTCGAGAGGTTGATGATTTGCGGGGAGCTCAAAATCCCGGTGGAAGTCATCCTCTGCTTCCTGCTCAATAATGAAACCACTGCCGACATTCACTGTGTTTAATTTCTTCGGAGATCGGGGGTTTGGAGCTTTGAGAGTAGGAATATCTCGGATTTCCGGACCGTCCCTTTCCCTTTCATCTTGAAAAGTGTCAAAAGCTCCCAAGGTGGATTGAAAACGCGTCGAGAATTCGTCATCCCAAGATGGCGAGGCCGTGGATTTCACTGGACTTGTAGTAACAGAGCTTAAATGCCGAAGGGTATCAGGGAAAGTTGTTTCGCGAGTAGTTTTGAGTTGTAATATTGTTTCAGGGTCCGGGAGCTCGACATCTTCTGACCAGTCGTCAACAAAAGTTTGCTTGGTCTTTCGAGTTGACAGGCGCTTGATTGTGCCCCCGATAAGAGCTGATTTGGGAATATCTGGGGGAATAGGAATACCCGCAGTCTTGGCCGAAGCAATGGCATCTTCTTTTGCAAATTCATCGTTGTCATAGAGCGGGACCTGCCAGTCCTCATCACCAGCATTTGAGTCAATATCCGAGCGAGCAGAGCGTCGAGAGGAGATCGAGTCTCGGTGTCCGGAGGGCCGGAATGACGAGTTTGTTATGGATCCGGCACTAGATGCGGTACGAAATTGAATATCCTCGCTAAACTGCAAGTCGTCATCATCGTCCCAGCATTCAATCGGCTCATCGGTCCCCGGTTGTAGGTGGATTGGTACAGATTCCATGATCAGGGAGGCGAGCTGGTTCGGGGCGCACAAAGAACACGGCAGTCATGGGACTATTATAGGCGTCTTGGAGCGTTTGTGCTTAAAGTGACAGGCTCAGAGCTTTGCGACACTGGTGAGGATTCAGGAGGTGCGAACATGAGCGTCATTCCGTGCCGGTCGAGAGACAAAAGATAGGAGCGAGAAAGTAACAAGACTTCACTGACTTCAATATTGATCGGTGATTAGTGAGTTTAGGGAGCGCGAGCTGGGTGCTTGGAGGTGAATAAAGACCGATTTTGCTCTAGAGTCAATTGCGCCGAACGAGCGGGTTTCTAGGTGACCTGATAAATGCCAGGCCCTCACCCAAAAACATTCGTTTGAAGGGGACACGCAAGCATGGGGGACACCCGAAGACAATGTGTTGTCGACCCCTGATAGCTATGTGAGTCGAAAGTTTCAAAGGACGTTAGTACACAGGCGAAAAGGAGACAGGAGAAGATGATGTGTCGGTTGTGGCTGGATCTTACCTAGATTCCTCGTGGAGGAGAGGAGTCTTGAACGTGACGGCCACTCGTATCGGTAACATATTCAGGGATATCGGTATGTACCAGTATGTATTTTACCCGGATGTTTGCTGGGCAGGCATGTCAACAAGTGTTAAATACGCGGTCAGTACGACGTCAATACATGTACTTCTCTCGTAACAGGGAAGATTCAATGTTCTGTCTCCTCAGCGCCTAGTTCCATGTACATGTACTTGGTACGTATGGCTGAAGTATATGTCACATATGTACTCCGACCACTGTGATAATGTCTAAGCCTCGATGCTCTATCAACTCTCCACTATCTCAATCGAATAGCCCACATTATCTCTATATAGAGTGCTGCAGTTTCATACGGAATACAAGTTTGACAACTATTGCCAGTGGTGGTAATCAAAATTCGACCTAAATGTAAGGTAGCCAGTACCTGAAGAACTTAGCGTCCAATATGTGGAGCCCTTGTATCCACTACCTTCAAGGGAGGTACCTGAATTATAATACACCAAGGTGCTTGTGTACTTGTACCTTCAAGCTCTCCCATAATGGTGTAATTGAAGCCAATAACAGATGGGTCCATTAGGTAGGTCCAGTCGATTTCATTTCAGTTGTATCGGTACTCCCTCTCCGTAGGCAGCAAAGCACCTGGGCACTAGGAGTATGAAGTTTGTGCCTTTAATCTCGCTTCGCACCGAGCCGTCTTTTTCTTCCGTTCAAGTTCTCCTACATCCGTGCCTTCATTCCAAAAATGCCTCTCGATTTAACAGAACCCCGGGTCTTGCGGTTTCCCAGATCTGACGAAATTGGAGCCTTTGTACTTGTTCATGTCTCACGTACTAGCCCTGCTCCGCTGGATCTGACTCTGACAGCTACTGAGGGGGAATCGCCGTATATTAGCTTATGTGGGTCTTCGTCAAGTGAGGCCTGATGGTCATGAACTCATATCGCGCAGTGAAACAAACACGGTTGAAAGAACTCAGAGCCAAAAACTATCAAGGATCGAATAATGAATGGATTAAGATCGTCTCTTTCATCTTAGGACAAAGTTCTGCGCCTCCTGACGAATCAGATTGGGGCACTGTTCTTGAGGCCTCTGCCAACGTCTCGGGTTCTGATGAAGACAACAAAGAACTCGTGATAACGATACGGAAACGAGTACAAACTATTACAGTTCGTGTCCCACTCATGAGATTCATTGCCACCCGGACTCCGACTGACTCGGATATAGCAACGCCTCGGTACTTTGATCCTCAAACAAAATGATGAACAAGCTGTCGAGCTCTTCGAATGGACAGGACTTACTGCGGTCAGAGCTCATAGGCTAGAAGAACAGGTATCTAGACTGACAAGTCGCCATCAAATCGCCGAGGAGACTATACATAGGTTGAATGAACAACTCGAAGAGCTCATGCGTGCGAAAGCGCAGCATGAAAATCGGCTGATGGCGAATTTTGTGCAAGTCCTGAATGAGAAAAAGCTCAAGATCCGCAATCAACAACGTCTTCTGACATCAGCGACTGTGGATGCCACCAAGGGTACGTGGGAAATGACAACGGAACTTGGAGATCTTTGGGGTCTTGGATTGACTGACCAAATAGTATATAGTCTCTGAGATTCAAGCTAGCATTCCCAAGGAGTCGTATGGACTTGCTGAGAAATCCTCTTCAATACAGAAAAGCGCGCGCAAGCTGAGCGACACAGAAGATTCTAATGGGTTCGAGGATATTGATCTAATACAAGCTGGTCAAGATGCTATCAACGACCAGGCCACTGGTGATGAAGAGCGTTCGACCCCTCATTTTTTGGGCGATGAACAAGACAATAGCACGACAGATGATGACCTGTTACAGGATGACTCTGCTCGGTTAGGACGATCCTCCACAGCAAGAGACACCGGTCCGCCTCGAAGAAATTTGCCGTTTGTTAGACGAACCAGTCGGGCTATCCAGAAGACAGCGCCGGTCATGGACGAGGAAGATGCTGAAGAGACTGCGGGAGAGACGGATGACGATGAGCTTTAAACTAGTTTCCGAAACAATTCATAAGAAGCAGGTCCATGGACCAGGGTATGAAACTTTCATATTAAATGGATGCATAATGCAGCCTACTTCAGCTAGAATTTCATCGTTTCTCTTGACTTTTTAGGTCTGTAAGACACATGTAGAGCTAAGTATAGGGACCTGCGCACTGATTTTATGAGACATGGACCTGTTTGCCAAGGCAGGCTTGTGCCATTTCCCCTCACTCTTCCCTCCATTGATACTTTATCCTTGCTTCCTCAACGAAATGATCCTCTCCCTTTGAAATGATGGGTTCCATAGCTCCAAGTAGTCTGATATAATTATATCTTAGCAGGCCTATAGACCTCTTCATTTACACCTGTGGACATAGGTATTGATGCACAAGTGAGCTTGAACTCTAAATGGTACCAGCGGCCATAATACGAAAGTAGCACGTATTGATCATCTCCAACACCCATGAACTCGAAATTTTGGAGGTTCAGTCTTTTATGTACAAGGCAATCACTACCGATTAATCCCAGGCGACACCGGAGAATGGCGAAGAGGTCAACAGGAACCGGAAGGGTGTTCAAGATGATAGGGAGAAACACAGAAGATGGAAAGGAAACAGTACATCAAGAGGGAAATTTAAGATGTGGTACAATAAAACGCCTGCAACCATTAGAGAAACACAGAATGGGACCGAAATGGAGCCCGATCTAGCCATACAAAGCCTGAGGAGACATTTCTCCTGCGGCCATAAAGTTAGTCTCAGGGTTTCCAGTGGCCTTGGCAGCGGAGGCGCGGGCCATGGTGGGCGAACTACAGTAGCGGTTAGCAATGCAAATTGAGCATAGATGGATGGCTGGGACATGCAACTAACCTTCTAGAAATAGCGTCAGTGAAGAAGAAGTCTTCGATCACCTTTTTGAAAGGTGCACCAGTAGCGGAAGAACCCTTGTTCTGGTCCACGAGTTGAACTTTGCTCAATGAGCCGACGGAGGTGGGCTCAACAACATCGTAGCGACGCATGACCGGGCTGATTTCTTCCATGCGGTCGCGCAGAGCCTCGATATCATCATAAGGAAGAGGCGCACCAAGGAATTCACTAGCTGCGCGAATAATCTTCCAGTCATCACGAGCCGCGCCAGGGAGAGAAGTGGCAGCGCGGGTAACCTGCACACGACCTTCTGTGTTGATGTATGTACCAGACTTCTCAGTGTATGCCGCACCAGGGAGAACGACATCGGCAAGTTCAGCGCCGCGATCACCATGGTGTCCCTGGTAGACGACAAATGCATCCTTGGGGATCTCGCTTTGGGCAATCTCATCTGCTCCCAAAAGCCACACCATCTTAGGGACGGTCTGAGAAACCTGGGAAGACGGTGCAGTGAAGCCAACTTCATAGGCACCGGCCCGAGACGCCGCACGCTGAAGCACATTGTAACCCTGCCACTCGGGGGTAATGAAGTTGCTTGCATGCTTCTCAACGAAACTGCCCACGGCTTCGAAGATTGCCTTGGAATCAGGGTGCTCTGCAGCAGCGCTGCCGACAACAATCATTGGCCGTTGAGCCGCAGCAAGCTTCTTGCCAAATTCTCCGGACAGAGCGGTTTTCAAGGCAGAGACATCGGAGCCCAGGTGGTTGAAGTCGAAAGTGCTTTCAAATTCCTCGCCGACAAGTCCAATTTCCAAGTCAGATCTGAGATATTGCTTTCGGATACGGGCATTGAGGACGGCAGCTTCGTGGCGAGGGTTTGTTGCAACTAGAAGGATTGCATCTGCCTCTTCAATTCCGTAGATCTTGGAGTTGAACAGGTAGTTGGAACGAACATCAATACCATGAGCAATGGGGGCACCGCCTCCAGGTTGATCGAGGGCAAGGTTATCAGAGCCAAGCTTGTTGGCCAGGTCCTTCATAGCAACGAGCGACTCAGCATCAACCAAGTGCCCAGAAACAGCCTTGAACTCATTGGCCTGTGGCTGCAGTTTCTGGTGAGCTGATGAGATCTCCAGCAGAGCCTGTTCCCAAGTGGCGGGCACAAACTTTCCCTCCCTGCGAATGAGCGGCGTCGTGAGACGCTGGGTCTTCAGCCCATCGCACGCGAACCGTGACTTATCATTGATCCATTCCTCGTTGATATCATCATTCAGCCGCGGAACGACCCGCATCACTTCCAACCCTCTACTGTCAATTCGGATATTAGAGCCAAGAGCGTCGAGGACGTCAATCGATTCGGTGTGTTTGAGTTCCCAAGGACGTGCTCTGAATGCATAGGGCTTCGAAGTAAGTGCGCCGACGGGGCAAAGGTCAATGACGTTGCCCGAAAGTTCTGAGCTGAGGTTCTGCTCCAGGTAGGTTCCAATCTGCATGTCGTTTCCACGACCGGCGGTACCTAGTTCTGGGGCACCGGCAACATCGTTCATGAACCGAACACAACGAGTACAGTGGATGCATCGATTCATCGAGGTCTTGACTAGGGGCCCGATGTTCTTATCCTCCACGGCACGCTTTCCTCCAGTTTCGTGGAATCGACCACGATCGGCGCCGTAACGCATCGACTGGTCTTGAAGATCACACTCTCCTCCTTGGTCGCAGACAGGGCAGTCGAGAGGATGATTGGCGAGAAGGAATTCCATAACACCCTCCCTTGCCTTGTGGACTAGTGGTGAATTCGTCTTGACCACCATGCCGGGCTGTACCGGCCAAGCACAGGAGGCCACCGGCTTCGGGGCACGTTCGACTTCGACAAGGCACATACGACCTTTGTTCTCGATTAATAAATGCATCCATAAAGTATAAATGGGAGGTATGGGTTGCACGTACAGTTTCCTGCAACCAAAAGTTTTCTTGAGGGCTATGGTTAGCAAAAACGACACGCATGTCTCGACTGAATAGACATACTCATGATAACAATATCTGTCCAAGGTTAGTATTGCAAACAAATGTTAAGATTGGCTGGGTCTTATCATACCTAGGGACTGTTGCGCCTGCTTTCTCACAGGCCTGAATAAGAGCCGAACCAGCTATGATGAAAGAGCATGAGTGAAGGCTCAATGGATCATTCCAACGGAAAATTTACCTTCTACCGACACCTTCTTTCCATCTAAAGAGCCATTTGTCAGCTGTCAATCAATTGAGATGAACCAGAGCAAAAGAGGACATACCAATGGTGAGTTCCACCTCGGCCGCGCGAGGGGCTGTCGTCGCAAAGGTCCTGGGGGTGACCTTAGGAACCCGGAGAGACCGGGCGGCCGCACGAAACAGCTGCGGCCGCATCATTAAGAAACAAGCAGAAGTATGAGAGTGGGAGATAGGGTGAAGGAGGGCGAGGGGGATGAGATCCTGGTGACGGCTGGGAGTTCAGAGAGTACTTTGCATCGGAATCTGCGGTTACATAATGAGAGTGCTGACCATCACATTTGCTGACTAAGAATACAGCAAATGGGCTCACGGTAATTGGCTCAATTGGCTCGGTTAGGCGGATAAACCTCCGCTCCGAGTTTCCTTAAAAAGCCAGCCGTCCCTGCGCCTGAACCCCTTCTTTCTCCAAAAAAAATTGTTTTTCAAGGGCATCATTTATTGTAGGAGACAGGTTATTTACTGTTCCTCTTTCCTCTACAGCATGTCCCAAGAGCAGAATCTGCGCCGTAGCTGGAGCTGTCAAGGGTTCGCCTGATGATGACCTTGTTCCTTACCGACGGTAGCTACATCATTCTCATTCTACATATCATTCCCACATTTCCAATGGATTTCAGTTCAATCTTCACATTCTTGAGTTTGTCTATATGCATACATGTGTGTGTAGGTTACGTGATTTTGACTCTCTATTCATGAATTGAGACTTCGGTTTGTAAAACTCAGCTGTGCACCTAGATCCATACGCTACGGGATGACAGAAGAATGCCTGTCTGTCTTGGGGCAGAATGGACACAACAGGGGAAAAATATTAATGTAAAAGCCCTCCAGGCAACACCGCGCTGCCATGATATCGTACACTGAAATAATAAAATACATAAGCTAGGTTGTGGTTGGGGGATCACTAACTTGCCAAGTGGATTCTTGTCTGGTTCCGGGTAACCAAGCAGGAGAAACACTGGCTCCTCTTGGCCGAACGTGCCCAGGCCCATCGTCTTCTTTTTTGGAATTATTGGGTGCAGTATTGGAGTTGTTAGGGGCTCCTTCAAAGACTCCCCTACCCGCAGGAAAGGCATAGCCATTGGAATCCCATGGCTTGCTTGGGTGCCGCACGTTCAACGGAAGAATGGACTTTTGCATGCGGAAATGGTCGGTGTTTGCCCTTTGATCAGCTACATCATCGTGGCTATTGCGATCATAGAGGTAAAGGCCCACGAACGTAAGCCCAATGCCAAATGCTTGGATCAGAGTGGTTGAGCTTCCAAACCATACAATCGCAACCACAATCACAAACACACGCTTGACCAATGATGCAACTGAATATGACACAGGGGAAATCATTGACAGTAACACAAACGCCAGGATGTTTTGGGCGAAGTGTGATACTCCGTTGAACAGAAACTCAAGAGAAAGAGCACCGTGATCCAATGATCCTTGCTTACCCGAGAGTGAGATTACACCATCGTGAATAAAATCAGATACTAGAGGGTATCCCTCAGTGACAAACCAAATAGGCAGGGTGAGAAAAAAAGCCAGGCCGGAGCAATAACAAAGTAAGTTAAGTTTGTCCAACTTACGTCGCCCAGGGTTTTGCAGATCTAATTCTGCGCGATCTGCTTCATTGAACAGCTTCTTCGAGAATATGTTCTGCGAGACGAACACAAGAGCTGCACCGAATGCACAAAATATTCCAAATAAATTTGTAGATACTCCGGTCGAACAGGCAAGCATCACACCCAGGGTGAGAGGGATCAGTGATAGGTAGGTTGCCCGAGCATATCGAATGCGAAACAGAACTCGGTATGCCAAAACAGTGAAAAGAGGCGAAAGACCCTTGATAGTGTGGACCAAGGAGACGGGGATTTGTGCAGTGGCCATGGAGCTGAGAATGTGGCCAGCTAATTGAAATACAGCCAGAGGCAGGGCTGTGGAAATCACGTCACGAGATGGGTAGCGAATTCCATGTTGAAGTATTGGAATACTTTGTCGCAACTGGGGTATCACTGTGGAAAGATACACCAATAGTAAACACCAGAAGGAGACGAATGCAAATTGAATCATTGTCAGTGTGATCGGCATTGGAAGGGCATTCAGTATCGATTTTGAGGACGTATTTGTGAGAGCAGATGTCAGATACCAAACGATACAGAGAGCCTTCAGACACTAGATTAGCAAGCAACCCCAAAAAACTTCAATATTCATCGCTTGCAACATGGATCAACATACAGTCAGTCGGTAGGAGACTGGAGCACGGAGTGCTTCAGCCAATTCATGAGCGTTAGCGCTCATACTGCCATTGCGTGTTCTGATTGTCGTGATGGCTTCACTGATGCTCTTCCGTGGGCGGTGTTTGGGGGTTCTTAATGATCCATTCCCATAGTCTCGAGAGTAGAAGCTTGCTTTTCGAGGATTCCAGAACTCATTCGGGTTATATTTGACCGAAGCACTTCGGTTTGGACGAGTTGACCCCGCGACGGTGTCGAGCGTGTCCTCGTAAGGTGGGAACTTATCGACTGGGCTGCTCGTTGATTGAGGGATGGAGGATTTGGTTGGAATCTGCAATTCAGCCTGACGCATGGAGGAGCGTCGCCCATGACCCGTCACTGTGGTTGTAGCCATATTGCACGGGATCGCCTTAATTATTCTCATAAACGTCAATTCCCCGGGGCTCCTTGGAATAAAACCTGCACTTGTGTCACTCACCCGAAAAGAACGAGGAAGCAGCTGCGGAGAGACAATCCGCTCAGTGATCCCCGGTGAGGATTATGTGTCCGCTTCACAAGACTGAAGAAAAAGGACGGGTTAGTTCGCCGACTTATCGATGACGAATCCCCTTGGGCGAATGAGCGTCGAGTATGGAAAACACACGCTTTCTGTGAATTCAAACAATAACAAGAGGGTATACGAATAATGTAGTGATGCGCAGCTATAATATCGGACTAAGAGAATCGTTGGACCCCGAAATCATTTTAAAACCAAAAAAACAAAAAGAAAAAAAAATTCCACCTTAATCGACACGACCATGGCGATGCACTTAGAATTCCATGTACCGCCACCGGCGATTATTATGCTCACCATTATTTTACATTACAGAGAACCACTAATACCTCCTGCTCCGTACACATTTACCGATTGGATCCATATTATGGATATCCTTATATATATACTTAAGTAAGTAAGTAGTAGTACGGAATCCATGTACCACACAGAAGCGGCTTTTCTCTGCCACCTCTTGGCATTCCCTTTCCGGGGTTGGGCTCACTGGTCGCCGCTTTGGGCTGATTACGGAGTATATGTAGATCAATGGTGTTCTATCGAACCTCTTTATTGGAAGAAAAGAAACATAGAAATCAACGGACACGATCCTCGATCGTCGCCCCTGCAGAACTTTACGGTATGTACTCTGTAGAGTCGTAGGCATCGAAACGGTACCTATGTAATTTCTCAAGGATGACATCGACCCGTTCCCTCTTTCCCTCTACAGGTTCCCTATATATCTTCCCACGTGCCAACCGTGTAGCTGGGCTATTCTGATGGGCATTTTGTGCGTGTGTGGGTCATAGCATAGTATGATTGGTTTTGTGAATAAAAAATATACTAAAGAATGTACTCACTTTTTTCTAATGACCTCACATGGGAAACATTGGAAGGGATAGGTATAAAGAGGAACAAAGCACTAGATAGACCCTCCTACTATGAAGAGGCTAACTTTCTCTCCAGAGGAAAATAATTTCTCCGTGCTCTCAAGGGGCTTCTGCTGTACTCTGGTAATCTATTTGCGATATCTGCGACTGTATGTTGCCTTTGGGCGAAAAAAAAAACGAAAAAGAACTTGGTTTCTTCCAAAAAACAGAGAGATTTTTTGCGGGTTGTAAATATAGCTTGTTGATCCAGCTGATGAGAGATCGATGTTGTAAGTAGCGCCTTGAAATCTTTGAAGCACATGAACCCAGTGTTGACTATGCAGCGCAACTGTAGAATGCTTTGTGGGTAATTCCATCACTCTCCATTCCCCTAGTGTGTACGGAGTACTCCGTACCCCTGCCAAAGATGCAAGGTCACCTCAAGCCCTCATCCTCTGCAATAAGTTTCGATCTCATTTGGTTGTTAAATTTTCAGGTTGAAAAAGCGTGGTTTCTAGACTACACAGGCACACAAGCTATAGACATCGCTTGGAAATCTAGGAGTAGCATGTAGCCAGATTCCCCTTTTATCTAAATGCTTTTTTGATATTCGAATCTTCGCAGGAACAGAAATGACCCCTCTAGGCTCTTCTATTTTGATTGGCCCATCTCGGCCTATCAAGTTTCCCCGGAGAACTGCCACAGTGGCTGTGGTGAGAGGTTCTAGCAAGGGATGTTCCATATGTATATTGGACTATCTTCTTGATGACGAATAACAAAGACTGGTGAAGTCTAAAAATACTAGGACAATGGAAGTGCGAGTTCAACTTTAGCCATCTACATGGGTTTAATTCTGTGTATACATGTAGCGCTCAGTGCTCATCTAGATTTCTGAATATCCAGTATAATGGTATCTCGACCAACTATACTTGATCGGGTAGTCCGCAACGAGCCTGATATAGATGCTTCCAGATTACCCAAGTTGGGAAGGCTTCGTTGCTCCAAGGTCTACATAGGTACATTGCTCCTTCCTGACTTCACAACGTTGTCTCTTTCTGATCCCTTGTATCCCCATCATTCCATTTTCTCTTTTGATCCCAGTTTTCTCTTCTCATCCCTCAAATTAAAATCTTGTTTCTTCTCACAGTCCACTCAGCTTCCTCATCTTCAGAAGATCCTTATGTTTACCGTCATCTCGCAAGAATCTGCTCGGAATCCTTTTCGTTGCATGTAAACTCACTTGGTTTCCAACGAGCGTGTTTTTCCCCACCTCCACGCAGCGACATCATTTCTTTCCTTTCCTTCTTTCCCCCCCCCAGTCTCTATTTGTGTTTCTGTTCGGATCTTTGCTAGTTGATGACATGGCTACCCTAAGTGGACCTTCATCACTTGGCCGCATGGGAAATGGAGGAAGGTTTACCCCCAACGATGGCATTGATATGCGAACTATTTCTTTTGGACATGAATCTTCGGTAAGCTTCCTGAAAAATGGTACCCACATCGACTGTCTAGTCTACTAAATACATCCATCACACTAGAGCCCTCAGAACTCGGCTGCTCATTACGGGTCCTCCGATGCGGCGGAGGCTTCCCGACATGGAAAGTTACAAGTCTTGTCTGGTGAAGGAGCCGAACACTCGTCAAGCAAGGTGTGTCTCTCCCGTGGCATTGATCTATATATACACCTTTATGTGTATATGCATGTGTGTGTGATCTCACAATCCCAGAAGCAGAAGCTAGATCATATCAAAGTTGAAACTTTGAACGGACAAACGTCGGATCTTGACAGAATACTAGCAAAGCTTTCTCCCAAGATGATTCCGCCCACACGTTCTGACATCGATCGTTCCTCTGCGTCATCCCAGAACACACCAGCTACAACACTGCCAGCTTCAACCCTCCCCGAAGGTACTAATTCATACACACAGGAAGACAGAGCGGTAGAACTACTTCGTCTCAAACAGGAGCTAATCGCTGCAAATTCCAAGATTGCTTTACAGGAGCAAGAGCTTGCTCAGACACGTGTGATAAAACATACGTTGGATCAAACCATTGGGCCTTCATCTGAGAGTGATTTCGGCAGCCGTGAGATCACGGAGCAAACAATCAGCCATTTGCAGAATGCTTTTAACGCATCTAGTTCTGCATTTGGTCACTTTCAAGATGCCTGGGGTGGCCAAGATGATTCGCAATCTGACATTTCGGACCCATTGTCTACAGGACCCTACAACAGATCTCGCGGGCTCTGGGTCCAGAACGAGCCTGTGATTGAAAGGGAATACGGAGAGAGCCTTTCAGGCACCAGCAGCTCTGCAAGCCAGGACCCAAATCGGTTTTGGGGAGCCTCAAATGTTTATCCCCCCTTTGGCGGCCCATCGTCTTTGCAATCCCAAAGAGTACACTCGGGATCTTCGACTGGTCCATGTGGATTTTACACTCGTCCCATTGGTGAACAGATGGCGTATCCACCAGGATCAGTTCCTGGGTCTCGTCGCTCCATTCCTCAGAGTAGTAGAGGTGGATCTCTATTCCCAATCCAATCGACTCCTTGGGGTGAATTTGTTTCTGGGTCGTCCAACGAGCCGACTCCTAAGTCCCCTACTTCGCCAGAGAAGCGGCCGCCAAGTACCTTCCAACAGGTTGGGCTTTACTCTGTGCCCTCTTACCTTCCTCGACCAATTGGCAGTCCCCTTTCGCCTACTGCTACTGAGTTTACAGGCGCCAATACGAATGAGAGCACATGGACCAACTCGGTGAGACCTGATTTCGTACCTCGTGTTGTATTTATTCTAATCTCGGACAGATGAGCGGCAATTCCATCCAAACGTACGTGTCACCGCTCGAACCGCTTAACTATCGACGTCTCCTGGACAAAAATGTGTCGTGTGATTGGAAGTACATTGTAGATAAGATCATCTGCAACAACGACCAACAAGCTTCAATTTTCTTACAGCAAAAGCTCAAGGTCGGCACAGCCGAGCAAAAATACGACATTATCGAGTCAATTGTGCATCAAGCCTATCCCCTCATGGTCAATCGCTTTGGAAACTTCCTTATACAGCGTTGTTTTGAACATGGAACGTCAGAGCAAGTTGTCGCCATCGCCGATGCAATCAGAGGGAACACACTGACTCTCAGCATGGATGCATTTGGTTGCCATGTCATTCAAAAGGCGTTTGACTGTGTTTCAGAGGAACATAAGGCTATCATGGTACATGAGCTTCTCCGCAGAATTCCTGAGACAGTGGTTCATCGATATGCGTGTCATGTTTGGCAAAAACTCTTTGAACTCCGATGGAGTGGCGAGCCTCCCCAAGTGATGACCAAAGTAAACGAGGCACTACGTGGAATGTGGCATGAAGTTGCTCTTGGAGAGACAGGAAGTCTGGTCGTCCAAAACATCTTTGAAAATTGTGTCGAGGAGGAAAAGGTGAGCTTCTCCATTATCCTAAGCTTCTGCCATACGCACGCAATCGCTTTCTTTGCTGTCTTGCCTTCCTGTTTGGTTATTTTCTGGATCATGCAAATGCTAACGTTACAAAGCGACCAGCAATCGAAGAAGTACTAGCGAAGATCGATGTGCTCGCCCATGGTCAATTTGGGAACTGGTGCATCCAGCACATTTGCGAGCATGGCGCTCCCCATGATAAGAGCCGTGCTGTCGAGCATGTTATTCGATGGGCTGTGGATTACAGCATGGATCAGTTTGCGTCTAAGATTGTGGAGAAGTGCCTCAAGATTGGTGGTACCGAGTTCATGGACCATTATCTCTCTCGAGTCTGCACGGGTCGTTCTGACCGACCCCGTATGCCGTTGATCGATAGTAAGTTGATCACACTTCATCACAAGGATGACTTCGCTAATTCAAGTTTAGTAGCGGGGGACCAGTATGGGAACTATCTTATACAATGGATTCTGATGAATGCTGCGTCTCATCAGCGAGAACTTGTGGCCACTCACATTCGGTACCATTCACTCGGTTTCCATTTTCAATCCAAATGACTTGAAGACTAACCATTCTTCGAGTAGGAAACATATGGTCTCCCTTCGTGGTTCTAAATTCGGCTCTCGTGTGGCCATGCTTTGTTGTAACCCGTCTCATGCTACACGTCCTGGCCCGGGGGCTGGGATGCAAATCGGCCGTTTCAACAATTTCAATGAAGAAAAATACACCACTGCGAGCCAATCCAGTGGTCGTTTTGGGCGCGGACATCAATGGGGTCCCAATTATGCGCCACTCCATTGAGCCTGTCTATTGATATTTCATCTTCAGTTTTGGCACTGCGCCGAAACCCCAGAGACGACAACGAAAAGCAAGAAAACAGAAAGACAACCGCAAAATAGGAAAGACCAATTGTACCAAGCATTTTTATGTCTTTGCTTCCAGGCATCTGCCTTGCCAGTTTGTTTCACTGCGTTCAGCAACATCTGTCCACCAATCCAAACGTCCGGATTATCCCATCATTTTCGTGTTCCATTATTTCGAGTTATCACTGCTTGTCAAATTATTCTTCCGAGTTTTCAACGTCAATGACTAGCGTTTTATTCAATCTTATGGACTAGAGACTCCATGTTAATTACAAGCCAAATGATATTGTTAGTATTCAATTCCTATTCCATCTCCACCATGTACCTGGTGTAGAAAGGATTTGTTTCAAGGTGTAACACTTGCAGCCTCATCGGAAGCAGTTTTCACTTCATCACTCTCCCATGGTTTCCGGCGCCGTGGTTTCTCACTGGACATATCATGGCCAGTAAGCACTGTGTCTGGTATGTTTTGGATGCCGGGTATTGGTTGACCCGTGGTGATGAGTTCCACAATGTGCGCAAACGACGACGGGTAAGCAGGCTCAGGGTGTATAGAGCTCTCAGGCCCAGGGGTAATTTGCTCTGACAATGATCCAGTTGGAATTTGCGATGAGTCTTCTTTGTTGCCTGTTACTCGGGGGTCCGTTTCCCGCGATGCCAACCACGACTTGAATGTTACAAAGTCAATAGCAGGAGTAAGTCTTTCTTTTCTGTGGGTCATTGACAGATTAGTACTAAACATTCCTATGTTTACACTGCGCAGATTTCCCCGGCATACCGTGAGAAAAAAAAACACTTTGCTTGCAAGACAAGGTCGTCATCCCGATTTATCTCCTCCTCGGTGGCGGGGGTATCGGGGTGACCAAGTATTATTGAGAGGCCATTTGCAAACTCGGGATCCAGACTGAAAGAGTAAGACTGTAATCTCTGAAAGACTTGAGCTTCTGAAGTCGCCATTTTCTGATCTTCAACTGTGATGCTTGGATGAAAGAATCCACATACGCAAGGCTTGGGGTGGGGAGAGTCCAACGTGGGGCCAAGCTAACGACTAACCGAGGCTCATGTCCCCTGTTCTCCAATTCTCCAACTGTGTATGGGATGATTCATCTGAACGTTCTCTAGCTCTTTTGCCTGAGTTGGCGTGTGAAAACTGTGACAAATTTTGCGTATTATGTATACATATATGCCTGTGCCCAATACTACCTTGTGACCGAACGAAAATTCTAAGGATATCTTGCGAGCGACGCCAAACCATGCAATGGTGGTATGATTCCATGGCCCTAACCTGCAGTATCCATTCCCTCTGCCGTTTGCCTGGCTAGGTCAGAATGCAAAAGCGCTGTTTTACTTTGACAACCGGGACAGTTGTGCACGACCTCATGGGCAAAGAGATCACAGTCGATACAGAAGTGGTTATGACAAGCGGTACATTCGTACCGACTGCTCACGCTCATCCCCTTAGTTTGGCTCTCTGTCATTGGCCATTGATCTTGCGAGGGCACGGATGGAAAAGTTAGACCGCAGGCAAAGCAAGCCGAACTTCGTGAGGCCCGACGCCATGGCACCTCGACCCAATTGATTAAGGGAAACAGATGGTGATAAGACCGTGCCAGATGAGTTGAAAGAATCAGTGTAAGCCCGCAGGATGGGCATTCAGCAGGAAGACTACACACTTTGCTGTTGCATCGTGAGCAAAGATAGCCTCCTCGTGAGGGCTTTGAATGACACGCGCAGAGAGAAGGGCTGGATTCCACTGTACGAGAGGGAAACCCCATCATCAGCAGTGAGCTTGCAGATTCTTTCTGTGAATAGGTAGCTGGTGGCGTAGTCACATCCATCATCAGCTCCCGAAAATGTTGCTCATTCAGTGCTACTCCATATGTTGTTTCATCGCCACCGTTGGTTTTCGCACAAAGTTCTCGGCAAATGGCCACCTGGGCTGCGAGGCCCACGATCCCAATCCGAATTTTGTCGCTTATGAGGGTACCTATGGTTTGATGGATATCTCCGGGGTCGGAGGAAAGGAGGGAGCCATATATAATTAATACTTCTCGGGTGCCATGGCTAGGCGTATGGCTAAGTCGATAGGTTAGCTTCGATCAAGGTTTCGGCACTTTATGTAATTGCCACAAGCACATACAAAAGAGCAGCCTGTGCCATTTCCAATCCATTCTGAAGACTAGGTAGACCTTTTGGATCTTGTGTTTTGAGGGCTTGGATGGCTGTGAGATGTTCTGTGGGATTGCCACTTAGATCACTGACTCGGAGCGCGAGACCATCTCTCAGGCCGAGGACACCGAGCTGGGAGATTGGGTTTTGTTCAAAGAATTCTCTGACAAATTCTTGAGCATATCGGAGAGTCAACAAATATCTTGTTGGCCGGAGGTCCTTCTCAGACATAGATTGCGAAAGATCCAGGATTAGGATGAGGTGTCGAATGATTCCGCGCTGTAGAGGTGTCGTGTCTTTCAAGAGCCTGCCGCAACAGAAAAAATTCAGCTAGAGAACATGAAGGGCCCAAATGAAGAAAAAGTCACCTTTTTCGTTTCCCGGCCTCTAGTAGCCCCTCGACAGTCGAGTTGATGGTACCATCTGCACCTTCCACGAGTGTCTCCCAGGTTCTGGATAGCTCCCACTCTGCGCCTCCACGCTGTTTTCTCTTTTTGGCTCGCGTACTATCGCCTCGATTTACCTGTAAATCATCTTCATCTTCCGTCACCTCTCCCACATATTCTTCGTCAGAGTCAGCCATCCTGTTTGTTGATCGGAGCGGAGAGAGACTGAGGATCCAAGGCGGAAGCGTTGAAAATGGTCCAAGCTTCCGACGGAGCTCCGATGGAAACTATGAAGAACCCTTTGCTTTTTCCCTCCTTTCCACTTGCGATTTGTTGTTCGACTGGAATTCACTGGAATCACTAAATTCCCGACGATAGCCGTAGACGGTTTAGCTAGGTCCCGCCGATGTGGGGAAGAAGATCCATTGCGCGAGCTGGCGTAGCAATTGAAGCCCTCGGTCTCCCTGTCCGCCCTACCCCTCCTCTTTCTCGCGCACTACACCAACTTTCTCTCTCGCACTCCTCCCCTCGACTGCGACCTCGACTGCCAACACCTGCTGCTACACTAGATCTGAGTTTCCCGCCAATTAGACATTGTTCCGCCGAAGTCCGCATGATGGCGTCTCAGGACAGAGAGACACTTCCTGACGTGTAAGTGATGCCCCGCTTCGGCTTGTCACGCATTTTTCGCCCTTCTTTTGTCTTCGTTCTTTGCCTTTACTGGGGCTTTCCCTCCATTATATTTTGAAACATTGGAACCTGACACAGGAATAGGGCGAAGCCTGTTAACTACCATGTCTCTCTTTTCGACCTGCAGTTTGGTGGTTCATGGGAATACAAGGGTGCATTAAAAATCGATCTCAAAGTCACCCATGCTTCCAGCAAGATTGTGTTGAACTCGAAGGAGATTGAGGTACACGATGCTGAAATCTTGGGGAAAGACGGTACGTAGAGACCATGCCTTTGATTTGCTATGGAGTCAAAAAAAACCACAAGAAAAACTAACGACCATCCTCACATAGGGAGTCAACTGGCCCGAGCATCCGGCATCACTTACGACAAGCAATCTGAGCGTGTATCTCTCGCTTTTCCCAAAGAGATTGTGCCGGGAGACGTTGTGCTTTCTATCAATTTTACGGGTACCATGAACAACGCCATGGCCGGCTTTTACCGGTCAAAATACAAGCCCGTTGGACAGCCATCTCCCGACACCCCAAAAGAAGATGACTTTTACTACATGCTCAGCACTCAATTCGAGTCTTGCGATGCACGACGGGCCTTCCCTTGTTTCGATGAGCCAAACTTGAAGTCCACTTTCGTTTTTGAAATCGAAGTTCCCAAGGGACAGACAGCACTGAGCAACATGCCTGTCAAATCTGAAAGAGACGGCAACAAGCCCGGCTTGAAGTTTGTTACGTTCGAGCAGACGCCGGTCATGAGCACCTATCTCCTGGCATGGGCAGTTGGTGACTTTGAATACGTTGAGGCTATGACTCAGCGCAAATATCAGGGCAAAAGTATTCCTGTTCGAGTTTACACCACACGAGGCCTGCAAGATCAAGCGCGATTTGCACTGGAGTGTGCTCACCGCACCGTTGACTATTTCTCGGAAGTCTTTGAAATTGAGTACCCACTCCCCAAGGCTGATCTCCTGGCCGTCCATGAATTTGTAAGTCCTCATTCGTTTCCTATAGCTCCCAATTATTTCGATGGAGCTAATCAGGATGTGCTAGGCCATGGGAGCGATGGAAAATTGGGGTCTTGTGACCTACCGAACGACTGCTGTTCTCTTCGATGAAGGAAAATCGGACAACCGTTACAAGAATCGCATTGCCTATGTTGTAGCCCATGGTTAGTTCCCGCGATCAATCGCAAGACCCACGTATGTCAGAATGGCATTAATACCTGATTCGCATGATAGAGCTCGCTCACCAGTGGTTTGGTAATCTCGTCACCATGGACTGGTGGAATGAGTTGTGGTTGAATGAAGGGTTCGCTACATGGGTCGGTTGGTTGGCCGTTGATCATTTCTATCCCGGTGAGCTTCCCCCCACCTCTCTTTCTTCTTTTGATCGATGAAGGTATATTCATACAGTGACTAATACGCAAGCAGAGTGGAACGTCTGGTCCCAGTTTGTCGTACGCAATTCTCGAGGTAACATCCAACATCTCAATACCAATATTGACATTATCACAGGCTGAAGGTGTGCAACAAGCGTTTCACCTCGACTCGCTCCGCGCTTCTCATCCCATCGAAGTACCTGTTCGGAACGCTCTTGAAGTCGACCAGATTTTCGACCATATCAGCTACCTGAAGGGAAGCTCCGTCATTCGCATGCTGAGTGTCCATCTCGGCAGGGAGACTTTCTTGCGTGGAGTTGCAGACTATCTCAAGTCACATGCATATGGTGGGACACCAAATCGGATATCCATTAGAAACACTTGCTGATGGTCTCTAGGCAATGCAACCACTAATGATCTGTGGTCCGCCTTGAGCAAAGCTTCCGGCCAAGACGTGCATTCTTTCATGGTAAGTGAATGCCCAATATGTGGATCTTGATTTGGAATTCCAAGTCTAACTGACCTGCTCAAGGACCCCTGGATTCGAAAGATTGGTTTCCCGGTTGTCACTGTAGCAGAAGAACCTAGCCAGATCAGCGTTAGCCAGAATCGATTCCTATCTACTGGGGATGCAAAGCCAGAGGAAGATGAGACGAAATGGTGGATCCCTCTTGGTATCAAATCCGGATCAAAATTGGCTGATGTTGACACCCGTGCTCTCACCGCGAAATCCGATACTATTGGAGGAATTGGCGAGGACACTTTCTATAAGATCAACAAGGATTTGTCTGGGTTCTACCGCACCAACTATCCTCCTAAGCATTTGGAAAAACTGGGCCAGTCGCTTGATCTTCTGAGCACCGAGGATAAGATCGGTCTGTTAGGTGATGCCGCTGCTCTTGCAGTATCTGGCGAAGGCACCACACCAGCCTTGTTGACTCTTCTGGAAGGGTTCAAGGATGAAAGAAATTACCTGTGAGCAAAAATCACCCATGGCGCTTTTCTAGTATTTTTAACATCTCATGTTGCAGTGTCTGGTCCCAAATCTCTGCGTCTCTGGCCAATCTGCGTTCGGTATTCTCCCAAAACGAAAAGGTTGCCGAGGGGCTAAAGCAGTTTACACGCAAATTGGCTTCCCCGGCTGCAGAACAGATTGGCTGGAAATTCCAACCCAATGAAGATTATCTCGTTGTGCAGCTTCGGAAGCTACTGGTTGGGATGGCCTGCAATGCGGGTCATGAAGAGTGAGCTCATATTCCTCGTCTCTGGATTTTGTGGAACACTCTCTGATATATTCTCAATCATAGATTTGCCTTGGAGGCTAAGCGTCTCTTCGATCTTTGGGCGACTGGAAAAGATACTAATGCCATCCATACGAATTTGCGGTCAGTGATTTTCAGCATCAATGTGTCAGAGGGCGGTCGTAAAGAATATGACGCCGTTAAAGAGGAGTATCTACGGACTGACTCCGTGGACGGCAAAGAAATTTGCCTATCTGCACTTGGACGCACGAAGGATGCTGCACTGGTGACGGACTACTTGGACTTCGTGTTTTCGGATAACGTTGCTATCCAGGACATCCACAGCGGTGCCGCATCTTTGGCCGCCAATTCGAAGGTCCGACACCTACTGTGGCAGTACATCAAGGACAATTGGACTGCTGTCGAAACACGGCTGTCATTTAACAACGTTGTGTTTGAGCGCTTTGTCCGCGTGGGTCTGTCCAAGTTTGCCGATCACCAGATCAGTGACGACATTGCAGCCTTCTTCAAGGATAAGGACACCGGTGCCTATGACCGCGCACTCGTTATTGTCTCGGATAACATTCGAACTAATGCATCCTACAAAGTGCGCGAGGAGACCGTGGTTCTGGAATGGCTACAGGCTCATGGTTATGCTTGAGAGATGTGTGCTAGAACCATTACTTTCTCTTACATTTACAACAATGTATTTGTTTTTGTTCCCTAACTAGGTCCTCATTGTTTCTCTTTCTTTTCTCACTTTTGTTTCCTTTCTCTTTATGCAAATTTCGTTCGAGAGAAAACTACCTAGGTAGTTCATCGTACCGACGAGGTTGAGTCTTTGCACGGGACAAAATCAGTTGGAGGAGCAGGTGATCTTCGGATATCTTGAGAGGCTAGGCGTAATTACAGTAACTACAATCCAACCCTCGTGATATAGATGTTTAGGCAAGTAATGCCCGCGCTCGAGATCATAAGAAATTAAAACCGAGACTATATACATGTAGACACGGCATATGAGAGAAATCTGAAAGAAGCGGTGGGTTGTGACGTGAAACAAAGCTGCGCATCAGGTGCGTCTGCCTTCCTGCACCTCCTATCATTTCAGGCGACTGTTCCATCATTGTCCCCTCCCCCGACTTTCCTAGGAACTTCGACTCTCACTCTTCATCAACTTGCTTTTTTCTTTTTATAATCCTTTGAAGTTGTGTGTCTACGACTGTACTTTCGATATCACCTCTTTGACCATTCCCCTCGTCTCATCATGAATCCCGAGTGGTAAGCGTTCGCCATTTCCCATTCCCAAATTCCTTCCACGTTGCGCCCTGCTCTGATCGACTGTAAAACGTCTCTTTCATTAAGGATTCAAACTGACCTGATGTTGAAATCTAGAGTATCGTCGCGTCGCTGCTTGATTTTACCTTCATCCGACGAAACCCCCGAACTTGCGCATCCCACGGTTCTGGCCTAACCACCGAGATAGATACGATTATCTTTTCAAACTTCTCCTCATCGGTGACTCCGGTGTTGGAAAATCCTGTCTGTTGCTTCGTTTTGCAGATGATACCTACACGGAAAGCTACATCTCGACAATCGGTGTTGACTTCGTACGTCCTGGAATCTGCGGGACATTTAGCTCGAGGAGAAGGGTAGCGCTGATATCTCGACCAATATAGAAAATCCGCACAATCGAACTCGATGGCAAGACCGTGAAACTTCAGATTGTATGACAATCTTCAATACTAATCATTTGAGGCAAAGCTGATGGTATATACAGTGGGACACTGCCGGCCAGGAACGATTCCGTACCATTACATCTTCTTACTACCGAGGTGCTCATGGAATTTGCGTGGTGTACGATGTCACCGACATGGATTCTTTCAACAACGTGAAGCAGTGGCTTCAGGAAATTGACCGGTACGCTACTGAGGGTGTTAACAAGCTGCTCGTTGGCAACAAGAGCGATATGGAGGACAAGAAGGTCGTGGAATACACCGTTGCCAAGGTAAGCTCCATCATAGAACTAACCCTGTCAGTACAGTTGTTGAAAATCAGACCGCTAACATTTGTTGATTCCACCCTCATAGGAGTTTGCTGACAGCCTCGGGATTCCTTTCCTTGAGACTTCAGCCAAAAATGCATCCAATGTCGAGCAGGCATTCTTGACAATGGCACGACAAATCAAGGAACGCATGGGAACGGCCACAGTCAACAACAAGCCGACCGTGCAGGTTGGCCAGGGCCAGGGTGTCCAGTCTGGATCAGCAGGAGGCTGCTGCTAAACGACACAATGTTCTCTCTGTATGATGCGGTGCTTTAATTTGGCGCAATGTTACATCATGAATTGAGGGTTTTCCAGTGGCGTGCTATCTAATCGGCAGAGTCAGACTTGTCCGAAAGTCAGCATAGCTCTGATGACCAAGAAGAAAGTTTCTTCGCGGAGCTGGCAATAGTTACGACAGTGCCGTTAAGGTCCTTTCTTGCCTTCAAGGTGCTTTAGATAGCCTGCGTTTCATCCTCGTTTCTGCGTTTGCTTATGCGATTACCGCTGGTTTTTGCGTTCCCATGATTTCCTGGTCATGTTTCTGACCTTTTACCTTGGCCCATCATTCTGTGTCTTGTTTCTTTTTCCTTCCTTGCTTGCTCGCTTTTTTTTCGTTTTCTATTTTCGCTTTTTTTTCTGTAGGTTGGATCTCTCTTGTGAATGGACTAATGGCGAAACCCTTAAGACTTTTGAGACATATGGCCTCACAAGGAGGCTCTTTATTTTTCCCCCTCTCCTTTTCAAGTCACTCTGTACATTGTAATAGGTACCCATCCTTGCTCAGGATCCCTCTAAAATACTTGGTATTAAATACGTTCATTGCGGTAGATGAATATAGATCTATATACTGAGGTCCGTACGTCAAGCCGAAACCCTGATGCATATAATCACATGCAAATCACAGGTGCCGACCTCAGAACAATACGATGTACTCCGTACTCTATATGGAATATGCTGATCACTATCAGGAGCATGGGTTAGAATAATCCAGATATATTCCTTAGATTGGGTAATAATACCTCTTAGGTACATCCCTGATACTCCGAGATCCCAACTGTCTTGTTTGGTGACATGCAGGTACCGAGGATAGGGATAAGGAAAGGCAGCAAATAATCAAAATTAAATTAAATAAAAAAAAACAGGGGAAAAGGAAACCTCATGTTGAAACTATTGATCTTCACGCGCAACCCTGTCACGGGTTGTATAAGGTGAATATGCATATGGACGTTTCGGAATGTAGTGGAGTTGAGTAGGAGCCGAGGCAGCACTTCGGCAAAACGTCATAAATATCATCCCCCTTCAAGCCGACTCATTATCGCTTTAGTTCTTAGGTTTTGAATTCCCTGAGCTATTTCATTTCTTTCATTCCCTTCACTTATTCGCTCCTTACATGTTACAGCTGAACGTTCACTAGTTGCCAACTCTTCCCCTTCATTATGTCCCAACCCGGAGCCGAGCAGAGAAAGGCGGCATCTGCTACCGTCCAGCAGAGTGATAACATCGCACATGCGCTGGCGGGTGCCGGAGGAGGTGTCTTGTCGATGGTCTTGACGTGCGTTTCCACCGTTTCGTCCTATGAACTGCCGCCACTAACCCCATGTCCACCCCAGATACCCTCTGATCACTTTGTCGACAAGAGCCCAAGTAGAGTCGAAGCGTGCGCACTCAACCACCCTTGATGCCATACGTCGCATTGTACAGAGAGAAGGTATCTCGGGGCTTTACTCCGGACTGGAATCGGCACTGTTTGGAATTAGCGTCACCAACTTCGTGTATTACTATTGGTATGAATTCACTCGTTCGGCCTTCGAGAAGGCCGCTATTCAGGGAGGTCGAGCCTCAAAAAAACTCACGACTATTGAGTCTATGATTGCGGGCGCCATTGCAGGCAGCGCAACGGTGCTGATCACCAACCCGATCTGGGTCATCAACACTCGCATGACTGCCCGCAAGTCTGAGGCGGAGGAAAGCTTGCCCGGTGCCAAGAAGGCAAGGGCATCGACTCTCAGCACTCTGATGGATCTGCTCCGCCAAGAGGGACCCAAGGCCCTATTCGCCGGAGTCCTCCCGGCATTGGTCTTGGTGATCAACCCAATCTTGCAATACACTATCTTTGAGCAATTGAAAAACATAGTGGAGCGCCGCCGGCGTATGACCCCTAAAGATGCGTTTTATCTGGGTGCGCTAGGCAAGATCCTGGCTACCAGCATCACCTACCCCTATATCACCATCAAGAGTCGCGCACATGTTGCCAGCAGAGATGGTCCTAAGGAGAGCTTGAACGGAAGCTTGAAGAGGATCATCCAGGAGGAGGGCTGGAGGGGACTCTACAAGGGTAAGTATTCTTACAGGTCATATTGGGTGACTGTTCACTGACAACATGTTTCAATAAGGTATTGGACCGAAGGTCACTCAGAGCGCCATCACTGCTGCATTCCTCTTTGCATTCAAGGATGTACTGTATGATATGATGGTCTCTGCCCGTAGAAAGGGCCGCATCTCCAAATAAACAGGAATGGTTCCTAGCTCGTCATACCTATATGGCAACTCATATGGTCACGATCTTTGATGGGAACCTGATATTTGGACCTTCAATGCTGTCCATTATACTTGTCTAATTGTGGGCATACTCACTTGACCCTGGAAGTCTCCCGCCCACTTGTACCTCCAGGGCTACCTCCATGTACATGGCCACATGTAAGCAGAGTCATCTCAAAGGTTGGCAAAGGTGATCCCTACGAGTCTCGCAAATATGTAGTTTAATTATGTACTGAAACTCATTTATATCTCTGTATTCACCCTTGCCTAAAGCCCGCTGATCTGTCAGCTCATGCACGTAGCTAGCTAACATGTAGACACTGTGATTCTTGTTGAACTTGCTAGAAAGATTCAAGGTCACTGCATGTGTAGGCTTTTTGGCCCAATGGGATTCTCAACAATTCTTACGTCTTTTGCGACCTAGATACTATATGATCACGTTAATTACTTGGACTTACTTTAGATTCTTCTAACTCGATTTCTATTCCCATCTTGATATTTATTTGATATTTTGATGCTATTTCCAGGGCTCTAGGAGGCCCTAGGCCCAAGGGCTACCAGCATTGATGTCGTAATCCAGACCTGACCGCCTTGCCTTGGTCCACCGCCTACCGCCACTCTTACCCGCGTTATCGCGTTCTCGACGCGATTCTGCTCCATTTCTCCACTCTTTCTCCTATATCTTTTGCAAGCTGCAGATGAGGTATGCTCGATTTCAGCATCGATACCTCTACCCGCCGTCCGGTATTTCTTTGAGCTCCCCAAGGTTGCTTATGCCAGGTATGCTTCCTTTCAATCTCCTTGGGTGTCTATTCGTATTCAAGATAGCATTCAAGCTTGCCTTACCCCATCACATCCCCTCCATTGACTCTTCTAACGTTTGCCTTGATAGATTTGCGCCTCTCAACACGCATAACTCATCCTCTCCACTCAAAACTATTGCTCTGAACGGCTCTATCGCATCTGACCCGAGATACCTAGAGCTCGGGCTGCACCGGCACACTTTGTTTCCCCTCGGGGCTATCTAAGGGCAGAGGCCTGCTTCTGCCGAGTAGAGAGCAGAATTAGACCGAGAAAGCTCGACGGGCTAGGGAGAAACAACACAAATCTCGAGCTCAACTTAAACAAACTGAAAGCGGGTCCGATGTTATGTCTTTCTCACTCTGCGATCGTCCGATAACAGAGCTGAGCGAGTCAAGGTTCACATTAACCGAGTGAAATTTGTGAGTGCTCTTTCTTTCTCGTCCTCTTTTTTTCCCCCTTCTTTCTCAATGTTTATTACTAACTAAAATCACCCTAAGCTCAGAGCATTAGTAGTGCTGCTCAGATGTCTCACGGCTTCTCGAGCATCAATGGCCAGGGTATAGTTCCTGCATTCCCTGGTCTATCAGCTCAAAGTATTCCTGAAAACCCGGATGTTCAAAGAGAAACCCTACGCTTGCTACTACAATATTCTGCGGGTTCTTCTCTGCCAAAGAAAAAAACAAGTCTTGCCATTTCTGGCCATACCAAGCTTGACGAGGTCGAAAATAAGACGAGAGATGCTCAGTCATGGCAGGCTCCACGAACTGAGGCCCTGCGCCCTGAGGTGTCTCTACAAATATCATCTCCACCCCCTCCTTCCCCATGTGGCAGTCAGATCACTCGACTTTCTACCCCTTCCCAATCTGTCGCTCCTTTCTCTGGCAATCAAGTTCGGGTTTCCCCTCGCGCTACTCCTCGTCCTCCCTCCCGCGCTTCTTCTCGACTCAAATCCCCTCAATCTGTTGTTTCTGTTTCTTCTCCCCACGGTATCTCTCCCAGTCATCATGATCGTCAACGGACTCTCAGGGAGAGTGTGGCAATATCAAATGCGAGTAGGAATGATGAATTAGCCGCTCCTTTGGCAAAACAAACTTTCTCTGTACCATCAAACATCATGTCCTCTGGCCCTGTATCTTCTCGATCCTCGCGGTCAATCTCGCCGACCGTTGAACAGAATTTTATTCGTCGCTCTAATCGAAATAGAGCACAGCCGGTCAACTATTATGCCGATCCTTGGGGCAGAGCGCGCCTTGAATCTGAGGAACTTGACACGAATGTTGAAGCCACTCAGGACTCAAACGCATTTCTGCCACAGGAGCCATGTCGTGTCCAGCCTCGTCGTGCCAATGTCCATAAACTCCTCTATAGCCGTGAGCTTGGAGTCGGAAATAATCGGCCCATTGTCAGCGACGTGATTTCAGATCTGAGACCATGGAAGTCATGGCAAGGCGCTTCAGGCGACCTACTCGTTCTGGCCTGGTCGCCTGATGGCACCCAGTTTGCAGCAGGCGCCGCAGCTAAATCCGACGAGCACAATATGATGTACAACAAACCCAACAATCTCCTATTAGGCGATCTTCAGAGCAATGTCCTGAAGGAAATACCGGACCATTGGATTGAGAGGCCGGCATCGTCAACTGTTGATGATCCCCGACTTTTCATGACTGTCAATAATATGCAGTGGATTGACAACCGACTTTACACTGCTAGTTTCGACAAGACCGTCAAAATTTGGGAGGTTGATTCCATTAGCAATATATCGTGTACTCATACTTTGCAGCATGAGTCCCGAGTGGCAACGATGTCTGTCTCGGGGTTTGATCCCAGTATATTGGCCACGGGAACAGAATCAATATTGGTCTGGGATACCCGAAATCCAGAGGATCCGACATCGACCCTCCTTCCTCTTGACCGCGATGCACGATATAAACCCAATATTGGGTTTTCATCGACGGCCTTAGCCTGGGGACATGCTCCGTCAACGAAGGAATTTCTAGCCGGAGGTCTTGCTGAGCTAGGGGAGGATCCAATATACAAAGGTCACCTAGGCATGTGGCGAGCCCGTGAATCTGCCTTCGAGACAATCAGGATTTTATCCAATTCCCAAAATATTTTTGACATCAAGTGGCACTCTTCATTGCCCATTTTTGCAACGGCTAGTCCCGAAGACCCCCACCAGGCACGAATCAAAGGCATCGGTACCGCCATAAAATCTCTTGTGAGAGTTTTCAGCCTTAATTACGATCTTCAAAAGCGTGTGCCGTCGGTCATGGAATTCTCCTGTCCAGCTTTGGATGTCAATGAAGTCAGTTTCTGTCCACTAGATTCCAATGGCACGTACATCACGGCTAGTTGCACAGATGGGAAAACCTATGTTTGGGACAACCGGAAGGGTGATAAAATTCTTCATGAACTTCGACATGGAAAGTCCCTGAACCCACTCGATGACCAACGAACCCGGGAGGCGGCAGATGTGGGAGTCAGGGTAGCTCTCTGGGGTTCGTCCCTAGACCAATTCTACACCGGTGCCTCTGATGGTGTTCTCAAGCGATGGGATATTCGCCGATCGCCGGAAGATGTCCTTGTTGAGAATGTCGCTACTTTCGACGAGGAGATAATGTGCGCTGCCTTCACCGAGGATCATTCCCATCTCCTCATTGGGGGTTCTGGAGGAGGTGTGCATGTGCTGTCATCAGGAACTTGTTCGGATCCTAACAGAACAAGTTTTGACTTTGAACACGCTCCAGAACCCGAAAATCCTGCTGAAAGTGGTGTCGCCGCAGGAACTGAACTCATCTCATCCGGTCAAGTTGTCGAACATGAAGTATTCGGCATGGGTCAAGGTCCATCCTATACAGGGCCATTTGCTTCATGGGCTCGGGACGTCGGAAAAGACGTTTCCGCGGATCGAATCGGGGAACTTCCTTTGCTGAAAGAGTATCAAGACCAGCAACTAGACGGACCACCCCCAGAAGATCGCCATGACCTCGATGTCAATCAACGACGAGAATTAGCAAGACAAATTCAAATTGCAGCGATACGAAATCGAGGTTCAAGGAAGAGAAAACGCCCGATGCCTGATGATGCTTCTAGTGTCCCCCTCCGAGGCCCCACGCCTTTGTCTTCCTTTGACTATTACCGCTTAGAGAAGGAGAGGCGGAGAAGGAAAAAAGCTGAGAGGAGAGAAGTGAAAAAAGAAGCGAAGCGAGAAGATAACGGACAAGATAAAGTGAGAACGAAGACTCGGAAGAAGAAAGTTCGAAAGACTCCGCGTCCAATAATCAGCAACACCGAAAACGTTGATCTCACGCTATTGGATTCGGATACAGAAACGGAGCTGAGAAGTCGATATAGGTTCGATCTCGATGAGCTTCTCGAGGTTCTCGAGGAAGATAACTGGTTCCCAGCCAGTGGAGAAATCAATCCTAACTTCCAAGATGAGATCGTCTGACTTCCTGGATTGGTACTTTTGATGTGTTATGCATACTATGGAAGCGTGGAGTTTTGGTTTATCATCACGTCAAGCGAAGGTGCTGGTATGATGTACTCATGCATATTATTGAATTTGGCTGGTAGTCAATCGAAAGCTTGCATATTCCTATGTATTACCTCGATGTAGTGATGAATGTACGGAGTGTGAAGGTACATTGGATGTAGTAGTTTAAGGTGACATCAGGGCACCGCCACCGAGGCGCAGTCATCATGTTGCCTGAGGCCATCGATCTCCGCTTATTCCTGCCGAGAGTATATATCCATGGAAAGACCGAGAACCTGTTGGCTTCTGTCTAAAATTTAACTTCTTGTTTATTCCTAACGTCTGAGTTATTCTCATCTCTAACTCTTTTGAGTCACTTCAAAATTCCAAGTCTTTCAACATCTTCAGCCTCGTCATACCTATCAGATCATGTCGTTCGCCCCGCCTTCGGGGCCTCCCCCGCCTTCGGTACCCGAGGGGTGGAAAGCTCAGTATGACGACCGGTATCATACTTGGTATGTACATAGGTATTCACATTTTGGTAAGAAGTACTGACAATCACCTAGGTTCTATGTGGACCTTGCTACTGGTAAATCGCAATGGGACCGCCCTGAAGCTCTCCCGCCGCGCGAGGATGGCAACCTTCAGAATTCTCCCCCGCCATCATACAACAATACTGGGCCCGGTGACCCGGCAGTGATAGCCAGCACCGGGGACAAAAAGCAGCACATGGGGTCAAACAACCCCTACAATCCGACAATTACCGGTTCAAGTAACCTCAGCCCTAACACAATAGACGAAGACGCACGACTTGCCGCCAAGCTCCAAGCCGAGGAAGACGCCCGAGCCAGCACACGAGCAAGCGGGGCCGGAACCGGGGATCGCGGCACCTCATCAGACTACTACAATGATGCTTTGCAGCCGCCGTCCTCCGGCCTAAGCGGGTCTGCAGCTAGCCCGGCGTCGCATAGCCCAATACCCGAGCAGGAACAGAAGCGCAGCAAGGGTGGCTTTTTCAGCAAGCTAATGGGAAAGAGCTCAAACTCAAGCAGCAAACCGCCTCGGCCGCAGCAACAATACGCCTCATATGCTCAGCAGGGTCCCCCGCCTGGTCCCTACTACAGTGGTGGTGGCTATCCTGCGCAGCCTGGCCCCCAGCCTGGATACGGATACCCTGGACCAGGGTATGGAGGAGGATATGGCGGATATCCGCAGCAAGGTGGATATTACCAACAGCGACCGCCTCGCAGGCAAGGTGGGGGCATGGGCACTGCGGGTGCCGCTGCTCTGGGTGTTGGCGGTGGTTTGCTTGGCGGTATGCTGATTGCTGATGCTATCAATGATTCTGACCATGACGATTGCGGTGGTGATGACTTTGGAGACGACTTTTAGGCTCGGTTACGTTTCGATTTCTTCTATTGTTCTGCTTTTTCTTTTGTTTTTTACTACCATGTACTTCGGCATAGGAGAAATGTCGCTGTACAGCTGACTTCTAGGCGCTTTGAAACCGGCGGGAATCTGGGAGGATTGCTTTCGTTTCGCCCAAATAACTCTAGTCATTTGGCGACATTGAGCTCCAATTATATGATCCACGAGGAGGTTCGGATGAGCTTGTATCATACAGCTAGTCACAGGACAACGATAAGATTTGATACCACAATTCGGTGTTACAATCCGTAATAATTTCCTATGCACGCCTCCGGGCAGGGCCACTGGTCTCTCGACCAGTTGAACCAGCCTGAGATGCGACATTGGGTGTGGAGTTAGGAGCACCAGTACCTGCCATCCAACCAGCCAGATCAAATCCGCCACCGGCCATAGCATTAGTAGTGGCGCCAGTAATGGGCGAGGAGCGGGAATGCTGCTCAAACTCCGCGCGCATCTCGGGATCCACTAGAAAATCAAGTTAGACGCCAAACACCCAACTGAGGCAAAAAGGGATCAAGCCATAAGACATACTGTTCTCCATGAGCTTGGGCATGGCAAACATGAGACCCAGCGCGACAACTGCAAGTAAGACCATTGGGCTCTTGACAAGACTCAAGGGAGAGACTGCAATTCAGTCTCAGATTAGCGCAATTCCAAGGATTTACAGCAGATCGAGTCTGCGGATAGAAAAAGAAAGAGGTCAAGCTCACATTTAGCACGCTGCTCATAGAAGACCTTCCGTCCGACAACCTTGGCCTCAACTACCACATCAATCTTGTTCTTTCCTGTAACATCCACGATGTATTTCTCTGCGCCACGGTTGTCCCATGGGTTCCCGCGGAAAGTCTCCCAAATCCCAAGGATGGATCCATCAGCCGCAACATCAACACGGTAGGGGGCGAAGATGTAGTCGCCAGTAGAGCGAATATCGAGCAAGTAGGACTCAGGCTGGGCATCTAACCCGTAGGATGGGATATCATGGAACACAAATGTCGCTGAGCGGGTCAGCGATGCAGTCAGGGTGTGGTCTTTCCCAGCGGAGGGGAGAGTAGTGAGAGTGGCATGGCTAGTTGCGGGAAGGACGTGGGGATTTGGGAGGGGACTAGAGGCCGGGATGGTGATAGTTAAAGAACTGGCAGATACCAGGCTACTAGCACCTAGCAGGAGAAGTGATGAAAGCGAAAAATGCATGGCGGCGATATGTTTCTGGAAGACCTCTGGACAGAGGTGGTGAATTACCCAATCGGCAAGCAACGATATAATCACGTGATGCATATCCTCGAGCTCTTTGGATGAACAAGATGCGTATCTTGAAACACCAAGACTATCTTCTGCTCTCCAATTAGACCACTATGCCTGTCTATCTTATTTCCAGGTAAGATATTCCTCCTAAATCACCTCCATTTCAAACGAATCCTCTCATATGACAGACCTAATGTTTAATAGGATCGCAGATCCCCTCTTCGCCTTGGGCATGGGTGTCTCTGCTGCCCTCACTCGCATCCGCCGTGACCAGCGTGATAAGTACCCCGAGCGCGCATCAGAAATCACATACGGAAGCATTGTACAAACGAGTGGCCAGCGGTTGCAGCGGTGGTGGAACGGAGACTTCCAGAGTGTTTAAAAGCGCAACTTGCAATATACCATCTGGAGGTTTGGGGAGTTGGTTTTTGTTGGGCTTGGGGATTCTCATGAAGTGAATCCATATTTATTATTGGGCTCTCGTCTTTTACTTATACATATCACTACGAACCTATCCTTCAGTTGCATGTACCGTTCAACCTCTTCTCAAAGCACTCACTCGCGAGGCGCAGATTGCCAGTCCTGTAGACGTGTTTTTAATTATGAGTTTAGAAATGTGCTAGCAATGAAGGAGGATAACTTCATGTCAATGACATACTAGACCCAAAGGTAGTGCAAGCTATTATGGGTACGTGCTACTGCAATGTACAAGCTAAAGAGGGAAGAAGCATTGAATTAAGAAAGAATTTTGATTCACTGGGGATCATCCCAGGAGAGATAGCCTTGTATCTATGCAATCATGCGCAAAAAGAAACCTTAATACCCCATAAGTTCGTAAAACAAGACGTGAAGGGAAACGAGAGCCAAACGGCAAGAAAAGAATCAATCAGAGCGACATTTAGTCAAGCTCCTCGGGCTTCTCCTCAACCTCATCGGCGGAGCGGGCACCACCCTCAGGGGCAGCGCCAGGGGGAGCCTGGCCACCGTAGGCAGCGGAAATGATGGGGTTGGCAACAGCCTCGAGCTCCTTCTGCTGGGACTCGTACTCGTCCTTCTCAGCAGTCTGGTTGTTGTCGAGCCAGCTGATGACCTCGGAGATCTTGTCCTCGACCTTCTTCTTGTCATCCTCGGAGATCTGGAGCTTGCCCTCAGAAAGGGTGTTCTTGAGGGAGTAGGCGTAGGACTCAAGGCCGTTCTTGGCCTGAATACGGGAGGACTCAGCCTCATCCTCCTCCTTGTACTTCTCGGCCTCAGCAAGCATGCGCTCGATCTCCTCCTTCGAGAGACGGCCCTTGTCGTTGGTGATGGTAATCTTGTTGGACTTGCCGGTACCCTTCTCGAGAGCGGAGACGTTCATGATACCGTTGGCATCAACATCGAAAGTAACCTCAACCTGGGGAACACCGCGGGGGGCGGGGGGAATGCCAGTAAGCTCGAACTTTCCGAGGAGGTTGTTGTCCTTGGTGCGAGCACGCTCACCCTCGAAGACCTGGATCAGAACACCGGGCTGGTTGTCGGAGTAGGTGGAGAAGGTCTCAGACTTCTTGGTAGGGATAGTGGTGTTGCGCTTGATCAGAGGAGTCATGACACCACCGGCAGTCTCAATACCGAGGGAGAGAGGGGCAACATCGAGAAGCAGGATCTCGTTGGTAGACTTAGAAGACTGGTCACCGGACAGGATAGCAGCCTGGACGGCAGCACCGTAGGCAACGGCCTCATCGGGGTTGATGGACTTGTTGGCGTCCTTGTTGAAGAAGTCGGAGACGAGCTTCTGGATCTTAGGGATACGGGTGGAACCACCAACGAGGACAATCTCGTGAACGGAAGACTTATCAATCTTGGCATCACGCAGAACACGCTCAACGGGCTCCATGGTGCCGCGGAAGAGGTCCTGGCAAAGCTCCTCGAAACGGGCACGGGTAATGGAGGTGTAGAAGTCAATACCCTCGAACAGAGAATCAATCTCGATGGAGGTCTGGGCAGCAGAGGACAGGGTGCGCTTAGCACGCTCGCAAGCAGTGCGGAGACGACGGAGGGCACGAGCGTTGGTGGTCAAGTCCTTCTTGTGCTTACGCTTGAACTCGTTGACGAAGTGGTTGACCAGACGGTTGTCGAAGTCCTCACCACCCAAGTGAGTGTCACCAGCAGTGGACTTAACTTCAAAGATACCCTCCTCGATGGTCAGGAGGGAGACATCGAAAGTACCACCACCCAGATCGAAGATCAGGACGTTGCGCTCACCCTCAACCTTCTTGTCGAGACCGTAAGCAATGGCGGCAGCGGTAGGCTCGTTGATGATACGAAGGACGTTAAGGCCGGCAATGAGACCGGCATCCTTGGTGGCCTGACGCTGAGAGTCGTTGAAGTAGGCAGGAACAGTGATGACGGCGTTGTTGACGGTGCCACCGAGGTAGGCCTCAGCGGTCTCACGCATCTTGACGAGGATCATAGCGGAAATCTCCTCAGGGGTGAACTGCTTGGCCTCACCCTTGAACTCGATCTCGATAATGGGCTTGGTGGCCTTATCGACGATCTTGAAAGGCCAGTGCTTCATATCAGCCTGAACCTCAGCATCCTGGAAACGGCGACCAATGAGACGCTTGGCATCGAAGACAGTGTTGTGGGGGTTCATGGCGACTTGGTTCTTGGCGGCATCACCGATGAGACGCTCGCTGTCGGTGAAACCGACGAACGAGGGGGTGGTACGGTTACCCTGGTCGTTGGCGATGATCTCAATGCGGTCATCACGGAAGACACCCACGCAGGAGTAGGTGGTTCCAAGATCGATACCGACAGCGGGAGCCATGGTGAATGTGTGTAATCGTTAAAAAGGTGGGGTGGAAAAAGAAATTCGTGGGTCAAAAAGTGGAAGAAGTAGTGTACAGAGATGTCAAGAGGATTTGGGGTATTTGTAAGTGAGAAAAAAGAAGAAGAAGAAGGGTTGCGGGCAGCGAAAACCTGCTATATAGTGAGCGGTGTATTGTTCAGAAGCTTCTAGAGAGGACTTCCACGGGGATCCATGAGATTCCATAGGCTTCGATGCCCCAGCAACACATCACTACGCCCTTCACCAAGCGCCTAGTAGGTTCCAGATGAGCCCAGTGGAGTTTTCATGCTTACAGATTACTTCATTGTCTCTGGTTTTGTTCAGAACAGTGTCAATTCCTCATTCTTTGCTCTGATTCAGCTTTTCTTTGTCCTGGTCGTTTTTTTATGGCGGGGCTGTATGACGTAATAGTGGGATGACTCCTCAGCACAAAGGGACTGTCACATGATGGTATCAATACCGAATAATACCGTCGCCCCAAGAGACCACCTGTCTGTAGGCTGTATGCAGGGCCTGTCTTGTCCGTATTGGTATGGTCACCCAGATCCCCCAAATTTGGGCAAACTTTGGGCGTCATGATGAATTCATGTCTCTAGAGAATTCTATATCTTAAGAGGATTTCAATTTGAGGTGATAATCCACTCATGGTACATGCTCTACATTGTACGTGTTTCAATTTACTCCGTACTGGATTCTGTTGTATATCGTACAATGTACAATGCCCAGGTGTAGGCTCGCCTATAGCTATAAGCATTCCAACATTCTAAGATAGAATATGGACTACCCTCGCCATCACACATGTAGATATTAGCCATGATGTATTAAATCTTGAGTCTACTAGAAGTGTGTGCATACGCTATGGTTCTATATCTGTACTCCGTATATATATGGCCTACAAGTATAGGGTCAAAAAGGTCGGCATACTTATGCCTTGCCTTACTCGGTCCCTAGTAGCCCGAGTCGTTCAGTTTATCATTCTACTTAGAAAAAAGTTGTATCTAAGGAGTTTAACAGTCTCGCAGTGTGAAAAAGTTATTAAAAAAACTCCGAAGTGGAGTGAAGCGTTCATTGCCAGCCTCAGCACCGCCTCAACTTCATCCTAGGATAGCGCAAAGACATGACCCGGTGATGGTGTGTTGTATTCGTGATAGCCTTTGTTATTCTGATTATTTTCCTCGCACTTAATCCTCTCCCCATTCTAACCTTCAATATTATTTATGGCACTCGTTAGTGCTTCTACTCTTTCATTTTCCATCCCCAACCACGAGCTTAAAACTGGCTCTTTCAACGAAGTCCTCTATATCTATATTCCCTGATCATATAATCCCTATGTACCTATACAAGGTGTACGTGGTTGTCCCCTTATTATCCCCTATTCCTATTGATTATTCTCATGGGTTCAAATTGATTGGCCAACTGTCAAGTATATTTTCTGAAAAGGTTTCTAGCAATTTTCCGCGATAGCAATGCTATCGAAGATATGTCTCCATAAATAGGGACTTTCCATGTTGTGAGATATCTTATGACATGGGGGATAGCCCGGGATAGAGAATCGAGATGAAGGGACCTCGGGAGGTGGGAGGTGGGCAATCCTAACACGATTGTGAAGGTATTGCCACTGGTACTCCGTACTCCGGAGTAATAGTATACTTGGGAATTCCCAACATAATTAAACCAAATAACATTCATTGTCTGTGCAATCAGCTTAAAACACCTTTCTGCCCAAACCGACGTACATGTAGGAACAGATATACGTGTATATATGATACACGGCGCCTTTCTACGCAGTACACCTGGATACTATAAAGGCTTGACAGAACCAGGTAGTTTATCATATCCATATATCAGGATATAATCGTCCATTTCCTTATACTCAGGGCTGATTTCGTCACGGGGATTGATCACCCGCGACAGCCAATCAGACGGCTGGATCTCGCCCTTGCTGGTTGTTTTGGTTCGAGGGGAAGACCTTGCTTGCAGACCGTCTTTTAAACTCCCCTCATCCCCCTTTCATCAACCATTCCTCCTACCAATCTATTCAACTACAATCGTCAACATGAGTGACCAGACAACTTTTTCCAATAACGAGGCGGCTTTTGCCAAGGGAAAGGGCAAGGCCGATCCCGCGCAAGAGATGAGCATGGACGAGGACAGTGAGTCGGAGAGCGAGATCGAGATTGTGAGTCTGCAATTCCCACAGTAATCTACTTATTTTATACTAACTTTGATGCGCTTGTCCAGGCCGACAATGGTGTGTAACCCCGCTATTCCCAAGCAACCCATGTTTGAACAACCCTGTGCGCTATGACCACTATCAATTGCAACCATACTGATCATCTTTCACTCCCAGATGAGGAGGACGATGGACAAGACAACCTCAACGATCCCATCGACCAAAGCAACATTATCCAAGGTGGCCGCCGCACACGCGGCAAGGTCATTGACTACTCAAAGATCTCCACCGATGAGATGGAAGATGACGATGACGATGATGAGGAATATCAGAGCCGCGAGGACATAAATACCAACGACGATGACCAGATGCGCGACTAAGTGGCCTCGATGAATATAAAAATTCCGGTGGCATTGCTTCAATGATAGATGCTACGGACTAGGCGAGGGTCTTCGACGCTTATCTCATAACATGTTACGCAATGCGGTGATGACTATGAATCAATGAATATTTCTTTGGGCGTCTCTATCCAAACTATTATCAATATATTCCCTCACTTCACCGACTGCATGTGTATTGATTGGCCGACGTTGGAGCTATGATGGTATAATTTGTAGATCCAATAAATCCATAGACAATCTAAATTGAAGTCAGGCACTGTTGCATACCGAGCTGACTCTAGCGCAGTCAAAGAATCAAGTTGACCGTATTGGATCTAAAACAGATTCCCACGCGAGCCATACAACTCTCCCGCATGTTGATTTCCAGTACATACCTGAACTATCACGTGTTCAGAGAACGATAACGCTATGGCCACCTTGATGTTTTTATTATCTCCAACACTAGGACTCATACATGGATGGGCTGAAATTTGAATCTTGAACAATGCCACTAAAACACCGCTGAACAGATCATTCACCTGAGACTTACGCTTTTCCTTTCGCTTCACCACGAATCCTAGCTAAATCTCACAGCTGTCATGGCTTCACGGTATAGTTCCATCTTCTATCATTCTCTTGTCGATTTATTCTCGGCCGTCTTTCAGCCAGCTCATCAGTGGAGATATAAACAGATTTCCACGCCAGCGTGATCCCCGTGCCTCATCCTCTCTCTTCGATCAATATGGTGGCGACTCCCGCCAAGCCAGCAGGTCGCCTGCTCAACAACCTGGTGGATACGGGTATGGTGGCTACTCCAGCCCAGGATCCAATGGTTTAGCGAGCAACGGTGCAGCTGGCGCAAGATATCAAACAGCCTCGCCCGATAAGAAGTGCGTTAAGTGGCCCGTCAGCTCGTTGATATTGTCCTAGGGTCTTCCGATGATGTGTCTAGGCTGCTGACACGAGCTTTGCTACAGGGGACACTACTCCGACGCAGTTCTCTCGTCTCTTGAGTCACAAAATGACGCTGAAGTTGAGGGCATCAGTGCCAAGGTCAAAATGTTGAAGGATGTAAGAAGCCCCAGTCTCGTACTTCCAGCGCCAGCAACAGCCGCAGCCCGTTTCTTTAGACAAACTGTTGACATGAGGGTATTTAGATCACACTAGCCATTGGCGATGAAATTCGAGACACTGCACACATAACCGATCTCAACGACTCTTTTGACAATACCCGGGTCCGACTCCGTGGGAATATGACCCGTATGCTTCGCATGGCTGAAAGCACCGGCATCGGCTGGCGAGTCTGGCTCGGTTTCTTCTTCGTTGTCTTCCTCTTGTTCTTCTACGTCTGGATATTCTGATCGTGTACCTCCGCTCTCACTTTACGATATGCACTCGCGCACTACCATGTCGAATCCGCCCGTCCTGCTCGACTGTACGTCTTTACACCGTTTAATCCATCGTCTTATTTCAAGCGAAACTCAGCGACTTCATCTTTTACTTGATTTTATATGAACCGAGTCATGCACAAAATTTATCTTATCATATTCAGTACGCGAACTTTGGGTTGGGCGCTATGAGGCGTTCTGGTTATGAATCCTTCGAGCTATGTATATGAGGAACCCCGAAATTTGCTCAATGTTGTCGATGAACGATTTGTTTTCATAGGGGGACGGGGCATTATATTTGAGTGACGTGAACTCCAGGAAGGGCTCTAGGGCTCGTTTCTTTGGTTACCCAATATACTGAGATTCCAATCCCATGTGTTTACTCGTTAAGTTATCTCGGAAAACCTGATCAATTCATTATAACTTGACGAGGATTTCGCTGTCGAATGCATTATACACACAGCCTACATAGGTAGTGTGTAATATTATATATACACAGGTATCACCCCGAGGAAAGAGGCCTTTGGCCATAGGCCTACATAGGTACTTATAGGGATCGTGGAAGTTCAGTCAACAATACATTATGTATGTATGTTTCTGGGCAGTGTGATGAGCTCGCCCATCGAGCATCTCATAAGTACATATAGGTATCGTAAATCTCCATCAAAACCCCAAGATGATCCTCTAGCTTTCTGTTCTGATACAAAATGCCATAAAAAAGGGCATTTGGAATGGGCTCTCTAGTTCAAGCTATCCCGGGGACCACCAATGTGCCGAGGAAATCTTCGTGCAAACCCGCTTTGTCGACTGCCATGACTGGTTATGGAGGCGCGCAGGTCATCATCGCTGTATAACATGCTACTGGAATCGAACGCATCGCCACCACCACTCCAGCGATTGATGAAACGGCGCTGGGCTTCAGTCTCGGGCTCGCGGCGCAGAGTCGGAGGGGGAGGCAACCCACCGCGACTGTTCGGTGTGCTGGTACGAAAGTTTTCTGCGAACCTGGCCTGCATGACACTGGGTTCGTCTTCCTCCTCATCATCGCTCAAATCCTCCTCGCTGTCCGTGTGCTGCCATTCCCCTTCTTCCTCCGGCCCATGTTCCGCAGCATCGGGAATGTCGTCATCCAAGTCACGCGTCATGCCTTCAATCATGCTTTCACCATCCGCAGAAGGTATGTCCGCATCCAGATCAGGCTGATTGTCAAAATCTTCGTCTTCGTCTTCGTCTTCGTCTTCTTCGTCATCATCATACAGCCCAGAGCCCTCGTAGTCATCATCAGGGAACCCTTCAGGGATGTCATCATCCAAGTCGCGCTCCATGTATCCCTCGTCATCGCCGATATCATCCTCCTCAAGTCCCTCCTCGCCTTCTTCAACGAGCCCCGACGCTTCATCCTCGGCGTTCGGGATATCGTCATCCAGGTCGCGCTCCATGCCTTCGTCCTCTTCTTCACCTTCCCCTCTTTGCATACCCAAATCATCATCCATGATACCTTCTCCCTCAACAGCTTCCATCTCAGCAGCAGCCGCCTGCAATGCCTCTTCACGCTCCGCTTCCTCCTCTTTCATGCCGAGCATTGTCTTCGAACACCCCGCCGGTCTGATCCATGAGTATCCAAACGATGCGATGTTTAATTTGCGAGCACGGAGTAAGCGTTCTTCTGCAGCTAAGGAGGCGACTGTGGTAGCAGAGGATCGAGATGGCATAAACGCGCGATGGCTACTGGGCACGCCGTTGGCATTGCGGCGAGCAAGATGGGTTGCAGCGGCATTGTCGCCGCCTTGTTGATCGGGAAATGAGCCATATGATTGGGTAGATCCAAACCAAAGTTCATGAGACTATCGAGTTGTTAATATCCCAGGTAGTTCAATAGCGGACCTCAGTCAGGGCCTCAGCACTTACGTCACGCGGCGTGATGGACAAAAGTGTTTGCATCATTACGACGACCGTTGTCTTGATTTCAAAATTGCAGATCCTCTGATGACTTGGCCGAGATGTTGGATATTGGGTCTTTGCGGGGATGTCCTGCGACTTGGAGATACAACGCCTTGCAGCTAATGGCGGCGTGCTTGGCACTTTAATGACCGAGGCAGGAGGTGAAGTGGAAATCCAAGGCTCTTAAAGATCCAACGCACTTTGGAATTTAGATAATCAAACAGGCGCAGCAATTGGAAATGCCCAGGTATCTATTCGCGTATGATCCGATCATTGCGGTCAACGGGCAGGCGCGCAGAGAAAAAGCGGCGGGAGCTTCGCAGCCAATCAGAAGCTCGGCTGCTCATAGATGCGGGGAGCCCATCAAGCCTATCCGATGCTTCTATTTACTCCAGTCCACATTTGTACTTAGTTTATAGGTATTCTGGATATTATATATACGAAAATGACATGTATTGGTTGGCTCGGGCTTCAAATACTTTAATACTGCCTCCTGTGTGCGAATTGAAATTGCCAACCTTATCCCTAGCGCGGTCGTTAGTAACATTCAACCCCCAGGGTTATTACTCATATGTATGCAGTCTATGACATTCAATGCTCAGTTTGTGCTTCTCGAGAAGCTGTTATTTCGAAACAGATGTTGACTTCGTGACAAATCTACCAAGAGTCGTTATTGGAAACCTCCAGGGCTTTCATGATCCAGCATGTAATACATCAGCTCTAGTCTTACCTGTTGGTTTACCTACCTATTGTACGTTGAGTAATGTGTACATTTTTGGAGGCTCTGGTTTTTCATAGGGTAATATGATGTGTATGGATGCTGGACAAGCCTAGGACAATGCACCGAGGAAAGATGTAGAAAAGGGGCTACCTAGTCAGTCAGATATGCCCGGTATTGGAACGGACATACATCCTACCTCAGCTGATTGCCCACCGACCAGGACCCAGAGATCTAATGCCTCCGAGATTGAGCAGGGCTTCACCGGTAGTTTGACCGCGACGCTGAGTTTCCGAACCCACCCGAGGTTGAAAGTACCTCGCTCCGCTAGCCGGTGAACCTACCTAGGTAAAGTCGACAACGTGGGAAGAGAATACACGTATGTGATATATCTTGTGAGATACTCGGAAAAAGTCGGGTGGATACCATTAGAGCTTTCCCCAAACTCATGACGTTTGATGTCTACACTGCCAGGACAGCTCGGGCGAGAACGCCACTAGCGCCTTGGCTACACCATGCCTATTTAAGGACTAGCCTTATCGTAATACCAATACCAGCGCAGTCTTATCCCAGTGAGTTCATATAAGAACCTTTGTATCAGCATGAAACATTTTACTAGTGCAGACAGTGGGGTAGTGGAGACTCTCGCCCGAGCTGTCCTGGCAGTGTAGGTACCTATGTTGTAGGTACTCCGTTTATTATTTTCATTTTGCCTTTGATTGGCCTAGGAAAGGCGGGGATCATGTGATATCCACCTTGGTCGTAAATCTGAAAGACAATACGGTAACCATCTGTATATTATACATATGGGGCAACCTTGGAACTTTAGGTGTGATGTATGTGAAGTGTCCACCAGTAACTACGGAGTACAGAGTACTCCGTAGGGAGGTTGAACGATGCATGGAAAAACGCTGCCTATTCCATCCGATCGTGATATACATCTCCGTACTCCGTACCTGAAGAAGAAGAAGAAGAAGAAGAAGAAGGAAAAAATAATGATGGCACGAGGTGATGCCACTTGTGTACAACTAGACAGCTCGGCAAAAAAAAAAAAAGGGCAAGGAATCCTTCAAGTGCAGAAAACCAAGACATTGTTATGTATTCTCATTAGCATCATCTGGCTTATCTACTGATTCTTCACCTGTCGTGGCGGATCACTTTCGCCAAAGTTTTAATCCCGTCCTCGCCGTATCCGTGTGGACATGGTACATTAAACGGAGTAAGCCCTGGAGGTCGTCAGAATAGGTACTAGGAAGATAAAGGACGGGAGAGACATGCAAGTCTATGACTACCCAAGTATTCAGATGACTTTGTTATTCAATTGAGAGTGGAGGTGATTTCCCAATGTTCTGGTTCTGGGTGTGGTGATACTTCAACAGGACTGCGATAAGCAGCTTGGATGACTGTAGAGAATGAGGGGGAAATGGTTGGGGCCAATCCGTAAACAGTTCAAGAATGCTAGGCTAGCCCGAAATCGGGGATCATGTCTATTGACACCTACAGAGCCAATGGAGAACTGATAGAGGGAGAGGAAGATCCCGGAAGGACAGGGGGACTTGGCCGTTGTCGGATGTCACCATTTAAGACGAGCACGGAATATCGGGATGCTTTTTCTTTGTGCTTTTCTTTTCCTTTTTCTTTTCCGTTCTTTCCCCCGTTCTTCCTGTACACGTTTCATAGGCAATTAATACGCACATGCTCGTTTTCTTTCTTTTTCAATAAAAATACATGTACCGAGATTCTCCGTACTCGTATCTACAGTCAGTAGACATAAGTATTTGCACCCCCGCCCCACACCTGTAGTATTACATAATATCCTGCCGGCATAAAAACAATCGCATATATCATGATTGTCTCTAATAACCAGATATCAATGCAGGGAATGGTGCCAGGAGGTAAAAAGATGATAATCTGGGCTATCGATCTCGAAAAAGCAGTTTTATCTACGGTTTGAGGGCGCCCTACTCATAAACACTATCCGTGTCAAGAAGGCGGTGTAGGCGGTGAATGGTGTGGGGCCGATGGGGGTGCAAATACTTATGTCCAGTCACTGTACTTGGAGGTACATGTATCCGTCTACATGTACGGAGTACCCTTGCTGAAATTATTAGGGCTTTTATTCCACCCAGGTACTTTTGGTGTCTCCAGTACTTTGTTCTCCCACTTTCGCCCCCCCTACCCCTGCAAGGTATGTACCAGACTGGATGCAAACCAGCGGCTTGAAACCAAATGGAATAAGCACTGCATCTTGCCCCACTAGGAAGTGCGCCCACTTACTTGGTTCTCCAACATGTGAGGATTGCCTTTCGTTCTGTCCGAGGATAAGTATAGACTGTCCAGTGGGTACTTCGTAGGGCCTATGAGGCCCATCGTATGAGGAAACCAAAAAAAGAGGGCAAAAGGAAGTGAAATACATCTAGATCCAAGAAATCCATACAAGACGTATACACGTATCTATACATGCCACATCGCCTACCTATACATAGACCCATAGGTACCTCGGTACATGGTATAACATACCCAAGATCTTGACGTAGTCGCAAAGCTAACCTTGGCGCAGAAGGTCGTAAAGGGTGGCCTCTGATTGGCCGGGGGATGCTTATCTTGCAATGATTTGCACTCCGTAATCATAATGATTATCATTACTCCGGGGGAACTTTCATCTCATGTCCATCTGTTGACTGTTTCCGGCGTGACCTTTCGAATTGTTTGAATTGTTCGAATGTTCACAGTGTGTCCAAAGCTCTAGGTGGTGTTGGTGGTATTTCCTTTTTTTTCCCTTTCCCCTATTTCTTTATTTTAATAGAGATCCTGTCTCGTTTCTTTTTACCTCCAATCAAAGGAAAACTCCCCTTGCTGTGAAATCCTCTTGGCTGCTTGCACTCTCAAAGCAATTTGCCACGGTAGACTCCCCACCATTGTATTTTTCCCCTTTTGGGTACATCGGGGCTTGCAATTCCCCGGACCTGCTGTCCCGCCGTAATCACCCATCTTCCTTCCTCCCCTCCTTTTATTCTGTTTCTTATTTCTCTTTTCACCTTTGCCTCTCCATTTTTCAACTCTGTTGCAGAAGTCGGGTGACCATTGACACCTTTACTCTTACCCTGCTCACGCTGCGACCTGTGACGACATCACTGCCAACTCCCAAATCAGTGGGGACTTCCTGAAGACAATCAACCCTCGGTTAACATTCCATTCTCTGTCGGCTCCCGGCGGAAGAATGGGTCTTAACTTGGAGGAGCTCTATGGCAAAGATCTAAGTGAAGAACAGACCCAGGAGTATTCTCAATACCAACCCAAACAGGGATATGGCTGGGCCAATACTCTGCCGGAGCGGCAAGGTCTGTATGACCCTGAATATGAGAAGGATGCCTGCGGTGTAGGCTTTGCAGCGTGAGTGAGCTCTCATAATTGGATTAACTGGAGATTGAGGGACCCGTCAAATCCTAACTGATGAATTAGTCACATCAAGGGTAAACCAAGCCATAAGATTGTGAGCGATGGTGAGTGCCAGATGGCGGCTTTGTGGTTCAATATCAGAAGAGATAGAGGAAGCTGACTGGCAAATGGAATAGCTCGCAATCTTCTATGCAATATGACCCACCGAGGAGCCGTTGGCTCCGACGCACGGGACGGTGACGGTGCTGGGGTGATGACCAGCATTCCCCACAAGTTCTTCATTAAGAACTTCGCCCGCGAGGTGGGCGTGGATCTCCCCCCATTGGGTCAATATGCGGTCGGCAACCTGTTCTTTAAGCCCGATGAGGAGGCACTCAAGCAGTCTATAACGAGCTTTGAGGAATTGGCCACAACCCTGGGCCTGCGCGTTCTTGGATGGCGCGAGGTACCACGAGATTCGACCATTCTCGGCCCCGCTGCTCTGTCCCGGGAACCTATTATTATGCAGCCATTTGTGGTGTTGAAATCGGCATACGGCGAAGGCAACGAGCCGGAGATCACTGACACTGACAAATTCGACGCGAGAACCTTCGAGCTTCAGTTGTATGTTCTACGAAAGCGATCAACCCATGTCATTGGCCTCGGAAATTGGTTCTATCTATGCTCTCTCAGTAACCGAAATATCGTGTATAAGGGTCAACTCTCCCCCGTTCAGGTGTACACCTACTATCACGATTTGGTGAACGTGGACTATGAGGGCCACTTTGCCCTGGTGCATTCTCGGTTCTCTACCAACACATTTCCGTCCTGGGACCGTGCCCAACCCTTACGGTGGGCTGCACACAACGGTGAAATTAATACCCTGCGAGGAAACAAAAACTGGATGCGCGCACGAGAGGGTGTTCTGCGGTCCGAGGTCTTTGGCGATGAGCTTGATCAGCTTTATCCCATTGTTGAGGATGGTGGTTCTGACTCGGCTGCCTTTGATAACGTACTTGAACTACTGATGATCAACGGAGTCCTATCTCTTCCCGAGGCAGTAATGATTATGATTCCGGAGGCCTGGCAGGATAACCCAGCAATGGATCCAGCCAAGTCCGCTTTTTATGAGTGGGCTGCCTGTCAGATGGAACCATGGGATGGACCGGCGCTATTCACTTTCTCCGATGGACGCTACTGCGGTGCTAATCTTGATCGGAACGGTCTGCGTCCTTGTCGTTTCTATGTCATGGACGATGACCGTATAGTCTGTGCCTCCGAGGTCGGTGCTATCGATATCGACCCCGAGAGAGTTATTCAAAAGGGTCGCCTACAGCCTGGGAAGATGCTGTTGGTTGACACCGTGGCTGGGCGCATCATTGACGATGCTGAGCTCAAGCAGACAGTTGCTCGCCGCCAAGACTTCGCCGGTTGGCTGGACAAGGAGCTTCTCAAGCTTCCTGCTATTAACAAGACGCTACTTGACTCAAATGTTGACCTATCTTTTGCTTTGGACAACAATACAATTCAAAATGATCCTCGCCTCCGAGTGTTCGGGTACTCTTTTGAACAGGTTAGCTTGATTCTTGGTCCTATGGCCGCTGACTCCAAGGAGGCTTTGGGCTCGATGGGCAATGATGCCCCTCTTGCTTGTATCGCTCAACAGCCCCGTCTGCTGTATGAGTACTTTCGCCAGCTCTTTGCCCAGGTCACCAATCCTCCTATTGATCCTATTAGAGAGGCTGTTGTCATGTCCCTCGAATGTTACGTCGGCCCCCAGGGAAACCTGCTGGAAATGGATCCTACACAATGTCATCGCCTGCTTTTGCCTTCCCCAATCTTGAGTATTCCCGAGTTCAATGCTTTGAAGAATGTCAACCTGGCCCACAAGGATTGGACCGTGCGTATTATCGATATCACATTCGAAAAGCGGAAAGGCACTGCTGGCTACATTGAAGCACTTGATTGCATCTGTGATGATGCCACTGAAGCCATTCAGAATGGCGACAAGGTCATCATTCTCTCCGATCGTGCTACATCAGCCGACCGTGTTCCAGTCTCTGCCTTGTTGGCTACCGGTCTAGTGCATCACCATCTCGTCCGTAACAAGTGGAGATCGCTTGCCGCCTTGGCAGTCGAGACCGCTGAGGCTCGTGAGGTTCACCACCACTGTGTTTTGCTGGGATATGGTGCCGATGCCATCAATCCATACCTGGCCCTGGAATGTATCCTCAAGATGAATCGGGAAAAGTTGATCCGCAAAGATATCCCCGATGAGAAGGTTATCCAGAACTACAAGTCGTCTTGTGATGGTGGTATCCTCAAGGTCATGAGTAAAATGGGTATCTCTACTCTCCAGTCCTACAAGGGGGCACAGATTTTTGAAGCCCTTGGTATTGATGACAGTGTTATCGACCGCTGCTTCTCTGGCACCGCTAGTCGTATCCGTGGTATCACGTTTGATTTGATTGCCCAGGATGCTTTCGCCTTCCATGAGCGCGGTTATCCTTCGCGTCCAATTGTCGAAGTTCCTGGTCTACCCGAATCCGGCGAATATCACTGGCGTGATGGAGGCGAAGCTCATATCAACGATCCAACTAGCATTGCCAATGTGCAAGATGCCGTTCGCACCAAGAATGACAAGTCTTACGAGGCCTATGCTAAGTCTGCCCACGAGCAGATCAAAAACTGCACACTACGAGGGATGCTTGACTTCGATTTCGACCAGCGGACTCCTATCCCTATTGACCAGGTCGAGCCTTGGACCGAAATTGTTCGTCGTTTTGTGACCGGTGCCATGTCCTATGGATCTATCTCCATGGAATCCCATTCTACACTGGCCATTGCCATGAACCGCCTGGGCGGCAAGTCCAACACTGGTGAGGGTGGTGAAGATGCCGAGCGCAGCAAGAGAATGGAGAACGGAGACACAATGCGGTCATCCATCAAGCAGATTGCCTCTGGTCGCTTCGGTGTTACATCAAACTATCTGGCTGACGCTGATGAGCTGCAGATCAAGATGGCTCAGGGTGCCAAGCCAGGAGAGGGTGGTGAATTACCCGGCCACAAGGTCGTCGGCCCCATTGCTCGCACTCGGTTCTCGACGCCGGGTGTCGGTCTTATCTCTCCACCCCCGCACCACGACATTTACTCCATTGAAGACCTGAAACAACTCATCTATGATCTCAAATGCTCTAATCCCCGAGCTCGTGTCTCTGTTAAGCTCGTGTCCGAGGTTGGCGTTGGAATCGTTGCATCTGGTGTGGCTAAAGCCAAGGCTGATCATATCTTAATCTCTGGTCATGACGGTGGTACCGGTGCCTCACGCTGGACTGGTATCAAATATGCTGGTCTTCCTTGGGAACTGGGACTTGCAGAGACCCATCAAACTCTTGTCTTGAATGATCTTCGTGGTCGTGTTGTGGTTCAGACTGATGGTCAAATTCGCACTGGTCGTGATCTCGCCATTGCATGTCTGCTTGGAGCCGAAGAATATGGCTTTGCCACAACCCCTTTGATCGCCTTGGGATGTATAATGATGAGGGTGAGTACATGCAACATCTGTTTTATCTCTGATCTTTTGTCCTTCTTTCTTCTTCTTTATCTTTATCTCATTATTCTGTCTAACAAGACATCTACTAATCATGAATTGCACCTAGAAATGTCATCTGAACACTTGCCCTGTTGGTATCGCCACTCAAGACCCTGAACTGAGAAAGAAATTCAAGGGTACCCCGGAGCATGTCATCAACTTCTTCTACTATGTCGCCAACGAGATGCGTGCTATCATGGCCAAACTGGGCGTTCGCTCTGTGAACGAGATGGTCGGTCGTGCTGAACTGCTCAAGGTCCGGGATGATATTCGCAATGTCAAGCAGGAGCGCATTGACCTGTCGCTCATCTTGACTCCTGCTCACTCACTCCGCCCTGGAGTTGCTACCTACAATGTTCGCAAGCAGGACCATCGCCTTCATACCCGCTTGGACAACAAGTTGATTGCTGAATCGGAGCTCGCTCTTGAGAAGGGCCTTCCCTGTCGAATTGAGTGTGACATCGTAAACACCGACCGCGCTCTGGGTGCAACCCTCTCATACCAAATCAGCAGACGTTATGGGGAAGCTGGTCTTCCGCAGGACACCATTCACGCAAACATCAAGGGCTCTGCGGGTCAATCTTTTGGTGCCTACCTCGCCCCTGGTGTGACTCTTGAACTTGAAGGCGACGCCAACGACTATGTCGGCAAAGGTCTGTCTGGTGGCCGTCTCATTGTCTACCCCCGCGGGGAGCCGCTTTCAAGGCCGAAGAGAACGTCATCGTTGGCAACACCTGTCTCTACGGCGCCACCCGCGGAACTTGCTACTTCCGTGGTATGGCTGCAGAGCGCTTTGCCGTCCGTAACTCTGGCGCCACTGTCGTTGTTGAGGGTGTTGGAGACCACGGATGTGAATATATGACTGGCGGTCGTGTACTCAACCTTGGACCTACTGGCCGCAACTTCGCTGCTGGTATGTCTGGTGGCATTGCATATGTTCTGGATAAGAACCAAGACTTCCATTCCAAGGTCAACTTGGAGATGGTTGAAGTCTCAAGTATTGAGGATCCCTCGGAGATTGCCTTTGTTCGTGGCTTGGTTGAAGATCACCACCATTATACAGGCTCCGAGTTGGCTGCTCGTATCTTGCTTGACTTTACTCGTGCTCTTCCCCACTTTGTCAAGGTTCTACCAACTGACTACAAGCGTGTCATGGAGGAAGAAGCTGCTAAGGCTGAGACCGCGAAGAAGGCTGAGTTCACTCTTCCTCAGCTTCCTAGCGCCCCTGTTAAAGCCGAGAAGGTCAAAGCCGACGACTCCAAGAAGACTGATCTGCTGGACATCGAAGACAGTATTAGTGATTCCAAGACCGAGAAGAAGCGGTCCGCGTTGATTTTGGACAAAACCAGAGGTTTCATGAAATACAGTCGCCGTAGTGAGAAGTATCGCAACGCAACAACCCGTACCCGTGACTGGGGCGAGATATCTAACCGCCTCAGCGAGGACGAGCTCAAATACCAGTCTGCTCGTTGCATGGACTGTGGCGTGCCTTTTTGCCAATCCGACACTGGTTGCCCCATCTCCAACATCATTCCTAAATGGAATGAGTTGGTCTTCCAAAACCAGTGGCAGGACGCTTTGAACCGTCTCCTCATGACCAATAACTTCCCCGAATTCACTGGTCGTGTCTGTCCTGCACCTTGCGAGGGATCCTGTGTGTTAGGCATCAACGAAGACCCCGTTGGTATCAAGTCCATCGAGTGCGCGATCATTGACCGTGGATTTGAGATGGGCTGGATGGTTCCCCGTCCGCCCAAGACCCGGTCCGGCAAGAGTATTGCTATCATTGGATCCGGGCCTGCTGGCCTGGCTGCTGCTGATCAGCTTAACCGTGCTGGCCACAGCGTTACTGTTTACGAGCGTGCCGACCGAATGGGCGGTCTCCTCATGTACGGTATTCCCAACATGAAGCTTGACAAAAAGGTTGTGCAGCGCCGTATCGACCTAATGGCCGCCGAAGGTATAAAATTTATTGCTGGCACTTCTGTTGGCCCCGATTGCGAGGTATCGCTGCAGTCTCTCCGTACCACTAACGATGCTGTCATCATTGCCACCGGTGCAACTGTCGCGCGTGACCTCAAGGTCGCCGGTCGTGAATTGGATGGCGTGCACTTCGCCATGCAGTTCTTGCACAAGAACACGAAGTCCCTCCTTGACTCTGGTTTGTCAGATGGTGAGTATATTTCTGCTAAAGACAAGCACGTTGTCGTCATTGGTGGTGGTGATACTGGCAATGATTGTATCGGTACCTCAGTCCGCCACGGTGCCAAGTCAGTAACCAACTTTGAGTTATTGCCCCAGCCTCCTCCAGAACGGGCTCGTGATAACCCCTGGCCCCAGTGGCCCCGTATCTACCGTGTCGACTATGGTCACACTGAAGTGAAGACGCACATGGGCAAGGACCCACGTGAGTACTGTGTTATGTCGACCGAGTTTGTCGACGATGGCAACAATCACGTCAAGGGTATCAACACCGTCCGTGTTGAGTGGACCAAAAGCGCTACTGGTGGTTGGGATATGAAGACCGTTGAGGGTAGCGAGCAGTTCTTCCCTGCTGACCTTGTCCTTCTCTCCATGGGATTTTTGGGCCCTGAAGATCGTCTCCTTGGAGATGAAATTGACCGTGACCCTCGCAAGAACGTTAAGACTCCTCCTGGTCACTATTCGACCAACCTTCCCGGTGTTTATGCGGCAGGTGATTGCCGCCGTGGACAGTCCTTGATTGTCTGGTAAGTTTGTATCCGGGTTTGACCACCACTTGAGAATGTGTTTACTGATCTCGTCCCAGGGGTATCAACGAAGGTCGCCAATGTGCTCGCGAGGTGGATGCTTTCCTCATCGGAACCAGCTCTCAGCTCCCAGTCACCGGCGGTATTGTCCGTCGTCCTGCCATCGACTCCGTTCCTCAGCCCACTGAGGTTGCTGTTTAATCTGGCGACTATGCGGGAAACTTTTACGACTGTGACGGCCATTACCACGATCAAAATTACATAATGATGCGAAAAGGATCATCAAATGGAACATGTCAGTGACCTCTGATTTAGACCGGATACCATGAGCTTGCAGGGTTCTTTGCGTGACTTAAAAGATCCCAGTACTGCGCTCCGTTGATTTTCCTTGGATTCTTTCATTCTCGATTTTCGTCTTATGCTTTTTTGCCTCAGCGGCTTCTTCTGACTTCCCCCCCTCTGGTTTGTGAGGTGTTTAGAGCGTCTGCCATTCGCTGATCTCTCTTTTTCCACTGTATATAGCCTTTCTGCAAATCTGACATTTTTCCATTCATATTTGAAGCCTGTCAATTAATTCGAGTCCTTCGCCGTTTTCTTTGAAGAAATCTACCTTTGTATGAAGCGACAAGTAAACCGTGAAGAATGAACAATATCTTTATGCGACTATTTTTTGGTTGCTGGTCCTTGTTAGACCTACATGACACGACCGGCTTTGATAGCTGAACTACATAACCATTCTCATATCCCTTGCTTTTCGGACTAATTCCATTCACCCAATTCATCTAATCGAAGCCATCTAGTTCAATCGATCTAATCAATACAAATTGCCAATTTCCCAGACCCACGGATTTTATTTATCGCAAGCATGGCAAATGAGTCGAACCAGACAACTGATGCCGCGAGCGAAGTCAATCCTAATGGCTTCATCACTGATCGCGCAATCGATGGCGAGCGACGTTCTATTCGCCGCTTCAACAACGGTCGAATATCGGCGCGCGGTACAAGTGTTGAACATAGCCTCCGAACAAGAGCCTGCACAATGGACAGCACAATGGACAGCACGAGGGACAGCACGAGGGACAGCACGAGAAACAACACGAGAAACAACACAAGGAGCAACACAAGGAGCAACACAAGGCCTCCGAGTCGTGTCAAATTTCCCATCTCCCTCCGCCAGAATCCGGTTGATCATTCGACTTCAGCTCTTGAGCACAAGCGAGATCCTACTGTGGCTGAGATATCTGCCGCCATGGCTAAGCTCTCTGCTGATCACCCCGCTTGCTCAAAGGTAAAGAAGTCCCGCGAGAAATTGGATTTCGATACCATCTCAAAGACTGAGACAACGGCATTGAAAAACGGCAGCTACTCGTGTGGAGCTAGTGTGACCAGCTCCAATCGTAGCACGAGAACAAACAATTCGGTTAATGCTAGGATAGCGGAGATTGAAGGCAAACTAAGGAGGCATAATACTTCCAAGCTCGAATCCGTGGAGGAGACAGGTTAGGCAGTATAGGAGAAAAAGGAATTGGGCAACTAGAGAATTGCCTAATATCCCTTTCGTGTGATCGGAATACTGTACGCTAACTTGTCGAATTGCTTACGACTATATGTAGTATGTCTCAGAGGCTCATCTCGCAGTCTAGCTTTGATATACGCACCAGCTATCCATCTCTTCCCAGCTTGTTCTGTACTCAATACCATAAAAATAACATTGATTCTAGTCGGGTTGGGTCCCGACTCTTCATTGTTATTGCAATCCGTGTCTCTTCTGTCTGCCGGTTTTTGACATTGTTAAAGAACTACCTAGGTACAAAATATCCCGACCTTCATTCTCGGACTTTGAAGCAATTCTTGAGCAACTCTAGGTGCATGATATCCTTTGTTTCGAATTGGTAGTATAATCAATAACTTGTATACCTACCTGCGAATTGGCGCAGCGAAATTCAACAAATCTTATGAACTGGATCTAACCCACTAGGACACAGACGTAGAAATTTAGCAAGGCAGAGCAAGACGACAACACATCACTAATAAATTCTAGAGTGCTATATGCGAGAATGCGAGGTCCTCCACATGATCATCGAGCAAACGACCAGACACAGGGGAAACGGAGAGAATCCTATTATACATGAGTAAATGAAACAAGAAGGTGGATATCTACATATCAAAACATAAAGAGAACAGAGACCCAAGCAACATCATGAGACCTGTTGTTGCTTCGCTGCTTCCTCTTCGGCCTTTATTTCCCGCCATAGTGCAGCAAAGTCCCCTTTGAATGACTCTTTGGCTGGTTCCAGTCGAACATCCCAGACATCCTCGCTGCTGGGGCCTGTTTTGTACTTGATCGACTTCTTCCGGTTGTGATCTCGGATCGCCTTTTTGCGCAGATCTTCGGGCCAAGTGCGTGTCTTCATGCACAGCCATAGATTATCCCAATGATCGCTGCATGATCGAAGTTCTCCATATCGATAAACATTCACAAATTGCCCCCCGAAAGACTGGCAGAAGAAGGCGTAGTCGAAGGCATTGCGGCAGGACATGGTATCTTGGTAAAGAGATTCGGGAGAGATGGGTGATGAAGGTGTTTCGGATTCCGGCAATACATTGCCATCGGGGGTGAGCCCTGTTCTTTTTGAAAGAGACGCATTTTCAGCTCTGAGATCGGCCAGGATTTGGTTGAATTCCAAGTCGGCTTGTTCATCGGGGGTCAAGGTCTTCGGTGGTGCATTCTGCTGTGCCGGCTCCGCAGGAATTGTGGACGGAACATCTCCAGGGATGTCCTTAGTACTTGAGCCCCACAGCCAGCCCATTGTGTTTTGTGCGAGGGGTTGATTGGTTAATTTGTTGGAACATGTTGACATCGCGAGGTTCTCTTTTTCGCGGCAATGAAGATGTCATGTGACTCGGATAACCGGTGATCACCATGGCACGACGTCATTAATCTGGCTCGATTGATTTAACCAAGTTGATCTCCCTTCCGCTTTTTGAGTTCTCTCTTTGTGAAGTGCCCCTGTAACCAGTATGAGACCGGCACCCTCATCAAAAGCCCCGTTGGCCGTTTGGTCTCCGACACGCTCTCATATCAGCGCCAATGCGTACCGCGGGTGGAGACCTCCACTTTGGGGACGCTCGGCAATACGATGCACATCTTCTATCAAGCTGGGACATATTCCAGTAGGGAGAAATGAAGGGATTATCTACATCAACAGTGAGCGTGGGGCTATTGCAAGCTATGCTCATCCACTAACTAGCTCTAGATATTTTCCCGCACCGCTTACAATGGCTGCTGCGGGGACCGCTCAGCCATATTCAACCTCTCGAGGGGATTTTGGCACGAGTCAACAAACCCGAAATAGCGGCCGCTGATCCAACTCGCATAGTTCACCGAGTCTTGCCCAAAGAATTGGATCTGGAGATCAAAGATGTCGTCACAAGGTATAAAGAGGGTGGTGCATTTGTGAAATATGCCCTCAAGTCAGACATGAGCGAGGAACGTATTCGTGATGCAATTAAGGACCAATTGAAAAACAATCCTATCAAGCCCTGGTTCAATCCGATCCTGAAAGTTGATGCGGACCTTGTTCGCGGAACACCGTGGATCGAAGACCTCTATCGAATTCCAAGCCAGACCTTAAAGGTGGAATTCCTGTCAACATCTCCAGATACCTCAGCGGCCGAATTGACTCAAGAGTCCCTGTACTCGCTGTTCAGACCTTACGGCAAAATTATGGATATTCAAACACAGCCCTCGGATTCGAAGATTGAACCACGATATGCAGTTCTGCGGTTCGAGCGCCCTCGGTACGCTGTCATGGCAAGAAACTGTATGCACGGATTTATTGTTTCAGAAGAAGCAGGAGGTGGCAAGTCCGGTACAAGGTTCAAGATCAATTATGAACGCAGGATTAAGTTGTTTATGATCAAAGATTGGATTCTGAACCATCCAAGACTGGTCATTCCCGCTATAGCAGCATTGATAGCTACGATCACAGTTATCGTTTTCGATCCAATACGCACGTTTTTCATCACATTAAAAATCAAATCGTCTTTCCAGAGTGAAGAGAATCCGGTGCTGCACTGGGTTCGCAAACAGGCCAGCAAAGCGAACATGTTCTCTTTTGGGAAGCGAAAGTCAGATCCGCGAGGTCTGGCGGCTATCTGGGAAGACCGACAAAGCGACATTGCGCAACTGCGAGCCTGGTTGACGGAGACTGCGGAAACTTTCATTGTTGTTTATGGACCTCGAGGCTCAGGAAAACGCGAGTTAGTTTTGGAGCAATCGCTAAAAGAGCACAAATATAAGGTCATAATTGACTGCAAGCAAATCCAAGATGCTCGGGGCGACACGGCCAAGATCTCGCGAGCAGCCGCTCAGGTTGGCTACAGACCGATATTCTCTTGGATGAACAGCATCAGCAGCTTTATCGATCTTGCTGCACAAGGCATTATTGGCACCAAAGCTGGATTTTCCGAGACGCTAGATGCACAGCTGAGCAAGATATGGCAGAATGCCGGTGTCGCCATGAAGCGAGTCGCTTTGGAAGGTAGGCGAAAGGAAGACAAAGATTTCAATATGTCTGAAGATGAATATTTGGAGGCACATCCCGAAAACAGACCTGTTGTGGTAATTGAAAATTTTGTCTACGATGTGGACGACAGTGTCGTACTTGACAAGCTTACTGAGTGGGCAGCCGGTCTTACCTCAGCAAACATTGCCCATGTTGTCTTCTTGACGACCGATTCCTCTTTTGCGAAACCGTTGAGTAAGGCCATGCCCAATCAAGTCTTCCGCACCATTGCCCTGGGTGATTGCTCGCTCGAGGTTGGTCGCCGTTTCGTATTGAGCCATCTGGATGTAGAGACAGGAGGTTCTGAAAATGAACAGAGCGCAAGGTACAAAGAAACGCTTCGTGGCTTGGATGGCTGTATCAAGGTGCTGGGTGGTCGGGTCACTGACTTGGAGTTCATGGCTCATCGGATCGAAGCTGGTGAAACTCCGGAAGGCAAGTTGTATCTTTGAATCTACCTCGAGAATAGTATTAACATGTGTATAGCTGCCGTGAATCGTATCGTTGAGCAGTCGGCGTCGGAAATTCTGAAGATATTCATTATCGGGACAGATTCAACGGCCCCTCAATGGACCCGTGAACAGGCATGGCATCTAATCAAGTCCATAGCCCACTCCAAGGAGGGCACCCTATTGTACAACAAAGTCCTCCTTGGAGATTTGTTCAAAGACAACGGGGAGGCAACTCTTCGGGCTCTGGAGCAAGCAGAGCTCATTTCTGTCGGGACTGACAAAGGATTCCCACGATACATCAAGCCAGGCAAACCTGTGTATCGTGCTGCTTTCCAACGTCTGGTTGAGAACAAGACCTTGCAAGGCCGCCTTGATCTGTTGGTCCTCTCACAACTTATCGGCAACGAAAATACAAGTATCACAAAATATGAGGAAGAGCTGCAGGTCCTCGGCTCGCTGCCCAAATATCCATGGGAGCTCACGTCACGGATTGAATGGCTTCTGCGCAAAATTCACGGATCGCAATCGAAGATCCTCAAGTATGAGGGCGAGAGTGCCACCCTTTCCAAGGCCTTGCAGAAAGAGAACTGAGGATTTAGCTACTGTATATCAATCTTATTCCAATTTCACTCCACTATTGAAATTGTTCCAGCCATCCCAGGGGCAACATAGATAATAGACGTGAACCAAGTCGTTACATCAACTGCCACCCCGACCCTCCATATTGATATTCGCATGAGAATTTCCCACCAGTTATCTCGACATCATAATATACATTGATTGGCAAAATGTTGAAAACCAACCATTTCCAATCGAGAAGACTTCTACTTCGACACCGATCCGTTGGACCCGACCAGACTCGGGCTTAGTAAGCAAGATGGATCCTGCTCAAGTGGATGGATCTCCTCGGTTCACCGTGTCCCTTCGCCCTCCTGGCTCAATGCATATTGGACCGGGAATACCTGGGGTTTTTTTCACATTGGGATCTTCTTTTCTGTCCTTCTATATACCCCAAGCCCCTGTACGGGTGCTGACGCTGTAATACCCGTGTCATCTTGCATGGCATTTGTTTGGGGCAATTCATACTGATTCGCACCCACCATGGAGAGGTACGACACCTCGTCAGGTCTTATACAGACTGCCCGTGGTCTGTTTTTCAATATAAGTTGGTCAAACTTTTTTGCCCTTGTGGTTTTTGTATGTATCATCACCCGGGTTATCTCAGGGTTTCAAAGTCGACCCCGTGAGCAAGACCCTACCAAATCACAAACAGTACGGCTGGCACCTTACTGGTTTCCCTGGATCGGACATGGCCCTGCATTCCTATGGAATCATGTCACTTTCTTCACAAGAACGCGGTTTGTCGTCTGTTACTCTACTATTCTACCCCGTGGCTAATAAGCCTATAGAGAATCTATGAATGAGCCTGTCTTTGGCATCTACCTCCGTGGTGTGAAATACAATGCTGTGGTTTCCCCATCTATGATGAAAACTGTTTTTTCTACCAAAGCTGTTCCCCCGAACAATCAGATGCTTGATCAGGCTCTACAGAACGTCTTTGGTGATCGCAGTCTCATCCACAATCTTGGGTTGGAGCGTAACCAAGGGATCAGCGACAACGCTGCTACCATTCTTAGCGACGAATCCTTCATTGCCGAAGCGTCATCTGCTATCATCCGCTTGGTGCGACGCGACATGCCAAATCTGGTAAGCTTTTGTCGCAGCCTTGTTGACCAAAACTCTTGGGAGCGCGGAATCAGTGGAGTGGAGGTGCCCGATGAAAACGACCAAACGGTTTGCGAGGCCAATTTGTTTGCCCTCACGAGCAACTTTATTGGCCACATCATGACTACCTTCCTGATGGGTGAAGCGTTTGTGGATAACTTTCCCAATCTTTCAGAGGATCTTGGAAGACTTGACCAGTGCTTCGTGACACTATTTGCCGGTATTGCTCGCTGGGCCCCGCATCCCGCGGCTTCAGCAGGGCATGCGGCGAGTGGTCGACTTCGTCATATCATGTCAGTCTTTCACCGAGCGTTCACTGCTTGGGATGATGGGATTGACCCGGGAATTGAATTTCGTGATCTCGACGATGTCTCTGAACTAGTCAAGGATCGGATGCGTACTTTCCGCAAATTAGGGCTATCTCACGGTGCCAGTGCTGCCGGGCACTTGTCTCTATATTACGAGTTGATTGAGTACACAACCAAGATCACTTTTTGGACAGTCACCCATCTCTTTGCCGATCCTACCCTTCTCGGTCAAGTTCGCAAGGAGATAGCCTCGTATGCGGTGGCTTCTAGACTAAGTCGCCAGGAGACTGGTTTCCCCTTCGATGAACCTGCTCGGCTTTCTCTTGATATCGATCGAGTTCTCACGTCTTGCCCGCTGTTCAAATCGTGTTATTATGAGACTGTGCGCCTGCATTCAGCAGGAATCTCAGTCAGGAAGCTGGCATCCAATGTGACACTTTCCGAGTCGGCAGAAGAAGCCGCCTACGGTCTGACGAATCCCCGTACATACAAGATTGCAAAGGGGGAAAATATTATCTTGCCCCATGGCGCCTATCACCATGATGCTCGATACTTCTCAAACCCGGAGCAGTATGATCCCCTACGATTCCTTGTGACCGATCCTGCAACGGGAGCACAACGAGCTGATCCAAGTATCCTTGCTCCGTTTGCGGACGGGCTGTATGGATCGACGAACAATGGCTTCGCCGAGAGAGCTATCTTAACATTCACTGCTGGCATTGTAGCCTTGTGGGAGATTGAGCCGACAAATGGTCAATTCCTTTCAGTTCCAGGGCACAAGACCAGCTGGGGGGCTTTCCGACCGACAAAGGAGTTGAGGGTGAAGATGAAGCAGAGGGTATAATTACATTGGAGCATTGCATATTTCTATAGAAAGCCTTGTTTTTTATCTCATACAGATGCGAATTTAGCAGAATAATACGATTGACATATATGTCCATTTGTGCTGGCCTCGGCTCGGATTAATATCCAGCCTACATCGATGACACCATCCACTAAGAGGAGGGGGATATATAAGTCGCGCGGAGGGGTTTGTACTTATTGTATGTCGAATTGCTCTCCGAATTGTAGAAAATGAACGAACAGCATCCCAACAGGGATTACGACCTCTCAACACCAATCACTTCCACATCTGGACTTCGTCAAGGTCTCACATCATATGGAGATGCTCATTTCTCACTCTTTCTCCGCAAAGTATTTATAAAGGCACTTGGATATTCAGAAGATGCTCTTTCACGTCCAATTGTGGGGATTATCAACACCTTCTCGGGGTTCAATCCCTGCCATGCCAATGTGCCCCAGCTCATTGAAGCCGCCAAGCGCGGTGTGCAACTCAATGGAGGGCTGGCAATAGAATTTCCTACCATTAGTGTTGCTGAGTCTTTCTCGCATCCGACTAGCATGTTCTTGCGGAATCTCATGAGCATGGACACCGAGGAGATGATTCGGGCCCAGCCATTAGATGCATGTATAATGATTGGGGGTGAGTTTCAACACTTCTGCGCTGACGCTGGGGTTTTTTAGTTGACAGATTCTAGGATGTGATAAAACTGTCCCGGCTCAGTTGATGGGTGGCATCTCTGCCAATAAGCCAATCCTGCCACTGATCACTGGCCCGATGCTGCCAGGGAGCCACCGTGGACAGCGTATTGGGGCCTGTACTGACTGTCGGAACAATTGGGCGGCCTTTCGAGCGGGAGAGATTGAAGTTGAGGAGATCTCAGCGATTAACGAAGAGCTTGCCCCGACAGTATGTACAGTGCTCTCTTCAACCACGGAATTATCTAAGTCGCTAATGGCAATCGCAGATAGGGACATGTGGCGTCATGGGAACTGCTAGTACAATGGCATGTATCGCTGCTGCGCTGGGAATGATGCCACTTCGGGGCGCATCTGCGCCGGCAATATCATCCGCGAGATTGCGAATTGCCGAGGAGACTGGCGCAAACGCAGTTGCAATTGCCAAGTCTCAGAGAAAGCCACAAGAGATACTGACTAAGGAGTCATTCTGGAATGCCATCACAGTGCTCCAGGCCATCGGCGGATCCACAAATGCCATTGTACACTTGCTAGCTATTGCAAATAGACACCCAGAATTGCAGGGCGTCATCACTTTGGATACCATCGAGGAGATTGGGCGCAAGACTCCCCTATTGATTGACTTGAAGCCGAGTGGGGATAACTATATGAATGATTTTCACAATGCAGGAGGCATGATGGCACTGCTGCAGGTGCTTCGACCCCTGCTCCATTTATCTGCAGTCACGATCACTGGGCAAACGCTGGGTGAGGTCCTTGATGCGTCTCATTCCAAGCGACTTTCTTTTGCACAACAAATTATTCGGCCAATGTCGGACCCCTTATTCCCCGCATCATCTCTGGCTGTCCTGCGCGGTAACATTGCCCCAGACGGCGCAGTCCTCAAAGCCTCAGCTTCGAAATATCGAGAACTACTTTCCCACACCGGACCGGCTGTAGTCTTTGAGAATTCAGCCGACCTTGCTCGGCGGATCGATGATCCAGCCCTTGTCGTGACGAAGGATAGTGTGTTGGTCTTGAAAAACATCGGCCCAATTGGTAATCCAGGTATGCCAGAAGCTGGTCTCATACCGATTCCAAAGAAACTAGCAAAGGAAGGAGTCAAGGACATGTTGCGGCTTTCTGATGGTCGAATGTCAGGGACCGCAGGCGGAACCATTATACTTCATATTTCGCCTGAAGCCGCATTGCCGGAGTCCCTATTTGGCGTGGTGGAGACAGGTGACCTGATCACATGCAATATTGAGGCTCGTAAATTGCATTTGGAAGTGTCGGAGCCAGTACTGCAGGCCCGAGTCGATAAACGCAAGCAGATCCTTGCAGGAGAGACGCAGGCAAGAAAGCAGAGGCGAGGATACCGAGGATTATATGAACGGTCGGTCAACCAGGCGCAAGACGGAGCAGACTTTGATTTCTTGACAGCTAGAGGTGCCAGCGCGTAGCTTTCACCTCAGAGGACGTTATGGAGCACTCTGTATTAAGTAGTCTATCGTAACTTTGAAGGGGGGAGGCCCTTACCCTGAGCCCTGAGCCCTATTTTATCACCCAATCGGGTTAAATCGATCAAGGCGCGTACCGCGGACGCGTCTGACCTTGTAGATCCCTGGCTGTTGGCGATCCACCAGATTAAGACTGAACGATGACCGAGGCCTTCCAATTGCGACTTGATTGAATATTGAACTTTCTACAACAATCCTAGTCGCAATGAGTTTTGACCCTCTTCGCCCACGGGGGCGGCCAGCCCGTAAGTCATGCTGATGACCTCGGGAGATCATAAGACTTACATATTGCCAACGCGGCTTCTACATAGACACACCCGGCACCACAATTCTAGCATACACGCCTGATGGACGACGGATCATAACTGGTGGCTCCAACTCGGCAATTCGGATTTACACGGTTGGCGAGGATGGAGAGCCCAAGACCATTGACGAAGGTGTTGACGCGCATTTCGGCATTGGTGCTACGGTATGTCGAAGCAGAGAATTCAATGCTTGCCCTGGGAACTAATAAAGTTTTTAGAATCGGACTTTCATCATGGGTGCTGAGGACGGAACGGTCTGGAAGTACGATATTATGTCGGGCAAGATGCAGAACTTGCTTGTACGATGCGCTTTGCCGGTCAGGGATATCGCAGTGACAAGGGACGGAGAATGGGTTGCGGTAGCCAGCGAGTATGTTTTGCATGAATCATGCTGGACGCAGCGTTGAATGCTAATACAAGTGGATAAGTGAGCTCACAGTCAAGATTGTCAAAGTCGACGACATGACACAAGTCAAGTATCTCCGGGAACAATCCAAGGGCACAAAGCACGTCACGTTCGATCCTAGTGGTCGATACGCAACGGTCTCCGGAACAGACGGAATCTTGTACGTCTACTCCATGCACGAAGAAGAGCCGGAGCTAGTTCGCAAACTCGATGGAGTGATCCGGCGACTGGAGCCAGATGCCGAGGCGACATCAAGAGCAGTATGGCACCCTGATGGAACTGCATTTGCTTCTGCGGAAGTGACCAGAGATATCTCTATCTACTCAGTCTCGGAATGGAAAAAAGAAAAAACATTTGCTGGCGGTCATACCGGCGATATCACAGCCTTGAGCTGGGCGCCGAACGGATCCCTCTTAGCATCTGCAGGAGCAGATGGGTATATTGTGCTCTGGGAAGCAAACACACAAAAGGTTTTGCAGCGTTACGAGTTTGGAAATGTCATGAACCTTTCCTGGCACCCGACCAAGAATTCGCTTTCATTCACCACTTCGGACGGAGAGCTTTTTATTTACGATAACTTCGTGCCAAAGGATCACGAGTCCCTGTTGCAAAAACAACTACAGGCCGCTCCTATATTGCCGGGGCCATTAGGCGAAATCTCTAACAATGTTGGGCGAACCACACTGGCGGATCGGTCTAAGCAGGCCATCCAACGAGCGGCGAGAAGAGGAACGCCAGACTCGCTGGATGATATCCTAGGTGGAGATGAAGATATGATAGATTTTGTGGAGGATGATGATGGGGCTGGTTATGCCGATGAGGAGCTCAATCTCTATGGCAAACGGCCTAACGGACACCTCGATGATATTGCCGGTTCCAATAATAAGCGCATTTACTCTGGCGCTGAAAAGCCCAAGGCCCACCCGCCTCTTCAGCCCGGTAGCACTCCTTGGGCCGGCAGCCGAAGATATCTTTGTATGTTCTCGTCTCTACTTGGTTTAAGTGGAATCACTAACATGCCTAGGCCTGAACTTGACTGGAGCTGTGTGGACAGTCGACCAGGAGACGCATCACACTGTTACGGTGGAGTTCTATGATCGGGAAGCTCATCGGGATTTCCATTTCACAGATCCATACATGTACGACAAAGCTTGTCTGAGTGAGTTTCTTGCTGATTTTATATGTGTGCCCGGACTTCTCGCTGATCAAGCATAGATGACAACGGTGCCCTTTTCGCCAATAACCCTTCAGATGGTAGTCTCACCACTATCTTCTACCGTCCACATGAAACATGGACTGCGCGAGCAGACTGGCGGACCCAATTGCCCGAGGGAGAACAAGTCCGAGGTGAGTCTTCACATAACTACATCGAATCTTATCATTCTACTAATGTCTGTTGTCAGCTCTGGCACTCAGTGATTCATACATTGTCGCTGTGACCTCAAACAATTATGTTCGGGTATACACACTCTTTGGGACTCCATTCAAAGTGTATAGACAGAAGAGCCAAGCCGTGACTTGCGCGGCCTGGCGCGATTACATCATGAGTATAGGGAATGGGCCTGTCGGGCCTGATGGTATCTATACGACATTAAAATATACGGTGGAGAACGTCAAACGCGATGAGGTCTGCCAGAACGAAGATACTGTTGCTCTACCGGAAGGGGCGTCGCTCCAGAGTGTTTTCTTCTCTAATAATGGAGTATGTGCCACCCAACCTCACAGTTCAACAATGGAGCTAATTATGTTCTTAGGATCCTTGCATTTACGACTCGACTGGTGTCCTACTGGTCTTACAACACTGGCGTACACCTGGCCAGGCCAAATGGGTTCCTCTCCTGGACACGAAGCAGATGGAACGTCTTGCGGGAGGGCGAAAGGAAGAGACATATTGGCCGGTGGCTGTTGCGGAAAACAAGTTCCACTGCATCATTCTCAAGGGTGGCGACAAGCATCCTTATTTCCCGCGGCCACTGCTCAGTGAATTCGACTTCCAGGTACCGGTAGCCAGTGCTCCTCCCAATGGTTCCAGTGAATCCGAAGACACGGCAGCAGAGAGTGCCCGCTTTGAGGAATCATTCGTACGTGGAAATGTACTTTTGTCGCTTTTCCGTGATCTTCTATCTGCAACCAATGCGACGGCCAGTCAGCGCTCTGATCTGGCGCGGAGAGAGCTCGATTTGGATAAGAACTTGCTGCAGATGCTGGCCATCGAATGCAGAGAGGGCGAGGAACGTGGAATGAAAGCGCTAGAGCTAGTAGCCTTGATGACAGATCGCAATGGTAAGATGCTTGAGGCGGCTGCTAAGATTGCACAACGATACGGACGCGGTGTTCTAGAGGACAAGATTCGCGAGCTGGCAGACCGACGTGTCATGGGAATGGATGATGATGAATTGGCTTAAGTATATTAGCATTTGGGTCTTTTTAGGGTGAAATCGTATTTCTTATTAGTCTACATAATTCTTTGTGATACGGTGAAGATCCGTACAGAGTGCATACTTAGCTGTTAGCTATGAGTATACTTCGTGGGCAAGTTGATACCACAGCCATGTGATTGGCTCCTGCAACGTCATTTTTCCCCCGAACTCCAATTTCCAACTTGCGGTAGAGCAACCTATCTACATCCTACATGGCTTGACGTTCTGTCATCGGCTCACGGCTCGTGAAACGCAGCATGCCGAAGCGGCTATTTCTACACACGTTTCCCCCTAATCGGCTGAAGAATCCTGTCTCTGCGGGGCGGTGCTTTGGTTCAGGTTCGCGACGGCGACTGGCGCAACCCCGGCATGGCCTTCTCAACGAGCCTTGGCTACCTCTGGCTTCAGTATCTACCTTGCCAACTACCCACTTTTCACCAACTGGGATACGGAGGGAGCTGGCTGGGGAAGGCCCTCGGAGAAACGACCACAAATTGCCAGACGAACGAACATTGAAGCTTGGAAAGAGTGAGTACTCCCTTATACATTCCCCTCAACCTGCTAAACTGATTGATAAAAGCTCTACGGATTTTGTCACCTCTCTTGCCAACCCTTCTGTATAACACCTTACCCACCAACATCCTCTCCCCGAGTGTCAATCTCCACCTATTCCCATCCACACATCCACACCTTCCCACAGTCAAGGGGCGCACACTCTACCGTGCAGCGCTATGGACCGTTCCGGTGGCATGGAGCAGTGTGCCACTCGTCGGTAACGTCAAACTGCAAATCCTGAGCGAGCGTATCGTACGCGCCGGCACGCTACTCGACCCGACTCACCACGGCGATCACCACGACTGCGGCGATGAACGCCTGATAGTACGGTGGAACACCGAGGCACGAACAGACAGCCGTCCTTTCCATAGATCGACCTTGTCGAATACCAATTCCGCAACTTTGCCACAAAACACCCCTTCGTCCAACAACCATCTCTCGGGTTCTACGGAAAGCACCAACAAAGGCTTGAGTGTCCTTCTCGGTGGTGACGAGCCTATTTTCAAGCTATCAAAGGAAGAGCAATTTACCGGTCTCTTTATATTCTCTTTCGACGAGGAAGGTCGCATTCTGACTCATACTATTGAACATGCCGATGAAGCTGACGGCTGGGACCGAACTGCTAAATTTGTGACTTTGACTGACTGGCTCATTGGCAAAGCGCGTGGCTCGTTGGAACCAACTTCCAATCCTGGACTTGCCATAGAAAATTGCCAAAACCATGGGTTTGCTCCTGGCAATGACCGGGGCTCCTGAGTCTATCCTGCAGCCTGCTGGCAGATTACAGCGAATGGCCTACTGCATTGAACCTGTCAAGGTAATGGGAGAAGCAGGGGAAAAATTAGAATCACTCTGCTACCTACATGGGTTTCATTCCTTGATATATTCCCGATCTCCGCCTTTTGCTTGTGTTAATCTTTCTGATCTAGGACGCAACGGCGTCGGATTGCTGTCGAATAATGACATTCCCAGCCTTTCCGATATCGAATTGCCCCCTTCATTTAGCCTTGTCGCTTGGCAAGACCATTTAAATGTACACCATCGCTACTCTTCTGTGTATTATACCCTGTCTTCAATGACCTAAAAAGAAATATGAAACAAACAGAAATGATTGAATTGGTCTAATCTACAATTGGAATATGTAATAACCCCAGGCGCCAGGCTTCAAGGCTTCGATTCCTTCCGTTCCAACGCCAATGAACACGATGCAATATGAACCAAGCCAATTACTCGGTCTTTTTGTGCACAGCCGGTGACTTCAAGAATCCAAAAGCTACAACTGCAACGACACACATGGCAAAGCCACCTGCAGTGTATGCAGTCTCACGACCCGCCCACCAAAACAGAGAGCAGAACAAGATGGGACCAGTTGCCCTTCCAGCCTGGCCCCACCCACGTAAGCGACCCATGACCGCACCACGATCTGCGTCTCGCGCCTCGAAGCTACCCAAGCTGTTGAGTGATGTGACAACAGTAGCTGTTGTCACGGCCAGCAGAGCGCCGGCAGCATAGAGACCCATGGGCGAAGAAACATGGGCAAGACAAAAGAAAGAGATGGCACAGGCTACAACACCGGCGCGAAGAGACATCAGCGGTGGGAGACGGCGCACCAGCGTACCCTGAAGGAGGGAGGCGATCAAGCCCATCAGGGACAGGAGGCGTCCATTTAATGCGGCAGGGCTAGTTGTCGTGGCTGTCCCCGCATAGAGGGTCGTGGTCAAGAAGGGGAGAGAGAATTCGAGACCAGAGAAGGGGAGGAGGAAGAGGAAATGGAGGGCATTGAGCAAGGCCGGGCTGTTTGTATAGGCCCGCTTAGCGGCAGCGTTGTCCTTCACTCGGATTTTCGTACTAGACCCATCACGTTTCTCCGTAGCGGTGTCTTCACTCTCAATCTGAAGCTTCGTCAAGCGGGGATGCGTTTCCGGCAAACAAGCCCAGAGATACACAGTCTCGATAACGGTCAGGACCAAAGACACAATGGCAGCGACGATGAAAGGATTCTCGGCAACTAAATGAATGGTACTGAGCGCTGCGCCTAGGGCTGGGCCGAAAGTAAATGCGACACTGAAGCAAGCCCCGACCAATGCCATGGAGGACCCGCGGTGCTTCTCGTCTGTGATATCCGCCACGATGGCGTTGGCCATCTGTACATTTGCCTCGCTCAGGCCACCGACGATGCGGCTGGCAAGGAAAGTCCGAAAGTCCTTGGCTGACACCCAAAGTGCAACGCTCAACAGGTTTCCCAGCATAGAGATGAGCAGGGCGCGACGGCGGCCATGGCGGTCGGAGAGGCGGCCTATGGCGGGCGCGGCAAAAGCTTGGAGGAGAGAGAACAAAGACCCGAGGGCTCCGCCGAGTAGTACAATATCATATCGGGAGTCAATGGGGCGCGCGAACGAGTTCTTATAGGCGTTTAGATAGTGGAAGATGCGGTTAAGGAGGGAATGCGGGGATGGATCTTGCGCGCGATAAAATGATAACAGGGACGGGAAGAGCGGTAAAATAAATGTGAAGGAAATCTAGAGTCATTGTTAAATTTCGACAGGGTGATTAGCTCAAGACGAGTCTTTGATCTTACCAGATCTATCACCAGCGAGAGCATCAACACCTTCAACACCTGCTTCCGTTGGGCTCCAGCAATAGCCATGCCGGCGCCGTATGCACAGTTGAATAGGCAATTGACGGGGAAGAGACGAAGGGTCAGAGAGGATAATAAGAATAACAGAGGTATCGAGAAGTTGACACTTATACAAGAGTCCAAGATCATTTAATCAGATTGAAAGCGCCTCCACTACTCGGCATGTCTTTCCTATCGCGGTTAGTGCCACTGTTATGTATCAGGGTCCGCTGGCAATACGCATTTCCACGTTTCCAATACGCCGCATACATGTACTAGGTACAAGTCAGGTGACAATACGCGCACGTGATCAGCTCCCATCTTGATATCTACCTGTATTGGCCAGGTACGGAATACATACTTTGGATACATAATGTACATACATAAATGAATTACACGTTACCTTCCGCTGACGGGGAGAAGTACCTACCTGTACCTAGGTACCTGGTAACTCCGACAGCCCCGTTTGTTACGACGATACTGTATCATGTGATGACAGGGGTATATCGGTTTAGGTATGTTGTATAGACCTTCATGGTGATCTACTGTTAAATTTGGGCTGTATTCTCACCGTGTCTCATATACCAAAATAAGCGAATAGCTAAGGTCGAACGCTTTTTGTAACTGCATGATCGGATTTTGAGAACAGGTTCAATTCAGAGAGCCGTGCTTAATCATAAGTAGAAGAGCAAGTCCAATCTGCATTTGTATCTAGAGTGCCGATTGAAGACTACCATAATTTACAGCTTTAAGAAACTGTTTGAAGAGTATTGAGGCCACTCAGTTAACACAGTAATGCACATCATAGGCATACAAGATCATGGAAAAACTGGTGCACTCATTATGATCAATTTCGATCTATGCCCCGACCTAAGCCTGTCCACCGGTCCATTCATAAGCGCCGATAAAACAATAGCCATAGAATACATATGTATGTCGTGAGAGAAACTCTCGGAGGATCGGGAATATGCACGCTAAAAAATTGCAGGATATGGTCAACATGACTTTGGCAAAGCCAGACGAAGAATGACTCTCCGTGAAAAAAATTCGTTGCGTTCGTGAGCCATCACATTGGACCGGGGATTGTTGAGATGAGTCTTGAGGCGACAAACTCAGAAGCCCCTCGTTAGAACGCCGGTCCTGAGAGCAAACTTCAAAGCCAGCAGGTTCCAACTGAAATCCTAGGATTGCCACTCCTACTCGCTGGAAACAGGAGCTTCCACCGAGCCAGAGCCATTTCCGTTCCCACTTGCACCACCACGTCCACGACCGTTTCGTCCGCCACGTCCGCCACGTCCACGGCCCTCGCCAGTACGGCCCTCGCCAGTACGACCCTCGCCAGTACGACCCTCGCCAGTACGACTCTCGCTAGAACGCTTAGTATCACCTCGGGCTCGGCCGTTGCGGGTTCCATGTCCACGGCGACGGCGTCCACCAGACTTAGCTGCATTATCCCCTTGGGTTGAAACCTCAGCGCCGGCGGAGCCGTTATTCAGGCCCGCATCAGCACTCGCTGGGGTAGCCTGAAGCCCATTTTCAGTCTCAGCGGGGTTGCGAGGAAGCTTGGCCCATTCGCTCTCATCAGGAGGAGGGGCCCAGCTGTTCTCCGCAATAGTGTTGGCAGCATCAGAAACCAGGGTCTGAGCAGGAGGGGCCAACTGATCAGCCTGAGAGGTTGAAAGCTCGGCCTGAGCATCGAGAGGGGTGTCTTGAACCTCAGTAAGACCAGCGTTGGCCATGGTAGGGTCGGTAGTGGGGTTGGTCTCCGGGGCGACTTCAGCGTTCTCCTCGGGAGGGGCATACTTGTCAGATGCCAACTTCAAATCGCCATCTGACGAGATCCAATGTCAGCAAACAAAAACATATTCGGTGGTTTGTGGCCCATCACTCACAGGTAAAATCGAGTGTATCGCCCTCGACAGCATTGACCTTCTCATCGACACCCTCAGCAATCTTCAGCAGCGAATTGACTGCAGCTTGATTGCCAGCATAGACCTCAAACAGGACACCCTCAAAAGCACGGCTCTCAGTGGTGGTGGCATCACCATCGCGTCGATGGATGGCCGCGGCGCACAGGAACTTGGTCACGTTATAGAACTGCTGGCGCAGTGCCGCCTTGGAGGCCTCGGTCGCATCAGCAATCGCGTTGTTACGGACAGCTTCGAGCTCTGCATCTTGCGCCTTGACAAGCGCAGCCTTTTGGGCAACCAAACGGTCCTCGCACTGAGCAACGACTTGCTTGTAGTGGCCGATCTGCTCTTCGGTCTGGGAGATAGTGGCCTGGAGGGTAGGCTTCTTGAGAACCTGAGCCTTCTGGTCGCTGTTGATCTTCTTCTCTTCAACCAGTTCATCAAGCGATTTATTGGGGTTTTCGGCGATGATTGCGTCGACCTTGGCGAGAGAGTTCTATTGACAAGAGAAAAGTGTCAGATATATCTCCAAGAATTGAAAAGTGTCGCTCAGTTTGATTTCTGAGATAATGACTTACCAGCTTTTTGACGGCATTACGGAGGCTCCTAAATGAGGCTTACGGTTAGCTCACTTTTCAAGAATCCATGCGCAAAAGTGATAGCCAGGCGAGCAGGTTCACAAGATTGCACACATACTTCTGCAGCTCCCTCAAGTAGTTACTCTCATGGCTATCAGAACTAGGGCTCTCTGGTTCAGCCTTCGAGACACTTGAAGCTCGGGAGTTGCCTTTAGTATCCTTGAGCTTCTGGGTAGCGGAAGCGGGAGCCATGATGGAACGTAGGTAACACAGATATTAAGGTATTTGCGGAAAAGCCTGTACAGGTTGAAAAGAAACAAAAGTGAGAATCGTTTGGGGAAAGCTGGGGGTTATGAAGGAAGAATCAACATGCGGGTCGGGAACCCTTTCTTGGTCGGTGAGTCCCACTGGCTTCAAGCGGCCCCAAGTATACTGCTCTACTATGTATTCTACACCTTGCTAAGAGCTTCCACGCAGAAATTGCGGCTGCTACATCTGAATATGTGGAGCTCAGAGATACGATATTCACTCACTAAAATATCTCTTCAATTATATTGTTCAAGGGTATCCTATTCATATTCGCCCAATGCGCCAACGCCGAAATATCACAAAACCCACTCTTGCATCCTTTATCTTTCATACTCACTGATGAGCGCCAGATATGTATTCGCCATAGTGAGGAATTGGGGTTATATCCCAGGGTTGTCTATCCTTGGAATTTGCGCAACGTTTTCTGAAGGAGGCTCTGTGTATTAGCTCTGCGTTCTCATCTTCCAAAGAAGCTTCTAGATCAACACAAAGTAACGCACCTCAGTGACTTTGCGCACCGTGTTAGCCGAGATGTTCTTCTCGCCAGACTTACGCGATCGGATCGATGCCTCGCGCATTAATCTATGAGGTATTAGCTCACCACTGTTTCAAATCAGGTGTCCAGGTGTTGGCGAGAACGCGGATCGAAGGTATGCAACCGGTCAAGCCACAAGAGGATATGAAGACGCACTCTTGCATGAATAGCATGTAGTCTAAAAAAACCTATAGAGCCAGTGAGAGTTAGCAACTCGGAAATGGAGACAGGCTTCATATCGGAGCGACCGCGTACCAAGATGTCAGCGTTCTTGCTCACACTCCGATTGGAGTGGGCTTTGACAATACGCTTAACTGTTCCTCGTGGATAAAGCTTCTGAGCTGCTGCCATGACGAGGAGAACAGCAGAGAGGGTAAAGTTGAAGAAGGTGAGTTCAATCCTCAATGTTTACAGGAAAAAAGGATGCGGGGAGCTCCGGACTCTCATATGACCAAATACCGTAATGATTTGTATGTAATTTGGTAATTCTATTTCCATCTGTAATATTCGTCCAGCTCATAAGATGGACTATGCCTCTAAGTACAATTAATGATGCTTCTTGCTTATGTATATCGCTAATGTGCACTTCAATATGATCGTTGGAAAAGTCGCCACGCAGACACTCCAACAACTGAGCCAACGGCCACACGCCAGGCCAAAAAAATCCAGATGGCCAGGCGCAACCGGTCATAGTACCCATGGAGCATGATTCCCACAGCATAGGAAGTCCCATCTGTCGCTTGATCCGTGGGGCCATAATATCTTCCCACGCCAAGACCACCAATGCCCACTTCGTTATTATCATGTTTGATGTCTGTCTCTTGCACGACGGGGAGGGCAGCCGTTTCGGTGTCAGAGGCTGTGTCACTGGGACGGGCACCAGACATCACTTTGAGCGCGTTGCGCTTCCGTAGATGGTATGTTACAATGCTAACAATCAGCCGCAGATCGGGCACGGTAAATGTCGGATATTTCCACAGCTGTACAGCCTGGTGGGGAGGCAGCATGTCCAAGAAATCAGCTAGAATGCCAAGTGTGAGGCCCCAGAGAAGCAGCGGATGGGCAGTGTCACTCGAATCCGCTTGGCCACTTAAACACCACTCCTTAAAGCGCTGAACCATAGAGGATTTTGATGGGTTCTCCTGGGGAATGAATCCTGGGATCGTAGTGCATTGGTGGGTCTCTGACGGGAGAAGCTTCACAGCCGAGAACTGCATCCAGCCCATCAGAGACCTAACAGCAAGGCGGGCCAGAAATCCACTTTGCCGAGCAAATCGCTGTGACATATCCACGTATTCCACGGTCCGCAGCGATGGTGATAGGAGGGCGCGTAGAGGAATCCAGTGTGTCGATGCTACTTCTGTAGGCTGCAATCTGAGGGTCGGGGAGTCACTGCGAGTTATGAGGAAGACGAAGGGACATAGGACCATCAATCTATCATTTATTAGTGATCAATTGAGTAACAAAAGCGAATGGTACTCATACGGCTGAGATCCCCAGCTTGTGGTGACCACTCGCTCAGGGAGATTGCCCACACTAATGGTGTCCTCTGTTGTTAAATCTAAGCCGATCTCTTCAGAAGCTTCCCTAATGGCTGCATGTCTGTCATCTGCATCCTCCGGATCTCGCTTTCCACCCGGTAATGCAACATGGCCAGTCCATCGGTCCCCCACGCGCGAGGCACGCTTGATGAACAGAACCTCTGGTTCGCCATGTTTGACCCATGACTGCGAAAAGAAACCATCTAGGCGTTCAGGGACTGGCTGAGAGACATCATTTGTGTGGTTGGAGCTAGGCCAATGGTCGTAGGTTGGTCGTACCCGAATGATCAGGGCGACCGAGGCACGTTTCTTGCAGGTTGGGGGATTTGGAACATGAGGATATGGCTGACGATATAGCTCTGCTAAAACGCCATGCAAATGATTTGACAGGCCCAATGTTGGCGCCGAGTTGGGCTCCATCAAGATGTATATCTAGTATGTGCTTTGAGAAGTCAAAAGACCCACGGATACCTTGTACCTGAGTACCTATGGGGAAGGTCGGTATCAGAGAGTCCCCGTGTGCACGTCCCTCTCTCTGGTCCCGACGGGGCGGTATCGGTCTGGTCACAATATCGGAACATCAATTGTCCGGGGGGCTAGTCAGCCCTGGGAGGTCCCGAGGTCCTGGGCTGTGATTGGTCTCGTCCTGAGAGCACGTGCGCCTATCGCTGGCTATCGAATGCTTTCGGTCTGAAGCTACGACATACCTAGGCGCTCATCGCTTAATTTCGAACGGAGAGGCTATTTGGTAGGTGCCTGCACATGTTTTTTTTGCTGGTCAGTTCTTGCATGGTTCCTCTAACTGAAAACCCAGCCTGTTTTTAGGAATTCATCAACTTCCTCTCTTATCTTTTCCTCCCTTCCGAGCCCCCAATCAGAGGTACTACATCACCCAGCCGTGCCTGAGTAACAGCTACACAACACCCTTCACAACTGGACTGGTCAAAAATGCGGTTTGGAAAAACCCTCCGCGCTGCGGTGTATCCTCCCTGGAAAGGGAAATACATTGATTACACCAAGCTTAAGACCTTGTTGAGAGAGAATGATGTCACTGGGAATGGAGAGGATGCCAGCGACTCTGATGACGATCAATGGACCGAGCAAGACGAAGAAGCCTTTGTGCAGGAACTACTGAATGTTCAATTGGATAAAGTGAATTCTTTCCAAGCAGAGACATCGCAGCAACTCCGGCAACGTACAACCGCTTGTGAAGCGAAACTTCGACCCTTGGCGTCTGACCCGGAGCAAGAAACACCGGCCCTTAATGAACAGGAGAAGAGGACAATTGCCTCGGAAGTCCTGCAGGAACTTGATAACATCACCAAGGAGGTCAGTGCCTTGGAAAAATACAGCCGAATCAACTTCACTGGCTTTCTTAAAGCTGCAAAGAAGCATGACCGCAAACGAGGAGCCCGATACCGTGTGAAACCTTTGCTCCAAGTGCGACTGTCACAATTGCCATTCAACTCGGAGGACTATTCGCCATTGGTGCATCAACTCTCGGTGATGTACTCCTTTGTTCGAGAGACTCTAAGCCAAGACATTGTGCAGCCAAAGGAGACAGAGCATGGGTTTGGCCGTGAGACATATTCATCTTACAAATTCTGGGTACACTCAGAGAATATTTTAGAGGTCAAGACTCACATCCTCCGTCGTTTGCCTGTTCTTATATATAGACCGGGAACTTCCAAAGACCTCGATACCATTACCGAAGACCCCACGATTACCTCTCTCTACTTTGATACCCCCCAGTTTGATCTCTATAACCAAAAGGTCGCACGAGCACCCGAAACCGGATCCTTGCGACTGCGCTGGACAGGGTCCCTGAAAGACAAACCTGCAATTCATCTGGAAAAGAAAACTGTCACTGACGACGACGAAAGTCGACAAGTCAAGGTACAACTCAAAGACAAGCACATCAAAGAGTTCTTGGATGGTGAATACCGCTTCGACAAAAAGCTTCACCGCATGGAGGATTCAAACAACGGAGAGTCTCTGGCCGCCGAGGCTTTGAAGAAGGATGTGGATGAGCTCCAGTCCTTTATCAAGGACAATGACATGCAACCCATGCTCCGAGCCAACTACACGCGCACGGCCTTCCAAATCCCTGGCGATGATCGTATTCGCATTTCACTTGATACCAACCTTGCACTCATTCGGGAAGATTCCCTCGACAGCGAACGCCCATGTCGTGACCCAGCTGAGTGGCACCGTGCCGATTTGGACAATGCCGACATGACCTACCCCTTTAGCGCCATCAGAACCGGAGAAATTACTCGCTTTCCTCACGCCTTGCTCGAGATCCAGCTTCGAGGGAAGGCTCATAATACCGAGTGGGTGAAAGACCTGATGGTCTCCCACCTTGTCAAAGATGCTCCCCGTTTCTCCAAGTTCGTCCATGGAGTCGCCTTGCTATTTGAGGACCACGTCAACAGCTTCCCCTTCTGGCTTGGTGCACTTGAAAATGACATTCGCCGTGACCCCGAGACTGCTTTCCATGAAGAGCAAGAGCGACTAGCTCGACGAGCGGAGGAGGACATGGCAGTTGGCAGCTTCATGGGAGGCGCAGGCAGCCCAAGTGTTCGCCAACTGGTGGGATCATCTTACCACCATCCCTCAAGCGCAGGTTCTCCGTCCGCCGTGCGGAGATCCTCGGGGGCCACCGAACTTACAACAGCGCGCCCCTCACGCCCCTCAATTCCAGAGCCCCAGCGCCATGATACTGAGCCCATCCCTGAGATCGAGAGAGAACTTGAGCCACCCACTCGCCTTGAATCCATCTTTCAATCCTTGGGGCTGTCTCCTCAACGCTGGCTTGGGGCAGAATCTGTCTCCCTGCCGCCCGGTGTTCGACACCCCGGCGTCTGGATCAAGGATGCCGGCCCCGTTCGCGTGGAAAGCAAGGTTTACCTTGCTAATCAGCGAACATTCATCAAGTGGCTACACATCAGTATCCTTTTGTCGAGTTTGTCATTGGGTCTTTACAACGCTGCCGGCAAGCACAACCAGGTAGCTCAGACACTGGCTGTAGTCTACACATTCTTTGCCATCTTCGCCGCGGTGTGGGGATGGTTCATGTACGAGAGACGGGCCCGGCTTATTCGTCAACGAAGCGGAAAGGACCTCGATAACACATTTGGTCCTATTGTCGTCTGCACTGGGTTGGCTGTAGCTTTGGTCTTGAACTTCGTTTTTAAGGTTTGATTTCCTTCTCATTCTACTTCGCTCGGCCTTTCTGCTAACCCAGATAATAGTACTCCTCGGCACTAGATCAAAGCCGCAACCACCCGCTTCCTGATGTGCCAGCTCACTCTAATTCCTCTATTGTATCTGACGGCACCTCGGGAGCTTTGTGGAGCAGCCTGAATCAGGTGCAGCAGGTGCTGTAGTAATCTTTCTCTTGATTTCGGTGTAATTATGTTTGTTTGGACTATAGCGTGTACTTCAAATAACATGGTCTTTCGGGGAGTGTTAGTGTGACCCATTCGTCAGTTTCTACTTGGACTTTTTTCTTCAACGTATCGGGGTCCCAATTAACCTAGCGACAACAGAGGGAATGGTTCGATATAAAAAGTACAAAATTATGAAAAATGACCATTCCCCCACTTGGCAAATTGGATCGAAATCGCAAGATCCGCGAGAGAAAGCGAGTATCCTCCATCTCCAACCTGCTTACAAATCGCCTGCCATCCTGGGAATCAAAAGGACGAGGCACGAAAAAGTACCAAAAACAGAATAAAAAACTTACTAAACTCAAACTTCTCTCTGGCATCCCTGATACCATGACGAACTTCCAAATCCAGATAATCTCAGACACCATCTGTCCTGTAAGTATACATGAACATCTATATCAATCTGTTTAACCATCACACTCCACCAAGTCCACATATTAACATAACCAAAACCACAAAACAGTGGTGCTATGTCGGCTACCGGCGCCTTTCGCGGGCAATAATCGCCCATCAAGCTACCTACCCGACAGACACATTCAGTCTGCATTGGAAAGCGTTCTACTTGAACCCCGCGGCCGCCGAGTATCCCGGCGCGAACAAGGCCGAGCTGTACAGCCAGAAATTCGGGGCTGAGCGCATGGCCGCGATATTTGCGCGATTGTCCGCCGTGGGCGAGGGTGAAGGAATCAAGTTTAGTTTTGGCGGGAATACGGGCTCCACGCGGGACTCGCATCGATTGCTTTGGTTTGCTGGGCAAAAGGAGGCTGAAGAGAGGACTACGAAGGGGACGGAGCAAGATGTGGCTGTTGTGGGTGGGCTGCAGACGAGGGTTGCGGAGCAGCTGTTTCGAGCCTATTTTGAGGAAGAGAAGAATATCACTGACTTGAAGGTTCTTGTCGAAGCGGCTGTTGGAGCGGGCTTGAACCGGGATGTCGTGAAGAGCATGCTGGATGAAGATGTTGGCGCTGAGGAGGTTGATTTGGAGGCGAAGATGGCGGCCCAGAGGTTGGTGACTGGTGTCCCATATATCTCGGTGCAGGGAAAATATCATGTTGAAGGGGCTGATGAGCCCGAAGCCTTCTTAGAGATCTTCGAGAAGGTAAAGGCCGAGCAGAAGGAATAAAGATGAGGAGGTTTCTATATGTCTAGTTTCAAGACCCAGACGTTACGTTGCACAATTTCAGTAAGGTTAGACTGGATGGGTCCAATGGTATTTTGCAAGTTAAGCTGTCCTGACGATCGAGCAAAAGCGTCGTAGGTGGTTCTATCCTGATACTCTTGTATAGCAAAAGACGTGTGAGCGAACATGGAATAGAAGTGGAAAGTGGAAAGCCGATGAGTGAGTCACTTCCGAAACCATGCACAAAGCCGGCGAGCATCATGAAAGTACACAAATTAAAACGCCTGAGATGCAACGAAAGTCTGGGTTATCCATGAAAGAAAAAGAAAGAAAAGAAAAGAAAAGAAAAGAGAGAAGAGAAGAGAAGAAGCAAGGACAAAAAGTGGAGAGCAGAGGGCATAAATAATACATGATCAAAATGCAAATGAAATAGAAAATGAGAACTGGGAAGACCCAAAAGAAAAAAAAAGTGAACGTTGATGCAAGGTCAATAATGGCGACTAAACAATGACCGGAGTCTTGGACCCCAGCCAAGGCATGCCGCCAAAAAAAAGGGTCATGATAAATCGTAGCGAGTCAAAGACCTATGAAGCAATCATATTCAGACCCCAGGGGTTCGAATTTACTGGAGCTGGGCTTTGACTTGATGCAGTTCGTAGTCGGGAAGATAATCGAACCAATCCTTCTCGGGATTGTAGCGGTAAGCCTTGAACTCGACCCCATATGGTTTGGGCTCAAGCATGTACAGCACACCCATCGGGACATCGAGGTCGGCAACCTCGTCGCGCTTCAGACCACGGAAGTAGGCCAAGAGTACACGTGCAACGGATCGGTGTCCAACTAGAAGCACATGGTCTGTGGTGCGCTCGATCTCGACGATAACTGTGCGGGACCGGTTGATGATGTCAAGGTAACTTTCCCCTCCAGGTCCGGGATATCGGTAGAAGAGCTTATCCCGCTTGCGGTGGGCATACTCCTCGGGATACTGTTCTTGGATTTCCTTGTATGTCATGCCTTCCATCTTGCCGGAGTGGATTTCATCCAACATTCTCATCTGCTTGACATCATAATCATCTTCGTTGAAATATTCGGCAGTTTGTACGGAACGTTGCATCATTGAAGACCAAACACAGAAGTTGCGCGGTCCTTCCCGAGGAAGATAAGATGGATTGGGGGGTGTGCTGTCACCAGGTCGGGGTGGGAAATGCTTAAGAAGGTCCTTCTGCCGCTGGTATGACTCCCACTGCTGCCGCTGGTGGTCAACGAAACGAGCCAACGCCTTGGCATATCTTTTGCCGTTCTCGCTGAGGTCAGAGTCACCGCCGATGCGGCCGGCGGCATCGTCCAAACTTTCGCCGTGTCGAGTGATCCAAATTTGGCGTGGGGAAAGGTTGAAGTTGAGCAAATAATATACGACCTGAGAGGCAAGGAAGCCATGAGTTTGATGGGCGACAACCTTACGGCCGACATCAATCATCTGAATATAAGCCATGCGATGCCTCTCCTCGTATTCACCAAGAGGCACATAGGACTTTTCATAAAGAGCAACACGTTTCTTGAAGTCGGCAAGTGCCTCGGTTGGGTCCTGGCCTTTATAGTCGGGTCCGGAAAGCTTCAGGCGCATATTAGCCTCGAGCAAATCCTGGTCGACGCAACTACTTTCAAGGAATAAGATATTGAGCTCGGGACCAGCGCGATTGCGAATGTGATCAACAATTGCTTTGCGTCGTTCCATGGTGCTGTTGGTCGCATCAAGGATACCAATGCTGCCGCCTTCATCTAGAATATAGTCAAGCAGCTCATCGAGAGTATCCAGGGCAACTTGCTCTCTCATCTTGACAGCACGTTGGTTCTGCGGGTCAAAGAAACTAGCGGTCTGGTCCATCGGCTCAGGGGATGCCTCGTTGATGGCTTCCTCGTTCTCACAGGATTGTGCAGGGCCCGCGTCAACTGAGGGTACAACTGTGCTCCCATTCTGAGAGGTTTGTTCAGGCTCCTCCCCATTCACTAGGATTTTTGTTGGTACCACTGGAGGAAGTGCAGCCTCATTCTCTGGTGGAGAAGCCTCGGAGTGATTCAACGTGGTGCCGACGCTGACACTCAACCGACGCACTGAGTCAACGAGATCCTTGTGGACAGTGCTTCGTTTCCGATGATGGCCAACACCGAGCGTAGGTGTCGGGGATTTCCCAGCAGCCACACGGCGACGCTGTCCGACATTAAAGATTTCGGTATCATGTTGGAGCCAATTTAAGTAGCGGGCCAACTTCTTGGTAATGTAACTTTTACCCCGGGCGGGGAGACCGACCATGACAATGACAAGTTTTGCGCCAACATCTCGCTGGGCAATTCGGCCATCCGGAGAGACCTTGGACTTGGTCAGTCCGGGAATATCGAGGGTAGTTGCCCTTACTCGACTGGGGGTACCGGCAGGGTGATAAATGCCCGATCTGCGAGAATCATATTAGTAAACCTTCGAACGGGGCAAGCGTTTCAAACTAATCAGAAGACAGCCATGATAGGACAACCGTTGAGGGTCTGGGGTAAATGGGTAAAAACGCTTGGAATAAGGCTTCAACCCATAAAACCGGACTTGTCCCGAGGTGCATAACATTGCCGATCATGCTGGCCTGTTTCTGATAGGCTCAAGGGAAATAAGTCCCCCAAAAAAGAAGGATCCAGGCGTTCTAAACAAAGAAACAATACTCACATCTGTGGAGACGGGGGTGCGGTAGAAACCGGAGTGTCTGTGAGAGTCGTTCCGACTCCGCCCTTGGGCGGCAGTGAAGATTTGTGGGAATCGGAATGCAGGTCATTACCTAGCGCTCGGTTGACCACAGTTTTCGGGGGATGCATAAGAGCTCCTTCTTCTCCCGATCCCGAGCCATCCCCGTTAGATGTGGCGCCGTTGAATCGATTAATATTATTCCTCTGATCCCCCATCAACTCAGGTGCAGTGGCCGACGTCATGATAGCCGACCGGGCGATGTTAGAATGTTGCGCCATCCCCGGCAGGGGATCTGTGTTTTATTAAGAGAAGATACTGTTGCTCTCTCTTGGAGCCAGCAAAAGTTGGTTTGAGATAAGTGTCGAGGACTCTGTTTGAAATCGAGAACAAAGGGTGGTGTGAGCCCTGGAGAGGGGGGGAAAAAGAAAGTGCCCAAGTGGGAGGATTGGATGAGTCAACCACAACGGGACGTCACTGGATGTCTTTCAACCACAAGATTCTTTCTGGAGGTATCCAAGGAGCTCTAGGAGCTTAAGGAGTGGAGGCCAGGGGTCTGTTCTGGTGAGAAGAATATTATTTTGGGTGCTTTTTTACCAAGCCCAGCACTCGATAGCTCGCGCCAAGGACGTCAAACCACGTAAAGGGGATCATTCGTAACCCTACGTGGGAAATGCTGGGGAATGATGAAACCACGCAGCTGTACGAAGTACGGAGTACTGTAAATGCACTGAATCCACTCGGTGGATCGATGGCTTGAAGATCGCCCATATATGATGTCAAAGTGTACTCCGTAGTCCCTGGACGATGTCCCAAGCGCACTCCGTCCAGACTGGGGAGCAAAGTAAGAAGCTACATAGGCTATATAGATGCGATATCCAGGACTTTAGCTCTCCAATTTCACATAGCTTTCAGCTTTCGGGATACATGTATCTTCTACATATGGTTGACAAGAATGGGAGGTCTCACAAAATCATGCGAGATGCATCTGTCCTACCTCTACTCCGTACGGAGTACTCCGTACTCGGTAATAGAGAATGCCTGGCTGCAGCAAACAGATTGGAAGAGAAAAAAAAAAAAAAAAAGAAACTAGAAACATGCCGAAGTACATATCAGAAAGCGTATAATCATACCCCGTGCTTCTCTCTACTCCGTACTTGGCCAACCCTGCTAGATCCGTTGGTTTCTCTGTCTTGGTAGACCCCGGAGAATGCAGATACCCTAGTTGATTTCGGATATGACCAACTCTCAACAAAAAAGCAATTGGAATTGATCCCGGCCTCCCAGTGAACTGAACACCAATTATTGGAACGCCTTGTGATACCCAAGTCTCACCGCTCGAGCTGATCTTTCTTCTCAACGGAGCACACTCGGCTTTCTTGGCGGCTCTAGGCCCTCGACACAGTACTCCCTACTCCGTATATTGATCTCCGACCAACTGTGGGTGTTCGCTGCTGCACACTGATCTCCGCTGCCGTAAGCCCAAAAGTATGACCCATACGCCGTAGTCTGATGCGGAATCTTGGCGCTTGGCGGTATGCAGGGGGTTATCACAAATAGCATATCTGGAAGATAGCGTCCAGGGATATTGGCTACGGTGTGAATGGACGGCATGGAACCATTCACGCAGAATGTTCGTTATCAGTTCCTCAGATTCAAGGTCAAGCCAATCAAGCATGCGTATGCTGCAATACTGAGTGCTGTCAGGACCAATACCGCATTCCCACTGGTGCGGAATTTATGCCGATGGATCCCATCCTCCCCTACTTCGGAAAAGAATTGTTTATTTCCTTGGGAGCGGCGGAAGAGCCCAATAATGAGGACACCCGTGCCATAGATTGCAAACAAGGCCCCAATACTGTAGAACTCGGCGGTGAAGATCTTGAGTACAACGAGGGCGAAGGAGAACTGAGAAAGAGCGGTTCGGACATAGGCACCCTCGAAAGTACGTTGGGCCGCGCGCACTTCGACGATCTCATCTGAGGTCAGTACTGCTGAGCGAGCCCGGTGCATTCGCAGGCGATAGCGATCCCCTGCACGACGCTGAGATAGTCAGACTACATGGTAAGGTAGGACGGGAGAGGTGAGGAATATGAGTTCGGAAGCCCCAGTGGCTTATAGGCAAACATACCTCAAACATGATAAATATCTTGAATAAAAGCTCGAAGGAGGTTTATTAGCACTTGGGATGATGTTTCAACTGCGAAGAAGCAGAAGGGAACTGATTCCGGGGGAGAAAAACACTGAGGGGAAAACATGCGGGTAACACCAGCCTCACGTGGCACACTCATGACCTTGATGACCTTGAGCTTCATGGACTTTTCTACGATACTCTGAATGACTTCCGAGCTTGGGTTATAATGACCAAGAACTACCTAGAGTCCCAATCTTCCACCAATAATGTGGATTCATTTCCAATTTCTTTTGGTCGGCAATCGAAAAGACTCCCAACGAGGAAAAAGCGGCCACCGACGTTCCCCACACTCTCCAATATGGTGTCCGGTATCGTCTCCGATCATTTCTCTCTCCCTTTTCCCCTTTCCTCTCTTTCACATCTCTAATACTCTCCCTGTGTTGATCGCCGATTTTAAATCGCAAGTTTTCCTTTTACGTGCGCCGTGATTGAGTATGGCGAAGCTATTTGACGCAACAGAAGGTATTGGTTCTCCGCACAGGTCCCAGTGACCCCCACGCGGGATGTTGCGACGCTGACTTGAAGAAATAGTCGCGAAACACAACACTCGTGAGAGCTGTTGGGTGATTCTCTATGGCAAGGTCTATGATGTACAGTCCCTTACAGTGTCTCCAATGTGCAGTGCGCATAGCTCATCCAGTAACCGACATCTGACTCTGATCTAGGTCACCGATTTTTTGGGCAGCCATCCTGGCGGTGCAAAAATAATTTTGAAACTTGCAGGCCAAGATGCCACCGAGGAGTATGATCCTATCCACCCGCCGGGCATCTTAGAGGAAGAACTAAAGCCCGGAGCATGTCTGGGGACAGTCGATCCCAGCACATTACCGAAGGAGGAGGCATCCTCCGAATCCCAAGAAGAAGTTGAGGGTCCGCCACCTATGGAGAATCTCCTCAATTTGGATGAGATTGAGGAAGTAGCGACAAAACAAGTGAGCAAGAAAGCTTGGGCTTATTACTACTCCGCATCCGATGACAAAGCCAGCAAACGCTTCAACAATGAAGTTTACCGATCCATTCTCCTGCGACCTAGAGTCTTTGTGGACTGTACAACCTGCGAATTGGACACAGCGGTCCTTGGCCATCAACTCAAAACCCCGATTTACGTGTCTCCTGCGGCCATGGCACGTCTAGGTCATCCGTCCGGCGAGGCTGGCATTGCTGAAGCGTGTCGTAGTTTTGGAGCCATGCAAATCATTTCCAATAACGCTTCCATGACACCGGAACAGATTGTCAAAGACGCCGCGCCAGATCAGATATTTGGTTGGCAACTGTACGTTCAGGTTGACCGTAAGAAGAGCGAGGTTATGCTTGCTCGCATCAACAAGCTCAAGGCGATCAAGTTCATTGTCCTTACCCTCGATGCCCCGGTTCCAGGGAAACGTGAGGATGATGAACGAACTGGGATGACCGGACGGACCACCACTGTGCCAAGTGGCGTCAAGGCGGCTGAGCGCTCGTCAGACGGCACTCCCAATCCAACCGAAGGTTCTGGCGGTGTTGGTCAGCAATTGTTCGCAGGCACCGATCCTTCCTTAACATGGACGAAGACATTGGCTTGGCTTGCCACGCAGACAGATCTCCCCATTGTCTTGAAAGGTTTGCAGACTCACGAAGATGCATACCTCGCGTCACTCCACGCACCTCAGGTCAAAGGTATCATCCTCTCTAATCACGGAGGACGTGCCATGGACACTGCCCCTCCGGCGGTTCACACTCTCTTGGAGATTCGGAGATACTGCCCCGAGGTCTTTGACAAGATTGAGGTATACGTGGATGGAGGTATCCGTCGTGGCACCGATGCGGTCAAAGCTCTCTGCCTGGGTGCGAAAGCAGTTGGCCTTGGACGCTCAGCTCTGTGGGGCCTAGCAGCTGGTGGAGCTGACGGTGTTCGTCGTACTTTACAGAGTAGGTTTAGCTCGTTTTTCGAGCCGATCAGCTTACTAACTCTATGGCAGTTCTGAATGATGAGATGAAGACATGTATGCGGTTACTTGGAGTGGAGCGGGTTGATCAACTAGGGCCCCAACATGTCAGTGTCTTTCCATCATTTTGTTTGACATGCTAACCCTTCTTAGATCAACACCCGAGTGACTGAGCAACAGATCTACGATGGTCCTGCTGGCCTGGAGCCTTTACGCCGCGTATTCCGTGCGAGACTGTAGTTGGAATCAATTACATAATATAAATTGTCTACGGAGTCCGGAATACTTTGTATTGCAATCCATACCTATTTCCATTTCATATACTCCGTACTTCGTACTTCGTCCTCCGTATGGGATCCCGTTTTCTGTCAGAAATGCACAGCCCACACTCTTCTCCACTTCAACGCATCTCCACCTAATCACAAAAAAAAAAAGCCATCATTTCAAAAGGCACAAAAAATAGTTTCCCTGGGAATCGAACCCAGAACCTTTCCGGAACACTTGCTTGAAGCAATTGTTAACGGAAAATCATAACCGCTAGACCAGGAAACTGTTTGATGGAAGAAATGTCCTTATAATACATGGTGATCCAAAACTATCTAAGCCCACCTAAGCAGTCAGCATGTCAACGTAAGAATATCGTACTATTTACGCTCAATGCATGTGGTTTGTTGACCAATGGAACAAATTACCGCGGTATCATCTAAGAGCTGGTTTATCTCACCTAAGAATGTCACAGTCTACAACATAGGTACCTGTACTCCGTACGGAGGACTCCGTAGGGGTCTGTTCATGAGCGGGGTATATAGCCCTGGAGTAATCACAATAAACATATAGGACATCCCTCTCATCCTAGGACTCTTTCATATCCAGATACTTTATCAATTGTACAATGGCCGCAAATATCCTGCAATGGTTTCCCCATACTATTGCTCCGTTTATTGCCTGTGCGCCTATGTATGGATGCACTGACGCCAACTTGGCAACGGCCGTTACAAAGGCCGGGGGATTTGGTACAACAGTCCTACTCACCTACGAATCCGAACACTGACCCTTGACAGGGTTTATTGCCGGGGGTTTTGATTTTCGATCCGGCTCATCCCATCTTTCAGGCCTAGACACCCAGTTGGCAAATGCCCGCTCAATTCTCGGTGTGGATGATGGACAACCATTACCGCTTGGTGTTGGCTTGATTACATTTGGACTAGATGGAATTGTTGAAAACGCTATTCCGATCCTCCAAAAGCACCGCGTAGCAGCTATCTGGCTGTCCTTTCCCGGAGCTGATTCGGATCACCTTCCTATTATACGAGCCATTCGACAGGCTCAAGAAAGCTCTGGATGGGACATCAAGATCTTTGTCCAAGTAGGAACCATCGGTGCTGCAGAGGAAGCAATTCAGCAGGAGGCAGATGTCTTAGTGATTCAAGGATCCGATGCAGGAGGGCATCAGAGGGCCCAGGGTGCTAGTCTGATCGCCCTCTTGCCGGAAGTGCGAGATCTTCTTTCGAAGACTGGGAATACAAGAACTTCGATTCTTGCAGCTGGTGGCATTGTGGATGGGAGGGGCTGTTTGGCTGCTCTCGGCCTTGGTGAGTGCATTCATGTTTGGTTTGTTGCAATTTGTTGACAGATTTAGGCGCCGATGGGATTGCTATGGGTACAAAGGTAAGTGTTGGTTCTTTCGCCATACCTATATTCTTGCTCACCGAATCTAGTTCGTTGCTACCTCGGAATGCCCGGCACCGTCTACGATCAAACAGACCATTATATCGAGCAGGGATGGAGGAGTCTCAACCATCAAATCCATTCGACATGATGTATTCCAGTGCACCGATCTCTTTCCAAGGCAGTATGATGGCAGGGCTGTTATCGGGGTGAATTACCGGGATTCTCAAGAAGGGGTTCCCGACGAGGAAATCATCCGACGATACAATGAAGCCAAGGAGGCTGGTGATCATCAAAGGAGGACTGTGTGGGCGTGAGTATTCCGATTCCGGACCTTTGAACCTCTCACGGACTCCATGTTAATGTCGGGTTCTAATAGGAGTACGAGTATTGGAAGTATCAATGCGATCGTCCCTGCTGAAGATGTTATAAAGACAACTCAACAAGAGGTGAGGGCGATATTGGAGCGAATGAAGGTCGAGCTGTAGGTATGTGTGTTTGGTATCATTATGTGGATGATTTTTTTATCCTATATTCAGGCACATTCTTGTTCAAAAGGAAATAGGAAATCAATGGCTCGCAGATTCGTGTGAAATATAAGCTAGATAGGGGCTTAATATACATCGAGTCATTGACGCCGAGTATATTTAAACAATCAGAGCCGCACGGACAATTTCAAGTCAAGTGAAATAAAATCAATAATATTCCCAAAAATATCTATAACACAAAGATCGTGACTTTTTTCTTTTGAACACCGGAGACATTGAAACCAGCAAGATCGTTGACTGGCAACAGGCCGAATTGAGCACCCCCCCCCCCCCTTCTCCCCCCCCCTTCTCCCCGCCTCTTCAATCCCAATTCTTGATTCTCTCGACCTTCGAACTGGCCTTCTTTCCCTATTGGCTTTCTCTCCCACGTATACTACCTGTTCAAGCGATATCAAGATTCACGGGCGTGTTTGGTCAGTCTTGAAGCTGGGACCTTGGTGTTCCCTTCTGAGCTGCCCGCGATTTAACCCGCGATCTTTTCCTGTCCGCCAAGGCACACATACAGCATCAAATCGCAAATCCTTAACACCTAGGACCTGCGGTGGCCATTTATCTACCCTCAGCAACCCCAAAATACCCGATTCTACTCCCTGCGACGATCAATCTGTTGCGATGAACCAAACTACGCCCTCGCCGAGTCCCGTCCCCAATGCTTCGCCTGGCTCAAAACCCACCCCCTCGCCGACCGCGGGCGCAAAGCGCAAAAGAACTGCCGCTGTCAAATACTATGCCGTCAAAGCAGGTCACAAGCCAGGCATCTACTATGGGTGGAATGACTGCCTGGCTCAAATAACGGGTTTCAAGGGAGCAATCTGTGAGTGCGCACTCTCATGGTGGTTAATGGCGTACCGATTTGGTCAGCGACTGATACATAAACTCCCTAGTCCAATCGTTTCCCTCGCAAGAAGCAGCCAACGCGTTTTTAAATGGTACTAAGCCCCCAGCGGCCGCATCACAGAGCTCGGAGAACACACGATTCTATGGCATCCAAAGGGGCCGGGTTACTGGAGTATACACAGATTGGACGACAGCGCAGGAACAGATCCGTGGGTTCCCACGGCCGCGGTATCGCAAGTTCTCTACCCGCGAAGAGGCAGAGGAATTTGTACGGGAAGGACAGGCCCAACCCCCAGTCGGGTTTGGCGTAGCAACGGCGCCTGCCGGCACAATGATTGAAGAACTAAAGGACGCAGAGGGGGTAGAGTTTGCGCCAGGCGAAGGTCCATTGCCGACAGGAGCTGAGGATGGCTTTGACCCCAACGTCATTTTAGACCCAACTACTGGCAAGGTGGTGTACAAGACTGTGCCCCAGATGGCAGCGACAAAAACACAATCAACAGGTATCCCGGGGATGCTTCGGATATACACCGATGGAAGTTCGTTAAGGAATGGCACCCCATTCGCGTCGGCCGGTGTTGGGGTATACTTCGGGCCTGGCGATTCAAGGTTCGTATACCCGGGGGATACTGTCTGTTGGCTATCAAGTATTCTAACTTCCGTCCCTTACCCCAGCAGAAATGTCTCGGAGCCACTCAAAGGCAGTCGCCAAACGAACCAACGTGCCGAGTTGACAGCCATCCTTCGGGCGATTGATATTGCTCCTCGGCATCGAGATGTCACCATTATCACCGACAGCCGATACTCGATTGATTGTGTCACCGTATGGTTTGTCAACTGGCGACGCAACAATTGGATGACTCGGGACAAGAAACCAGTTGAGAACAAGGACCTGGTTGAGTCAATTCTGGTCAAAATCGAGGAACGCAATGAACTCAAGGTCAAGACCTTATTTGAATGGGTTAAAGGTCATAATAAAGACCCAGGCAATGAAGAGGCTGATAAACTAGCAGTCAATGGAGCCCAGAAGGGAGTTTCTGCTAAGGCAGAGGCGCTCCAAGCCGCCCAAGAGGTGCCCGACGAAGTGTTTGATGAAGATTTTTAGGCATTTCCATCTCTTACACCAATAATGAAACATTTGAAGAGACATATTCGACGGTGTATTCATATATTCTGTTGAAGTAGACCGTACAAACTACATATAGATATGGCCAATGTAACTAGTTGGTGGCCATTCGACCGCGCCAAGAGCGATGTTTTTGGTTGAGAGCTTTTTTTCCCTTCACTTCATATCGACTCATTTCCCCCAGGTCCTGTGAATATCCCCTGTGATCAAGTTATTCCAATTGACCCAGATGATCTCGTCTATCTCATCCAAGGAAATCCGAATTATGATTCAATAACACTTGCCTGTACCGTTCTCCGAATTTGCTGCCAGACTCATCTCAAATGAGACTGCGTCTTGATCGGACTTCATTCAATCCAGGATACAAGATATAGGCTACAGGATACATTTCGACCTTCATCATCCTGTAAATCCGAACATCCTACGAAGTGGGAAAGTACAGGTAAAAATGCCGACACTCTCCCTCATCAACTTCAACATCGTCTGCGCGACCCTGGGAGGTTTCATATCCCTTTTCGGCCTGGTATCTTACCTCTGCAAAGAGCAATTCTACCTTTCTGAAGCCTGTATGTTCCCCGACTCTCAACCGTAGCACCAGAAAACATGTTAATACCAAATCAGTGATTTCTCTGCTAGCCGGAGTGCTTTTCTCTCCCCACGCAGCTAACTTCATCAGACCGGAAGACTATGCACTTCACTCTGAGCAGAACCTCGAGGCAATTACACTGCATTTCACCCGCCTAGTTTTAGGCGTGCAATTAGTCCTAGCCGGAGTCCAACTCCCAAAGCGGTACCTCCAGATCGAATGGAGGAGCTTAGGGCTACTCCTCGGTCCAGGCATGGCTGCCATGTGGATGTGCAGCAGTCTCATCGTCTGGGCAATGGTTCCAAACTTCAAGTTCCTTCATGCCCTGATTGTGGGAGCTTGCGTGACTCCAACCGACCCTGTTCTGTCCAACTCTATCGTCAAGGGCAAGTTCGCCGATAAACATGTTCCCCGTGAATTGCAGAGGATCATTATTGCTGAATCTGGCGCCAACGATGGCCTTGGATACCCGTTCCTCTTCTTTGGAATTTATCTCCTGCAGTATACCGGGATGGGAGGCCAAGCGTATAGCGGTGGCGCGGGCAAGGCCATGGCGTTGTGGTTTTATGAGACTTGGGCCTATGTCATTCTTTTGAGTGTTGTCTATGGGACCTTGATTGGTTGGATTGCAAGAAAACTGCTGCATTGGGCAGAGGAGAAGCGCTATGTGGACCGAGAAAGCTTTTTGGTGTTTGCCATTGCCCTTGCAGTGAGTTTAACTCAAAACCATAGCGATGAGCTTTGCTGATCTCTGGAAATAGCTGTTCATCGTAGGAACCTGCGGCATGATCGGGACAGATGATCTACTTGCTTGTTTTATTGCTGGAAACGTATTCACGCAAGAGTACGTTACTCCATCACAGGCCACATAAAAACGACACCACAAGTGCTAACAGAGAGAACAGTGACTGGTTCCGCCTGGAAACTATCGACGATTCCCTCCAACCGACAATCGACATGCTTCTCAACCTGTCCGTCTTCATGTGGTTTGGAGCGGTTTGCCCATGGTCATCATTCTTGAACAACAGTGTGGTGCCCATCCATCGGCTCATCTTCCTAGGGATTTTAATCCTGTTGGTCCGCCGCCTTCCGGTCGTCTTGGCCATGCATAAATGGATCAAACAGATCGAGCTCGTTTCCCAGGCTGCATTTGTCGGCTTTTTCGGTCCCATCGGAGTCGGCGCCATCTTCTACCTATCAATCAGTCTTGAATTTCTGCGCAAGATCAAAGTCGACGGCGAAATCCCAGAGGACGTAAAGCAAGTTATGGAGACCGTCCAAGTCGTGGTCTGGTTCTTGGTAGTCTGCAGTATCGTAAGTCTTCCACCCAAATAACCGAATCCCTCCCCTCTCCCAGCTGTCTTCTGACCCAACCTAGGTCGTGCACGGTCTCTCAGTTCCCCTTGGAAAAGCCGGATATCATCTCCCGGCAACCATCTCCAGCGTGATCAGCACCAGTACATACGATGAGCAGGAACCGATCCCCATTTCGAACATCCGTCACACGCACAGCACGGCCACACCTCTCACTACAGGAGAAGATGCGAGCTACCGGAGCCGCAAGCGTGGCTTTCGAAGCGGAATCCCGCGCCCGCCAGTCTTCGGCATTGGCCATTCGGTGATCCCTCATTCACCTTCGAACCAGCTTGGAGTGGGCGAGCCCGGGGAGCCGGAGAGACCTATCAATCTGATTATTCACCAGATCAGGAGTGGCGAGGATAAACTTTAGTCTTATTTGGGGGTTGAATGACTGATTGCAAGGATTTAGTCACAGACGCTACACTTTGCGCTGTCTTGAGCTATCCTCTCTATGTAAGGTAACGGCCCAAGTATTGCACGGGTCACTATATCTTTCACGGCTTTCCCTGATTTATTGCTGATGTGGATAGCATCTAGAAGCACATTGTCTCTACCTATATAGTGATGTCGACATCTGCTTTGCATCTTGCACGACTCATATACACAAATATATCAATTAGTTTTTGCAATTGCAATTAATTACGTGCCAATAAGGTTCATCATGACTCGTAAACGACCATGTTGAATATGAGTCTACCGCGGGCACAAGAAGTAGATTTGTACAAGTGAGCACCAGAGATGCAAAGAACAAAACTTTACGCCTGGATCCTTAACAAGTTGCGGTAATATCCATAGATGCCCAATAATCGTCTCATAAAACGCACTCTCCAGCCGCCTGATCATGACAACAAATAGTAAAAAACAAAACAAAAAAAACAAGAGGGTACTGCATTGGGGATTAAAAATGCTTGAATGTCCGTTTCCCTCGCCCCAAAGGCAACTTGATGACTTGGTCAAAATGTTTCCATCTGATAGCCAAGAAAACTGTTTCACACATCCGTAAAGCTAGGGTATCGGACTCCATTTCCTGATAGTCGATTCGTCATGTTTTTTTGTCATTCCCTCGATATCGTTACACGTCATACTAAAAAGCAAAATGATAACATGGTTGATGGGCCGGCACCCAGATCATGAAATCATCGTGATTCTGGATTATTGACCCTGCAAAAATGGGAGAAAGAACAGGCCATTCAAGCCAAGCCGGCGTGCAGTTCGCGGGCACGGCGAGAAAGGGGTGCAATAAGCCGCAGGATGTGGTCGTGTGGGTTGCGATCAACAACTGACATGTACAAGGTGTTGAGGCGCTGGTTCATGATGTCTAGAATGCGTGGTGCGACCTCGCGGAGGTCGGTATCCTATTGAGCCATAATGTTAATGAAAATAGTCCCAAAATGTAAAGTAAGATAATAACATACCCTGGGGTTGACGTTTTGGAGAACCACCTCAAGCCAGTGGAGACGCTGACCAATGTTGGTCTGCAGAGTAGATGTGACAGCAACGGCTACGGATAGCATAACGATCGCAGAAAGTCGAGACAGATAGGCGGGAGACACATGGACAAAGAACTTGTCAAACAAGTCAGCTTGCTGGTTAGATTGGAGCCACTAGAAAATTACATGTTAGCAGGAGGGTTTTGAAAAGCGAATGTTGTAAAACTCACTCTAATGGTGCCCTCCTCAAAGTGGCCAGCATTGATAAGCTGTGCGATATCGCCTAGTTCAGTTTCTTCGGGAGATCGTGCGACATGGGCAGGAGCTGGAACCGGGGCCGAAACCTGAACAGGAGTAGATTGGGACTGAAGCTGAAGCACGGCCTGAGACACCGGCTGTGGCATGCGTACGTGATTTTCGCTTGGGCGTCCGACAGAGCGTTGATGAGTATTCGGGACCTCGCGTTGAGCGATCTCACGCTGCGGGCTCTGAGTCTGCTGGATTGGGTGGCCCTGGTTCGCGGCCAGCAAGGAGACAGTCTTCGACAAGCCACGTAGAATGGCTGACATCTCCTCAATCTTTGCATTGTCATTCAGGCGCTGAGCCTCATAGTGCTTGATCTGTGCCTGGAAATGACGTTCCATATCTGACTCCACTTTCTTCGTGGTACGTGCCAAGCTCTCAATCATAGGAGCAATTGAAGACTGCATGACTCGCGTAACTTCGGTCTCAATGTGGGGCGCGAGCTTCTGTGCGACTGAATCGGAGACAGCCTTCACTACGGGTGGCTGCTGCATAGCATTGATGACCGCCTTGGGAAGAGCGTGTCGCAACTCCTCATTGAATGCACCTCCAAGCTGTTGGGAGACAGCGCCATGCAGTTGCTTGTTGACTGCTGCTGAGGTGGCATCAGTGAGTACAGGAATCACATCGGCTTGGATGCTGCTTGAAACAATGCGGGCCAGGTTCTTCTCGACGTTGTCGGAGAGCGTGCTAGAGACCAAGCGCAATACTTGATCTTGCTTGGCGGACGAGGCAGCATCCCAGCTGCGACGTTCCTCGTCAAAGCGACGGTGAAGGGTTTCAAATTCTTGGCCAAGGCTCTTGTTGAACTCGTTCGATACATGGCCCTGCAGGGTTTGAATGTGCTTGTTGAAGGCTTCACTCGAGACGCCAAGGCCAGACAGGCCGGATTGAAGCCCAACAGGCACTGCGTGATCGGAAGCTTGAGTCGCACCCATAGTAGCAGTGGAAGAGGCAAGAGTCTCGAACTCCCTAGCAGCGGTTGACGGAACGGAAAGAGGTTCGACACCACTAGTAGTGGGGGGCTCCTTTGCCCTGGCGACTTCAGCGGCAGTCTTCTTCTTCTTCTTCTTTTCCGCCCTGTCAGCCACAATGGGTGCCGGTGCTAGCTCAATGGGCTCCTCTTTCTTCTTGGACAACTTGATAGGCGAAGGATTACGCGAGGGAGCGACGCCAGAAGCAGAATCTCCAATCTCTGGTTTCTTCGCAGATTCCTTGGGACCAACACGAGATTGAATAGAGGCAGTGTCACCGTTGACAGATGGCTCATCGGTGGCATACGTGGGGAAAGTTTGAAGATCGCTAATCTCAATCAAACCATGCTCCATCGCATCGATAGGGCGAATGACTTTGTTATCCGCAGTCCAGCCCAAATCCTCTTTCTTGATGTTCAAGCAGGTCACACCACGCGAGTGCATCACGTACAGCTCAAACAGGGAGGAGTCCTCGGTGCCACGCTTGTCAGTAGCGGATTTGGTGATAGGAAGAAGCTCCAGGCTTCTCAGCTGACCCTTAGATCCGAGAGAGATCTCCCGAATTCCACTCAAGCAAGCCGTAGACTCAGGCTTGGGTAGGGTGTTGTCCTTATCATTGAGCTCTCGGATGTAGGCTGCCTGCGACATTTGAGGCAAATTGTACCGAGGAGCCGAAAGATGAGCAAAGTAGATTGAGTTGCGCGTGGGGTGGCCAACAACGATGACCCCTGATGATGGGTGATAAGCCACGCTGCAGATAGCATCCGACTCGTTCTCATGGGGGAACTTCAACTCTTGCACGGCCTTACCCAGCCCAATATCCCAGAGCTGCAAGGTGTGGTTCTGCTTAAGTCCAACCAACACATAACGGAGCGCCATGGATCGCGAATAAGCGCGGAGCTTATCGAGGAAAAGAACCGACGTGGGCCAAGACTTTTCGGTTGGTGAGCCAGTGACAAAGGTAGTCAAGGGAACCCGGATCTCGACAGGAGCAGGGCCCTCCACCAAACTTGCGTCACTAAGCATGTCATTTATATCCCAAAAGCGCAGTCGGCCGGTCTTATCCAGGGAGGCGATGACAGAATCATCATCGCTGAAAGCAAAATCTTTGCCGGCTTTACCAGTGGAGATCTTCAATGCGCGCTCCTTGAAGAATTTCTCGGTATTGACTGTGCGCTGAGTACCGGAAACACCGTAAACAGGGTTCATTGCCGCCTTGGGCGAGATAAGGTAGATGTTTTTACCCCGACCAATGGCAAACAAGTTAGTGTGACGAGTGCTCCGTTTGGCCCGCGTTTTCAGCTGGCCACCAGAGGTGTTCTCGTCTGAGGCTGGGAAAGGCGGGAAGATCAAACTCTCGCTTTCCAGGGCATCCACATCAAAGAAATCCTTCCCTGAGCGTGAGATCAAAGCCCAGTAGACAGAACCACTGACTCCAATACCGAGTATGGCCTGAACTTCAGAGTCACCGGCTGCAGAAGGAGCTGTACACAGGGCGACATTGAACACCCGATCACGGGTGGAGCGGAATACCTGTCGGTCGCTGCCATCGTCCTGTCGAATGATCCTAATTCCACCAGTTTTGGCAAGTGCGTACACGATGTACTCAGATGTTGCCGCAGTCAATGAACGGTCAAGCTGATCGAATTCCTTCTTTAGACGAGCAATATCCATGACATCATCATCACGGAAAGTCGTAAGTTTTCCACATGCAGGTTTCACAGCAATGGAGATAAAAGGCCGCATAGGGAAGTTGTGAACAGAGACAACTCGTTCTTCCTCCTTTTCGGCACTGTCCTCTGCACTCTCCCAGCTGTCTGCCAGAGCCTCGGTATGCTCGGTTACCTTTTGAGCGGCCGGAACTGCAGAAACAACTGTCTCATTCACCAGATCATCGACCTGGGCCACACTAGCTGCTTCTTTAGCTTCAACAGAAGTCTCGCGCAGATGACTAGTAGTTGATGAAATGACTGCCTCAGAGGATTCCTCCTGGACAGTAGAGACTGCTGCTGCTGCTTCCGTAGTGACCTGAGGTTCATTGCCACTGAGAGAGCGGCCGATCTCATCTACGAGTCGACCGACAACTTCATTCACGGCTTCTCGCTGACCGTCACTCAGAATTGGCGATTGAACTCTCTCCTGAGGAGCTGCAGCCTGGGGCACATGCGCAGGCTCCGGTTTGGCGGAAACACTGATCTTTTGCTTCGGCGTGACTTCGACAGTTGGGCTGTGGATGCTAGAAGTAGTCTGCGGAGACTTGTTACGAGGGGAAATGGCGGCCAATTGGTCAAACGGATTAACATAGGTGAACATCGAGTCTTTCGAGCTGGGCGATACGACCGTTTCCGGGTGCGCAGGCGCATTGGGACTTTCATCCACAACTTCCATGAAGACGTTCTGGGACGTCTGATCCCGAGGTTCGTTGACAACAGCCTGCATATACGGCCCCTGCTGAGATGAAGCCAGTGCAGAAGATTCGGAGACACCAGGACCCGGCTGAGAACGGTTGAGCAGGCGGAGCAACATGTCCTGTGTGTTCTCATTAGGGCCCTCGGGTTGTCCAGATTGGAATACCCGGTGAGGGCCAACCGGCGCAGGTGCATGGACCACTGCAGGGGCTGCAGGGGCTTGTGGGCCAAACAAAGTAGCAACTAAGTCAGACGCGGAAATGTTTCGCCCATGCGACGGGGAGGCACCCTGGGCTGGCGGAGACTGCAAGTGCTCGGGGCCTGCAGCAGGGGCCTGTGGCTGGGGGGAAGCACCTGGACGCTGGCTGAATTTAAGGAGGTTCAGGAGATCTACAGAGCCTGGGTTGGTATGCTGCGGTTGCGGCTGTTGGTGCCATTCGCCCCGGGGAGAAGACGTGTTAGGGCTCAGGATATCAGAGCCCTGATGAGGGGGAATATTCATCGGGGAAGGACTCTGGATGGTCGAGGATACTGATGGCTGTTGGTATCCATGCGACTGAGGATGAGGGTAGCTCTGGCCATCGTAGGGTTGCTGCTGAGGGTGCGGCGGGAAAAGACCGGGCTGATAATACGATTGGCGCTGGGCCTGAGAGTTGTCCTGACCAGCAGTATTCGAAGGAGAAGGACGGGGTCGAATGCTGGCCAGGAGAGCCTGGAGATCGGTGGGGGTGGACATTTCTGCCGTCACGCCGTGGTTACAGGCGACCTCCGCCGATAGATTCCAAGCTTTGCAGAGCTCTCAGAAGCTCTCTTTCGAGAGGGACAAAGTGCGAGAATGAAAATCACAGAAACTAGAAAGGGCAACAAAAGAGCAAATCAGAGATAAATGCGAGAAAAGAGAGATGAAATTGAAGAATGTGGTGCAGTAGAGAGGAAGGGTGAAGGAGAGAAGAACTCTCGGTAATATTGTTCAGGCCGTGGGTGTGGCTGAGGCTGCCGAGTTGTGGCGTAGTGTGGCTAGTGTGGCTCTTGCCCGACTCGCGTCATTAGAGAACCCCATTACTGTTACTTCGAAATTCCTCCTATCCCGCTCACTTTTAAGTCGCACATTTTAAAGGTGTTGGACTTATTGGACTATCAAAAGATACCAATATCACCAAACAACACCCGTTGTTCACCTGTCTCTGCGCCCTTCCGCCAGAAGGCAAGCGCCCGCAAACCCCATCATGTTCTGTCTACGAAGGTAAGAGAAACATTTGAACATGGAGGCAACAAAATTAGTGGCTGCAAGCTAATGAAATTGTATCAAACTGCAGCTGGCTACCTCTCTTATTCATACCAACCAACGCCTCACCACTCTTCATCATCTCGTTTGTTGCCTTAACGTACATCATCCACCGGCCATGTATCTACTGCTCAGCACTACTCCTGATTCTCTTCGTCTCGTCATGCCATTGGTCTGATCGCTGCATCTTTGACCTACGGAGCAACTGGTTCGCTCCACGATACAGCTCTGAACCTAGTAACTATGGTGTTGTCTCAGGAAACGCAACCTCTGAAGCAACAGTGCCCGGTGAGGGCTTGACGGAGTTCGTCTTCGATACTATGAATTCCACCGCAAAAGCCCTAGCTAGTGCGGCACTGGAGAGCGTGCAGCAGCGACTTTCCCCCGGTGGCTTGGAGTCAAAACCCGAGGAGTGGACGGGAGTCGGGTTGGAATGGATGCGCAGCCTCTTGGGGAGACGGGAGTGGACTCTTCCCTGTGTGGATGTCAAGGTTCGGCTGTAAAAAGCCCAAAAGTTTTGATTAGACATGTTTCTCCTATTGTTACGACTCTAGTTGCTGTTATTCTTATTATTTTTGAGACTGCAGAACTCAATATCCCCCTCAAGAACTGATGAATAACTGATGTACATATCAAACTCAATGCATATTAATCAATGGATCATTGAAAATAGCCTTGTCAGTAAAGAGAATTATCGAACTGTTGATCCCTCACCTCGATATATACGGTAGATCCCTTGGATAGAAAAACATCAGCTCAGCATCACAGACCGCAAGCTTTCCTCTTTCCTTTTGCATGTATCTATGAAGAACTACAAGGCGACATCTGCGTTGTGAGTCAAACATCGACTTGTAGGGAGCGAGTGAAGTTTCTTCTACTGAGTAACGATGATTCCACGAAGTCTGCTTCTACCCGCAAGTCCACGAGCCCACGAAGTTTAGGGCTAACTAGGTCAGACAGGAAAAGTATAGAATGGGTTGGATTCTTTTAGTCACAGTCCTCATTTGCTATATATGCGTTGGGATTAGGTATGAATGAATCCCTCAGTATAACATGTAATGGCAGGATCCCCAATTTATGTTGTATAGCAGGGTCGCGTGGAAATCACCTCGAAGCAGACTCGGAATTATCGTCGTCATTATTTGATACCGGACAGACACCGAGGGCAATAAGCACGTTGTCAAGCATCGGAACACAAGCGACACACGAGCAGATCTAGACTCAGATCTTAGTGTTTCCCTCGAAACAAATTTAATGAAGGCAGGACAATATATACCTGACTCATAGAAGTTGTCAAGCACTTCTGCAGAGCAGCCGGATCGCCATTGGTGATAGCATTAGCAATGCAAGTAAGCTGGGCAGCCAAGTTAAGACAAGCAGCAAGGCTGCAGGCCTCTGGAAGCTGCCGGACGATATCTAGATTTTGTTGCAGTACTATTTGTGTGCTAAATATTAGTACCTTATCTTCTATACATTCGAAGAATCGAGGCTATAGGGATAGATCTGTACAAGCCTGATGAGTATGATTAATATTAGTTACAGGGGTCATTCCTGCAACTGAGGTCAACCCCGAAGTGCAGAGGAGAGCGATAGTATGAAAACGCATGATCGAGGAGTTTGAGAAAGAACTGACGATAGTAGCTTCGACTTCAGTATCTACAAGGTCGCGGAGGTATCACCTAGGCAGGCCTGCCACAGTTGAATTAATTGGCTGCTTATATACTACCGGCAACTTTTTTTGATCTCAAGTTGCAAAAGAAACACAGATCCAGCTCGAAGCCCGAGCGTCCTCGCCCGGATGTCACATTAGTGGCTAGATGACAGATAGACATAGAGACACTAGCAGATTCGGGTGGTGACACCGGGTCGCATTAGAAGGCTTGTCTCTCCCCAATGTCCATGATGGGCCAGGTATGTCGCATCGGATACTAACAACCTACCTAGCATAAGAGACTTAGGCAGGCGGAGGGGCTAGATGACCGATTCTTTCTGGAAGGAGGGGGTTTTGTGTGGAGATCGGCGAGTTTAAGATATTTGATGAAGTTGGGAAAGGGACATAGCTCAAGCTGATTATTTGATATGAATTACACTAAGTACATTGCGAGAAGGTATCTGACAATAGAGCAAAACAACATGACTGCTAAAAACGGAATGCCCAAATTTTGGGATCTGGCAGAATGAAACTCCCGCAAGTATTTGCAAAAAAAAAAAACAAAGGAAGATAAAACATAGATTTTGGCTGGAACAAGTCACAACACTAGACATAATGGCCACCATGTAAGCAAAGGATGGCAGATGGGTCGTGAAACATAACTCAGAGAAATGGGGTATCACAACGTCGACAGTCCCAGTCCAAGATAAGTCCAAGATATAGACTCGTAACAAGCATGAAGAAAGTAATGTGTCGTAAAGGGAAAAGATTAGAGATGCTAAAATCCGCACGCAAGAAACCGACGAGGCAAAGTCATAGATATCGCACATGGCATAATTATCAGTTGTAACCCCCGCCGCCCACAGGCAGAGGCCAGTCATCTTCGGTGATACTGCTCCAGAAGGTCCAGACCCCAGAGACAGCAAGAAGGGTGAAGAGAGTCTCGAATAGTGCTCCATTAATCTTGCCACCAGAGGCCTGGCACAGGTGGGTACTGATCACATAATTGAAGATCTGACCAATCGCGAACAATACGCCGGCTCCTGTGAGATACACTGTTGCATCATTAACACATGTGGGCATTTTTCAATTTAAGGGGGATAGACTTACACATTGGACGGAACTCGCCTAGAATTCGCAGCACCAGCACGGCTTCCAGGGCATAGAATAAGACAATGCAGATGAGTGGGAAGAGTTGGTACAGGACATAGAGAGCAATGTTGCGATTTGGGGATTGATGACTTGACTGGAAATGACCAGTCCAGTCAAACCCGGTGTCCAAGGCAATATAGCACGTTCCGATAAAGAGGGCTGCAGCAGATGCGCAGATGAGACCGATGGAAGCTGGAGTGCCGTCATCGAGCAACTGGAAACCGACAAGTGCGTTCATCAGAAGAACCCAGCAAGTAGCAGTGATTGCGGCGATATGGACCGCAGAAAATCCCTAGGTAATTCTGTAAGTCGACGCCTTTAGTCAATCGAGTGGAACTTCTTACCTTTCGAACTGCGTCGCTCAGCGGGAAGCCGCCCACGGTGAAGATCTCGCAGATCTCGACGAGGATGAAGCCTAACAAAAACAATTGCATCTCCCTACCCCGTATTGTCAGTCGATATTTCCATGTAGGAACAAGCTATCCATACCTTCGACCGACAGCAGCGTGCTTCTTGTCCGATCTCCATATCATACCCACAGTCAACACAATAGCAATGAACGCTAGCAGAATCGAACCTATCACAAATTAGCAACCCTCCTCGCATCCCGTTCCCCATCGGCCCTCGCTTTGTTGCTCGTACCTAAGTTCCGAAGGTGTCTATTCCCACTCAGAGGGATGCCGGTCAGATCGCACGCGCCGAAGGCAACAATCGCAGTATCATTGGTGAAAAGCTATACACAAGAAAGAACATCAGTGGAAATTCCATGAGAATCATCATAGGAACTGAAACGAATATCACTTACATTGCAGACTGGGAGTGTTGAGTCGCGACAGAAGTCCTGTCATACCCATATGGGTGTGCGGTCAGTATCTGCCCATTGGGCGGAGGTCGGTCTCCAGGTCGACCAGCTCTGCACCTACGTGGAAATTCCCGAATTGAGTTGACCCCATTGTGAATTGAGGCGCGGTTTGAACGAGAGGGGCAGAAAAATAAAAGCCCAGACACCGTTGACTCGCAGAGACTGTTGGGTCTTAACGACTAGGCTCAAGGTGGAAAGTGCCCTAGCCGTCGCGGAGGACTGGTCAAGAGCGACAGCAAATCTCAAGAGGGTAAAACTGGGGAGATGGCAGTAGCGAGAGAGGCGAAGCCGCGTGGATCAGAAGCAAGCTGTACGGAGAGAATCAAGAGGTGATTCCCAGCCGCGGGTTACTCGAACTGGAGGCGCTAGTGTGGCTTAGTCGAGTCAAAACATCTGAACTCTTCGAGACAATGATCCAAACAGGGGAAATATTCAGGTTCCATGGAGTGGCAACGGTGAGTCCTTGGATCCTGACACTAAGAATAGACAATCTTCTCCGCCTACATACTTATCTCATGTTCACACTATTGAATGTATGGAGATGGAGCACAGACCGATTTCTTTTCTACCATGTATGTTGTAGGTATCTCAGTGGATACTGATGTACTCCGTATCCCTAGAGGGCTAAGGTTGTTTTATTATCTTTTCTTTTTTTTTTTTTCCTTTTTTCCGTTTCGTTTGGCTTTGTTGGCTCAACCCTTGCTGGGGGACAACCTGGTCGCCAGGTCGACCAGGCCCAACACTGCGGAGTAGTCTGCCCACACTACATATACACCACCTGTTGGAGCACCCTTGATCACAAGATTTCACACTCATGTTCACTACTCATATAATGTATTATTCCTTCAAAGTCTTTGATCGAGTGAAATTTATTTAGTTTTTTTTTTTTTTTTGAAAAAAAGTAATGCCCGGCAATGTTGAGCCCCTTCGTACACTGTTCCATGCGACCTTGGAATTAGGCAAGACTTGAATATCCCAACGGTTTAGCAAACATCCTCAATCACCAACTTTTGCCCATCATGCTCGCCCAGATCAAGTTTCAATGTACGCCCAAATAGTTCTAGAAGCATTTCGAAGCAAACCTTGGTGATAGCTGGATCGTACCTACCCTTGCTAAGTTCATCACGAATAAAGGCATCTGATGAAGGAGTTTTTTATCAGCATATTGGTGCCTACAATAGTAGCTGTCAATGATGTATTCAACGTACGCTGAGCCCATGCAACTTCGTAAAAGCCGAATAACACACCCTTCTCATGGAGGGTCTTGCGGATGAGATCGCGTCCCTCGGGCGGAACGTGGTTGTCATTTTTACCAAAGATCTAGTCATTATGTTTAGCGGTCGATCGAAACGCAAACAGCACACAGTGATTGCACGATAGCAACAAGGATCAAGATTGAGACATACCATCAGCATCTCACCCTTGATATCTCCAGCTCTGTCCAAGCTATCATCATTTTTGCCCAGGGCAAGGGTTTTGCTGTGGATATCGGTAGCGAAGTAACACACGCTTGCCTTAACCCGGCTATCCAGCGCACAACGGTAGGCCAGATGGCCACCCAGACACATGCCCGTGGCACCAATTTGGCCATTGCATGTTGCCAGTGAGAGCAGATAATCTACACTGATACGAGCGTCTTCATCATAAGCTGCTAGTTTCTGATGGACAGTCAGCGTCGGAAATCAGAGAAAACAGTAAACATGCAAGTGATGCATGAACAGCATATATATTGCCTACCTTGCCAATCTTCCATGCGTTACCCTTGTCCGTGTCCTCTGCGTCATACTTCAGAGGTTCCGGGCCAGTGAATTCATGGTAGCTCGAGGGAGCAGCACATATGTACCCCTGACCTGCAATCTGACGTGCAAAACGTGCCACAGGACCGGTTACTGCAGACAGCATTATGAGTTGAGGTGCTTGGACATGATTCCAATAGAGGGGCATACAAACCCTGATAGATCTCACTAAAGACTACGACGCCAGGGAATCGCGCTTTGGGGTAACCTGGGATTGTCGGATGAAAGACATAGATGCCTACATGTAGCAGTTCGTTAGAAGGATATTGCCAAGTAGCAATGGCTCTTTAGAGAGCAGGTGCAAGTTTCACAGTAGGAATCATAATGTACATACGCATCGTCCCCTGTCCATCCGCTTTAGTAGGAACATCATAGTAGGATTCCTGGATTAGCATGATGTCTTTCTTTTGTTTCCAAAGATGTGATTATGTCGTAACAGAACAGAAAATTCAATTGGTACGAACACAGTGCTATGACCGAACGGCGAAGCCATGACCGATAACACGATAACAGGCGGGGCAGTCATGTGCTGATACTGGCTATTGTCTCAACGCATGTGCTTTATGTAGGCATATCCATTTCTTCTAGAAAATGCAAGTTATGAGTTCAGAAATGCAGCTCAATGGGCTATTTAATATCCTAAGGGTTTCAAATCTGGGTGGCCAATCGCATAGTTGCAACAGAGAGTGGGAATAAAATGGATGGCCGCGGTTTTAGGATCATCAACAAAAATCTACTGCATTATTGGTGCAGGAATTAAGAATCTATTTAACATTTTGTACATAGAATATTCTAAAGTTCTGCCGTTGAACGAGAGTCTGATCGGACCTCAAAAGAAAGAGAGAGAGAAAAACTTGGAAGCGCCTGGGGATTGAACTCTCGAGCCCCCGACAAGCCGAATGGAAAGCAGCGGGCTGCGATTAAAAGACGTACTATATAGCATACATAGTCAGCCACAAGTCCTGGCAAAAACCAAAAAAAAATTGAATCACTCACAGGGATAAACAGGTAAGGCACCTGTCGTTCATATTCAAGCCAGGTCTCCCCGTACTTGATGCGACACCGCTGAATATCACGAAGAGCACGGTGGCTGATCATGCAGGCGAAGAAGACGGGGTAGAACCAGGGGAACGGGCTTGAGAATCCGGTAATCAAGCCCCAGTTCAAGGCGAAGTAGAGATCACACGTGTAGTGAATCTTGCGGGCCTTGCCGTCTGTAAAGCTGTTAATATCGGGGCTTGTACAGTTTGGGATTTGTTGGATACACATACACCACCCATCAATAAGAATCTTGGAGCCATCAGCGGCAGTGAGAGTCTTGGGGTTCTTGACTGTTTGCCAGGGAAGCTGGGGGAACGTGTTGCGGGTAACCATGGTGCCACGTTCCTGTTGACGGAAACGATTCTTCTGGCTGTTGGTGGTATCCCACACCCAGTAGACAAAGAGATAGGCGACGTAAAGGAAGGCAAGGAAGTAGCGGTTCCACCGGTATTCGGCAGGGTCGTGGTTAGCGAGATAAATGGTACAGTGGCAGTAGCTCAGAGGCACACCCGCCAAGTTCCAGAAGATCAGCATGAAGCCCCACTTCTCGTAGTACATGTCCCTGCGAGATGTTAGAAAGTAAAGCTTTGATTGGAAGCATGGAGTAATCCTACCAGGTGGATACAATGCATTCCTCACCCTTGGAGCAAGCATTGGCGTAAAGGAAATGAGCCATAACGAGGAACATAACTTCACCGGACACATAACCGTACATCTCCCACTGGCGCGCAGCGGCACCCATAGACAGACCTAGCAGGATGTACCAGGGCAGGCGAACCTCGAAGAACATTTTGAAGTCAAGGATCTTGAACATGCGGGGGTTAAGTTCAGCGCCCATGAAAAAGTCATAGATCGGATAGCCGGTCATACGGTGCTCCGCACCACGCGCCAATGCAGAGAAGTAGGCAATGAAGGAGACGATGTATCCGGACAGGATGGCAACGCTAAGCAAAGGGCCAAACTCATCAATGATAGTGTACAGCTTGAAGAACCCAGTTACATGCGCAAGGAGTGCCAGCCCAATGCTAGTGTAGAAAGACCACACACCAGAGCAGTAATATGGCAGCTGCTTGCCACCCATATGCGGCAGCGGGCGTCCCGAGACCGACACACCGGGAAGTAGTACGTAACAGGCGCCCTCGAAGATGAAGAAAACCCAGTAAATAGTCCATGCCTTGACTGAGGGGAAAGCACCGGTGTATACCAGGTTGACCAAGTGTGCCAAAAAGTCGCCATAGCTCTCGTTCGCGGCGGGGCGAGGGAACTTGCCATCATAGTAGGTGGCACCAATCCACATGTAGTACATGAGCATGGGGAATCCGATCATCATGGATAACACACCCCACGATCCACCAAATTCGAAATGCCCGCTGTAATCTACCTTGGGATCAAGACCCTCCTCCCAGCCGTCCACTATACGCGACTGAGACTGAGGTGCGGACTTGGGGGGTATGTTCTTGCCATTGACCGCGGTCTTCGCCGGAGTACCATTCTCCTCGGTCTTGGATTTGCCTGAGGCGCGACGACGGGTGCTGGACTTAGATCCCTCTAGGGAGGGGGTATTGGAGGCCTCGTTCTCGCTGCTGCCATCCACGACAGAGGTATTGCGGGTGGTGCGGCGGCCAGGGGTCTCAATGAAGCCGGGGCGGTCCATTTTCCTAATGGAAGAAAGAAATTCGAATTAGCTTTACAAAACCTTACACTGGAGACGTCGAGGGATTGGCAAAATATAACCCTAGGGAACCCAGGATGTGGATACGTCGCAACTGAAATGAGGTGGGAACTACTCACTTGGGGGTCTTCCCCGTTTGAGAGCGGGTTAAAGTCATGGTCGCTTAATCCCAAGACCAAGGTCCCGATTGCAATTGAGGGTAAGGCGAGCAAGTGAAGAGGGTAAAAAGGAGTGAAGGCGAAAAAACAAGAGTGTCCTGAATGTTTACTTTGCGCTCCATTTGATTACATAATAATTAATTTTGAAATCATCTGCAACAACTACGCCCATGAACAGCCAACGTGCATAGATATGTATGGATATTTGTACTCTGCACTTAAACAGGGAAATACCTATCCAATCTCTACAATGCAGATGGTATTCATATCGCAAGAAAAGCAAGGAAATGTGATAGTTTGTACGGAGTAAATATCCTAGAGAAACGTGGAGGAAAGCTTCCGTTCTCTTTACGGAGTATGGAGTATACATTATGTACCTAGATAAAGGGGCTAAATAGGTAGTTCCCCTGTTTTCCTTCACAATCACCCTACATCGATAGATACAACTACTGCCCAGGTGACATTAGTCCTAATTACCGCAAATTACACCTAGGATCCCAACAAATAAGGCGATCTACAACTAATTTACAACCGATGTCCGAAAGGGCGTTCGGTTTATCCACAGATGGCTGCGTGGCTGTGTCCCTGTGAGGGGAACACTCGGCATCAACTGCCCTAAAGAGAGACAATTTACCCCTATCTTGATACCTAGGTAATCTGCTTTTATTGGGTCTATATCGGGTCGGAATTAGATTCTTTCTGCCAATTATTTCCCGATCCCTTCAGATTATGGCAGTGCTATGTTGCCGACTGTGTAAACAACTTCCCTTATATACATGTTCCTATGTTGTAGGTACATCCATGGACACCTTGGTAGCCTTCGGTAATAAGAAATGTTAGTAATAGAGATAATAACGATGTATTTATTTTGATTCAAATATGACAGAAAATCCAACAGCATATAGAATGCGGACACAACCGAGAACAGTAGGCACTAAAACAACCCGATGAACCGCTGGTGAACTGAAAGATATATGATAATATAGTAGTACATAATTGGGAAAACAAAACTCCAGATACATGCTCTTTCATACGCCAAACCTCGGGCACGGTGTAAACAATGAGGGTGAACCCTCTTGATCAAGACCTATGCCCCTCTTTGGCTGCTAGTGGCCATCAATGTAATTTTCGTCTTGTTTTTCTTTTTTTTCTTGCCTCCACTGGCCGACGGTCCATTATGTTGGTCTCCAGATGCTGTTTGAGCGAGTAGATCAGACTCCTGCTGGGCAAACAGTTCATCTTCCCAGTCCAGCCTCCATCCATCGCTGGGAGTGGCTCGTTGAGCTCCAAGGCTTGGTGACAGTGAACCCACTGCCGTTGTGCCCCAGACGGTGCGAGTTCCCGGAGGGCTTGTGGAAGGAGAGGCCAAAGCACTGAAACCAGAAGATGGGCGTGGGGGAGAGGCCGAGGAAATGCTGGCGTCGAATACCGTCGATTCAACATGGTTAGGCAGTGGTTGGAAATCACGAGCAGAAAACGGAGCTTCACTAGCGCTTCCAATGCTTGGTCGCTTGCGCCGAGCAGCAGCCCAACGTTTGTCATCCTCCTCCTTCTCCGCGCGAATGCGATCCTTTTCTTCCCGGGCTTCTTTTTCCCGATTGCGCTTTCTCCGTCTATCGGTTTCTGTGCGGAAACGCGCCAAAACCTCGGGAACAACCACGTCTCTCCAGTCGCACTCTAGAAAATTTACCTCACAACCCTGCGGAAGGTGTCCGAGATATTTCACACGCTTGCGTAGCTCATTATCCACGATATGGCCCGTTGATATGTGTTCCACTCGCGGTAGAATGGTTGCAGGGAATAGAGAATATTCTCCAAATGCAGCCTTGAGGATACGAATATCCAAAGACGAGAGATAGAACTGAGGCAAAGCCTGATAAAAATGATATGGATGGTCTGATCCGGAAGACGCCGGGGTTTGTTTGCTGCGGCCCTTCCCTTCAGATTTGGCACTAGATCCGGGATCAAGTTGGACTTCATCCATAGCTTCGGAGAGATGATCCGCTTGGTGTGGGGTAGCCGCTATCACCGTGGAGGGCGAAGAGGAGCTACTGGTGGCAATAATTGTGGCAATGCGTTCCTTGACCGGGCGGATCTCAGGCGGATTGCCAATGCCTTTCAGCTTTTCTTTGGCATCCGTGATAGAACAAATAGCCTTTCGAGTCCAAGTGTTCTCATCACCAAAAAGAAGCTCGTCTTCAACTTCCTGTCTGCTAAGGTCTTCGATTTCAGCATCATACTGAGCAGTCATATATTCTTCGCCGCCTTTCATGATTCGAGCATAGTCAGCGACTTCTGGCACATGATACCATGGGACGTCCTCGCCAGCGCCAAGCGTTTCAGATACATCACGAGGCAGAGCAAGGGTGCTACCTGACTCTCGCTTTACAAGTCTCAATACAACATCACCACCTTCGACGGGAAGATCGCCTTCTTGACCACGGAACCATCTAACAGGTCGAGTCTCGGAGATGTACACGGAGTCCCAACAGATAGGACATTTCTTCCAACGGTGCCGTTTTTCAGGGACCAGATTTTCGTCGTCAGATGAGTGCATGTATCGTATAAGGCACGGGAGACAAAAAATGTGACCACACCGTGCCATTCGAGGCGCAACCGGAGTAGACAGACAAATGGGACAGCTGGCAGCTTGGGTTTGAGCAGATACCAACACCTGAAGAACCGAGGCCCAATCGAGATGGACGTCAGCATTGGCTGCCTGGGCATGGAAATTTTGATTTGGCATCACAATGAATCGGTAATTTGCATGGACATATCGCGATTTGTCTACTGGGCCTGTTCCCCAGGATGTATAACGTCGAATGGTGCGAGATGGCGCTTGGTATTGCGGGCGAGGCGGGAGTGAAAAGTTCATTAAGTGAGTGATGGACGTCTGTCCCTTCCGACTGGTAGTTGATTTCATGGCGGCCTAGATAACGGCTTCAGGATCAGCAGGTGGCTCTTGAGCAAGATAAACCTGTTAACCCACCGATTCGTTGTACTCGTCATCATCTAAAAGCCGAGGTTTTCTCTGGCGGTTATGCTGACTCTTCCGAGCTTGATTATTCCTTGGACTCGCCGAAGTCTTCGATGGTAACCCTGGCCGAGAACTCCCAGAGCCGCCTACGCGTCTTTGGGAGCTGTTATCCGCCGGGGCCGTTGAATGAAACGGAGCAGATGGTGTTGTATTCGAAATGTTCACCGCTTTGGAAGGAGGCGGGTTTTGTCCTGCATTGGATGACATATCCCTGTAACACTTGTCGCGTATTACAGCACTTATGCTTTGCCGGATACAAAAAGGAAGATAGATGAGACAAGCCCAGTGGGTGGCTGAATGCAAGACGAGGGGGTACTATGGGGACTGGATGAACCCAGGACTGATAAGATGTCAATCAGCAAGCGGGCACCGGATCGAGCGATCCACCAGATACTTCAATTCGGATCGAAGACGTTTGCGCAGTCTGAGCAAAAGAAAGAGAACAGAACAGCGGCCATAAAGGCCATGTAAAAATAGAGTGAGGTCGAGGGACGGCCCTCAAGGTGCCAGTTGATGTAAGTGAAGGCCAATTCGCCCCTCTCTGGTTACAAATCGCAAGGTCACGTGATCCAACAGTCCCGATCCAATTCGGTCCCTTCAGCTTCATTTCACTTGATGGTGGATCGAGGCCTCCTGCACTTTTATCTTTTATTTCCCTCCATTTCTCTTCATTAGCCTCTCATTCAACTTGTTGACTCTCTCCGCCTAGAGAGTGACTTGTACAGCAATCTTTTCCTCTCCTGCCCCCAACTTGCTTTGCCAGTCTCCTTCGACCACCTAGTCACAGCAACCCAACAGCTCTCCCGACCCGGTCCTCCCTCAACTCTCTCTCTTCAACACATTCAAAAGCTCCCATTGAAGCCACGATGGCTGCCTAAATGCGCCAGCAGCTCCAGATCTTTTCTTACTCTTGACTGCTATCGCGCATGGCGCTCATTTGAGGCAACGCGTGACCGAACGTCAAGACAACTTTTCCCTCCAGCCAAGTCAAGATGAATCACCACCTACCTGCCATGCCTCATGGGCAGCCGCCTATGCCTTCCTCGAGACGCCAGCAAGAATTTTCTTACAACTCGGTGCCTCCTAACATGCGCTCCCCACAGTACATGGGGTACCCTCCTCACATGAATGGCCACATGCCTCAACCCTTTCCACCGCAGCAATATCCTTACTGGTATCCGCCTTATGGACATATGCAGGTCCCTCCACGTCCATATCAGCCAAACTATGGACCGATGATTGTATCTTCTTACCCTCACTCGCAGCCTGTCATGGCGCCCACCCATCTTCCTCATTCAATGCCCATGCATCAAAGAACTCCGACACCACTGCAACCAATTATGTCGCCATCTATCTTGCATCCATCGATACAGCCGATTCAGCCCGAAATTCAGGAGTACCCCGTGGCTCTGCCTCACTCGACTCAAGGATATCCTATCGCTTCTCCACCACCACGATGGGAGCCAAAAGCTAGCCTGCCGCCGAAGCCCACATTTACCCCACCAGTAAGTACTCATCCTTATTATAAGTTAAGCCCGAATGATTTTTTGACCGCGGATCTAGCTTCCTTGGCTCTCTGTTCCAGAGCAGACCTTCCCGGCCAGAATCCCGCGCAGACCTCGCAAGGACCGTGTTATGCAATCGGCGGTCGAACTTCCTACCAAAGACACAAAAAAGGTCGCCGAAAAAGATGAAGCTCTACCGTCGTGTTCATCTGTCCAAGAATCTTCGGAACCCCAAACCCCAACGACTACATTCCAACAGTCAGATACAGACTCGACACAGCCTACCACTCCTTCGTCAGTTGCGAAATCACAAGCCCACTCGAAAAGCTCGAAGCCTGCTCCGGTTGTTCCAGTTGTGCCCAATGTTCCATCCACCCCACGCCGCCATGCCAAAGATGGCAGTGTTGCATCTGGAACCCCCAAATCAACCGCACCTGCTACTCCTGCCCAGGTGCTAGAATCGGACAAAGCTTCTTCCATTGAAGTCAAAGCAAGCTCGCCTATTTCTGCTGCACCCAAGTCTTGGGCCGATTTGGTCCGCTCCAAGGCGTCAGCAAAAGCTGCAAGTGCTGCTGCTGCTGCTGCTGCTGCTGCTCTGGCCGAGCCAAACGGAGTACCTGCACAGAAGAATGAATCTCTTGCGCATGTTCTGAGCACCTTGGGAGAAGATGTTACACAATACAGTGATAGGATCGCATTCCTTGAACCTCGGGGGCTGGTCAACACTGGAAATATGTGCTACATGAATTCTGTGTTACAAATTCTTGTTTCTTGTACCCCATTCTACCAGTTCCTTGATCATCTTGGCCGACGTGCTGCCCACACCTTCCACAGTGATCTTCCCTTGATTGATGCAATGATCATGTTCATGAAAGAATTCCGTGTTATCGATGCGGCCACATCGGAAGATCAACTTCGTCTCAGATTGAAGCCCAATGAGTTGGAACAATATGGCGACGCCTTTGTTCCTGAGTTTGTTTATGAAATGGTCCGACAACTACCCCGGTTCAGAGATATGCGACGCGGACATCAACAGGATGCTCAAGAGTTTTTAGGATTCCTTCTTGAGGAGATGCACGAGGAGTGCGCTCGTGCTGAAAAGCATACTCTCACAAAGGAAGGTGGTGAATCTTCTGTCGATGGCTGGTTAGAGGTTGGCCATAAGCAAAAACCGGCTGTCACCCAACTTTCTGGCTCTCTTGCCGCTGAGTCGCCAGTCACTCGAATCTTTGGGGGCAAGCTTCGATCGGAATTCAAAGTACCTGGAAACAAGACTTCTGTCACGTTGGAACCCTATCAACCTTTGCAGCTTGACATCGGGTCACATGATGTTCACAACATTCTTGATGCGCTTAAAGGATTAACGAAGCCGGAAAGCATCCAGGGTGATTTCAACTCGTCACGCGGTCCTAACATCACTGCGACCAAACAAATTTTCATTGAGACCTTGCCGCCTGTCCTCATTCTTCACCTCAAGCGCTTCCAGTACGATAATGTTACAGGAGCTACCCAGAAGATATGGAAGAAGGTTGGATACCCTCTGGATTTGGAGCTTCCGCGGGAAGTTTTCCCAGCTCATCGGCGTAATGCCATGGCGGCCCAAGGAGGCCCCCCCAAATATCGCCTCATGGGTGTCATTTATCACCACGGAAAGAATGCTAGCGGCGGACACTACACTGTTGATGTCCGACGCCAGGAAGGTCTGGAATGGATCCGTATGGATGATACTGTTATTCGTCGCGTTCGCAGCGAGGATGTGGCTGAAGCTGGTGGCGAGGAAGATCCTAAGGTTCTCGCTGCTGCCCTTGAACAACACAAGCACAGCAAGATCCCCAACGGCAATATTTTCGACCACATCGATCAGGATGAGATGGATTCAACTGACAGCGACAAGGGATGGAGCCAGGTCAATGGCAATGGCACTAGCGGGCATTCAAGCAAGAAGTCTGTGAACGGAGTCACTCCATCCCCCGGTCATTCCTCAGGCATCCGAACTCCACTGGGCCGCTACGGCTCGCGTGACAACAAAGTTGCCTATCTATTGTTCTACCAGCGAATGGATTGAGACTTCTCGTCCAAAAGCTTCGCCATTGGGCTGGGCGTCCGCTCTTCACCGACGCATTGAAAAAGCTCCTTATCCATACATCACCAGACACATCAAGTCTTGTGTCTTTCACAAATTCATGCATTTTGACCCTCATTTGCAAGGATTTCCTCCTGCATGCATCGCAGGCCATACATAACGTCCATGGACCCCAGAGTCTGGTCCATTTTCGTGTTTACAGCTCACGTTTGCACATGAAACACACATCAAGCTGAAGTCATCTTGGAGAGAGGATTACAGTCTAGGGGATGGCGGTCCCTTGATATGCACCTCTTGCCAAATGCTCGTTCATCATATCCCACTTATCCCACTTCTACTTCAAAAAAGGCATTTACCCAGGCCCCGTTTTGACATCTTTGCTTTCCCCCCTCCCCCTCGGTGTCACGAACAAAGTCATTTGATATTCCATAACTCCTTGTCTTTGGGCCACTTGTTTTTTTCTTTTCCCCGCCCATTTTTCTATCTATCTCTGGGCTGTATTCTATGGGGTGTCAACGCGGTTTATACCCTTCTCCGTTTGCTCATGGATACATTCTTCAAAGCCATCTCAGTTCTGTCACCATCCACAGACAGAAAAGAATTGGTCTCCGCGGGCTATTCCTAGCAAATTCACTTTTCATGTGCTTTGCCATGTCGTTCGACTAATGGCGTGGACACAGGAGATATTGTGATGAAGTCACGAATTTCCTTGTCTTGATCTTGATCTCTTTGTCTGCATAGAAGGCGGGGTGTTGATGAAGGCTGTGGATTCAGCCTGGTGCGTCGAGGCATTATTGCTCTTGGGGGGAAAGAGGGAGGAGTTGAACAGCGAAGTCGGGGATGAAGGGAGGAGTGGTGGATATTGGCTTGTGCGAGAATAGTACCAGGTGTGGTATGTCCAAAAAGCCTGATTTTACCAAAAAAAAAATTTCAAATGAAGTTTCTCTCAAGTCCCTTCTTTCATCATAAGACATAGTTTGATTTGCTTTAGGACCTACATACCTAACTCTGTCTAGTAGTATGTTATTCATACACGGTATCACATAAAATGACCTACAAAACTGGACATTTAAAATCAAGCATGGAAGACAGGCATTGTAGCCTCATCTGGTATTTCCACGGCCTCATCCTCCACAAATTCAAACCCGAGAGCCCTCCAATTAAGCTCCTTTCTCCAATGCAGCCCATAGTATTCCCTCTCATGCTGTCCATCAACTATGCAAGTCCCCGCTGATGCAGCTTGACCAAGCTCGTCGACTACAGGAGCAACAACTGGCTCAGAAGCAAGCCCGCCACTTTTCAATCTCCCGCGTCTGGGGAAGATAACAGCCCGGAACCGGGATAGAAGCAGGCCCATAGAGCAGCATAGACAGGGTTCATGGGAGAGATAGACGTCGAGGTCTGTGCAAAGGTAACCGCCTTGCGAACGGGTGCGGATACGCCGAGTATCAGGAGTTGTAGCCGAGATTGGAGGCTCTGCAAGAACCGTGGTGGATGGGGGAGGACCCGGAAGCGGTGCGTGGTAGAGTTGAGATTTGGAAGGATCTGCGGAGGGGTCGATAGCTAAGTCGGATTCGGGGTTTGGATCTTCGTGCTTTCTTTTCAACGGAGAAGATGGGGACTGAGAAGGGTTGGGGGGATCGGGACGGTAGCGATATAGAAAGTATGATTCGAGGGCACTCAGTTTGGCGAGTGTCTCTGGCTGTTGCTGTTCTTGTTCTGACTTCAACGATTCTGACGCAGATGTCGATACGGGTATGCCATCAAGAGGATCATGTTCCCGTCGCCAGCGAGCAACCAGGTCAACTGCACGCATTAGTGCGTGCAGCTCAGGCCCACCTTCGACATCCGCATTGTAAGTCTTGCTCGCTGGGTTTGGCGCCACCTCACCATGCAGCTGTGCTTGGGATGGCGCCCCCGCCTCGGGGCGGGAATACCGCGCATCACCGGCAACTGCGATAACAGCCTCGTCCCATTCAGCTGTAGTGTCCTCATACCCGGCCTCATAGCTTGCCTCGACCATTTCTTCTTCAATGGCAGGGTCAACTATCACTGCGCCTACGCCGCGGCCGAGTCCAGATTGCTCTGCTTCATCTGCTACTTTGCGTGCGAGGGAAAGATAGTACCCTGCCCGCGGTTCAATTGATTCCTGCGCGCGTTTCAGGGTCTGAGGGGGAGGCGCGACAGTTGAGCGGGGTGCGGCCGGATTGAAGACGACAGGCCAGAGTGTCTTGGTCCATGTTTCAGCTTGAGTTAGGTTGAAGGGGGGATAGAGGGGGATTTTTATGGAGTGAAGATGAATGTTCGGTGCTGAGGAATCGGAAGACGATGTCTCATCTGATATTTTTTCTGTGATGGGAGAATCGCTTGTAGCGGCCGGCGTTGTGTTCGGCGCAAACGGAGCGAGCAGGGCTTTGAGTGTGGCGAGATCAGGTAAAGGTGGTGAGATGAGAACGAAGATAGTCTGTGCTGGGGCTGATGAATTTATGCTGAGGCTTTCAATTGTTGTCCTCAACGGTAGTGGGAGTATCTCTTTTTTGGCGAAGCGACGGAGGTGGGCTAGCGGAAGAGAAGGATCTCTAGGGAAAGCCGAGTCGAGAGCCCTAAACAAGGACTTAGGACAGTGTCCAAATCAGTGAAGCACCAGAGATCATAACTTACTTGATCACTTTGGAGGCAGACTTCACATTAACTTCTGCGACAAACGCATCGGCTATCTCGTTGGTCAATCAATCGTGCCGCAAGAAATTGATGATGTGGGCCATACCGAATTCTTCTTGGGGTCTTGTCTCTTGGACTGTTCGAATTGGGACCACTTCTCCAGCTAGAGGCTTCAAATCCCTGATTGCTTCTTCGATATCCATCTTTGCCATCCCAATTGGTGCACTCTCCGCGCGGGGTTGAGATAAAGTATTGGTATGCTGGACAGGTATAAGCAATGGCACCAGAGAAGTAACTGCAATTGACAATGCCTTTGAACTGAACGCGTAGACCCCAAAATCACACATTGACCTCAATCATTCCGCAAAAGAGAAGGTATTCCGGCGAGGACATGAAGAAAAGCAAGAACGTTATACAAAGTTGGAAGCAAACAGTGCAAATCCTGCCTTATATTGCCGCTAGACCGCTTTGGGTCATTATAGCCCATACATTTTCAGCCTTTTTACATGTGCGCAATGTCTAGATGTGCTTCGAGGAAAAGAAAATGGCCCTCTGAGATAAAGAGTCACCGGTGAGTAAGACATTAGACGAGAGGCTTGATCACTGGAAATGGATATGAGCATGTAGCAATGGCAATTGCTGTAGTTGTACCCCACACTCTCAGCCCTATAGAACAAAGAATGAACATGAGAGCAAATCTACGGCAGAGAAAGCCTTTTCTAATTAAATGCTCGGGTTTTGAGTATTAGTGTCCATGTGGAAATTTTATATGTATCTAGAAGCAGAAGAAGAAGAATGTGAAGACGACTGGTAATTAGCTCATAGATATCACCCCATCATCCCACAAGACATCAAACGCCGGATGCGCTGGTGAGAAAAAAAAAAAGAAAAACATTCGCTGAAAACAAGGAACAAGAAATTGCCCATCAACCTTTAGTATGTTTAGATAGACCCCTGTTCTAAAGCGCCATATCCGATGCGTGTGCTCCTCGATATTAGGATAAAGAAAAGCAATGGTGCATCAAAAGCTAACACCATCACCCCCCCTTAATGCAAGTGGTATGTATTAAATGACACCGCCAATGGCTCGGCGGGCAACGGACAGAAAAATCCATTCATCTATGGCTGACTCGAGACCGGCCCGAGTGGTCCAGGGTAGAATGTAATTTGTGCAGATTCCGCAACGGCATTGTCATTGCGGCGCATTGAAACCAGCCTTACGCTGGAACAGGACCGGCTGCTGGGGCGATACCAGTTACACCGGATTTAGCACTGCCATTTTCACAGATGCCTTCGATTTCGAACCCGTCGCATCGATCAACGAGGCTCTGATAGTAGTCCACCAACACTTCTGGCTGTGGAACTATGCGCCATTCGACCCGGAACAAGAAATCAAGTTCGAGCATGGCTAATTCCGCCATGCCAATTCCGCCAACTCGAGCATAGGTCTTGTTCGTCCAAAAACTATCGCTGAGTCCCTTGCTAGCAACTGTGGCGCTGGTAATTAGGAACCGATGGATAGTCAAACTGGAAACGGTGAAAGCGGGATACAAAGCGCAGAGCCGATCGATATAGTACACCATGCTGAGGAGAATCGGAGGCGAGAGAGTGGCGTGCGTCGTCAAGCGCTGCAAGTAGTCTAGCACGGAGATTCGGGGAGGAGAGCGCGAGTGGAATCGAGTCAAACGACCCTGATGCAGTGGGATCTTATCGTTGAATCGAATCAACTCCATGAGCATGCTGGAGATCAGCACCACCATGTCACGGGGATCGGCTAGTTCGTATTGGGTGGGCAACATCTTTACATCCGGTCTAGAGGGTCGCAGGCGCTTGGACTGCGACCTCTCTAGATCGTGACCATCGTAGTTCGCCGGCGTCGCATCGGATGAGTGATGGTCGCTTTGGCTGTTGCGCTTATTGGAACCCGAAGTAGGGGCGGGCATCGTAGGGGCGGAGGAAACTGGGGGTGGATTTGTAGGGGCGGCAGTCACCGTTGTGACCGCAGCAGGGGTGGAAATAATGGCTGATTGGGGTACGGAAGCCAAGGCCGGATTGTTGGCAACTGTCTTCAGGGTGTCGGTAGATGTAGATGCGCGTCTGCGTTGAAGATCCCCTGAAGTCTCAGGAGAAGTGGGATCGACAGTGTGCCGATTCAAGGCCGAACGAAGTTCCTCAATGGCCAAACGTGAGGATCGAGGACTATTGAATTGTGGAGCACCAGTAGGCTCATAGTGGGAATGCGAATGCGTCCCCGAGGTTGAGGGAAGTGGGGAGCGCAATGCGGCCGCTGAAGGCGAGGGCGAAGATGCCAACATGATTTTGGGGTGATTAAGTTAGTAAGGAATGCTGGGAATCCGAGCATTCACAGTGTAAGGTTAGACCACGTGGGTGCACAGTCAACGGGGCGCTGACGCTGTGTATGGTATGGGTGCACGGCCGGCCTCATCCTCAGAGGCTTAAAGGTCGAGAGGAAAGTAAAGCAAAAGAGCAGGGTTGTTGGGGTAGATGTAAAGAAAGAGGAGAAGAGGGGGTGTGGCCTGGGAATATTACTCCGAATGACCTTGGACAAAAGAAAACCAGAAAGGGGGCGAATGCCTTGAAAATCTTGTTCGTTGGTGAGGTAATTACGCTCATGTTGTCAGTGGCTGGATTGCTTTCGGTGACCATACCGTTACAGTACAAATGTATTTTTGTTATAAATCGCTCTTACAGTCAGTAGACATAAGTATTTGCACCCCCGCCCCACACCTGTAGTATTACATAATATTCTGCCGGCATAAAAACAATCGCACATATCATGATTGTCTCTAATAACCAGATATAAATGCAGGGAATTGTGCCAGGAGGTAAAAAGATGATAATCTGGGCTATCGATCTCGAAAAAGCAGTTTTATCTACAGTTTGAGGGCGCTCTACTCATAAACACTATCCGTGTCAAGAAGGCGGTGTAGGCGGTGAATGGTGTGGGGCCGATGGGGGTGCAAATACTTATGTCCAGTCACTGTATATTAAATGTATTGCACAGTACGGAGTACCTGCTCTGTACATGTAAATGCATACACGATAGGTATTCAATATTAGTCCTATGTGTAATAAGAAATCTACATAGCTGACCCATTGGGGTAAGTTGGTCTATATGGCTGCTGGAAAGATCCCAATGACCCAAATCATACCTAGGTAGTTCTGAATCTCTGTTTAACCTGTGCTTTTTCTCCTTGAGTACGGAGTAAATGCATCGTTAATACAAGGTGTACCCTTTTTTTAAAATCTCTTTGGGCAAGAAAACAGTAATCAGTCGTACTATCGAGAGAGAGCTTAGCTAGCTCCATAGTTTAATATGTAACTGTATTGGGTACTCGACCATCTTAGGTATGCACCTAGGTACTTCTAGCAGATTGAGGATCTCACGACAAGCGGGAGTGCCTTGGGCTATCATACTCTAGCTGCATCTAGTTAGACTGCCAAGGATTTTCATTTATCAAATCCTGGTCCCTCCGATGGATGTATATACACTGTACGGAGTACTTCAAGTAGCACCTACATGCAGGTAGGTATGTACGGAATATGTGAAGAGGAGTTTCTGATCTATGATGGCTGATAATCCTCTCCATGTGTCTCATTAGCCACATAAAACTTGAATAGAAACATGAGATAACAACCTCAACACATATGGTGTGCACTGTGCGGTGTATATCTACTCCTTATGGAGTACATGGCATGCAAATATTGGGGGAGTACATACTCCATATTCACTATATATGTAGAACATAGGAAGAAAGAGTGTGTAATCAAAGTAGAGAAGCCTGGTGAGACCAGAAAATCAAAACATTGCGAGGTATCGGAGTACAACAAAGTGTATAGGTGCAAAGGTGAATGTGTGGAAGGAAATCTGGGGACCGCTTTTCGAGGCGGTGTCAGGCAGCAGAACCAAAGTGCGGAGTACCTTAGGCCCCGGTCTACAGTTCCGGCTTGCCACCAGACACCCTGTTCTACATAATCTTCATATTGACGCATTCAATATTCTTTACCATTCAATCATAACTTGCCAACCTCGATTAACGCAAAAGGTGCAACGCTGAGAACTCCCAGTCGGGAGGGGGTGATCGCCGGATGATGACGCGAGCTGCCGTACCGCCCATTCTGCTGGAACTACAGAGCGCTGAATCGGCCTGCTCTCAGATTGTAGCTTTGCGAACACTGAAGAATGAATTAATTGGTCATGATCAACGCAAGGAAGCCTACATTGCCGGGGGAATCATCCCGGCTCTGGCACACGTGCTGAGCTCGAGATGGCCAGGAACGGGAGACTTTGATGAATCAATATTGCATCAAGACCAGTTCACACCAAAAACCGCAGATGATTATGAAGCATGCCTACAGGCAATTCTAATTATCGGAAGCTTAGCACAAGGTATGTCAACGCCAGGTTCACATTCGAAGAAGCTTGCTGAGACATTGACTTTACTGAGCAGGTGGCCCGACATTTCTCACCCCACTATTTGCCAGCGATATACCCCCCAACCCTACTTACAGTTCTCTCGTCCTCCGATTGCCCAGATTCATTTTGTCTGCCCATTTTGCGACTTTTGAACACAATTGCGGATCGGATACCGCTACAGAGCCAGGAACAGTGGCCCCGGGATACACAGCTTGCGGATCTTGTTTTTGCTCCTGCAAATATCACCTCTCTCAAACGTATCATCTCGCAGGAGTACAAGAGCTTGCGTAGCCAGACTGCCATCGAATTTGCAGCTGCCCTGATCGGCAAGCTATGCACGGAGGAAACTCACAAGACTGCATTAGCAGAATCTGGGGTGCTAGACGCTTTGGCGCTCAAAATCGCCTCCTTCGTTGTGGCCAAGGGTTTCGTTCTGCCTGGCGCGGAGGATCATCTTCGAGAACCCGGTGCATTGGAAAATCTGCCACTCCCGGCTCCTGAATCTGCCCAACTAGCACCGATCCTGCGCGCAGTTGCTGTCATTATTGAACAGTCTAAATGGAGAGCCGAGCACTTCTTGTCATCACCTGGTATTGTAACTGTGTTCCCGAAACAAATTCCTGGGTTTGCCCCATCAGACATCAAGAAAGGTCCATGGGGATCCACATATTTATCGGGCTCCGCAGTACCCCGTCATCTTGGCGCCAACCCCATGGAACAGCTTCTGCCTTCGGTGCCTTTGGCACACACAAAATCCTCATCCAACTCTGCCAACTTTCCACCTTTGGGACATGGGGGCTCACAGCGCCGACACAGCCATTCTTACCCCACGCCCTTTTCGCTGCCTGAGACTCCTATTCCAGAAGATGAAGAGAATCCTATTGTTCCATGGCTTCTCTGTATTCTCCGCTCAGAAAGTGGAATGGTACGGTTGGTGTCTGCGCGTCTTGTCACAGTGCTTTTCCGGTTAGGATTGGCGAAGAAACACCGCATCCCAATGTTCAGTTATTTGTTGATCCCTATCTTGATTCGCATGCTTGACAAGGACTTTCGACTGCCAGATGAAGAGGGGGCTAATTACGATGGGCTACTCTCGCCGACCCAGCGCTTAAAGGAAGAGGCGCCTGCCGTGTTAGCAAACTTGGTCATGGACGACCAGGAGTTGCAGAGACATGCAGTAGAAGGCAATGCGCTCAAGCGACTGTCACAACTTCTCAAGGAGACATACAACCCAATCACGGAGCATTCGCGGCCGATGTGGCATGCCGAGGATGCCCCAGCCCGGGATCCCGAGTCCCTGTCACCGGAATGCCGACTCGGGCCTTCCGGTTATTCCCCGACCCTTTGCCATGTAATGCGCTATCGAGAGAATATTCTCAAGGCTTTGGCAGCACTTGTCCCATTCAAGGACGAGTACCGCAAAGCAATTTGCGAGCATGGTGTAGTTCCTTACATCATTGATGCTCTTAAGCCAAGACCTAGTGATGCATTGGCTAATGCTTCAATGCCCAGAAATACTGCGGAGGACGGGAATCCAATTCCAACAATCCTGGCTGCTTGCGGTACAGCCCGAATGCTGACCAGATCTGTGAGCGTGCTGAGAACCAGTCTCATTGATGCTGGGGTGGCCAAACCGCTGTTTGCTCTTCTTAGCCATTCTGACTTGGAGGTGCAAATTGCAGCGACGGCTGCGATCTGTAATTTGGCTTTGGACTTTAGTCCCATGAAAGAGGTTTGTCGATGCCTGTTATTTTGTCCACGAACTTGGTAACTAACATCATTTTCTTAGGCCATCATCTCCTGCAATATCATCCCCATTCTTTGTGAACACGCCCATTCATCAAACATCAAGTTACAGATTGAATCACTATGGGCTCTTAAGCATATGGTTTATGACACCGCAAATGATATCAGAATGAACATCATCGAGACTTTAGGTCCTGACTGGATCATGGGGATCATCTCTCAAAATCCGGTCCAGGCAGTGGCTCGACGGGAAGAGGAAACAGAAACCGAAACAGACCTCAATTCGGGGTTCGCCATGGGACGCTCTAACTCAGCAGGTGAACAGGTAGATATTCTCAATCCCATGAGTGATGCAGTGAAGTGGGACGAAGACCTCAAAATGACCGATACGATGCCCCCATCCAAGATGAGCCTGGATATGTTCCTTCCCGATGCAAGGCGTAGACGCAAGCTCGCCCTACACGGCACTTTGGCCCAAACTACCCAGTCTCGACAAGACGATATTGCCGTCCAAGAGCAGACGTTCGATTTGCTGCGCAACATGATCTGCGGCCGGGATGCGCCTGAGATGATTGAATATCTCTTCCAAAAGCTCGGTCAAAATGACTTCCTCGATACCATCGCAGATACTCTGCGGCCACGCACCATCCAACTTCCTCATCGTCGGGATTCCGGTAGTCAAACCGTCCAGGTCCCCAATGAGATCATCAATGCAGCCGCCGCTCTTATTATTCACTTGGCAGCCGGACACCCCCGCCACCGGCGTATTGTTACATTCCACCGCGACTTATTGCTGTCCTTGAGCAACTATTTCAATCATTCTCACAAAGATATTCGGTCGAACTGTGTCTGGGTGGTTATCAATCTCATCTATGAAGAAGACCAGAGTGACCATGAAGGTTGTCGGGAACGCGCAGCTAGACTTCGTTCTCTTGGTTTTGCAGAACGCTTGGCTAGTCTTGAAGATGACGCGGAGTTGGACACGAAGGAGCGCACAAAGACTGCACTGCATTTGTTGAACAAACTATCCCCTGCTTAGTTAATATTGTTGCCATTCGGGGGAAGTTCTGGGTGGGTGGAGTATTTCGTGGAACAGATGGGCCTTTCTTTTACTGTGACTAACATGTCTCATAATACAAATGAGGATAGGATTTAGTAAGGTTTCAAATGCATATTTGTCCGAAAGCCGTGGGAATTCTCTCTCGAGGGACGACGCACGTTGCAGGGCCTTTAAGATTTACTCATTTCCTCGATCGTTCCAATTCTAGTGCCTCCTGCTCGCCTAGCATTCCCGAGACCAATCTCCTCTTCCCTTCGCTTGTCGAGTATAAGAAAGAGCCTTTAAAGTTCCCCTTGCAAGCTCCACCCATATTGGCAGATATTAAGTCATTCCTAAAGCAAAGCATGCCAGGATACTGAAAGTGAGTGCTGCCATCTCCTTGGCTCTCACGTCTAGATGGGTCCGGGATTATTCCAAGCTAGCTGGATACATCTATGTAGAAAACGTTTGAACCAATCTCGTTTTCTCTTTGAGATCCGTAATATTCACCATTTTGGTGTTTTGATTGGCCCTAGCAATCAGGTCTACCATCCGTAGTTGTGTCATTATGAAGTATCAGGTACATATGGGTTGTATTTCAAAGCCAACCTTCATATGGGGTGTCTTTCTTGATCCTCTTCCCCTTCTTCCACCAGCCATCCGACAACTTCGAGCATTGCTTCCAGAATAGTCTTCAGCTTTTATCTCAGTCTCACCAAGATGGCGAAACAGCAAGAAATCCGCAGCATGGATTGTGATCGTGATAGCAACCACAACCTTGATTTTGATGGCACTTTCCTTGAAAGCCTACCACCTTCCATCACAAGACATACGTACTACAACGAGGAGCAATTGTTTGATACTTTGGAATATGAATTCGCTCGCTTCGAAGCCTCATCAACTGAAGCGAGTTCATCCTTTTCCATGCAAGCAAAAATACCATCGAAGCCCTTTTCAATCCGCCAAACGAAGAAAGTCCTATTTCCAAACTTTGTACCTCATTTGATACCAATGAACAGCTGTTCCTTATCAGGATGCCTTTGACACCACATGGTGCAGCAACCACTGTTGTACACACTATGCTAACCCACTCCCTGATACCAATGGGACTTTCTCTTTCTCTCCAAGGATATCCAGGCGTGACCGTTAGAGGAGGTAGCCGAGGAAAACAACCCGACCATGGCTGGGCCCCAAAAAGAAGAGCGCGTGGTGCATTTAATTCGCCCTCGGTTGTTCTGGAGGTTGCATACTCAGAATCGGACGCGAAATTGAAATCGGATGTCCGATTTTGGCTCAATCCTAACGAGTGCAGGGCCAACCTATGCTTAACACTCCGGATTCACAAGTCGCGCCGGGAAATCCGTATTGAATCCTGGACTACACAGAATAATAGAATCCACCGCTCTCATGTCACTTATATCACAAAAAAAGGGAGACACACCAATGTCAGTGTCACCCATCATCCCTTCACCATCCCATTCGAAAGCCTCTTCTGTCACCGACCATCTCGTCCCGGTGAGAAGGATATTGAGTTCTCACAAATACAACTTGAGGAAATCGCAGACTCGATTTGGCAAGCCCAGGGCTGGTAGATGACAAAAAATATAACAAGTTTGGCTAGCTCTTGAGGAGAAAAAGATCCCACATCCGGGATTACTAGGTAACCTCCCGTATCATCCCATCCTTTCATTGTTTCTTGCAGTAACAGGCTGCAGACGATAGTGCGCCAGATACACATGCAGGGTTGGATCAGGCTCGGCAAGAACTTCTGAATCATCCCAAAGGCACTGCACCCGTGGGTGTTTGACGAGTTTAAGCATGGTGGACTGGGAATACCTGGGAAGGGAGATGGTCAACATGAAGCAATCTGGAACCGCTGGAGAATCTAGCTGATTGCTATAGAGAGCAGAAAAAGTATCAAGGAGACCACCAGTGATTTGAGCATTATCTTCTCATCTATAAGAGATCTGCGGACAACACGGCTCAAACCGAGCTGGCTAAGGCAACAAGGGGTAGTCGCGGGGTTCCCCAAAGCACCAGTAAAACCATAGATTACCAGAGAAAGACAGCAATTCTATGCTATTTGTGTCTCTTTCATACAATCAAATCGTTTATGATTTCTCGTTCAGCGCGTAGGTACTAGGTACACTTCGGGATACGGGACAATGCATTTCCGATAGGTTGGCACGTGACCCAGCATCCCCAGCTTAGCACGTGATCGCGATATCGATTCAATCACTTGTTGCGCATCTTCTGCTTGCAACTTCCAAGAACGTTGCTCAATAATCTCATCTACCTAGCAGTGTCGAAAAGCTATCATGGCACGAAAACTGAGGGATGAATCTCCCCGTGGGGGCTCAATGCTGGAATCCCACTTGGCACCTCCAGCCATCCATCCGTCTTTTATACAGGTGGCCAACCCATATATCTTCGAACAAACAGTTGAAAATTGTATCGAAGCGATGGGTGTCAATCCTATTCGTGAGACTTCACTTCGCCTGCAGGGCGTCGCATGGATCGACGGCGTGCGGAGAGCACTCAATCTGTAAGTTGACTCCAAGCCAAGCAAAAGGCATCATTGGACTGACTGAACACTTAGGCCCATTCGAACTTTTGATACGGCGGTAGGATACTACCACCGCTTTCGGTTGGTACACCCAGATAACGAGTATAACTTCACAGTGAGTTTCCCTCAGAGTCTCCCCAAGTACATTTATCTAACCAAGCAAATAGGATGCTGCTGCAGCTGCTCTATTTACAGCATGCAAGATCGAAGATACGCTCAAAAAGTCACGAGACATCGTTTGCGCAGCCTACAACTTAAAATTAGCACCCTCAGAGCACTTGTCGGCTGATGATCCTGTAAGTCATGATGCCCGATCTGACCAGACAGGGGATTAACGCTTGTCATAAGATGTTTGAAGCCAGTGCGCGTGGCATCATCGGCCTTGAACGACTCATGTTAGAAGCATCCGGCTTTGATTTTCGAACACGACATCCCCAGAAGACTCTCATGAAGTTGGGTCGGCACTATGGACTTCCCCAGAATTCGGAGGTCTCCAATCTTGCCTACCGTATTTCGTCAGATCTCTATCGTACATTCTCACCTATCAAGCAAAATTCATCGACGATGGCTTTTAGCTGCCTTGAGCTTGCAGGTCGACTCTTGGATCAGCGTATTGAACAAGTGGAGTCCGGAGTGGATTATGCACAATGGAACACAGGCCGTGCAGAGATTATGGGTATGTTCCGCTCTACACTTGCCTTGAAGATCCCACTTGCTGATAATGCTCTAGAAACTCTCTTCGATATTCTAGAGCTTTATACCCATCATCGGTCACAAACCACCGTGGGCTCCGAGTTCCCAGCAGATCGGTTCCTAACAGTCCGCATCCCACTCAATCAAGAAGCCAGCGAACAACATATTCCACGATATAGTCCGTGGATTGAGCAGCCGCAAAAACAAGCGAACGGCACCGATGGCACACACCAGGAGGCCCCGCGACTAGCTCATCCTTTAACACCAGTTGCGGCGAATGGGGACCGCCAGGGAACAGGTGAGCGAGGTCGTGATGCGGCTGTGCGATTCATGCTCGATCCTGCATGTGCAGACGAGGAGAGACGACAGGTAGCAACATATTTCAATGTGGAAATGGAAGAATATGAAGTCGAGGGGGTAAGAAAATGGTCTTTGAATGTGCGTTTCCCGGCACCTGGCGTGCCAAATGCAGCGAATCGAAGCCCCACGAATATCTTGCTTGTTTTTCTGAATCAACATCATGGAATGCCAGAAGGAGCTTGGTATGCAATGAGTTGGGACGATACCTGAAACTTCTATATATTCTATGCATTATTGGATTTCACTGAAGACACCCCGGCAATAGTGACTCGGTATCCTCCGATCACCTAGCTTGGCGTTGGGATATGGCATTTTCGCTACTCCCAGATGGAGATCTTATCCGCTCTACTCCAAACAGACGGGCGAAACCTTCGAACTTTTGTTCAACAATTTCGGACCTGATCTGTGTCGGAGATCCCAGAAAAATGGTCAGGATCTGGAACAACATGCCCATCTGTCTCCATATGCTACACGAATTCCTGATACCCCAACCATCTATGACCCGCGACGAAATATCAATGGCCACTTATGTATGTAGTGCAATGACAATAAATACCTATTACTGATAATTTACGTCTTTCTGTGCTCGACATAGGGTATCAGAAGCATTACAAAGAGAGTTTTATTATATTATTACAACGAACTTAAGGGTTCTTATCAGCCTTGAAAATAGAGCTATATAGCATCTGGCCAGACTAACACGAACCATAAAACACCCTTTATACAATACCTAGACAGAGGAAATGACGACATAAATGAGCAAGATGTCAGAATATCCGCGGTTAAAAGCAAAAGAAAAAGGATTTATATTATACAAGAGACGACTATGCCATCGGTATCATATGATCAGCTTCAACATGTGAATTGACAGCTATGTACAAATCTACACTCTGTCCCCTCCACGCATCCAAAAATAGCGAAGGTAGAGACGAGAGTGCTGGGGCAAAACACAGACATGCCCCCGACATCTCCGTTTTTCTACCGCTCCTGTAGAGAGATGATTCCATTCCACACACCAAAAAATATAGCAGAGCTCCAGGTCAAGATCGACCGAGCGGCACACGAGTCATCAAAGTTGGGTTCGGTCCAGGGCCCGGCATAATCAGAAAGAGAAAAGAAGAGAAGAGAAATAGTACTAAACAAAGGTACAAGAACACAAACTAGGACACGAAGAGAAAGAGAAAAAGTCGTCCCCGTGCCTCCGGCGTGGAAGACTTTCGGTCTTGACAGTAATTAGGGTCCTTGCCATAGATCATTTTATTGAGGGTTGATGCCGTGTTGAAAGGCGAGTAAGGCGGGCGGGGCGCATATATGTACATGACATGCATGCGATATCGAGGCTTGCATGCATATTCGGTGAACCCAAATCAAGTCCCGAATGAAGCAAGAAGAAAGAGGAGTGAGGAGAGTCGACACGACAGAAACAATCAAAGGAGGAAATGCAAGGGGAAGCACGGGGTTGAAGGGTCGTCCTCGGATAGGGAAGTTGAAAGTAAAAGAACAGTGTCATAAAGTTGGGTGGTTTTTTTTCGGTCTGAATGCCGGACAGCCTTTTCAAGCTCATCGACGCTTAAGCTCGGTGACAAGGCACTCCAAAATCTAGGGGAAGTTAGCCACACGATCAATCAGTTGTAGCCGGTGCGAAAACATACCGATTCCGAGACGGCACCTTGATTGTACAAATATTTGCCCAAGCCACGGACGACCTCAAGCTGCTCGTCAACCGTGAGGCCGTTGATGGCTGTCTCGATAATGTCACCAACACTGGCCTTGTAGATAGCAATGAAGCTGTGGAAGTACATGTAAGAGAAAAAGCCCATGATGAACTGGCAGTCCATGCGGTCAGTGATACCGCCGTGGCCCGGAATGGACTCGCCGAAGTCCTTAATCTTGAAGGTACGCTTCAGGCCGGATGCAAAGAATCCACCGAACGGAGCGATCAGCGAAGCAAATGTGGCGAAAGCCAGGATGTGGAACTGAATGGGCTCCACCCAGAAGGTCTTGTCCAAGCCAAAGAAATCAAGAGAGTAGGGTTGCGCCGTAAAGACAGGGTTAGGAACACACTCCAGACCGGTCAGAACGTTTGAGCCCAGGTCATTGACAGGGCAAATGAAGTACTTATAGCGGATGAGCAGGTTAGTCATGAAGTAACCAAAGCCAACGGTGCAAATCCACGCGCCCACGAAACCCTCGACGGTTTTCTTGGGGGAAAGCTGAATGAGCTGGGTTCGCCCAAAGCTGATACCGCACACGTAGGCAAAGATATCGTTGGTGATGACTAGTGCAGCAGGGAGGAAGAACCAGATCATGCCCTCGAAAATGTTGTTCATCACAAAATGGGCTTGGACAATAATCAGATACAAAGCCATATGAGTCCAAGCAAATTGAGTGAATTGGAATCGATAGTGTCCCTTCTGTAGAGATCCGACAAAGAACACGAATCCTATCCAGCGATGTTAGCAGAGAAAAAAAAGGGGGGGGGGGGGAGGGGGGGGGAAGGTCGAGACACTTACCCATGACGTAAAGCGTGAAGCTGATGAAGCGGTGGTGGTTCGCTAACGGAAGCAGCACCTTATCAACAAGCAAAATGTGCTTGAAGTAGTAAATCACACTCTCTCCGTACAGAAAGTACATGGTTGTCGCCAAGAAATACCAATTTAACGATTTTGTGAACCGCAAGTTCTTCTCCTTATTGGGGATATTGGCGATAGCGATGACTTCCTTGAATGAGATGATCTGAATCCCAGTAATGAGAGCAATGATATAGATGTGACCAGAGAACAAAGCAACGAAGAAACCGGCAATCATCACAAAAGTCCATATCGTTCGAGTGATGAAAGTCTGCTTCTTCTTCTCATATTCAGACTGAGGAGCCTTCTAGACATAAACATTGTGTCAGACATGTACTTTAAGGCCATATATCGAGCGCCACTCAAAACTGACCTCTTCAGCAACAGTGGGTGATTTGGCCCCATTGCCATTTTTGCTGGGGCTAGTGGGCTCTGAGGGTGCATCGCTGATGTCGGAGGATACACTGAGGCGTCGCTCATCATTTGACCGGTGTTGGAACCGGACATTGCGGCGGGATTTCGACATGGTGCGAAAAGGGGGGCCAGAAACTGAATCTGGAAAGGAGAGTGGAGAGTGCAGAGAGCGAGAGAGGACCGTCGGATTAGAAGTTGATGAGCTCATGTGAAGTGCTCCGAAAGCGGTCAGTTCCAGCTTGCCCCGTGTTTACTTGATTTCTTTCTTTCTATTTTTTTTAAGCCCCGAGTAGTCCTTGGATAATAAGATTCCATACCCGTTGTCTTTTTTTTTCTTTTCAATCTTTCTCGAGAAAAATCAGTACTGTGTATTTGGACACTATTAGGTGCATAGAAATTGAAATTGAACGCGCAGGGGGTTTGGCGTCGGCCTTGAACTGCCGTGCCTCTCTCCAAACCACGGAACCACGCGAGATCAAGAACCTTCCTCGAAACACATAATTGAACACCTCCCAGTACTCCATTCATGGCGGGGGCATGGAAGACGACGACGACGAATACGGCTCCGATGAGTTCGACTCCCTGCCAGCGAGGACGTTGTATGAGCTGGAACAGAAAGCCTTTCAGGCAACCCAGGCACCAGCCTCACAGTACCACGCACAACCGATAAACAGCAACCCTGTACTGCGCTCCCAACCCAGGCAATTACTCGGCAATGTTGGATCCTTGAGACCGCCGCCTCGGTTACACACCGGATTGACGAATGACTATAATACACTGGAGGTGGGGGAATTGGAGGCCGAGGTGTACGATAATGCCGATGGGCAGCATATAATTCCGCATGGTCACCATGTGCTCGCCGCAGATCCTAGTTGGGCTACCGATGGGCAGCTAGACGATGCAATGGATGTCGACGAGCACTATGGGCAAGCGGACACTGCTGTGGAGATTAATGCACGTCTAGTACAGGTTAGTTGGTTGGAAATTTCCTCTGGATTAATTCTAATAGCCCATCTAGTTGGAGGAAGAAAGAAACCAAATGATACAGGAGTTGGCTGAAGCCAGGATGCAAGTGGAAACGAAAGCCGGGGAAATCTCCATCATTCGCAAGAAACAGGCCATGATGGCACAAGACTATGACCAACAACTGGCGACTCTACGTGAAACGATGGCCGATGAAATCGAAAAACACCAACAAGAGGTTGAACGAGCCATGTCCGAAGGCAAGGCCCTGGCGATGGAAAATGTGTTTCTTCAACAAGATCTCGTGGATGAATCTTACCAGTCTCGGCACTATAAATCAAAGTATCGCGAAAGGGAACCCCCGGTCACTCCTAGAAAGTCCCGCGTGCTTCCCTTTCGCGATGGATTTGACGACGATGAGATCGTTATGGTATCGCCCAGCAAGTCAGCCGCGCGTTCCAAGCGAGCCACGCCAACAGTTCCTGGAAAGCGCAAACGAGAATCGAGCCAAGATGGCTCTGTGCCATTAGAACTAAATCCTGCTGGTGCAGAGCTCGTTGAGACCGATGCTCCGGCCAAAATCGCTGAGGTGGAGCGCAAAGCTGCAGAGTCCAGTCGAAACCAGCGGTTCATGATGCGGCTGTTGAGCCATCGTACGCATCTCGACCAAGACTCCGATTTCGAGGCAATGGCCAAGCTTGCATTTCCTTCAGATCCTCATCGACATATGTCCAGCATTATCATGGATGATATGGCTCGTGTTGGCACAGGTAGTTACATACTAGAATATACGCAAACGATCGCCTCACTATGGCAGCGCGCCATCAACGAGAAGTTCTACGAACCGATCCCCCGATTTGAAGCTATCATTCGATGCAGCCTGATGTCGGATGACGTCCGACCCTCGGAGCTGATCGCACCCTTGGTTGCACTCCTACAGGACACAGTCGAAGTGAATGCGGTTCCTCGCTTCAAATATGCCCCAGCATCACGAGATAAACGGGTGACTCGACAGACACCACAATCAGATCTGCAGCCGTTAATTGACTCGACTGGGGCCATGAGTCTACTTTATCAAATCGCCTGTGGAGTGTTGCACATCAAGAGTGCGATGGAAACATTCTGGCAAAACATTCGGATCTCTTTCATACTCGTGATGCTCCACCCGTCACACCCACTAGGTGACATTGTGCTCTTGATGAATCTTCTGTCAACGAGTATCCGGTCAAACTCCTTTGGGCCAATTAGATCATCCGACCAAGATCAACTGGACGTTCAAAAATGGATTGTGGATCGTCTCACACACATGTTGAGCGAGCCTGCAATACCCGATGAAGGCGTAGAGCCATATACTGCATATGACATTTGCGCTATGCGACTCGAAGTCCTGCTACTGCTGGAGTCGTTAGCGTTCAACCCTATTCCCCCAACTCAGAAACATGCAAGTACAATTCTTGCGTTGCATCCAAATGCACTTGCTCGCTTATTCAGATCAATGCACGACGAGCTGGATGCACTGTACTCCTCCCCACCCGAGTCAGAACTCCGTGTTGCACTTGTCAATGGACTCATGCGGCTTATTTTCGGGGTTATGCGGCAACATGGACATTTGATTAACATGCAGGAGAAATTGGAGTGTGTCCCCGGTAGCAAACAGAAGCATCTAGTTGTGTTGACTCGACTGGCATTTTGCGATGGAACCGTGCTGGAGGCGGGTATTGATGATGAGACTGTCGATATGGCACACGAGCTACTTGAGGAATGGACCAATCCTCAAGAAGCAGAGTCATTAGCAGAGGCGTTTCCAAGTTCTAGGCGAGAGTAATGGGTGGGGATATAACCTTATCAATGTTGTATGACTAAAGATTCTGTATGCATTTAAAACGGCGTGGTAGGTGGTCCTTGGAGTTTATCCACTTGTTTGTTTATACTAAATATCAAAACATTTAATTTCATGACCCAATAATGTGAATTTGAGAAACAAACACTGCACATACATAGCACGATTGGGACAGGTGTGCTCTGTAGGCGTCGCTGGACTGCTAGCCCCAGATATATCCATGGGTGGTTGGGAGAGGGTTGAAAAGCCATATCACGAAGACAGAAAAGAGATGGAATACGATTCTGCAAGACCAAGCTTTATATGTATGTCTGCGGGCTTCAAACAAACTAGTCCGTACATGTCCGGAATATTGAGATCACAATCATCAATGGAATTACATCGTCAACACGAGTGAAGGGTAAACAACAAGTGTAGAGATCAAATTATGTGATGGGTGCTGACAAGACACAAGCTTGAGGTATTACCGGCATCATGGCACTAAAGATACATACGCCGAAATGATTCCCTTCTCCAAGCCCGAGCCACTGGCCCAGGGATTGATGAAAAGAAATTCCACAAGAGTGGGGGGTGCCAAAGAATACGCCTGTCAATGACCCGAAAGCCATTGAACAGCTTGTTCCGCCGCGATGTGCAATGCAGGGACCAGACTGTGGTGAACCGCCTTCATGATCGCAGTCACCCAAACAAGGTAAGTATGAAGAAGAAAAAAAAGAAGAGGAAGAAGTGGGGGAGGAAGGGATATTTATATAAATGATCAATGGCGGTGAAGGCAGGTACTGCCACTAGGTCAATTTGGCATACAGACCAAACAAGTCAAATAAAGCAAACCAAGCACATGATCAGACATCCTTAGGATTCAGGCACCTGATTACACATCACGTGCCCTGAAGTTTTGAGACTCGGCCAATTTAGACTGGGTACCATATTATTCGCTACAGCATTGTGTCTACATAGTCGCCACGATGAGAAACAGGGCTAGCAACACGTTGTCTAAAGGCGTATGTCCCCATCACTGTACTTGATTCACCCAATTTCACCGAACTAACAGAACACCCTGCTAGAAAATCCGTCAATCATGGAGCAAATACAATCTCTATAACCTCCAACGATTCCGCAGCCCACCTACCGCCAATCGCACTTTCTTCCAGCAGAAATGGTCTGCAAAGGCTGCCTCTCGTGCTTATCACGGCGAGCAGGTCCGTGAGGGACAATGGAAACGCATGTTCAACCATCGCATCCGTAGTGTCATCCCTATGAATGCCTCCGATTTGGCTGCCGATGACGGATCCCTGGTTTCAGCCGGCCGAGGCTCTGGACTCGATCAGGATGGAAAGCCCACGCATCAGACCCGTCCTACACCTTACACCCACATGGCCTTTGCGCCCTTGGAACGCCGTTTGGATGTGGCCATCTTCCGGGCTCTATTTGCTAGCAGTGCGAGACAGGCAAGACAGTTTGTCATCCACGGAGCAGTCACTGTGAACGGACAAAAGGTATGACATGATTATAATAACAACTAGGTTCTTACTGATTGTCACTAGATGAGACACCCCAGCTACCTCCTTAACCCTGGTGACCTCTTCCAGGTTGAGCCGGATCGTGTCATGTTCGCTACCGGTACCCCGAAGAATAAGCTTGAGCGACGTGAAGGCCGATTAGCCCAAAGAAAGGAGCCAGAGCAAGCCGAGGACACCGAAGCCGCCGAAGCCGCCGAAGCCGCCCCAGAAGTCGAAGCAAAGCCGAAAGAGACTGTGAAGGAAGATAAGAAGGAGACCCTCAAAGCACTTATGGCGCAGGCTAAGTCTGTCATGTCGAATGACAAGGACAGTCTTCCGGCCAAGCGCAAGCAGGAGCTCCGTGGCTTCCAAAAGGCCGTCCGCCGTGTGCTATCTCGCTCTGAGTCTAGCACCGTCCTCACAGACAGCCTGGAGGCACAATTCTCCCAGCTGACGCTACTCCTCAACGCCAAGCGTGCCGAGCAGAAGCCGGAAAAGAAGGAGCAGAAGGATGGAAAGGATGCGACGCGCCGTCCAGATGACGCCTCCGCATCCAACACAGGAGAGAAAGATGTGGCAGCTAGCGATAAGCTCTCTGAAGCCTTCGCACAAGCAACACAAGGCAACGAGGTCGACGCGTCGGAGCTTAGCGATGAAGAGTTTGACACGCTCAAGCGTGCTCTCACACAAATGCGCGACAACCCCATCGACAACACTAAGTCCTATGCCACCCCCTGGCGCCCACGCGATTACATGTCCGCCTTTGCCTTCATCCCGCGCTACCTTGAGGTCAACCAGAACATTTGTGCAGCCGTCTACCTCCGCCACCCTGTGGCCCGCCCTGGCTCCGCCGAGGTTCCCACTCCCTTCGGCGAGTCTATTGCTACCCCGGCCTATGGCTGGTACCTGAGGAGACGGTGGTAGAGGATGCGACTGACGCTATATCTTTCTGCCTACTCTGCCCCTTCCTCATTTGTCTTTCCTATCCTACTATTTCCCCCCTAACTTCCCATCTGTGTATTAGTGGGCGCTTAGATTTCCCTCCTCCCTTCCTGCATATTTCTGGATCATGTTGACCATGGTGTTGGTTCCTGTTTTGCTTGTCTTCGGGGCTTTTTTTTGAGTCAGCTCCATCCCCTGTACCACCATAGCCATGATGTGTTGTAAATGGATATATTATTGATGCTATTCTCTTTCTGCTGTAGTTTTATATGATCATTATTCATCCTACTGCAAGATGGCAAGTGACCAACCAAAGAAAGCCCAGGGGCGGTCTCAGATATACTGCTTTGAGGTGGTGCCTATAAAGATGTTGGTGAGAGAGGCCAGTGAAGTGGCTTATACTCCATCGGCCCTGGAATATATGGTGGGCGCACGGACCGCCCGTAGAAAACCCTCTGGGAAATCCATCGCAGCTTTATCTTTATCCCCGCAGATCGACAAGGACATTGTGGATTAGTCTGCTGGATTACTGAACCCATTGATGGCCATTTCAACTTACGGAGGTTATTCCCTGGGTCCATAGACCACCCAACTTGCAATCGCTGTTGGTTTCTCCATCCCGACGGCTACAACTACCGCGCAAGCAATCGTCCTCATGCCGCGCATTCAAACTCACGACTACAGCCACCCTTCATATCACCCTGCTTCAAATTCCACAGCAATACCATCATCTCTGCGCTCAGGTTTCAGCTCAGCTTCCCGATCCGTGTCCGTGGTAGTAAGGAATCGACCTGCGGCAACCGATAACGTATCAGCGAGCAGCGTGGAGACACCGGGGGGAGCAGACATACGCGGAAACGATCCACAAGAATCAGGAGATATCATAGGCAGCGACCTTTATTATGCGCCGATGCCAATGGGCGTAGCTCAACCCAGCGAAAGAAATGATACGTCGGCGCTGATGTCGGGATCAACTAACAGAGGCACTAAGCGCGGCCACAGCGGGGATGATGAACTTGATGGCGACAATTCACGACAACACAGGCGCCTTACGACCAAGGAAGAAGTAGCGCTCTTTGATATTTGCAACCAAAACGCAGACACATTTGGTAGTCGCAGTAATCTGTGCAAGTGGTGGATATCCATCGCCGCTGAGTTCAAACGCACCCATGACGGCCGCTCATACTCATGGCACTCGGTGCGGCGCAAAGTCGAAATGGTCACGAGACAGCGCATCAAGTTTCTGGAAGATCAACGACAGCGGGGTTCAAACGCACCCGGCTCTACCGCCGAGGAACTGATGAACCCTCAATGGCTTGCCGCTGTCGATGCCTGGATCCCAACATGGCAGCGGTGGGAAGAGGCGGAGAACCGACGAATTGCAAAACGAGATGAACTTAAGAAACGCAGACAGCCACAGCCTTGGCGCCAGAACCCAAAGAACGGCGACCAGGATCCATGGCGGAACCTGCCTAGGTCGTCTGTCACCAGTCCGACGGATGCCGGGACAGCAATGATGGGCGTTCTCCACCAACCTGGCGCGAGCTCCGTCGTTGATGCCACTGTCACAGCTAGCCCGACACCCTCGCCCTCGGTCACCGGCCCTGGAACACATGTGCATTTCCTTGAACCACCATCCACCCCCATCTCTACCCCCACATCGATGAAACTACCGCCGGGTTTTGAAAATATGTTCTCCATTCCACAAGTTCCCCCACAAGCCACACCTGTTACCACCGTATCCGCACCACCAGTCTCCCAATCCGACGGCCGTATGGTTTCGGCCGTTCTCGAAACCCTGGGCAAGCTCAACAAACACCTCGATGCCGCATCTGGGGGTGATGCTGATACCAGTACCACCTCGCCTGTGATTTCGGCTTTAGTTCAGGCGGCTTCGGAATCATCCACTCTGGCTTCTCCCGGGCAATCAAAACATCCGTCGCAGCCACCGTCACCTCAGAGTCCTACTGCCGCTCAAATCGAGCAAATGAAGGAAGAGCTTCGCAACGAGATGCAAGCCCAATTCCGCCGTGAATTGGAACGGGAACGTACCGCAATGGAAGAGAAGCTGGATGCTTTACAGCGGACCCAGGACCTGATTCTGGAAATGTTGAGACAGGAACCTGCTTGATGGAGATATCTGATTTTGATTATGATGCTTTTTTACTCTAGACATGGCTCGGTGTTCTTTTGCTATCTTTCTTGCCTGTATATTTCACTTTTTCCCCCGATATGATACCCACTATCGATTGCCAAGGATGGCGTGCCAACGTACAATCAAGAGGATCGATATTGCTACCTAAAAAAAGAAGAAGAAAATTAAAAAAAAGAACTAGCTGCTTTCTTGATACTCAAAACATTGCAAAAATGGTTTTTATTATTTTGATGCAATGAACTTGGACAGGATCCAGACGATGGCAATTGCTCTCTACTCTAGAACAGGAAACAAGTAAACAAACATAAGAGGAAATAGTCATCGGGCTAAATTACAGATAAATACTAGGATGACCCAAGAACGTATTCCTGGACCTTTCACACAACGATTAAGGCGCTTCTAAGGGCTTTCACAAGAGGACCTATAGCGAGACATGATCTAGTAGTAGAAAGTCTCATCAACGGTACGGCCACGCATCCACTTGGGCTCGGAGCCACGGACGTAGATGTCCTCGAAGAGAATGCGAGCAGTGTTATCGGGGACGGGCATCTGCTCAGCCTCGGCAACCTCAGCATCGACGTTGGCACGGGCAGTCTTGTCGAGACCCTTGAGCTCCTCCTCGGAGGTAACGCCCCACTCGAGCATCTTCTGCTTGAGACCAGCAATGGGGTCGTTGGTGCTGCGCATGCGCTGGATCTCCTCACGGCTACGGTAGGTGGTACCGGGATCGGACATGGAGTGACCACCGTAGCGGTAGGTGACGTACTCAAGGACAAGGGGTCCGTTGCCGGAGATGGCGTAGTTCTTGCTGTACTGAACGGCGGCCTTGGTGGCGAGGACGTCCATGCCGTTGACCTTCAGACCGGGAATGTACTGGCCACGCTTGTAGTACTCGGTCAGAGCGGAGGAGCGGGAGGCGGAGGTACCCATGCCGTACTTGTTGTCTAGAGAAAAAAGATTAGCACTCTTGCGCTGGAAATGAGTCGCAAAGGAAGAAGAGAGACGTGGCACATACTCTCACAACCGAAGAGAACGGGAAGATTCCATAGCTTGGCCATGTTGAAGGCCTCGAAGACCTGGCCCTGGTTGGAAGCACCGTCACCGTAGAGAACGATGGAGGTGTTGGGCTGCTCGTTGTACTGCTGGGCGAAAGCCAGACCGGCGCCGACAGGCACCTGGGCACCGACGATACCGTTGCCACCGTAGAAGTTTTCGGCGAACATGTGCATAGAACCACCCTTGCCGTACGCGATACCCTCGCGGCGGCCGAGAAGCTCACCAATGATGGACTTGACGGTACCACCGCGCATCATAGCAAAACCGTGGCAACGGTAAGCAGTGATAATCTTGTCCATGCGAGTAATAGCGTGCTCAATACCGACGGCAACGGCCTCCTGTCCGGTCGACAGATGGCAGAAACCCCGGATCTTCTTCTCCTTGTACAAACGATCGGCGGCCATCTCCATACGTCTGTAAGATAGCAAGCATACAATCAGCTCATATTCAGGATATTAAATTTCAAGATGATTTATTATCATACCTCATGGCGACCATGTCGTAGTACATCTGCTTGAGCTCCTTCTTAGAGGTCTCGAGGGTGTACGGAGGTGGGTCGAGCTCATAGGTCTCGAAGCTCTCATCGGAGAGACGGACAGTAAAGAGCTTGTCATCTTCCTATTAGAGTGCAAGTAAAATCATCAGCATTGATACTCCGGAAGCTCTCCAGCGCGAACTTTTAGTTTTCCGGGCAGGGTTCAACAAACCTGGGGGATTGGGCTCTCGACGTTGGCGGAAGCGGCATCGGTAGTGACAGTACGACGGGCAAGAGGAGTGAAGGCCTGTCGCCGCAAAGGCGCAGACTGACGAACTGCAGCACGGAAGAGCATTTTGTGAAAGAATTGAAGATGGAACGATGAAGGAGCCCAGGTGCTATGCACCTTTTTCCCAACAACTTCATTTTTGCCGTCTTAGTCAGCTTCCAGATCGGGGCCGCCCGGTGAGGAACTTAGGCCGGCTCCGTTGACTTCATATTTACTGCTTGTGCAGTCTGAACTTGCTACTATATACGGAGTATCTAGATGGTTTCTATTGAACTATATATGTTATCCAGAGATGCAAAGGTTGCCTCAGTGAGAAAATCAAACATCTGTCTCTCAAACCGTTATGGTTTGTCTCCATGAGCTCTGTGATGACACACCGGTGTATACTCCGTACTCCGGTTTCCATCTCCGACCCACCTACAACATACGGGGTAGCTTTTGTCCATAGCAACCTCAGTCCTTTGGCTTTTCCGGTGAGAGAACAACGACAAGCCTTTCATTTTTCTCTATGTTGTAGAAGCCTTGCACTGCTCTTCAAGACATCTAATACACAAGAAGTCTAAAAAAGAAGTCTCAAAAGTAGTTGAAAATAACGGTGTGGGTATCTATAACTATCAGCCTAAACATGGGACTTAGTATAGCCAAAATTGAAAAAGAGCAACATACCTAATTGAACTAATGCTCAAACGGGTAAACATTGAAAATGGTAATAAAATTATGAAGCCACAGCATCAATTGTCAAAATCAAGCCCAAGTCTTGAGCAGCTATTGAGGCCTAGATATAGCATGGTCAGGAGTGACCACCCTGTTGTACTTCAATGCAGCAGAATCAAGGCAGCACACATTGATAGCCATGTGAATAAAAGCTGAAAAGAACCATCTATTGTGCCAGATATAATAATAGTACACTTGACAATACCAGGCAGGCTATTCTGAAAGGCAAGTGCTTTATTGACGAGTTTCCAAATTCGGAAATGCAGTTTGCTGTGTGTCAATATGTTGATCACTGAACCTCACTGTTCTCCGTGTCCCGCTTTTTTCTTCCTCTCAGTAACCATATTTCTTTTATTCGTTTGATTTGCCCTCTTGCGCAGCTTTCGAACCACTGTGATCAAGGTAATGCTGTCTATACCTCCTCTCCCCTCAAAAGGCACTTAGAGATCTAATAAATCAAGAAGCAGCATCAACGTCAACATGGACGAGCCACGGCTGATTGTCATCAGGGAACCTGCTGACCCCAACGCACCTCCCCCTCCAGGGCCTCTTGTTGTGTTTGTTGCTCGCGGCGCTCCGGCTCCTACAATCTCCAGTCTGGGCCAGCAGAAGTACTGGCTCGAACCCGCCATGAAGGAAGTCCAAGAAGCATTTGAGCGCATGTACGGCAGGGTGGGAACTCGGCCCTACCACTGCTGCCCATTGATACACAAATACTCCACCCCCCTGGATCCAACGAGCGATTCGTTCCGGTCTATGACCGATATGCTCAATTGGGGTCGAGGACTCGGTAGCGATATCATTCTTGTCCTCGCCCATTGGGACTCCATTACCACTCATGGCCCGACATTTGCCAATATTTTCAAGGACTTCAAAGATGTCAAGGTCACCATTCGCGTCTTCGGCGTGGTTTCGGCTACCAGCATGCGCAGGTTCTATGAATTCGACGCCCACCGAGTCAGTGACCATTTCCAGGGCTTGATCAAACTCGAGAATGAGCCTGTTATCGACGAATCGCTGTGTTTTGTGAACAAACTCAAGGATATCTATGAAGTCAGGCTTAGCGTGGAGAACTCAATCGGTATGATGGCACGAATGACAGGCCAGCCAGAGGCAGAGTTGAGCGAAAATGTACTGTGGGCACTTTGATTCGGGGAAAGGAAGAGAAATTTTCATGATGAGGTGATAGTCCTCAGTGATGAATGTTGTCCCCTCGACGCACATTGGACTTTGTCTCTATGTTTATTTGCTCGAGATCTAAAGCATTGATGTATCTTTCTCTCGGTTGATGAAACATCTGAACCTAGTTGTTTGGCTTTCACATTGATAAGAGAAGGTTTGAATGCTTCGTGCTTGTCTTTGGGGTCAGGGGTTGAGTGATAATGAAATCAATGAAAGGATGCACTCCATTGTTACTGATATGTATGCGTTAGTATATTTTGAGCACAGTTGGAGGCATGTTGTTTGTTTGACACGCCTCCTTCTCTAGTAGTCCACAGTTTTCATTCCTAAATTATAAATCACATCGGTAATAGCATATAAAGAGCGTAAAGCACTCTTTTGGGCACCGTGCTAGAGTGCGGTGTCTGGTGGACGATTGCTCTAACATCACCCGTCCTAGGTGCAGTTAGTACTATGAGGGCTGCATGATATGATGGTGTACATATGTTTATAACGACAACTTAGTGTGTTCAATGTCCATGAAAGCCGATCAAATAATCGATACCCCAGATAAAAGTCTCGTCATTGGAGTTCTTCAAGCGCTAAGGAGGTTGACTTGGGAACATGGTGGTCTGTTGTCAATGCGCCTATGAGTTTGTTCAAGAAAACACAAATCAGATTCTCATATCAGATAAGTTGGTTACTCCACCATATGCCGAATTCAACCAAGAAGATCAAAGCAGCTCAGAATTCATCCAGATTTTGTCCTACAAACCAATCGGACGACACCCGTTCATCAAGCATTTATGCGCTGTTACGCCAAGCTATGCACAACGAGCTCAGCAGAAACCTACATTCAACTCTGTGTATCAGGTTATGGAGTACGGAGTAGCCATTTGCGAGCAATGTGCCAACTTGATACATCACAATGGCGCAATCGGACGTGGAGCAGATGCAAATCATCCCGTACTCCGTAGATTAAACAAATCCGTCGTGCATATCAATTTGACATGTCAAAAGTAGGACTTTGGAAATCAAGGTAGACACAACCTAAGGATACCCCATGGATGCGGATGCACAAGACGATCATGTCTCAAGACCTGACACCAGTCGTCAGCTCTATCAGGTTGAAGCGATGAGAGCTTCCAGCGTAGAGTAGTCTCTGGAGTAAAGCTCTAGGGAATGGTCCGATCTCCATAAGTTCGCGCACTGGCTCAAATTTGTCTAGCAATTAGATTGATTTTTTCAGCCATGGATGCTACGCCTCATGTGTATCTAATAAACCCGAAACACCGAATCGATCCAAAATGGCTGAGATCGGTTGTCGGAGGCCCCCAGTGGCCCGGGCTGAGGGTTCCAACAGGTCGGGGTTACGGACTACCGTGTCCTAGTTGAGGTGTTTTGCCTACCCCTACGGAGTACGGAGTACATCTTAATGTTCTGCGAAATAAAGAGAAGATCAGAGTTGTTTCAGGGGGGTTCAGGGGTTGCTGGTGTGTGACGAGATACTTACGGAGTACAGGCCTGATAAAAACGTAAGGGGGTTAATTCGCCTTTGACACAATGTCCACTTTGAACCTGACTAGTATTGGATAGGATCCTTCTCGACCGGTATCTTTAATGCCATTGGACCCAAATCCTGAATTGGCTTGTGATAAAAGTCTGCCGGTCAATAAGCCCGAAAAGGAGCTAGTCTACTCCGTACGCAGTACTGCATCTACGGAGTATTGAACATTGATTATTCCCGAGTCATTCCATGCAGTTAAACGACGAGTCTCGGGGACCAATGGGACTTCCCTTTAAATGCACTCGGTTGCATCCAGAAACTAGAGGGTTGCATCGAGGAAATTTTTGTAGGTGAACAGACCGCAGGTATGCGTTTCTGTCGTTTCCAACGGTCAATTCTGTAAGAGGGATCAGTTCACATCCTGAAACACTGGTTTGAAGAGATGCTCCATGACTGCAGGGTTAAAAGCATGAAAAAAAAATCACTCCGATAAATGGAGGTTCTGGTATTGTAATATCTGTTTTAGAAAGTCTCAACGGCGATCATTAGACGCGATGTATGCAGATAATGCACACATCGATCCGAAAAACGAGGCGAGCAATGATCCACAAAGAGATGCCCCGGAGGATTAGTGCGAAGGTTGCGGAAGGATATCCAGCGACTCTGTCGGTGAGGTCAATACATGATCTAGGCCAGGATAGCCAGCCACTGGGCTGTCACTTAGAGTTGCCACACGTACGGAGTAGATGTCTCCATATGACAGCTCCAGAGATGAGCAGTATCAAGGCTTTGTTCCCAGTCGACTCCGACTCTGTTCATTTTTTTCTGACACTGGAATCAATCTTGGTTTTAGTTTGCATTAATTCCCCCACGATTGACGTGCAGACAAGCATGGGGGCAAATAGCGTTTGCGATAGATCCAATATCAAACCTCAAACCTCCGTCCACATCAAAAGGGGGAGGCGCTACTAATTCTCACCTGCCAAGCTTGCGTGGGCAGGTTTCCAGGATTTCACCATTGGCAACCGTTGGCGAGTCCGGTAGCAAGAAATTTGAGACCTTGGAAGGAGCTAAAGCTGACACGGACACTCTGCAGCACCCGACAAGCAGGATCACGTTGATCACAACGTAACAACAATTGACACTGACCCCAGCAACGGCACGGTGTGATCCATAAACGGGGGTATGGGGTCAATGATGTGCAAAATAAATTTCTCCTAGGTTCGCCTGTCTCTTATTATTCCCAGGACAAAGGAGGTTGAGCGCTGATAAGTGGGACAGACAGACCCGCTGGGTTGAATGTAGCTGCGACGAGGAAGATCAGGAGTTGAAGGTGAGCCAAAGACCTATGGGGCTATAGCAGAAAATCTCCGTTGCAAGGGGCGATCGTCACTACAGAAATGCCAACGCAACTCCAAAATCTCCGACAACGTCGACTAAAACGGGTCCCGCTGACCTGGACTTACTGGGGTTCCAATCCGGGGGGGGGATAACCTTGAAAATAGATGAAGAGAAACTGCGTCATTGCAGAATAGTTGCCCCAAAAAATGGCACCAAAATTTCCCGAACTCTTCTCCCGAACTCTTCTCCAGACCCAACTTCTCTCCTGACAGCAATGTGGGCAGCAATGTGGGCCGTTTAGAGGATCGGCAGTCGGCAGTGGAAATTGCCACTGGTCGTGGTTTTTAGCACATTTAGGCGGTGGGTTTAGGTTGGGTAAATGAGCCGCGCGAGAGCCCAGAACCTTACGGGCAAACCGAGACACGGGAGATTCAGTTCGCCCGATCCGAACTAAATCCCACGGGAGCACCTTGTTATCACCACTCACTAATCCGGGGTTTCCCATGTTGCTTCGAACCTTGGCTCGTCTGGATCCCAAATTCAAGATCCGGAATCCATGGAAGAGCAGTCGCTGGTACAGATCGAAAATGACAATGAACGAGTTCTGGACGTCGGTTTAAGCAGAAGGGCCAATAGGCCGATAGAATTATTAAATTAACCATAATTTCCACTTCGATCTCAGAAGCAGATCCTCTCCGAGTTATCAATGTCCATTTATCTTACTTGGATCACGAATGCGAGGTACATACTCCGAACGGAGGACAACATACGAAGTACATCCATGTGGTTACGTAGTGGTATACATATGGTAGTATGTATCCATGGATCGGTACTCCATAGCTGTCGGTACCTGCCTTTGTTATTTTAGGTACCTAAGGTACTCCGTACTCCTTGTTCTGCCGAGCTCCGTAATATAATCAAGATAGATTGCAATGGCACACGTTTTTGATCCACCTCTTCAAGGTTACTATGTATAGGGCGGATCATCAGGGATCTCATGCCATACAGCATACAATATACGCTAGTTCTCCGGCAAGATTTTCCTTTTTCTTTTCTTTTTTTCTTTTTTTTTTTTTATTTATTTCAGGGGATCTCCACCTCCTGATCCATGGCTCGCAGTGGAACTATCGAGATCTGACCCTTTTGAGCTTTTTGATCTTTTTGACCTTTCTGACCTTTTTGATGCGACCTTTTTTCTTCAAACTTTTCCCCCTTTAGCGTCTCTTAGTCTCCCCCCTGTTCATCTCCAGGACCCCGTATGGAGTATACTCTCCATCCTCGAACTGGTTTTACAACATAATTATTATTCTGATTTGGGCTTAATTAATTGTTTTATTGTTCTATTATCTTCCTTTCTCTTTTGGCTATTCTCCTTTCTTTTTTTCCCTTTTTTTCTATTTTTTTTTCCTTTTTCTTCACCCCCACCTCTTTGTTCCCTTTGAGTCGATGTGGAAACGTTCACCTAGATCGGAGGACAGCTCTGGGAACGACTCAACTCATCACCATCTATCTGAGCTGGGTTTCCTAGGCCGCTCCAAAAAGTCCAAAAGTAAGTCGCGTTCGTATCTGGTCTGCTTCCGGACCCGATGTCCTAGATCTGAGACTCTTGTGGCCTGTTCTAGATGCCTCATGGAGAGAAGTTGGAAGCCAACCTTACTCCCCTGAGTGTCTCTTGACCCTTTCCCTACCCTCCTGCAAGACTTCTTGCGAACATCTGATATTAACCCGCCAGTTACCGATATTGAAGAGGCTCCCCACCTTGCTAACCAGCTATCTCTGACGTACAGAATTCCAATCGCAGCCGGAATCATCCTCTCGTTCGCCTCTCCGTTCATTTCGTTCATTTACCCGTGGCGTGGTAGACCGGCCCGGTAGCAGTGTTTCCAACCAGACCGATCCCACCCGGCCACGAACAACCTCAACTGTCGCCGGCTCCATTCACTCTGCCTACCCCGAATCCGCCGATCAGCCTGCCCATTCAAATCGTTCGCGGGTATCGGTTCATTCAAGATCGGGACAGACCACCGGTGCAATGGAGATTGATCGCACCCGCACTCGGAGGGAGAGGACCTTTGTCGGCAGTGAATGCGCCGTCTGCGAGGAACCATTAGAGCATACCCTGCGCGGCGAACGTGTTCTTCAGCTCTCGTGCTCCCATGTCTCCCACGAGGCCTGTTTTTATGAATATCTACGGGAATTCGAATCACAAGACTGCCCAACATGCAATGCGCCATTGGCTTTGGAGACAAGTCGCGGCGGCAATGTTCTGGATATTGGTGTGTCTCTCGTCTCTCGTGCGGGGCTCAGCGCGGCCAAAAAAGCTAACTTTACGTTTTCCCCTTCAGAGAAAATCAGTAACATCGTTCGCTCAGTGACTTCCAATGATACCGCTACAGTGCGTAGTGGTTTGACAAACCCGACTCCATGGGAGCAATCGTCGGGTCGACGACCACCGAGCGATGCTGGGAGTCGGTACACGTCCGGTACCCGGGAGCCACCCTACACACCTTCGAGGGAGCCATCCTACAACCCTTCAGCAAGGGATTCGACCTATAACCGAAGAGATAGTCGTGATGCCAGTAGCCAACGCGAACGCGTAGAACGATTGACCGTGGGCTCCAATCCTCGTCAACCCCACTCCCGGAGTGGCAGCGCGGCCGGTTCGTCGGGCGATTACAATGAAGGCCAACACATCAGCAGTGGGCGACGCCACGATTATGATGTTCAGGCTATGGAATCGGATGTCGGATCACGGCCCGGAGTCGCCAAAAACCCTATTCCTGCACCGATAGTTACTGTTCGAAGCGAGTTTCCTACTATGAACCGATCCCGTCAACAGCAGACCCTCACCTGTCTAATCACGGTTGAGGTGCCAGACGCCGATTGGCGTCCTGATGCAGATGACCTGCGCCACACATCTTCCAGACAGTCGCAGCCGGATGAGCCATACCCCGGGCGATTCAGCGGTGGCGGGCGGGATGCTCGATCGATCCAGTACGAACCAACGGAGAATATGGAAGAAATTGCTGAGGAACTACGAAACAGGGTGGACAACTGGCACGGCCTTGAATTCCAACGGTTTGGCAAGCTGCGCCTCCATGGACAAATGCGCGTGGGCAAGGATCGGGATTCCTGGCAGGAGCTGGAATGCTACCTCTTCGGAGAGATGCTTATCTGCGTCAAAGAAAAGAAGTCATCCGACCCGAATCACTTCGACGCGAACGGGCGACGCAAGCCTGTCCGTTGCAGTCTGAAGGGCTCAATCTTGATCAAAAAGCATCTCAAGTCGCTAGAAGTGTCACCAGATGAACCCATTCTTTCCCTGAATCTTTCTGTTAGCGAGCTTCCATGCTTCTATCTTCGCTTCCAGAGCCGTAACCAGCTTGAGACTTGGCGGCGCTCTCTGATCGATTTGCATCCGGAGGCCATTTCGCGCCACAGTGACTATGAGTATGACAACTCGGGGGCGGAGGAGGATGACTACCGTGGCAGCCGTGGGATTCAGCGACAGGCTTCTATCAACTCTTCGTATGGTGCAGGCAAATCTATCAACACCGCCATTACAGACTACACCAACCCCGACGCAGACTATCCTTCAATCAACACTATTCACATCCCCCTCGACCTTGTCGTGGTCATTCCGGTATCCTCCTCCATGCAAGGATTGAAAATCACTCTTCTGCGTGATGCCCTCAAATTCCTCGTGCAGAATCTAGGCCCTCGGGATCGGATGGGCCTAGTGACTTTGGTTCGAGTGGTGGAGGTGTCCCTCTTGTTGGCATGACCACTAAGTCCTGGGCCGGGTGGCCCAAGATTCTCGAATCAATCCGGCCGGTAGGCCAAAAGAGTCTCCGTGCGGACGTGGTCGAGGGTGCCAATGTTGCCATGGATCTTCTGATGCAGCGAAAAGTCAATAACCCCGTCTCGACCATTCTGCTGATCAGCGACTCATCCATCTCAGACCCCGAAAGCGTCGATTTTGTGGTCTCTCGCGCAGAAGCTGCCAAAGTTAGCATTCACTCGTTTGGTCTTGGTCTGACTCACAAACCCGATACCATGATTGAGCTGTCCACCCGCACAAAAGGTTCTTATTCATACGTGAAGGATTGGATGATGTTGCGGGAATGCGTTGCTGGATGTCTGGGTGCATTGCAGACAACGTCCCACCAAAACGTCAAGTTAAAGCTCCGCCTACCTGAAGGCTCACCAGCCAAATTTGTTAAGATCAGTGGGGCTCTCCACACCACGAAGCGTGCGACTGGCAAAGACGCTGAAGCCGCCCTAGGGGATCTCCGGTTCGGTGACAAGCGCGACGTCTTGGTTCAATTGGTGATTCAGCCCGACAATGCCACGCAGGAAAACATGCCCCAGGATCCGTGGGAGAGTCTGGTATCTGGATTGGAAGCTCTCGGTGGTGGCTCGGATGGAGACGAGGCACGAGTGTCGAGTGTCGAGGAGGTACCATTGATCCAAGCCGATCTAACTTACGGCGACTTGCTCCGTGATGGGCATCTTACCCATTCTCCCCGCCCTTCTCTTCTAGCGATTACAATGCTTCCTCCTAATCCTAGGGCCAAGGGCCAGCGGCCCTCAACTCCTCCAATTCCTCCCCATCCTTCGATTGTGCAGCGCCGCATGGAGCTACTCACTTCCGATATGTTGACCCGGGCTCTCACCCTGATTTCTCGGGGCCAGAATGATCGCGCTATGCATCTCCTCAATGAAACCCGCAGCATCCTCAAGGGCTTGGGCAAGGGTGGCCTACCGCCTCTGCCCCCAGGTGCTTCTCGGGCTGAGAGCGACGCCGACAGCCGTGGTGATACCCCGGTCTCTGCTTCCTCTCCCAAATCTTCTATGTTTGGTGGAACCCATTCATCTACATCTGATACCAACACCATAACATCACCCTCGGCAGTTGATGCTCAGACCTTGCTTGCTCTCAACGCAGATCTCGAATCGGCATTGGAGTGGATCAATCACCCGGCTGTCTTCGGCCGTGATTCACGCAAGGCAGTGCTGCAGAGCATTGGCGTCATCTCCTCCCAGCGAGCCTACACCTTCCGCACCCCATCAGAAGCTCACTGGGCTCAGCGCGTGTCTGGGGTTCGTCGTTTAACGGAGCGGTCCCAAGACTGGCGTGAGACGGGTGACGATGCTTTGACCGAGGAGTAGAGTCAGCTCTACGCCACGGTTTAGTCTTCCTTGGTTCTTTTCTTTTTGTCCTCTTCATGTTTCCTCTTTATGCAACGTTCTCCTTTTGTATTTCAGACTTGTACATATCGAGTCGATGTGTTATCTTGCCTTTTTTTCCTTTTTCGCGGTCTCCTTTTTCCATCCTATGATACCATTTTGTTCCCACCATGACTACGCATCATGATACCAGGGGCTTTGTTCTTGATATGTTTCCGCTCATCCAGTTGGATTTATGCTGTATTTGGACATAACATCTCTGTTTCTATGTAATTGCTCTAACGGTCTCGGCTATGACGCGCAGGTTGGATGGGGGGGGTTTGTTGGATATTTGCTTGTTTGAACATATGATGATTACCCAACTTGATTTTTCTATAAACATAGCCTTGCATAATTTACTTGGGCCTATTCTTTGTCTTGAATTAGTACGCTGTAGATGATTAGTTAGGTTGATACATATATGTATGTAGGGACTTTTGTTCTTTCATCTTGCTTGCTATGTTTGCTTCCTAAAGAACCAGGCTATTATGTATATTTAGCTTATGCACATGTATCTGGTGTCTTACCTCAGAAATCACTTGTGTCTTTGTCTTTGTTTAGTTCTCCTTTGATCAGCTTTCAGCATTGGTCTCGAAGTTGCCAGTTGAGGTTCCCGAGGTCGGAGAAGTGCTTGCTTATCTCCGCGGCCTCAGATCAACCTTCCCACCTTGCAACATCCCGACAAACGTCTGAACTTTTTCTTTGACTTCTGCATACCTCCTTCTATCTCATAACATTTGCATAGCATCATCAACTGCTTCTGACTATGCTCCGTCGCGCGACAGGCGCGTTGCGCAGCGCATGCGCATACCCTTTCTTATCGCCGATGCCCTCCACTCACATCAAGACCGTCTCACTGGCTGCTCAAATGTCGCGCCCGTACAGTACACCAGGACCCTGGTTACTTTCTCGCAGGACTACCTCCCTGTCCTCTCAGCCCGTACCTCCGCGACAACCCAAACCCCAGCTCATCTCATCCCGCACTCCTTCCCCAACCAGCCGATGCACCTTCTCCAGTCACCACTACCGCCAGAGGCAAAGCCAGTACAACCGATTCCGAGGCGGCGCTCGTCAGGATTTCGTATATCGTTTGGTGCAAAATGCGAAACCGCGCCACTTCGTGATCATTGGTGTGGGGATATCTGGGGTTTATCTATACAACACGGAGAAAGTGGAGATGACCGGGCGACGACAATTCATCTGCATCTCTCGCGATCAAGAGCTAAAAATGGGTGAAGAGAGCTACCGTGAGGTTCTCAGGTCCGAGCGTGGGAAGGTCCTACCTGATAACCATCCTCTTACTCGCATGGTTGATGGTGTGTTGCAAAGGCTGATCCCGCAAGCGCCCCTTGAGGGTGCTAATTGGAGAGTTCATGTTATCAATGATGATAGAATGGTGAATGCTTTTGTACTTCCTGGGTAATATCTAACCTTCTGGCCTCAATGTTTTGTAATAGACTAGTTGTGGACATCACTGACATTGTTTCTTTTGCTTCTAGGGGAAAGGTATTTGTCTATACCGGCATCTTGCCCATTTGCAAAGACGAAGATGGCCTAGCTGCTGTGCTGGGACATGAGATTGCTCATGTCGTGGCCCACCACCCTGCAGAGCGCGTGAGCACCAGCTTCATTCAGTTGGGAGCTATCTTCGCAGTATCGTTCTTGTTCGATGTCTCCGGACATTTTCCCTCTTTCCTCTTGAATCTTATGTACAGCTTGCCAAACTCCCGGACACAAGAGGTAGGGCTGCCACTATATCTATTGTTTGATGGAGTCGTTAACTCTCACTACAGGCTGAAGCAGATAATATCGGGCTAAGTATGGGATCGAAGTTGGATCTGGGGAACAACTTGTGATTGTGCCGCTAACAGTTGCTCTTTAGTGATGATGTCCAAAGCCTGTTTTAAACCTCAAGCGGCCGTTCAACTGTGAGTCGATAAGACTGAATGGGTCGCCCAGGTGGTCTATTGGACTTTGCTAATCATTGCTAGATGGGCTCGCATGCATGAACAAGAGAAACAGGCACCTCCACAGTTCATGTCGACTCACCCATCGGTAAGTTCGGGGAAGTTTTCGATCAATATGATGACTAACTAGCAGCAGAGTTACAATCGAATGGAAGCCATTCAAGGATGGTACGAACACTCCTATTGCATCGGATTATCTGTTACTGACATCAAATACCAGGCTCGACAAGGCCGAAGCAATCTACGAGGAGAATGGATGCAATGATATTAAAGGATACAGTAAGAGCTTGTCCCCCTTCATTATCGATACCACTTCATTGACCCCTTTAGTGCCTGGCTTCCTAAGTGCTTACAATTCAATTCGCAAGTCTCCTTATAGTTGAGGCGCACATGGGCAGAGCATTCAGGTCGATAGCGCATTGCTTGCAACTGTACAATATCAGCTATGAATTAGCGAGTGTATCATCAAATCCAAAAGACCTCTCCTATGATAAATGAAAAGAATAAACCAATAAATTAGAATGTTCAGCCTCTGAGATTCACCCATAGCATCGTTGATCTATAAACACACAGCGTGGCTGCCAAGCAACTGGCGGGCTCCCCCCTCGTGCAAACGGAGCAAACCCACCACCGCAGCTCCAAAAATTGCCCGGCACAACAGCTCCATCCACTCCCTTACATCAACCACTTTGATATCCAGTCGCATTTCTCTCGGACGCGACCTAATATCATGTCACTATCAATTCCAGGTCCCTCCCAAGCGGGGCTCTTCAAGCCCGGGTACCAGAGGTGAGTTCGAAAAGTCGGGAAGCCCGAAAACCCACCGCAATAGGGACCTCCTTATCTCGCGCTACTCTAAAAAGAACCAAATCAATTGACTGACTTGTTGTTTTGTCACTATCTAGCCACGATGCCGAAGATGGAGCCGTCATCCGTAACATCGAAGCCTGCCAGGCTATCTCAGGCACCGTCCAGACTTCCCTGGGCCCCTATGGCCGCAACAAGATCGTCATCAACCACTTGCAGAAGATGATCCTGACCTCCGATGCTGCCACTATCCTCCGTGAGCTGGATGTTGTTCACCCCGCTGCCAAACTGCTTGTTATGGCGAGTCAGCAGCAAGATGCGGAGATGGGCGATGGCACCAACTTGGTTATTGTTCTGGCCGGCGAGCTGTTGAAGAAGGCAGAGGAGTTGATCCGTATGGGTCTTAAGACGAGTGATATTGTTTCTGGATATGAGAAGGCTCAGAACTTTGCCTTGTCCGTTCTAGAGGGTATGTACTTCCCCTGATGGGTTATCGATACACAGGCGGGGAACTGTTTCTGACTTCGTCTAGAGCTCGAGGTCGACAGACTCCAGGATATGCGATCGGCAACAGAATTGAGCAAGGCTCTCCGCACAGTGGTGGCTTCTAAGCAGTCCGGCACAGAGGATACTCTGGCTGCGTTGGTTGCGGAGGCAGTTCTGACTGTGTTGCCCAAGAACCCCGCTAACTTTAACGTCGACAATGTGCGAGTCGTTAAGATCATGGGCGGTGGCTTGGAACAATCGAAAGTGGTGAAGGGTATGGTCTTCCCCGGGAACCGGATGGAATTATCAAGAAGGCCAGCAAGGCCAAGGTTGGTGTTTTCAGCTGTCCCATCGATATCAGCCAGACCGAGACCAAGGGCACAGTTCTGCTGAAGAACGCCCAGGAGATGATGGACTTCACCACAGGCGAGGAGGATCGTTTGGAGACTGCTATTAAGGAGCTCTACGACTCCGGCCTCCGTGTGGTTGTTGCTGGCTCCACTGTTGGTGATCTGGCCATGCACTACCTTAACCGTTTCAACATTCTGGTTATCAAGATTCTTTCTAAGTTCGAGCTCCGTCGCTTGTGCCGCGTTGTCGGTGCCACACCTTTGGCCCGTCTGGGTGCCCCCATGCCCGATGAGATGGGACAGATCGACGTGGTCGAGACAACCGAGATTGGCGGTGACCGAGTCACTGTCTTCCGTCAGGAGGATTCCAACGCCATCACCCGCACAGCTACCATTGTCTTGCGCGGTGCCACTCAGAACCACCTGGAGGATGTCGAGCGTGCCATCGATGACGGTGTCAATGTCGTCAAGGCCATCACCAAGGACCCCCGTCTCGTGCCCGGTGCCGGTGCCACGGAGATCCAACTTGTCGAGCGCATTTCCAACTTTGCTGACCGAACTCCCGGTCTGCCCCAGCACGCCATCCGCAAGTTCGCTGAGGCCTTCGAGGTCGTCCCCCGCACACTCGCCGAGTCTGCTGGTCTCGATGCCACCGAAGTGCTCTCGCGTCTGTACACCGCACACCACCGCGCTCCTGTTGCCGGTGAGACCTCTTCCGAAGATGACGAGGAGGGTAGCTCTTCTGAAGAGGAGGAACCTTATTGGACTACAGGTGTGGATCTTGAGATTGGCAATTCTGACGGAACTCTTGACACTGTCGAGGAAGGTATCCTGGATCTGTTGGCCTCTAAGATGTCTGCAATCCGCCTGGCCAGTGAGTCTGCTCGGACAGTGTTGAGCGTTGACCAAATCATTGTCTCGAGACAGGCTGGAGGTCCTAAGCCTCCGCAGGGTGGAGGTGATTGGGATCAGGACTAAATTTATTAAAAAAAGGAGCAGGGTCTGGATGCTATTTGATAATATGAGGCCTGATAGATCTTCGTACGATGATACGCTTTTTGAGAACCATTGTAAATTGGACTACTTTTCTCTTCCAGTAACTAAATTGGCTGTTACACCATCTAGAATGTACAAATATCTTTTCTATATACATAATGTGTCCAAAAAAAATTGAATCGATCATGTTATATCCAAAATGCGTCGAGCGAGCATCCATGATGTTTGCTTGATAGATAAACATAAATGCCTGAGGCCCTAATTGTCACGTGCCATTCCCAGATTTTCCTCGAGTGTTTCCCTTCGGTCTTGATATCAACGAGCCGCGATTCCAATCCCCACCACTTTCCTCTAATTTCCCTTTCTCTGGAACTTCCCACCCCATCCTACCTCCGCCATGTCCTTCACCACTCAGGCCGCAGCCCGCTGCGCCAGACAGCTCTCCGGCTCCGTCCGCCCGTCTTCCCTGCGCATCGCGACCTCCGCTACATACCTCACAGCCCGTCGCACACCCAGCAGCCGGCGATGCGAATCCACCCAGGCAGCCCCTGCTGCTACCAACCCCAAGATCTCCCAGATTGTCGACCAGATCAGCACATTGACCCTGCTTGAGACTGCCGACCTGGTGTCCAGCTTGAAGGTAGGTTTTGACAATCTGCATAATCGATGAATGTCTAAACAGGGCATGCGATCTTGCATATTCCCCTGGATTCATCAATATTTTATCCAATTGAGTCCTTCAATTCAAACCAATGCTGATTATATCCTTGCACAGACCCGCCTGAACATCCCCGACCTTCCCGTTGGCGGCTTCGCCGTGGCCGCCGGTGGTGCCCCCGGTGCCGCTGCTGCTGTCGAGGAGGAGGAGGCCGCTCCTGCCGCCGCTGAGAAGACTCTGTTCAACCTGAAGCTCGAGTCTTTCGAGCCTACCTCCAAGCCCAAGGTCATCAAGGAGATCAAGACCATGCTCGGCCTGTCGCTTGTGGACAGCAAGAAGTTCGTCGAGTCCGCACCCAAGGTCCTGAAGGAGTCTGTGCCCAAGGAGGAGGCGGAGAAGATCATCGAGACATTCAAGGCGCTCGGTGCTAAGGCTACCATGGAGTAAAAACTGTTTATTATTAGGAAACGGGGAGGGAATAGATTGGGAAAACAGCGAAGGGGAGAGATGTCGTCCTTGTCTTTTCCGCTTTTCTCTTTTGATTTCTTGCTTTGAGGGATCTTGTTGAGCATTTATTGTGTTTGGCCTGGCAGATCAAGGCAAAATGTACATTATACGCATTGTGTTCTGGGACCGTCTGGTACAGAGGGCTCGTTTGGTTAATTGATGCATTTAGCATACTGATGCTTTCCCTCCCTAATTACTCTAGATCTAGTAATCCGTAGATGGCTCTTTAATTCCTGGTATGACTGTAGAGAGGCTGGCATGTCAACGTGGTGGCAGATCTGAATGTCGGAGCTGCTTCGCGGATTTCCCGATTTCCAGAACTTCAACCAAGCAAACGTCCCCTCACCTCCAACCCCCACCAGCTCCCCTCGACGCCCTCTTTTATGGCTAGGTCATCAGTTGCCTCATCACAATGGCGCCAATTGTGTCAAGCCGTCTCCCCGAAAGCCCATACGCTGCGTTACCAAGGCGCCCAAGCCTGCACCACTCGCGCTATCACCCACAATAGCAACACAACTTTATTGAAACGACCCTTCCATACCACCCAAAGTCGATCGGTAATTAGGCCCACTCGCCGATCACCGTCTGTCCAAAGAAGCCAGAGAATCCCTGCTACTCCGGATGTGTATAATATTAAGGGTGGATTGATACTGGACCGCGATGGGTTCTTCAACTATTATCTCAAGCCCGATCGTCTCGATGGGGTGCTAGCTCAATTTGACGAATCAAAAGTGATATTATATGAGACTGCTGGGCCCATGATGCCGCCGGGTGTCAACCTCGCGACGTTCGAGGATGTATCTATACAGTTGATTAAACTATCGCACTCGGTGTTTCCTTCGGCCAGTGCTGTCCGCAGTATCTCAGTAGGCAAGTTTCAAAAATGTGCACGATTACAGAGATCTTAATACTAACAATCCACTTTGTTGTAGATGTTGACGCCGTCTATCGAATCTCGCTTAGTCTTTTCAGGCTGCCTCGTAACGGCGCAGGCATCTACGAATGGGCGTTGACCAGCTGCGCCAAAGCCAATTCGCGTCGAGCACTTGTCCAACTCGTGAACCGGTACCTCAATCTGGAAGGCGTGGATATACACCGGAATACCGAGTGGATCGCGATGATCAAAGATCTCGCTCTCGTAGACGAATTCCCTCCAGCGATCCTTACCTACGTCAAGCTACTCAGTTGGCGCGGCGAGAACGCAGCCGCGGCCGAGCTTTTGGAGCAGAAGATTCTCCCGTATATCAAACCGACCCGTATACGCCCTGTGCCATATGAGGATCTAACGATGGGGGGCGCTATGGACTCGCCTCTGCGCATGTACGGTCTTGCTATTGCGGAGACGCAGGGAGTCGAGGGTGTGAAGAATGCCATGCGCCGAGCGGCGTTGGAATTCCACGAACCAATCGCTCTGACCGAATTGGCCATCATTCAATTGGAATCAGAAGACTGGGACTTGTACGAACAATATATGAGTCTGGCTGCGGTGAGCGCATACATCCCGGCCTGCTTTTATCTTGCCAACTTCTATTACCGCATCTCCCAGGGTGAAATTCCCAGCCGAGAAGAGAGGGTCAAAAAGAGACTGGAAGAGAAAAGTGCTGCCAAACCCTGGACGCGACTATTTGAACCTCTGTCCAAGTGGATCGATAGGACGGCCAACAAGCCCATGGATCGTCAGACATACCGCAAGCTCGCTATGGATTGGTATGAGCTTGCTTTTGAACTGGGGAAAAACGATGCCGGATTTATCCTGGCCATGCTCTTCCGCGAGGATGGTCAGATGGAACTGAGCCGTGCAATCTATGACAACGTTATCCAGCAGGGTCTTCCGACCTCCGTGTCGAAAAAGGGCTTACTGGAGATGGAGAGCAAGTGGAATGACCCGACCTTCAACCCTGGCCTGCCGCCTCAGCTCTTGAAGATGAGCTAACTGGGCTGATGCTGTTGGTGGTACTGATATATCTAATGTAAAGCAACTGGTTGGATCCCCACCTTGTATCATAAAAATGTGTCTCTTCTGGGCCTTGATCGATTCCTTTTGTTCTTTTTGTTCTATATTCCCCCTTTTTCATCAGACATTCATATCTCATATCGCATCGTGTACCATGTAAGATTTGACAGCAAGAAATCAAAATAAGAAATCAAATCCGTCATGAATGAACAAACATCAAATGCCAACATTGCATCCCAATCGCTGAACGGGATACCCATGCCAAATCCCCACAGACAAAAACCCTATGCAGACTCCAAACTGACAATCATAATATTTGAAGGATGATATCAACACAACAGAAGAAGGGAATAAAGAACATAACAAAAGAGAGAGAGAGAGAGAGAGAGAGAAAATAACTCGCAATAGATCATTGTCGCTTCTTCCCCTTCCCTTTCCCATGTCCTCTCGTTTTCAACTCCACAAACCCAAGCTCCTTCAACCCCTCAGCAAGCAGCGACGAGTCCTTCATTCCAGGAAAATCCTTTGCAGGATACACACGGAATGGAGCAGACCACGCCTCGGCAAGAATCGGCATCGATTGTCCCGTATCTTCAACAGAGCCCCAATTCATCAATCGGAATTGAAGTCGGTAGAGACCCGCCGAACGGATGGAAAGGTCTGCAAAGATGAAGAAGGTAGCGGGTTGGTGGAGGCGTGAAGCGGCGTCGCTATAGTGGGAAGGGCTGGAGAGAGTTAGGGAGGATGGATGGGAGGGGGCAGAGTTTGGATCTGGGTCGGCCTCGACATAGAAGGGGGACATGAAAGCTTTGCCGGATAATAATGGGATTGATAAGTCGTCGTCTGTGCGAGCGATGCCGTCTGTTTCTCTTTCTCTTTCTCTTTCTTTATCGCGATTTCGGTCCCGGTCTCGGTCTCGCGGACCGGTTTCTGTTTCGGTCCATGAGGTTGAGACGGGGAAGAGTAGACAGCCTACTGTGAAGCGTGGGTCTTGGAGGAGATCTCGGTCTTCTTGGGAATTGGAGTCGAAATCGGTGAGAAGGATCTGTACGATTGGGGGTGGGTCGACGGGTCGACGATCCCGATCACCTGCGCCGCAGGCTCTTGCGGCGATCGGCTGTTGCCGGATGTGAAGATGATATCGAGACTGGGCGGATGGTCGCCGGGATTGTGGTTGTATAGGGGGAGATTCAGGTTCTGGTTCGTGGTGGAGGAGCTTGTCGAAGCCATGTGGCATTCTGTAGCTCGCACTCCGAGATTGGGGTTTCAGTTCTTGATGAGTGCTGGGTAGTATAGGGTTGAATGGATGGGTAGCTGTGCTTTTATCTGACCAGACGGGACTAGACATGGTTGTGGAACTGTTGCTGTGTCTATATGGAGGTTCTTGGTCAGAATATGGTTCTTTGCATCAATCTCTCTCTCTATACGTTGTGTAACCTGTCACCGATGTGACATGAGAGGGCTGTGTGCAAGAATCTCCAGCCAAAAAAAAAACACCATCAGGACCACTGACAAATTGAGATGGTTCGGATCGACAAAAAACGAAAAAGAGAGGGACTTTACTGGGACTCCACGTCGTACGTCCGGCTCCGGTGACTATCATAGCCCCGAGCATGGCCCAGAGATGGGTTGACTCTCTCATCATAAGCGTTGTAATAGCCACGGGTATCATGGCTTGCCTGGGGTTGATAGGATGGCAGCGGGAGGGCTTGCGGCACGGGTTGGCTCATGTATACATTATCGGAGGAAAGCATATAGCGTGGGTCTGCGCTTCTTTCGGGAACCAAGGCCGGAAGCCGAGGACCAAGGGGCGCGAGTATAGGGCGCTCATAGTCTGTGCCCTGGGAAAGGATCTGTCGAGGCTCATGTCGGTACGGATACGGCATGGGTATCGGACCGCGATGTTGAGAGCGGGGGACCGAGTCAATGTACGGCCGTTCCGGTGTGGGATGCCCACATTGTTGTGGCGGTGGCCTCGACATCGATTCCACTTCCAGAGCTGTTATAGTTTAGATATTGCGTCCGGATTTTGGGGCATTGAACACAAGCGGTCAAGTAGTCCGAGTCAATGCCCCTCTTCGGGTAGAATTATATATATGCCCCAAGAGAAATTGCGCTGAACAAACACGTCAAGCTTGAATGCATATCCTGGATCTGCCTGCGCTCAAAACGAAGGCATCTGATAAGCCGCATGTGAATGCAGACACCAAGTCATGACACTTAGGACTGTTGTTTTTTTTGTTTTTTTTGTTTTGTTTTGTTTTTTGTTTTTTTTCTTTTGCCTCTGTTGAATCTATACTTCCCTCGGGAGATTCCCTGACCACAGCTGTTCTCCAAAAGAAAAAAAAGTCCGCAAATTTAGTAGTGTGCCCGAGATATCCAATCGCTCAAAAACTGGAATATAACCGAGACTGAAGGGAAGAGCATCAGTACTTTTTTTTTTAATTATAATTCCACCCTCTCTACGATTGGCGTATCCACCGGTAAAAAAAAGGGAAGAGCCGGGGGAATAGGCCGAGCTTTGGAAAAGACGTGGGTTGTGGGCTGTGCGTGTAGTGCGAGGGATGAACCCACTACGTCTGTTCCTGACAGAAATTGGCGTCCGGGTGTCTGATCTCTCGAAAGACGGTCAGGAAATCGGATGTGAGTGGAAGTCAGGGTGCATTGACTTGAGGGTTTCTTAAGTATCTCGTGTTATCATCTTCCGAGGTTTTCGACCTATCAGGAGAATGTAAAATGAGTACTCCCTACAAACTTCTGGTCATAATTTTGTGCTTTTTTGCGAATCGGTCTGGCCGAAATCGGATCCTGCCTCTTACTCGACTTAAGAGTAAGCCGGAGTACGGTGAAACACGTTTCGCAGCAAACTCAAGAGATCTGCTTCATAGGGAGTAATTTTGTGGACATTCGTCGATTTTTCAGGTGCTGACCGACAAGCCTTCGAGCAGTACGGCGTACTCCGTACGGAATACGTTGATGTACAACGCAGGGCTACCAGCTGGTACTCCGTACCCTGTCTTCGAAGCCGTAAGCTGCGATGATTGGCGTTCAACCATTGCTTGGCAATCATTCAGAGAAATGATCTTCCCCCTACTCCAGACAGAGTCGGATGCAGTATGGGGTGCAATGGGGGGAATCACGATAGCACACTTCATCGCGAGAGCTTGGATTGTATACGATGTACGAGATGCTTCGGAGCATAGGCTTGGGTGACAAATAACAAGCAGAAGATATTCCTCAGTCCGGAGTAGCTTTTCCCGGAATTCAAAGTCAATTGGCGTTGCTTCATACGCCATTGTTGCTTCATACGCCATTGTCTCTTAATTCCAATCGGGAAGACAATGTCAGATCGATCGGTATCAGGCAGCATTTGGCAGAGTGGGGTTAAGTTTGGATAGACGAGTTCGAATGGGCCCAAGCGCAAGAAGCAATCTATTCGAATAAGAATGCTGCGCTATACTCCCATATCCCGGACAACGTACTCCGTAGTACGGAGTACATACATTGCATCCGAAAATTGGGCATTTGTGGCGCTCTGCCGATGTGGGCCGTGCTTTTCTCCATTTTGAATTGAAACTAAGAAATACGGAGTAAGTATTTCTCATCGGGAAAAGAACCAGTCCAATCATCGACTGGGAATTCCATGAGTTGCAGCAAGTCGGGTGGCTCAGGGCGGGTTGAGCTCCTCTTCTCGGCTGTCACCGTACAGCATTCATGCCCTGAACATGTATCGAGGTTTCTAGCCAATCCTTCTTTTTCTTTTCTGTTTCTTTTCTGTTTCTCTTCTTTTTCTTTCCCCTCGGTATGCACTGTCAAAGGATGTGGCTGCGCTGCATTTTCCCAACAAGGTGATTGTCTCGTTGCGGAGCTGTACGGAGTACAGAGTACTAGGTAGTTGCTGTAGGTGTGCTCGTCGCGCCTCAAATAGGAAGAGATATTCCGATAGACTGCCGTTCGTAGTCAGGCCCATCCAAGATCTCAAAGGGACTCGTTTCTCTGTCGATCCGGGACCTGCCAATTGCGTGGGTGGCTTGACCGATCTGTGGTGTGGAAACTTCATTTCAGTACGTGTCGCTGGCAGGCAGGGAATGGGAACAAATGAAGTGAGGATCAACATCCCAGATGATCGGGCATGTTGATCAATAGCACTTCAGATTTATCAATCAAAGATAATAGCAATCTTGAACTGTCATGGTCATATAGAAAACCCACCCTATTCAATGCACCCGATTTGGAACGGCTGTGGGCGCGACGCCCTGCATACAACCGCCCATGACCACAGGCAATGGATTGGTTATCCCGCATTTGATATTTAATAGACTGTATGGAGATGGACTTGAACTCTCAGGGCTCGGAACCCTCATTCTTTCCACCATATCCTCAGGGTGAACCTGAAGTAGCTAGAGGAAATGAAATCCTCTCCTGTCAAGTCAATTCCCACTCAGGAGGGCCCTGGAGAGTCAGAACTTGGGATAAGTGGCAGGTTGTCGACATTACTTTGAGGAATACTGACCATTCCACTGCTATTTAGAAGCGGATCTTCCTTGGAAACCGGAGGATCGCACAGTTTGCCGCTTTCAGCGCATTGCGTCTTACAATTGTCATGTGAACTCACCATTGCGGGCAGGTGGCGAAATGCTGATCTTCGAAGTGGATTATGCACCATGTACACTTAATAGTTCGCAGCGGAATGAAGCCGTGTTTGGTGGCAAGACACGGCTACCTGGTTTAGTTTGGTCGGGGCCTTTCAAGCCGAAATATCCAGCTCTTCTGCATAGGCTGGGATCGACTGTATATTAGGTCCATGCTCTGTTGGACTTACACTCGTGATACAGGCCCAGCTCCGATAAAAGTGAATGAGAGCTTCCTTTTCTAGTGAGAGAGCGGTTGATAGTGGGATTAGATTTATAACTCGGTAATGCAGACACAAGTTTCTGTTTATACAAAAGTAAAAGTATCACCTCCCTTCTCACGTAGCATGTTTCCAATACGAGACGTGCCAACAATGCGTTCCAACTTCAGCGCATCCCACTTGGAGAACAGCGCACGCACACCACCTTCAGCTGCCTCAATCAATGCTGCTGGATCAAGACCAAGGAATCCAACAATCTCACTGTAGAACAACGCATTATCTGGAAGTCCGTACATGACCACACGCTTGACGCCGCGGACCTGGTAACGACGGAAGTGGTGCGCACGCTCGGTATAGAGCAACACGGAGTGGCGGCCGGACACGAAATGACTGCGGGCACGGTTGGCCTCCTTTGGCTCGGTGTACTCAGAGATCGCGCCGAAGGACACGTTTGTTGTCTGCATGGAGGTGGCGAAGTGGTTACGCACGCGGACGAAGTCGAGGTAAGAAGGGATGAAGATGAGAGTGCCAGCGCCGCCCTTGCCGCGGCCGTGGGTGATGTTCTTCACCAATGTGGACAAGATGGTTGTGATGAAGTGCTTGAAGCGCGCGTCGGGGTCTTTAATAGGCGACAGACTGTCGATGCGAGTGAAGGTCTGCTTGACGGAGACTGGGAGCGGCAGCTCGGTGATGGCGCCGGCGTAGGTTGGGGTGGCTTTAAGGCGGCCGGAGGCGTTCTGCATTTGAGATGAGAAGAGGGCGTTGATCTCCGGGGTGATGCATGATGACAGCACGACAGTTTGTCGAACGTGGCGGGCTTGATTGTCCAGATACCAGTTGCGGACGCGGCCGAAGTCGCAGCCGTGCGCTTCTTTCGGTTGCAAGTTTAGGTGCTGGAAGATGAAGTCCATGTGGTCCCAGTTTTGCATGAGCAGGGCGTCGGCGTGGTCGACAATCACCACCTCAATCGAGGAGAGGAAGTCATGATCGCGTTTCTTGGCGTCAGATTGGTCCATGATCGTTCGCAGACCAAGAGGACTAGCCAGAATGATGTCGGAGCTGTAGAATTGCGCGAAATATTTGACCGTCTTGCGAGTGAATTTGAGACCTAGTCGGAACATGTCGTCGTCATTGCCACCAAAAAGCTCCCGAAAATCTTCAGTCTTGTGCTCCCACGCATCGTCTTCTGGCGCCGAGAAGGAGTCGGTGAAGCGCTTTTTGTTTTCTTGCTGCTCAGGCTGATAAATTCGAGTGATTGCATCGAGAACCTTCACACACGCCTGTCGGGTCGGCAAAATATAAAGCACCTTGGGTCGAGTGAATCCCTGGTCACGGCACTCGATGTCGGTGTCCGGGTCCTTGGCTAGACGGGCATTGTTCTTCAGGACCTGGTCTCGGGTCTTCAGAAGATGGTTGACGGCGTGCAGCGCCATAATGTCACGCATCTCGTTTGCGTTCGAAACAGATCGGGCACCATAGAGAACATCTTGGTAGTCGAACACATATGGCGCAATCGTCTGGGCTTGGCCGGTGATTTTAGGTAGGATGTCAGCCGCACGAGATTTCAATTTTTGTTTAAGCTGCGCGATTGAAGGTCAGTACTGGAACCAGCACAGAGATTCAAAGGTGCGATATGTACCTTAATGTTGGCTGTGCTCTTCATTGGTGGAAGGAATGATGCGTTGTTGGCTCCAGTGTCGGGAATAGAATGTACTAGCCGCAGCCCATCGATCTCTTTCTTAGTGGATGCCCATTGGTTCGACTGAATGATCTCGATCTGCTTGGTTAGGTCGGCACTCTGGGGGAGATTGAAGTGCTTTTCGAAAGCAGCAGTTGGGTCCTCATCCTCGTCTGCCTCCTCTTCTTCGTCGTCGGAGGGCGCTTGAGCTTCTAAATCGTCATCGCCCTGCTCCGGTTCCTGCGCAGTACTTGCTATTTGTATTTCCTCATTCGAGTCGAAGACAATCCTGCGCTTCTTCCGAGCTGGCCCATTGGACTCATTGGATTCATTGGTGTGAAGTAGCTGAAGGAGTTCGTTATATGGGCGTTCGGTGTTCTCTTCTTCTTCGTCGCTGCTGGACGAACCCTCGTCCATAAGGGAATCATCACCCAGTTCCTCTTGGGATTGCTCGCTAGCATCATCTTCTCCGCTAGAAGAATCATCTGACCTAGTGATTATTAGATAGAGTGATTAAGGATTAGAGGGTAAGCAGAAAAGAACTCACTCAGACTCGTTCAGTCGGGAAGTAGCAAAGGAGTTGCGACCACCACGACCACGACCCCCATGAGCTCCGCGACCACGGCCACGGCCACGACCACCGCGGCCTCGAGCTCCTCTAAAAGAACCACCACGAGGACCAGGCATCTTTTGGTCGGGTTAAAGGAGGTTTGTAGTTTCCAATTAGTTTGTTCTGGCCGAAATGAGAATTTCGGGCTTATCTTATCTTAGCGCGAAATTTCCCACACACAAAGAATCGGAACAATCAGAGCGGCTCACTCCACTTCAAGGAAAAATTGAACCTCCGAGAAAGGTTGAGTTTGGCTTGATCTTGAACCTGCAAGATATTCATCCCCAAATTAATCATGGCCGAAGATTCTTTCCTTCATCTTGCTCGCCCCCTGGGCCCCGTCAGCGTGGGGACCGCTCCCACTACTGCCCCTCTTAACGTGGTCATTCAACCCCAGGTATGTTATATGTCGGCTATGATCTGAGGGGTAAAGCTCATCATTCTCCCAAGGCAATCTTCTCCGTTCTCGACCACTCTCTTCGCCGTAATGCCGACCAGGAACGAGTCATCGGTACACTGTTGGGAACACGCTCCGAGGACGGAAGCGAGGTTGAGGTCCGCTCCGCCTTCGCCGTCGGCCACTCCGAGGCTGAGGACCAGGTCGAGGTCGACATGGAATATCACAAGCAGATGCTCGCTCTGCACCTGAAGGCCAACCCCCGCGAGGTCCTGGTTGGTTGGTACGCCACTGCCTCCGAGCTCAACACTTTCTCCGCCTTGATCCAGAACTTCTACAGCGGCCAGGGTGATGGTACCTGGCCTCACCCCGCCGTCCACCTGACTGTCTCCACCGAGGCTGGCAAGGACCTCGAGACCCGCGCCTATATCTCCGCCCCCGTTGGTGTCACCGCCGAGCGTGCCGCTGACAGCGCCGCTTTCATTCCCGTTCCCTACGAACTTCGATACGGCGAGGCCGACAAGAGCGGTCTTGAGTCTATCGCTAACGCCAAGGATGCCGAGGACCGTTCCGCCACTATCACTTCCGATATTGAATCATTGGAGCGCGCTGTTGAGGAGGTTCTTTCCATGGTTGACCGTGTCTCGCGCTACGTCGAGTCTGTGATCGATGAGGAGACCCCCGCATCGACCGCCATGGGCCAGTTCCTGCTTAACGCTCTCGCTCTCGCTCCCAAGGTCGAGCCTGCCGACATTGAGCGTGACTTGTATGTTGAATATAAATTCTTCCTTGTGTTATATCTAGTCACTAATTATCTACAGCAACAACCACATCCAGGACGTCCTGGTCGTTTCTTACCTCGCCAACACCGTTCGCACACAGATGGAGCTTTCTACTCGACTAGCAACCGCCCAGCTTACTCTCGGTGGCGGCGATGGCCCCGCCACCGGCGAGGGCAACCAGCGCAACCAGCGCGGTGGAAAGGGCAACAACCAAGGCGGCCGCCAGCGCCAGGATCGCACCGAGGAGGCCCGCGCATGAGAGCTTCCCACAGCATATAATGCTGATGCATAATGTGACCAATTGCGAGAGGACTTCCCCCACCCTTCAAGGGAACGTGGATATCTCATCTCACGTTCTCTTTCCTTTCTATCCCATTCCTCCTTGACGTTATTACTTTTGGGTCTTTCGCTGCTTTGTTAACTCTCCCTCAACCGCCTTCATCCCTTTTCCTTTTTCCCCCTCGGTTCCCTCCTTTTTTTTCTCTCTCTCTCTCTTTCTCTCTTGCGAGACTTGCATGTTCTCTCCGGAGCCTACGAACTGCGGGCTGGTCACAGAATCACGCCCCCAACAACAGCGTCTGGGCTCGGGTTGTCTCAAGGACCAAACACTGTCTCCAATACGAGGTGTTGTGGGGTTGTGACGATTTAACATCATTATGATTGATATATCGAGTGGTGCCAGTTGTAAACGAGGCTGGTGAGGACGGATCGTTCTGCGATAGAGAAAATCGGGGGTGATGAGTCTAGACAGTTTGAAGACGAGAGATGGATTCGCTGTGAGCCGATCTCTCCAGGTTACGAAGTCGCATCATTCTAGGCGCGGCGTTTTCAGTTATGATGAAATGGACATAAAAGTTCTAGAGCTTCTTCGTATTGTTCAGCATATTGACATGATCATTTCCATCCGTCTCCGCCAGCAGTGCCCCCGGAGGAGATAGATACAATCGGATAGACAGGATCCCTCTCATGGCGTCACCAGTGGAAGAGAGATGGATGATACGGGCCAACAGTATCGAATCCAACCACGCAGATATAGACTCTGATGGGCAATTCCGTAGGAAAGGAAGGAAACATGAAATCGAAGAAAAGAAGGGGGGGGGGGTTTTATACCGCGGAAAATTGGGAAATTGAAAAGAGCCGAACAAGGAAGGAACGATGAATCCAGCGAGTAGAGGAGGAACGACCGGGCTGGGCGACCAGGACTGAAGACACCAGTGCCCGCCAGAAGCAGGTCATTCATACACCATTCGGCCGTGGCGCGAATACATAGGGCGAACGCCCCGTTGAGAACCACGGCAGCGGATCCCAATCAGTCAAGGTATCATCGGGAAATGCATGCAACAGCATCGGATGTGGTTAGAGAATCTCCCAGTTAACCTGTCCATGGAAGTATCAGCAAGAACATTGGAAAATCCTAACGTGGCCATAATATTCTTGTTATGTGTATGCAAATCACGCTGTCGGAAAGGATGATTTGACCGGATTGTTGATGATTGTGTACAGTCTTCAGTATCAGGTGTCGAATGGCTATAACGGTAGGGATCTAGCTATCTGAGTTTGCTGCCAGAGGAATTGATCCTTCTCCATATCTTCAATACTTCAACGATATCCACTTCCATCAACCTACATATCTATACCATATCAAAATTCTATACTCCAGGGTGCTTATATATTACACCTTCATCTTTCTGGTCTTCTATGCTATACCACTACCCACCGAGATCATGCACATCTCATTATGATTGTATTGCAATCGCCAACCCGCATGATACCGTGGATTGATAAAGCGTGGACTGCTCTTGAAAACAATACAGTCAGCGGAATCCGAAATGTTGGACAGCGGCAGCTCGGATTAAGTGGGAGCATATCATCGCTCAGGACATGTCGTGTCCCTTGCTGGATTACGAACGTAGGCGAAGTAAATTACCTTCCCAACCATCTCCGGCAATTTATTAGGGCTGGGGTACTTCCCCATCGCCAAATCGATCCAGCACCAGCGTGGTGAAAGGCTCCCTTGTCTGAGAGGAAGTGGAGTTGGGTCCTCTTACTCTTTCTCGCTCGGTGGTGGTAAGTTCTTCCATTCAGAGATAGATGTAGACAACAATGTGATCTGAAATACATAGTGCTGCAGAGAGAAAGACCAAGAACAACACTGTAAGCAACGAAGAGAGCTTTCAAGGTCCTTCCCTGTCTGGGAATACACATGAGCCCCGAAGGAATTGTTCAGTTGTATTGAATATAACGAGAATTTTCGGTGGCAGTCATCAATAGCATATACGGGATTGCCTTTCCTCGTCTGCACATGCTACTGATGCGCTGGATAGTCTCATGCTTGACTATTCTCGATAAGACATGCTGAGCCAGGATGTGAAAATCAATCAGCCAATGCAGGGTTCTCTTTTTTTTTGAATGACAAATTCATTGATTGATCAAATGGATGCCGAGTTCAGTGTCGAGTTCATATTCACACGTTTTTGGATTATGAGAACGGTGCTCCGTACTTATAAACTGTTAATTTGCGGGGTGACTTGATGGATTTACTTGCCATGAAAGGCAGACAGACCTGGGCTGAGATGCTGTCGCATGGGACAAAGGTGATGTCGAGGAAGTTGACACAAAAATCGCACTCGTTGCTTCTTTTTTTGAAAAAAAAAAAAAAAAAAAAAAAAACCAAGGTTCCCGAAAGACCCAACATGCCTAAGAAACACATCACGGTGCAGTCGCGTAGAGAGAGATTGGAGAGTAGGTATTGTGTTCAATTGTATGGAGTAATCCCAAGGGATCTCGGATCTCCCAAGATTTATTATCCAGTGCCTCACTATATTGTAAACGGATTATTGGGTCATGCTAAAACTCCAAAGGAAGGTATAATTGTAAATCGGCATCTTGTACGGAGTAATGGACTAAGGATAACAGGAGCGAGGGGTGGAAATTTCCAGGCGTAAAAATACCTAGGCAGCAGGGCTGTTTGAGATCAGATGCAAGTCAAAGGAGTGGGCTATAAAGGGGGATTGAGGAAATAGACTGTGGGATGACGAGTGAGACTCTAGAGACAACAAAGGGAAAGCTGAGGGCCGATGCTCAAGGTCACGATCGATGCCCCGGTGCCTCCAGGGCGTTTCCCAAGTGGGGGCTGACGGCGCCAAAGCTTATTTACTTTAATTTGACTGGGGACTACTTCCAGGGCGAGTGACCATTCTTGTTCCCAGGGGCAGTTCGGTAAAACTTCAATGTGTCTCATGTTTGGTAATGCCGTCGATATTTGTGGGCAAATCATGGGGAAAAAAAAAGAGAAAAAGAACGCAGGCCTAGCGCCATGACAAGTAAATTACACAGACAAGAAAGAAATAAAAAGTCGTATCTCATGATCCCATTCATATTCAGCCAATGGTCTTGCGCTTCTTTGGAACCGACTCCTCGGTCGCATCAGATCCACGGCGGGTCGCAGCACCCCTTTTTCCTTTACCTTTGCTCTTCTTGGTAACATTGGCTGTAGCGGCGGCTTCAGCAGCCTCCGGATCCTCGCCAGCGGCTGCGGCTGCGGCTGCAGCAGCAGCACCCTTCTTTCCAGCTTCCTTAGCAACCTGGTCATCATTCTGATCAAATGCCTTGCGGGCCTCCTTCAGCTCGCGCTCCATACGCAGCAGCTCCTGGACACGGCCGAGCTTGTTCGGGTCGCGGCGCAGTGCGAAACGGAAGTCCTCAACTTTGATCTTCTGGCGGCGGGCGTGATGCGCGACTTGTGCGGCGCCGTGGCTAACTTCCAGCACAAAATCGGTGACAATTTCATCCAAGACACGGATTGTTTCGGGGAGGGGCTCATTTGGGAAACTTGGGTGTGGGCTTGGGTCGCCATAGGCAAGAAGGAGCAGGCGGACTATGTAAGATATTGTGGTTAGTCTTGCGCTTGCTTTGGTTGCACCCGTGAGGGAATAAATGCGCATAGGTTGTCGGAACTTACGCTCGTTTTGAAAGTTCATTTGGCCTTTGTGGCGGGCCATGCGGGCGCGTGGTTCGGCCATGGTGGATTGGGTTGCTGGGTTTTTCTTGCTCTTTTCTGTTGCAATCGAGGTTGGGTCGGGTGGTTTAGGGGTCCACTGGGGTTCGTATCCCGCGCGGATCAATGCTGTGTCTTGCTCATTGAAGTACCAATTAGGCGAGAGAGCGGAGGAGAGATTTCTGGTGCTAGGCTGCCGAGTCGGAGTGCGAGTCGCAGTGGGCAAGCCAGTATTCGGACTTGGTGAGGAGTGAGGCGGAGCTTGAAAACGAGCGTTCGAAGTCGATGAGCAGTTGTTTGAGGGTTGCGAGCGAGAATTTAAGAATAGCGAAGATCTGATCGGAATTCGAGGGCCACTGATTGGAGTTGGCAAGTAACGTGTCGGAGTTGGTGAGGGAGTTGGCGGAGCTGCTGCGACCTCCGGCTGAAACGATATCCGCCTGGGCGTTTGGACCGTGCGTTTGGCGGACATGGCGGGCAGAATACAGTGGACTGGGGTTGATTAGACTGACCTGGCAACATCAACTGTTGCAATTTTGCTCTGCCCCAAGCAACGGGCGGGGATTCGACAGCTGCTCAAAATGGTGAGTCCATGGACATGGCATGACTGATGCCTGTGTTTACTTGTCGCTGTTGCGGGGTACGAACCCAATGGCAATAGGATTGCAATGCGCTGACCGTCACACTTGCCTAGTCTGCTCTTTTCAACTTTCAGTCTTTGCTCCTCGTGATTCTTCTCATAATCTGCACCAGCAGTTATGCGCACTCGATAATGCCAGGGATTATGGACCGGAACCAGACTGGGTAGGTACTCACTTTAAAATGCGGACCCGGGCATCGAGTTAGTTGGCAAGGAGACTAACAATTGGTCGATGTAGCATTTTTGGGATCTTCTGGAAGTGCGCACGGGTCGGAGAGCGACTTAGTCCATATGTCAGCATATGCTGTGTCTTGATGGCAGTGAGTATCCTCTTCTACAAATAGAGAGAGAGATGTATGAAGAGAGATACTAATGCTGCTTTATAGGTCTCGATCTTTTTCGGTGGTTGAATAGCTCAATGGACTCAATAGTAATCTGAATGGGAGTTACAATGGGAATTATCATTTGACCAGTTGCATTGTGACAACTCAATGGAACCCATGAGTTGACAATAGAAGTTCACGTAATTCCCAAGTGAGCATCACAATATCGAAGAGCCCTACTTACTACGATGGACTCTAGATGCAATGAGCTTTTAAAATGAACAATAAGTTCATGGTGATGCAATGTATTGTACATGATATCCAAATTTACAAAAAAAAGTTCAAAGTCCACTTCGTCAAACACCGATCCGTCCAAAATGCTTCAAGGTTGCTTGGCCCACAAGAGGCAACAATAAAAGACAAAAGGGTATCCTATCTTACATTTAAGGCGCTCACATTTTAGGTTTGAACTTTGACTCCAGCTTCTCGAGCCCACTGTCAATCAGCTTGTCACGCTCCTTCTGGTCACTGTGCACATCAGAAGTGGGCCCCAGAGCAAGGGACAATTGGGCCCCATCTGAGTCAGACCTCTGATCCATCTCCTCAATCGCTACCCAAAGGCGTTCGGGGTCGCGGAGATAGCGCAGACTTTTCATCGTATAATGGTCAATTGAAAAGCCTTCCCTTTCCATCATCGTGATTGCAGCAGCGGTTTCGGGGATATCTTGTGCGTTTGCGAAACCGTTGATAATAGTGTTCCAGGTCACCTGGTTGTATTCCACGTTGTGCTTAGACATCATCTCCTTCACCTTCTGAGCGGCTTCGGGTTGGCGACTATAATTGAAGGCACTGAGGAGGATGGTCCAAGTGCGAGGCGTGGGTGAGATGTGCTTGAGAGGCTTGCCATCGGTAGTCTCTTTCGGCAGGAGGGATGCGTCAAGCATATCTTCGACTAGACGCACGCTCGACCGCAGTCCATGACTGCTTTTGCGGAAGGCGATGAGGAATTCATTGTAAACGTGGTCGGTTTCGACTAGAGGAGCGATGGATGGATGGCCTTGCTGAACAAGCTCGCGGAATCTGTCATACATGTGATGCACTTGTGCTATCCGATTTCTGCAGCGGAAAAATGTTGCAATCATGAGGAACAAAGATACTGGAGAAGGCGGAGATTTGAGCTCCGGTCTTTGGGTTGTCGGTGGAGTATATTGTGGAGGGAGGAGAAGAAGTTCTTTGAGAGGAGTGACGTCGTGGATTCTGGTGTACATGTCAAGCATGGAGTAGAAGACCCCCGAGGGATCGCTCTCGGGATCGATATGCTTGGCGGTGAAGGTGAAATGGGCATGGAAGATTTTGCTGAAAATGTATGGGTTCTTCCGTAGTTCCTCTTGCATCTCGACTTCTTGTACTAGCTCATCCACGCGACCCCGATCACCTCGAGATACGGCATCAGTGAGGAGGGTCAGATAGGTATAGGAGTCGAATTGGTGGTGATGATTCTTCATGAATTGAAGCATATCCGACCCAAGCTGGGGATCTCCGGTTTTATAAGCATTAGCAAGCACGAGATTCATCATGTCCCTATCCGGCTGGACACCCATCTTGAGAAGCCGTGGAAGAATCCGGAAATTGCGTCCTTCTGGTTTATCCTCGACTGTATCCAAGGTCAGGAGCTTGCAACAATGCCGCAGGACACCTTCAGAATCCATGGAAAATTCAGGGGCATTAATCTTGCGAACATATGCCAGGGCTTTGAAAGCATATTCCACGTCATTGAGGTGTATGAATTGGTTCATGTAGCAAAGTGCAGTTTGCGCTTCCATTGTAGTGCCTCGTTCGCCCATTAACCGAAAACTCTCGTAGACGCCCAGGAAGCCTGCTCGGCGAATATATAACCGTATGCCCTTTTGTGGTGGGGAAATAATTGGCCAATCCTTTGGATCCAGGGAAGTCGCAACCACCGATTCGAAGGTGTGGGCACCACTCTTCCAACCCTGGAGCTCGTCATAATGAAATTTCTCCAAGTATGCCAAGCAATCAACGACCATAGTCATGTCTGGCTTCTCCTGAGGCTCAGTTGTGACGATTAGAAACTCCAAGACAAGTGCCGGATTGTTTTGCAACAGCCAAATGGCCAGGCGTTGCCAGGCCCAGGCCCTGGAAGCTCGATTCATTGCAAGCCATGCCTCCCGGAATTTGCCTTGACAGTCATCAAGAAGCACAGCTAGCAGTTGTTCCCCATCTTCTTTCAGTTTCGGCAATGCAGACAGGTGCAAGACCTCGCGTCGATATGTCTTGGCGTTATAGATCGCTCCATATGCCTCCTTCCATTGACGAAGTCCCAGCTCACGCGTGTAAATCGAATTTAATCGTGTCGCAAGCGCCAAGTATAACCCTCGATCGGTCAGGTATTTACCCTTTCTTAAAATTTCGCGGTTGACTCTCTCGGCCGCCATGGCCACAAGCTTGGGGTCAGCATGTCGCACATATGCAACCTTTTTCATTTTGTCCTTCGTTATAATCGGCGTGGACGAATTTTTTCGTGGCTGTGATGTTCGTGGCTGGGTGGAAAGCTGCGAATGCCCATTGTCCATACCATACTGATCTGTTGCGATTTGATCTGATTGTTGACTTGCTGCGGGTTGTGAAGTGTTGAGTTTATGGCTGGCGTTTCGAGATAGCGTAGGGTTTGGAGTATCAGGTGTCATTCCAGGTTCTAGTATTGCCGGGGCATGGTGCGTTGAAAGGAGCGCTCTATGGCCAACGTTCGCCGTTCCTGGCTCCCGATACCATCGGCCTGGGCTTCGACATTGCGGCGAGAGCAACCCGTTCAAACGGGACCGAACGAGTTGGTGTGGACACGATGACATTCAGGAATATATGGTCGGATACATCTGGCGAAAACGACGAAGACAAAGACAATGGACTCAATGGCTCGTGGAAAAGAGAGTCGAAGTCCAATGCCGGACCGAAAGTTGAATTCCGCCCGATTTTGCCGTGGCTAGTGTGTGGCGCACCAAACCTACTTTTATCACTCTATCGTCTTCAACTTCCATGGAGCAGAGGAGCTTAGGTTTCCTTCAGGTCACTTCAGTCACGATTCTTTCTGCCCCCTGGGATCGGATATTCTCCTAGCACCCCATTCAATCTTTGCTTGAAAATATGTCATCAAACCACGCCAATCTTGATGCGGCGTCCACCGACCGCAAAGCCCGCCTCGCCAAGCTCGCAGCTCTAAAGCGCAAGCAACCCGAGCCAGACACAAATGAGGCTGCCGCAAAAGACATTGAGCTTCCTGATGCCGATGCTACGCCAGATGTAACCACAAAATTCCTGTCTGGTCGCAACTACGACGCCGAAACTCGCGGGCCGAAGCTGGGCTTCGAACAAGGTCCGCAGGAGGGCCAGGTGACGTTGGAAGCCCAGGCGGCAGAAATCGCACAGGCCACAGCCGAGCAAGGGAAGAAAGATGCAGATGGTGATGAGCCGCTCAATCTATACAACCTACGACCAAAGAAACCCAACTGGGATTTGAAGCGGGATCTGGACGAAAAGCTCAAGATTCTCAATGTACGGACGGACAATGCAATCGCCCGGCTCGTGCGACAACGGATAGATGACGCGAAACGGGCTGCGAAGGAACGTGGGACTACACTCACTGGGGATGAACAGGGTGAGGAATTGGGTATCGAGGGTGAGGCGCTCGTTGAGGGCATCCATATGCGTGAACGAGAGGAAGAAAAAAGCGATGAAGAAACGATCTGAACATGATACCCTTTGTTGCAGGACTGCGCGCTGTTTGGCTTTTCTGCCTTCCCTTTTACTATCTGTATTCTGTCTTTCCTATCTTTCCTATCTTCATTTTTATGTTGGTTGAGGGCGTCCAATTGATGCCAAGAGCATATTGCACACAAAATCAGGTGTTGAGGCGTTTTCAGATAACATTTTTCAATTCGTATTCCTGTCTTATTGTATGTTGAGAATCATCATTGACGATGTTTCCCCTTGAATTGTTCGGGGAGACATGTGTTCTGTTCAACATCCCGAGGGAATTAAATGCTAATAATACACTTGTTCGTATTTCGATGGAATATGAGTTGGCACTGTGCAGAGACTTGCGCCGTAAAAATCTCCAATTGTAAAGAACAATTTTTTTTAGTTCAATTTACCTTCCATGGTTCATGGCTTCGGTCAAACGAAGCCGCTTGCTGAAAGGACTCAGGCTTCGCTCTCGGGGAGGCTGGTTCTGTGTTCTGGTGTCAGTCCTAGACCGTCCGGGCTGAGACTGGCGTGGTGGGCTGGCTCGATCCCGGTATGAGCGGTCACGAGGAACATCTGGAGTCATAGAACGCATGTCTTTCGCTCGCTCTTGGTCCATACTCTTGCTTCGGCGGTCTCGTCGGTCACTATGCCTTCCTGCGCCACGGTGCCGACCTCGTTCTTCGGGGCTAGACTCTCGACGTCGTCGCCGTGTGTTTCGGTCATCAGTTCGCTCCCGGGACGGCGAACGATTCTTTGGTCTTGTTTGAGCCGGACTAGATCGGCCCTCTGTGGAATCACTATAGCGTCTCTTTCGGGACTTGGTAGGTGAGGATGAGTCGGCTCGGCGGCCACTATCGATTGCGCCGTATTTGTTATGACGGGGAGAGGAGTCACAAGATCGATTGGTGGATATCGTTGCCACTGAGATCGACCTAGATCGCTTCGGAGAGTGGGAACGGCGGTCTGTCATATCCCCAGGTCTCTTCCGACCACGCTCTTCCTCCCGGTTGGCAAGTAACTCATCCGCCAAACCCTCTCTGTAAACAAGTCAGCGAGTATTTCTAATTGAATGTACAGAGATCATAGATGGCTCAATGGGTGGCTTACGTCCGTAAAAGCTCGTTTGGGTTATCACTGGAGAGCTTGGGTATCAATTCTGGGTTCTGTAGCTGTTGAGTCCTTGAAGGTCGCGGGATGTATGGGCGCTCTTGCGCAGGTGCCTTGCAATCAAAACTGTAGTGCCGTGAACCGGAGTTAGTCAGATATCTGGATAGCATACAGAGAATTGTACGTATCTCGTTTGAGGCATTTCTGACACAGTGTGTTCGCGGTGGCTTTGTCGGAGCGTCGGAGCGTCGGGGCGTTTCGATATCGGTTCATTGTAGCTCGCGATGCTCCGGATTTATGTGTAAATCTGAAATTATGGATTCTCAATTCTCAGATCAAGGGTTTTGGTACGATCGCAATCAGAAACACAGGCGACATCCGACGTAAAGTAGACCGGCGCAAAGTTGGCGGCTGTTAGCATCGCAAGCCCAAGGGACTATGGTAGGCGCGCGCCAGGGGCGGTCGGGCGCGGCATAATGCACCCACGAATCTTCAGGCAATCAAGAATCAGACTTCGGATTCCCAACGCTCCTTCTGGATCTCGGGCTTCATTGTCAACGCTCACGTCATCCATTTCCGGTGATCTCGAGTTGATCGGATACCAAAAAGCCCATCAGATCTGGAGTTCTCCCCCAAACTCTGTACGAGGCCTTCATCTCCCTATGAGCCAGCTTTGATATCATGTAAGGCACCGCTGCCTGGTCTGTCTGGGATTTCTGCTTCCTTGAAGTGGAGTCTCTCCCCATTGACCCTGCTTGTTCTGTTCTACTCCGCATGGTACTAATGCACATTGTCCGCAGCTTTCTCCATGGCGATCGCCCTCTCCCAGAGATATGTCTTTCGTTTTGGGCTTGTGTGAAACGAAATTACGCAGCGACCTACCGTTCAATCAAACAACCTTCAACATTTTTCACATTTGCGAATCCGTGGCGCGTTGAGTGCAGTTGTGTCTATCTTGATCTCGGAATTTCAGTTTTTTGTCCTTTTGTGAAATCTAAGCAATTTCGACGACCATCCGGCAGGGCATCGTCATGGCGTCAAAAAGTCCCCCGGGCGGAGATGGTCCTCTCTCGTTTGCAAAGGTAAGCGAAACTCTTCGAAATTCCGTGGCTCATCGCTGACTTGGCCATCAGATTGCCGCTATGCCAGCACCACCCAACCAACAAGCTTCCTCGGTATCTAGTGAGAACGAAATATGCCAGTCAGAAGAACAGTCACCTTGCTCGGAAACAAATGGCTCCGGGGCAGCCTTATCTAGCCAGCACAATCTCGATAAAACACCGGAGGCTCATTCCATCGATCTAGCTGTCGATGATCTTGGTAGAGGCGTGCAAGATATCAGTCTCGCCCTGAAGAAACAAAACGATGGCTCAGAGTCATTCCTTGGTGGTCAAAATAATAAGGGCTTGCTCAAGCGGGAGAACTCTTTTGAAGATGATCGCACTCATCTATCTACTTCGTCCACAAAAATGACCAGTTTTGATTCCAAAAGTCTTGCCTCAGTGACTACTTTCGCGATGGATGAAAAGGATTCTGTACGTCCCGATGACAGTGCTAGTGTTCAAGCCATTGATGAAGAGGAGTCGCTTTCCGGACATGCTTCTGGGACTGCAAACTCCGTGGCAGGCTCTGAGGCTGGCAGTCGCGTATTTCGCGACCAGTACCGAGATGGTGTTCCTACACGGCCACGCGGGATTCTGCCTGTACCTCCTCTCTTCAACGGTGCTCAACCAGTGAATGGCGCAATTCCTCTAGATGCAGTCGCGAACAATTTTGTGATTCCAGCCAATTCTGATGGCATTGAAGATGCTCAGAACTTGCATGGCTTTCCTTTAGAGCCGGACGAAAAGCTCTTGGAGGCAATGAAGTCACCAAAAGATCGGCTCCTGATTCTTCAGCTGGAGGAAAAAATCCGGTATTTTATCAAGGACTGTAATGGGCAGTCTCTAGAATTGCCTCCCTCAAACGCCTTTGGACGACTTCTTGCCCACAAGCTAGGAGACTACTATCATTTAACACACTTCGTCGACAATAATGTGACCTCAGTCAGGCTCCATCGAACACCATTTTGCCGGCTACCCACTCCTTTGTCTGCTGTGCATGCTGCTTGCAATAGCACTCCGCCTCCAGCTGTTCCAGCGATGAAAATCATGCGTCGAAACGATGGGGGACAGTTTGAAGGAAGTATCGGTGGCTCCACGAACCCTTCCAAGGCTAATTCGGAGGCTGGTGATAGTGGATTCGATGGAGAACGCCATGGGTCTTCATCTGGCGCTACGCCTGCCAAAGATCGAATGGCATTGACAAGGGAGGAACGGGAAGCGAAATACCATGAAGTACGTGAACGAATCTTCCGTGATTTCCCTGATTCGGCCAAATCGGACCCGGCCAGCGGCGACTCAAATCCCAACATGTCGCGCTCCAGCTCCGCGAACGGCCGCAAGAAGAATCAGAGGCAGCGGACTCCTCATGATGACAGTTTTGAGGTTCGCTCGCAGTTTAATGCCTATTACCCAGGAACGCAGTACGGGAATGGTCCTGCTCCGTACAATGCTCCTGTCAATGACAGCTCCTATCCAAGTCAAGTACCTTACTTGGTCGGACCTGGCGTGCCGCCACCCACTGGTGGTTATTTACCATCTGGTCAAAATGGTTCTTTCCACTCGGGACAAATGAATATGAACATGAATGGTGTCTCCCAGTACTCGGTGGCAATGCCGCCCCAGATGGCCTCCAATGGCTCGTGGCAAGGAGGAAACATAACCCAGCAGTCTCCATATTCCGGTTATGCTTCAATGAACCAGCAAGGAATTATGAATCAGCCATCCTCGAATTCATCCTCGCCGGCAATGAACAACTACGCCGTGCCCAATCCCACCACATACCAACCACAGAACACCAGTTGGAACTCACCTCCATTCCCCACAAACTTTCAGCCGCCTCCACATCAGCGAAATGGACCGCCTGTCCATTGGCCCAACTATCCCCAGCAGTCAATCGCTTCCAATATGCCGTCTAATATGGCCCCCAACATGCCACCTAACGTGAACTCTAACATGAACTCCAACATGAATGGATATCCTTGTTTTCCTGGGCAGCATTTGAATTCCGCTCTCCAAAGCTCCGCTGGATCCCATGCAGCAATGCAAGCAAACTATGCCAGGTCACACTTCAACCCGCAGACACGCTCATTCATCCCTGGAGGTGGTTCTCTCAGTCGCCACCCGAACAAAGGCCAGCACACAATGCAGCCTTATGGTAATATGCAACCTGGTTCGCAGCCACAGTGGAATGGGTATCCCGACCCCGTTCCTACCCGTACCATAGACTCAACCCCAGCTATGATTCCCAATCGAATCCCCACTGGTCCTCGGGATTCCATTGCCAAGTGGGGCACGCCGTCTCATCTTCCGCCAAAACCCCCACCATCCGAAGTCCCCTCCGACTTTGAGCTGAAGAATCGCCCTGTTCCATCCTCGGTCCCTGCAGCAACATATGGCAGCAACGGAGTTCCCACTGTTGGCAGTGGGCCTCTTGTGATCTCGGGAGGCACGACACTCCCCAAACAAAACTAAGGCCTATTGATGATTGAGTCACGTACTATGATTCAGTAGTGTCTGTATGTGATGTGATGCTTGCAGCTTTAATAGTGAAAATAGGACGGATTTCCCTTGAACTACATTCATCTGTCCACGTGTGGCAGCTGTGTTTCAAGGTTGCATGTACACTCAGTGCTATGCGTGACGAGATGAGTTATTGGGTGTGTATCTTGCTCTCAGCTAGACATGGATCTGCATTTCCAACCGGTTTTTTTCTCTTCGATATTAGTATTCCAACTGGTATGATCTTGTACTCAGAATGAAATATTATAGTGGACAGCTTGACTTGTATAGGTAAACAAATAGAGGCAATAGTACTTCCGACATCAGAGCCTAGTGAAGACATATCAAATGTTCAACCCATTCACTTAGATCATTCACGGTCTTTACCTGTCAATTGGCGTAGTCCAGACATTAGATTGCCAATCAGGTACTTGCGTTAGAAGCCATCAAATCACATATATTTCAAATTAAGGTATTAAACCGGAGGAAAACCCAACATATAACTCCTCTTATTACACACCAATTCTCCTGGCTGTCAGTCCATATATCCAGATCACGTCATATACAAACTCCCACCATCTCATGGAGTATACGGATTCGGAGGCGGCTTGTGCTGAGGTCTGGAATGACGAATCCCAAATATAACAGAGGGAACAATGATCACAACAAGAAGGACAACGGCACCAAGAGCTGAACCAAGGATAATCCACTCCCGTCGACGAGACTTGTGACTTTTGACCGTCCCCGTCACAGACTCCAACTCCGGATCTTGTTTCCCGTCTGCTGTAGACTGTCGCCCATTTCCATCTTCCTGATCTTCAATTCCAAGCCCAGCCTCGGCCTGCTTGTCTGTGTGTTCGTTGTCGGTGTATTGGTGAAGATCCAGGTTGTAGTCCCGATCACTGAACTCTAATGTACATTCCTTGTCGCTGACTTGCAGGGTGCATTCATCATTGAGGTTATCTTCGGTGATTGTTTCGGGTGAATATGGTGCTGCGACTTCTTTGTATGCATCGGCGTTCGGGACGGTCTGCCCAGCTTGATGCGACTTATGCGTTTCGAGTGACATATCTGGAGCCTGAGACTGTTTCCCTGGCTATATCTTTATTCTGGCCTGGTAGAATGTTAGCAAACATTGAGCTATATCGAACATAGTCGGATATCAGGTGTCACATACTTCACATAAGAAGATCTTAGCGTGGTAAGAACAGTATTTCCAAATTCTGGGTAGTAGGTAATTCAATTTTCAATCTCATTGATCAGAGTATAGGATCCATCAAGCACTGGAGTATTGCAAGAAGGAAAATCGAAGCCTCGAGTATCTACCTAGGACTGAGCCAAATGACCCCTTTGGTAAGACTGGCTTAGCCAGTAATAGTGTTCACGTAGATCATATGCTAGAGACCTTGACTATCGATAATTCTGCATTGAAACCTAGTGTCCCTTGATTATGACTGTCGTGTGCGGCACTAGTCTTTACGTCGAAGCCAGAAGTGATATGTCAGATCTTGCCTTCCACTGCAGGGGATAACCGTCAAGGGCCTACGGGAAATCTTTGATCATTATTTATGGATATGGGACAGTCAAGGGAGGCTTTGGATATCATGTCAATTTGAAGTCTAGCTAGCTAGAGATAAAAATTATATTAGCAGAGAAAACACTGTATATCATATATATACGTAGGTAGTTGCTTGGTTTCGCACCAAGATTGGCAGCATGACCATTAGCCCATGCAAAAAGCCTCTAGTACGATGATAAAATGCAATAAGTACACCTATTAATTGCGGTGAGCTTGGTGAATTGACCTACATTGCAGTTCATAGCGTTTTCGTGAAGAGTGTTGAGGTTCATATACTGATACAGCCTGAACCAGGAAGATTGTCAAAGACACCTCCAGTTCTGTTAAAACACGATGTACCTATCCGTATACAAGTACTTATCAAAAAAATACTGACCACCTTATGATTCCTCGTTTAGCAAGGTAGTGAGGTTAAGGGTTGGAGGGCTAGCCCTTCTTCTACCACGATCGTCACCAGTATGATTTGACACATGCATTTAATTTACCCAAATGCCAAAGAAAGCTTATAAAGAGGTATCAAAATCTTTTATACAGAGGCTATGTCACATGCGCGAGTGCAAACGAAGACGAGATGCCATAATAAACAGGAAGAAGACAGAACTCCTGGTACAAAAACAACCTTGTAAGCAAATTACAATGGAGTCGACCTCGAGGACCAGATAGGATGGTGCCGACATGAAGCACGCTCATCAAGCTCAGGAAAAAGAACTTCTGCGCCCAATTAGATCCCGGAGCCCACTCCCATACCGAGGATTCTAATACAGAAATCCCCACGAAAGAGAGTTAACCCTCCCCACATTTAATCACTCGACTCCTTCTTGGCGAGCTTGTCACTCTCCTTCTTGGCAAGACTGAGCTTAGCGATTGCCCGCTCCAAAACCTCAACACCATCCTTTCGGAACTGTGTAACTTTCTTCACATTCAATCGCGTGAGCGAGTGCACCAAATCCCGGCCCTGCTCGCGCTCACGTGCCACTGTACGTGCAGTCATGGCAAAACGCATGTCCTTCGGGCCATCGACTAGCTCGAGGATGGCGGTGGGAGCCTTGACCTGAGGTTTGCGCTCGGGAACGGCATTTTTGTCGCCCTTCTTGACGGAAAAGTACTCGTTCTTTTCGCGGGGTTCTACGCGAAGAACTCGTGTGTAACCGCCGGGTCGGTCTGCGTAGCGTTCGCGGAGGGGACCGAACAGTTTGGGAATCATTTCGTGTGGTGTCTGGGCAATGTTAGTTTGGTATTGATTTATTGATTCCCCCCTGCGAGGAATGAGGAATTGAGGGATTGATGAGATTATCCAGAATCAACGAGCATAAGGTGTCTTGTGGCTAGACTGGATCTCATTCTCTTGATTGCAATCGACGTAGGCTTCTTCCTCAGAAATTGAACATACATAGAAAATCTCCAATGCACGTCGCCGACTCGCTTCGGTATTCTTCTTGCCCAAAGTAATCAACTTTTCAGCCAAACGCTGGGCCTCTTTGGCCTTAGGCCACGTCGTTGTGATGGTCTCATGCTGGAAGAGGGAGGTCACCAGGTTTCGGAGCAGGGCTTGTCGATGCGCGGAGTCGCGGCTCAAGTGTCGGTATTTGCCTCCTCCGCCGGCCATGGTGAATTTTTCTGAGAGGGAAAAATAGAAGGGGGTATAGAGAGTAGAGTGGGAATTGCGAGGTCAATTGCTAAACCCAGATGATTAAGTTGTTGAACGTGAAGGAGACAGGATGTTCGGCCCAGAAGAATTGTCCCGACCTCCCGGCCAATCGGAGCGCTTCCACTGTCCGTCCGACTTCGGTTTTCCGCGTTCACTTTGCAAGTTGCTGAGGACAATCAGCTTTTTGACATACCTTTCGATTTGGACACTTTCCACTTGCAGGAGAAACAATACGTCCATAATCAAGAATCACTTGGGTGTTTTGCGGTTTCCCTCACAATCTTCTACACACAGATAAGCAATTCTGTGACTCCAAACACCGCAATCAACATGGGTTTCTTGACGGGCTTTGTACGGTTCAGTCCCAGATCTAGAACAGCAACATATGGCTAACATCTATCTGCACTGGAATAGCTTGGCGGCTTTGCCCTCACCTCCTCCGCCCTCTACATTACCATCCAAGTCCACCGCTCAACACGCATATCGCAACGCAAAGCCATCCACGAAGAAGTCGCGCAAATAGATTGGCTGACCTCCTCTGCTGGTGCTTATGATCGACGTTTCCTGCCAGAAGATATACCGCGATGGCGGCGCGAAGAATTACAGGCACAGAATCGAGCTGAGCCAACTATGAAAGAGATTCTCAAGCATAAATGGAATAAAGAAGTTGAAATCTTGACAAGGAAGGCTTACGAAGTGACGTGGGAGGATATGAGGAATACTGCTGCAGGTGGTTGGAAAACCATTGTGCAAGTAGTGAAGCGGGAATGAAATATTGTCTTTGGGACTATAGCAATTGCTTTGGATCCAAGATACCTTTGGATGCATTATCATGTCAGCTTATTTGGGTTTGGGTTTGAGTAGCGGAGTTTGGATACCCTTGATTTAGTGATGTCATAATGTACATGTATTAGTATATCGATTTCCCCGAGGGTTTGTAGATGCGCTCAGCGCACCCTCTGGCCGGATGGAGGTATCAATGCGCCCTGGGAAGACCGAGTCATAACTCGGTCAATCCTGGGTCCTTCACAATGGCCCGCTGAAAATGAGAAAAATGATGGATTGCAGCGATGACTTCGGAATTCAATTTGTATGAGTCGATGATGGCGCCGTTGTCGTCACACTCCCTGTATCACTCCAGATATCTTTGCTTTCCCGCTCAACAGTGCGCATGGCCTGGGCGACCTCTTCCAATTTAGCAACAACGTCCAAGACGCCCTGGTTGACCCGATCGAAGTACCGGTCATTAGCCTCGCGGCGTTTGCGCGCAAGGCGAATGTCTTGCTCAGTTTCCTCATCCAGCGTAGGATGCGAGACAGAACCGCGGCCTGCGCTATGTTCAGTGGCTGCATCAGCCGGGGGATTCACTTCTCCAGCACCTTGCCGCGGGGAGCTGGCCTTTCCACCAGCTCCATCTGCACCGGTATGGCTGGGATCCACGACTTCATCGTCTGCCTCACTGCGTGCCCAAGCCTGGGCAAGTTTTAACTGCTTCATACGTAAATCTTCTAATGCCTCTGAATGTTTCGCGCCGAAGACATTCTCGCTCGTCACAGCGCTGAGCTCCACTTCTGACAAGGCGCTCTGCATCTCCTGCCAGATGGCATCGGATCCATCAACATCATTTTTGGATGGATGACGCGATACAAATGGTGACAACAAGCTTGAATTCGCAAATTTGTCGCCCTCAGCTCCTCGCGGTGACCGGTTTCGATTCAGAGGCGGAGGCTGGCTGCCAGATGGTGTTGCTAAGGTTGAGGCTGGTGGTGGTACAGATAAGGAAAGATTAGAAGCATTATGCGATGGTGGGCCTTGGAAAAGAGCAGGGGGAGGCAATCGCTGAGGATTAGGATTTGTCAATTTTCTTGACAAGTCCATGTTCAAGAGGTATTGGCAAGAACAATACGGGATACACTCGGAATGTTCGATTGGGGCTACTTGATGCAGTTGACTGATAACGTTATCGGCCTTATCAGCATGATAACATAATCGCATGTGGGGGCTACAGATGATCCCGTGACTCGCTTAGGGCTAAGCCGCACAAAGTCACCTGAGGTACGTCCAAAGCGTGTGGTCAAGGGAAATCCGGAACTCTTCGACTTTTCGACATTCGACCCTCAGCCCCTTTGGCCGACAACACCCCTCCCAGTCGGTACGTATTCGATTTCCTGCTCTGTCTCCTGCATTGTTTGTGCTTTCCGGAAATATTTGATTTGTGGCACTGCGAGATTCCTCAAACGATCGCATCTATCTGCACGCACAAAAAAATCGACCTTAGCCAAACCTCGAACAACCATCGAAACACCAACACCAACGTTGCACTCAACACGAGGCTAACTTTTCTTTTTCTCGCTCAGTTGACCGTCGAACACATAAATCGCCAACATGGGTAAAGGACAACCCCGTGGTTTGAACGCCGCCCGCAAGCTCCAGTCGCACCGCAAGGATCAGCGCTGGGCTGATGACCACTTCAAGAAGCGCCTCCTCGGAACCGCCTACAAGTCCTCTCCCTTCGGTGGTGCTTCCCACGCCAAGGGTATCGTTCTCGAGAAGGTCGGTGTTGAGGCCAAGCAGCCCAACTCCGCCATTCGCAAGTGTGTCAAGGTCCAGCTCATCAAGAACGGCAAGAAGGTCGCTGCTTTCGGTGGGTAACCCATTCCGTTTTTCTATCGCTGTGTTCGTGGTGGAGAAGGTCTATACGAGTTGGAATTGAGACTAGATGGAAACCGCCACACATCAACATAACACCATCATACAACATGTGCTAACCAGGCATCTTACTACAGTCCCCAATGACGGTTGCTTGAACTTCATCGATGAGAACGACGAGGTTCTCCTCGCCGGTTTCGGTCGCAAGGGTAAGGCCAAGGGTGATATTCCCGGTGTCCGTTTCAAGGTCGTCAAGGTCTCCGGTGTCGGTCTCGCCGCTCTGTGGAAGGAGAAGAAGGAGAAGCCCCGCTCTTAAACAACTCGACGCGTTCTGTTCGAAATCAAAAATGCAGCGACCGGGAGCCTTGGAGTGTGGGAACGGTACCGGACGGAAAGCCCGCCTCATCAGCGCCTTGATTTCATGAGATCTTTTCTTTTTGGGGAGTCCCCCGGCGGGCTTTCGTCCGGAACGTGGTGGATACGCTTATTTGCGAATTAAACACGATTGATACAACCTCCAAAAGATTATGGCGCCATGACTTTCTATCTCTCCTCCGGGTCTCAACCCTTATCGTATACTGCTCCTTTATCATTGTACGCTTTAGCAAGCTACGCCTGTACGGGGATGCAAAGTACATGTAAATTTTAGGATTGTAGGACATAATGTTACTATTACACATAGTAGGTATGTATGGGGCACGTGGGTCGATCTTTCATGTGGCTGTGGAGTTGTGCCATAAAGATTTGCTATAGAAGACTACAATGGATGGGCGCATTACTCTAGACCTCCGGGTATTATCGTGGAATACATGTCATACTCAAGTGGAGTTTCCATAAATTCAAGATTCACTAAGCACCTGCTTGTAAATGGTATGACTTACTTTGCACATCTAAATGTACATAACCCACGTGGTTTGCTCAATCTTCACGCCAAAAATCGACTCAGTACTGATAAATACATTGTTGAAATGAGAAGGTTGTTTGCCTCCAGTCCTTTTGGGCCATATAGGGTTGGAGGACCTTTGAAGCTTAAGAGGAAACTACAGACAGTGTACATAGGTATATTCATCAGTGCTATGCCCGGAAAGTGATTTCTCCACTAGGAATTAGGTACCTAAGATCCATACACCTACATGTAGGTATGTATCTAGAGCGTATGTTACGCTTATAAGTTTCTATGTGGTGTCTTCATGTCAATCTTTATATACCTATACACTGTAGGCAATATGAAAACATTTTACACCAAATTCGATAGAAGGCATAGCCCTAGTGGAGCTATTATGCTACATACTCTATAAATTGGCATAAGAGAAAATCGAAGACTTTTTTTTTTGGAAAATTCATTACTCCCGTGCATCAATCATCAAAGTAATTCCTCGGGTATCGTTCATGCACATGTCCCTCAAAGATCCTTTTTTTCTTTTTCAAAAGTTTTTTGTTAACCTGTTTGACACGATTGCCTGAAGCAATCTCATCTTAGAAGCTAATATCTTCCTTACGATAATGGTCCGACACAATGCGGTAGAGGTATGATGGGGCATGACCACCGCTGGAGAGAGAGAGTTAAGTTAGTATTGCAAACCGAGATAGGTGAATATAGTAGGGTGGCTGATTTGAACTTACAGGTTAGTGATGTAGAGATCGACGAGCTCTGCGGGCACGTAATCATAGATGGGGTTCTGAACATCGATCTGATCGACGAGGTCACCATCTTCGTATGGAAGAACCTTGCTCGGGTCACCGTATTCAATGAGAGAGTCGAAGTCGAATGGGTAGACAGGACTGAGCTTGTAGACACCACTCACAACCACCACAGGGGTCTGGTGGACCTTGGCGGCACGGGCAATGACACGGGTACCAGCTGCGGCAACAAGGCCGCCGTTAGCGAGAACAGAGTGTGTACCGAGGATGACCTTGTTGACTCGCGACATGAGAGCGAAGACAGCAGAGTCTGGGATGAGAATGACGGTGATGCCGTGCTCGATTAATGGCTTCTGGAATGCCTCCAGGCCGAGGTTGTCATCGTCGCCGATAGCACTGCCACTAACGGTGGCATGTGTGGCCTCGTGGTTATTCGGGTACGACTCAGCATGGATAACGGTGAACTTGCGCTTCGCAGCGGCTTTGAGCAGGAATTTTTGAACAGTGGTAGAGGATGTGTGCGTGAGAATAATTTCGTTGGAGTGAATGTGGTCCAAAGCGTAGGCGGCAATCTGGTCGTCAACTTGACCTAGCTCATCAATAATCTCGCCAATGCCCTCTAGCACTTCAGCCCGTACATCTTTGGATGGGGTGTAACCGAGGAGGCGTCCACTCGGAGAAGCCGATCCCGGGGTGCTAGGAAGTGAGTGCTCGGGTTCGGGGTGGGAGAGGAGACTGAACATGGAAGTCAGAGGAGGTCGAGAGGATCTGTCATCGGAACGAAGGCCAAGCGCATCGCGATCCAAGGGCACTGATGAATCTATGAATCTGTGAGTCACCGCCGTGTGGACTTTTGGAGAGAGCTCGAACTCACCATCATAAGCCCGGGGTGTCTGTGGCTGACTCTCCGAACCCACGTCACTAAGAGCGAACTCGGCATCTCGATCATCTTCTGCTTCGTCACGAATAAGACCTAGGACTCGGCGCACAATATTACCCACAACCATCTCGCGCGGTTGCGCAGCCATCAGACGCCTTCCCACACTCTGCACCCGCTCAATAAGCTTTGCTGAATCGGTTGTACGGCATGCCGAGATTACACTCCGTAGCAAGTAGGCAGTTGCTGTGGCACATGAGCGCGAATGGCGGATTTGACGTCGCTTGAGCAATCTGATCAAAACATACTCTGTTAGCGGTCGAATTGTCAACGGGAGTAGCCGGCTATGACAGGCACCAATATACGCACGAGATCAAAGTCTCAATAGAAGTATCGATCGGATTTGTCTTGAGGTACTTGAGGAACGACCCCAAGCCCGGTGTAAGGGCCAGCGAAGTAGACGGCATGAGGAAGGTGGGATGAAGGAAATCTGCATGATATCAGCGGGGTTCAAGGGACAGAAATGTGCAGTCCCCGATAATCAGCATACCAGGTCTCAAATCTAATGCACGCCGATCAGGTTGTAATCAGGAAGTTTTTGTGATTCAGAGGCTCGCGGACGAAGAGCAAAAGAGTGGGAGACAAAGAATGATTTTCTGCCGTTTGATCCTGTCCGCTTCCCCACACTCTCTATTGATTCTCATTCTATTGTTTCAGCTTCGGCGGTCTTTTTTTGGGTATCTTTCTTTTAGTTTCGCATCTATGTCATTCGAGTTTCTCTTTTGAAGTGGTTTGCATTGTTCTCCGGCGTTGGACTTGTGACATATACCGGATTTTGGAGTTGCGGAAGTAGTTCCGAGGCAACGGGTGACTGGCGCATTGAGGTTAGAACGACAGCTTACACCTCCTTGCGATTCCCCTCTTTCCCCCAGACAGCCCCCATACTCTATACTCCCATCTCATGGGCCGCTCCAAGTGGGTTTGATGATTTGCTCACGATCCATTTGTCTATAGATCCCTGTCTCCCGTGGCGCTTCGAGGGAAGATGAACTCGCTGAATATCCTGTCCTCGCGAGTCATTGGCCAGTCTTCCAGCTCTTCACGCCATCGATCGCAGTCCCAAGGCGACAAGAAGCGCACACCTCTACCACCAGACTTCTCGAAACTTCGGTCCTACAGTGAGGATAATTTCCGGTCCCTCGACTCCACCGAGAAGAGCTATGACGGATCATCACTTGTGGACGAACGTGGAGAGGCGGATGGGGGATACGACTTAGATGAGAAAACACCATTACTGCATGAAGTTCACAAAAATGGAACGCTTACTGCTCGAAGCACTTGGTGGCTACTTACCCAACGGCTTTTTGATGCTATCACGGAAACCATCAAATTCATCATGTCTACACTTGCTGCACCCGGTGTGTACCTGGCCCAATGTTTTCAGGCTGCCGACGGTGACTATTCTCTCCTTGAGCCTATTCGAAAGTTACGGCGCTCATCTGCCGACGCAACGACCCGGTCGGACAAAGGAGCCACCAGGGTAGAGGGTAGGCGTCGCAGTGGTTCCACCCGGAAGCTCCGATCTCAAATCTCCAACGAATCCATAGTGTCAACAACGTCAGACTCGGACACAGATCGACGACACATCAGAAATTTGACAAGCGCGAAGAATCGGTCGACCAAATCAAAAGGGCACGATCCTGATTCAATCCCAGAAGCAGAAGAACATGGGCACACCCCTCGTCGGTCTATACGAATCAAGCTCCATCACGAAGAATCTCTCAGGCGACAGAAGCAACGAAGGTCTCAAAGCGCCGATATAGGTCCACCGATGCCCGAGGGTGTTTCGCGAGTCCAGGGTGCCGTCCACCTCGACAGCCTGAAGTCCCCCACTTCTCCTAGCGTCCACCGATTGACAAGATATCCACATTCTCCAACTCCGCCGCGCCCCCTTCTTCCCCCACGAGTGCCTTCATATACCGCGGCTCCCCGTATCGCCAGGCCTCCGCAGAAGACCTTGGTGCTAGATCTCGATGAGACCCTCATTCACTCGCTCGCCAAGGGGGGGCGAATGTCGAGTGGTCACATGGTTGAGGTCAAGCTCTCGATGCCCGCATCCACTTCATTGAACCCCGGCGAATCATCGACGACAATGGGCCCTCAACATCCCATTTTATACTATGTCCATAAACGACCGCACTGCGATGAATTCCTGCGCAAGGTCAGCAAGTGGTATAAGTTGGTCATCTTCACGGCTAGTGTTCAGGAATATGCCGACCCCGTCATCGACTGGCTCGAGCAGGAACGGAAATACTTCCAGGACCGTTTATACCGGCAGAGTTGCACATTCCGCAACGGCGCATACATCAAAGACCTCAGTTGCGTGGAGCCGGATTTGAGCCGGGTTATGATTTTGGACAATAGCCCAATGAGCTATATCTTCCACGAAGGTAAAGTCTACCTTACTTATTTTGGTACTCCGAGACTGATATCCATCTCCAGATAATGCAATACCTATTGAAGGCTGGATCAATGACCCCACAGACAACGGTCTCCTCCACTTGATTCCTATGCTTGAAGCCCTACAGTATGCCACGGATGTCCGTGCTTTCCTAGCCCTTCGCCGCGGTGAACTGGAGTCATGATTGTTTCCCACCATCTGTGTTCAGGAATGTGCATGTAGGTGTATGGATTCTGTGTTTTTAGACGTGAGGTCACACCTTCCAACCAGAAATTAGATAAAAAAAAAGAAGACATATCTCAGCGCAATGGAGGAATCCGGTGACCTACCGACATGATCATGCAGGTGCAGTTATTCATAATGACATTCAATGTCTTGCTTTGTTCCTAGCAGTTGAATGGAAGCCCGTACATATGACTTTGTCTTCTCATGATACACGGATGCTTTGTGCGGATGTTCAAGAGGCCTCATGTCGTTCTGATGTACTGATATTCGACAAGCAGAGCTTACTAGACAGATAAAACCAACACCCTAAGCTCCAACAGAAACTGCCATTACTTTGCCCCCTCTGGTATTGGTTCGGTGCACAGGATTCCTTGTCTCCCCTCCAGTAGTCACATAAAGGACATTCCAATCATTTTGTGTTCTCCCAAAAGCCGCTGCTGTAGCAGTCATGAAATCCCTCGAGCCCTTCAAGCCCGCAATAATCTCATGATACCCATTAGGAAAAACCCGAGTAACGACATCATCCATCCAACCAGCCAGATATCCAATCCCAGCCGGGTCAATGGCAAAGTCATCAGCCAACATATCGTGACTGATCACTTCATAAGCACTCAGAGCTCGACCGGTACGCGTATCAATACGTACACGGCAGAAGATTCGCTTTGGAGTGTTGGTGTAGTACATGTAATTGTTTACTATCTTCAACCCGTTGATCCCAAGTAAGAAACCAACGTCGTTATTCGCAGCCATGGTCTCGTGCTGATGAATTACGCCGTACTCCCCGGTACGGACATCGAGACGCCATACAAGACCTAGTTGCGAGTCTGTGATTGCAACTGCCTGTCCTTCGTTCAGGGTAGCCATGCCGTTTAAAAAGCCGGCGGGAAGTTTGGCAACAAGAACCGGATTGGACGCGCTTCCAGGGTCTCTGAGATCGATTGTCCAAACCGAGTTGGATACGATAACAGCATAGATATCCGGTGAAAGCTCTGTGATTCCATCCACGTCTTCAGCGCCATCAAAGTGGTGGACTAAATGTGCTGGGCTATCGCGTGTTCCGTTTAAAGGGGAAGGATCGATCTCCCAGAGCTCTGGCGTACTTAATAGAGCGACAAGGAGGTTGCCATTTGGTCGTACCGCGATGTTCTCAACCCAGGTTCCGTTGGGGAACCTATAAATCTCGTGGACATTGGGGGAGTGAGGGAGACACACTATGTGGACGGATGCAAGGAGGAATATCAAAGAGCCCAGAAGAGTGGTCATGCTCGAATGGTTGAAAAACACCACAAGACGACTACCAAGAGCCACAGTTTGGAAAACATGACAGTTTAAGTAATTGAATACAGACAAGTTGTTCTTTCTCGTGCAACCGTACGGAGTAGTCCGGACAGCGAGCTGAGTTCCCCGGAAACCGAGTGGTCCTGTAAGTTTAAAAGCAGACTGATTATCGCTAATTATACCACCTACTTCGTATGCTATTGCAGAGAGTATCCTAGAATATGAGATCTGCAGAGAGATGTAGGCATAAGGTGGATGGAGAGTGCGTATAAGAGTACTCCGTAGGCTGAGCTAAATGGCGATGCATGGTCTATACTCCGAGTAGAAGTAATGCCAGGGATGGGCCTGGCTGACTTGAGGAAATTGAGAGGTAACCAAAGGCCCGGGATAATGCATTGAAGGGAAAGGGGACAGACACGAAGGGGAACAGGAGGGAGGGACGCAAGGAGCGGGACGCGAAGGGCTAACCATATTCCTCAGGGGACATTGTGCAGGATACAACCTACGAACAAGACTCTCTTCTCCAAGCCCGAGCCACTGGCCCAAGGAATGATGAAAAGAAATTCCACAAGAGTGGGGGGTGCCAAAGAATACGCCTGTCAATGACCCGAAAGCCATTGAACAGCTTGTTCCGCCGCGATGTGCAATGCAGGGACCAGACTGTGGTGAACCGCCTTCATGATCGCAGTCACCCAAACAAGGTAAGTATGAAGAAGAAAGAAAAGAACAGGAAGAACTGGGGGGAGGAGGCGTTATTTATACACCTCACACAGGGCGGTGGCACAATCCAAAAGGGTGAAGGCGGGAAGGTGCGAATCAAGGGTTGGGATCCGTAACTGCTGCAATGTTATGAACCCCAAATCAATGGACAACTGGCCAATGCAGGTGATATTCACTGTAAGGTCACACTGCTATGTTCATATATACCCTGCGCTCTAGTCTTCGACGTCGGGAGAGATGGACTAGTGCACCGAAAGCACTCTACGATATAGGGGTACGACAGTCTGATACCCCGTGAAAAAGTCTACCGAGTCTTGAATCGATACACACGAAATGTGCTGCATACCCTGTCTCCGTGAACGCGATGAATATGTATTGAGAATGGATCGAGTTGCATTGCTAATCATTGCTAATCATTGCTAATCATGACAAGGGGATCTTGATTAATAGCATTCTGCACTGGCTGATTGAGCTGTGACGTCAACGATAGTCTAGCCTTCGAGTACAGTCAGTGCCCAGCATCGCCGAGCCTTTATGGACCACCTCAGCCACCGTCCAGATCCGTCTTCTGGAGATGACCAACTCCACAAGCAGAGCATAATCGATGTTCATAGGTCGATCGACTGCTTCCGAGTGGTTGGTCCATAGTCTTTGTCGCAAAAGTTTCCCGATGTGAGAGCGATCTCATTGCGCAGAGTTCCCATACCGGCCGAGTCGGACAATAGTGCGGAGCATATGTGGCGGATATTTTGTGACACGGAAGGCAATCATATGGAAGTCCCCTTCTCCCGACGTATCTCATTCTATCCCGATTCCAAGGCGCTTGGAATCTCTGCGTTATCTTCTCCGTGGGTCAAAACACGGGAATTCAATTGGGATGATTGATCTGAAGGACCAATGGCCAAAGACTAAAGCTAAGATGGGGGTCCCACTTTGAGGGTAGCCCTGGAGGTTAAAGTAACCTCTTGGCCATGACGTAGAACAAGCAGCCTGCATGATGCTAAAGGAGATAGGTGAACCCGAATTCTGAAGGTTGACCTTGGCATTCAAGGCACCAGTTTTCTGGCGCTTCAGTATTGCTGTTGGAAAAGCCCAGATCACATAATTTCACCGTAACGGCTTGGCCGATTAGACGTAGGTTTTGAGAGCACGCAATGATGGGGGAAATAGCCAATCAGCGAGTTGTGAGCTTGATGAGCCTCCTTGGTATCTTAATCATAGACCTTGGTTCACTGGGGAGCCGAGTCTTTTCTCTTCACTGGGCCTTGCCAGCGCCGTCTCGGCAAGGTTGCATTTCATCATCCAAGACTTGCTATCACCATGGTAGGTTCTTCTTGGGCTTGGGAAGATGTTGGAAAATTGCCCTCAAGCCTGGGAAAGGGTACTGAAAACCGCGGATCCCCCCATTTCCTCCTGCTGGCACTGCATTTATCTTGAGTTCACTGCAAACATATACGACGATGCCAATTCACAAGTCATTATCTTTGGACCGACGTCGCGCCCAAGATAAAAAGCTGCAATTTACTGAGAATGGAAAATTCCAAATTTCGGTCTTCAGCGACTTGCATTTTGCGGAAGGTGCTAAGATAGCGTCGAACAATGTTTCCAACATACTGACTATGTTCATAGATGAGAAAGCGGATAACAAGACAGCGAGCGTAATGGACTCCGTCCTATCCTCGGAGCAAGTGCAACTTGTCGTACTCAACGGAGATTTGGTCTCGGGCGAGGTAACGCAAAGGTCAAATTCTAGTCTCTACATTGATCAGATCGTCGCACCACTAGTCGACCATGATGTACTATGGGCATCAGCGTATGGGAATCATGACAGTGACATGAATCTAGACCCCGAAGAGATGTTCCTCCAAGAGAAGACGCATCCAAACAGCTTGACACAAAACATGGTTTCAGGTTCCACTGCTGGCATCACAAACTATTATTTGCCAGTATTTCCGCATGAAGCTTCAGCTTCCAACCATAGTATCCCTGAACTCATACTATGGTTTTTCGATAGTCGAGGTGGTCATTATGTCGGGTCTCAGAATGAAGATGGCCAACCGATCCCGAGAGACAATTGGATAGATGAGAAGGTAAGTATTATTGCTTTAATGTACTCCAAATGGGCTTATACATCTTCCCATGGATGAAACGGCGAGGTCTGATGTTGAGCCTGGCATCCACGTATTGACTTACTCCAGGTTATTGAATGGTTCATAAAAACCAATGCCAACTTGACAACCACCTACGACAGAGAAATCCCCTCGTTAGCTTTCGTCCATATACCCGCTTATCCCATGCGCGCGTTCCAGAAGTCTGGTGTCAGCCCAAAAACCGAACCTGGTATCAATGGAGAACGAGTCCAGCAGCAAGGCTACAGCCCTAATACTGGTTACAATTCACAAGATCTTCCATTTATTGAGGCTTTATTGAACACTACTGGATTGATTGCAACCTTCAGCGGCCATGATCACGATAATGACTGGTATGAACCCGATGATGTTAAACAATATACTGTCAAAGCCGGACGAGAGAGCATAACAAGATCTGATTTGGCTAACTTGCGGATTGTATAGGTGTTTTAAATGGAACACTAAGCTTCCTGGCCTGAATGTCACGGGGAACGGGATGAACATGTGCTACGGCCGGCATACAGGGTATGGAGGGTATGGAGATTGGGCGCGGGGCGGGAGGCAGATCTTGCTGGATGAGAAATTGCTTGGGGATGAAGTACAAACTTGGATTCGGATGGAAGATGGTACCATCTCAGGTGCTGTTTATCTCAATGCGACGTACGGTCATGATCGGTATGATTTGGCAGAAAGAAGCACAAGCTGGCAAAGTGGTGATGTTTCTCCTCAATACGTTAGTACTTTTTATTTGTGGATAGTCGTCTTGTCAGTTCTCATATCTGGTATTCGGTGATAATCGAGGATCTGATTATCTCGTCCATGGCATGCGAAGAACAATAGAATAGACAATCAAAAAATTGAATGGCTCATGATGATTCGCTTTCAGGAATATTGCGGATATACAGACTTTCTCGGGCAGGACACTGCACCTGTGATTGTATATGAGGCATAAGCCCCGAGAACATCGACTTGTGATGAGATATCGGAAAATCAGATGTTGTGACATGGATATATAGCCGAGACCTAGCTTTCATTGTAGACACGGTGTCAAAAAGGTACGGGATTGACTGCTATCCATCTCGTTATGTTATACCCTGCATTAGCTTTCAGGAGGTGAGGATATTGTTATTCGAAGCTTGGGCTGGAATTTCCTCGCGTAGTCCTCGCGTGACCCTCGCCTTAGCTCGCGGACAACTCGAAAGTAGCTCGATGACGGCTCGAGGACAACCGACGCATTGCCTTGTGACTGCGATTACTGACGACTCGGCAGGTCTTTCAGGTATTCCACTGTAGCCTTGTAGCGTCGCTTATCCCTACACTGCCGCCAATCGTTCTCGTCTCTTGTATCCTCGGGAATATCTTCGAAATGACTCGCATGACATCCACATCCCTCTCATGAATCTTCGGCAAGGCTCAACAGACGAGGCGTTGAACGAAGAACGTTTTGTCTAGAACATATAGATGCCCAATTGAACTCGGCGATGCAGTGAGCGAAACCCCTTGGTTTCCAGTGGGTCGAAACACAGCCCTTTAAGAGATCGACAGAGCGAACTGGCTCTCCCGTCCCCTGACGTCAGAGACCCCTGGGCCTATTGTTTTCGGTGCTTTGCCCAGTGCGGTTGTCTGAAGACGGAAACAAGCAAGACTGATTCACGACATTGAAAAGGTAAACACTTTTGATTATGGAAGCTCTGGAGTGGAAATCCTCCCGGCTAACAAATGACCTCATCAGGGACACGCGACAAGAACTGTGCAATACTCCGTAATAAAGCGAAACATTACCTGATTGGCTCGACAGCATAAGCCAAGAGGTCCAAATTCCTTGGTTCAGATCCATTTAATAGCTTGTCTTGTCGGCCTTACACGCGTTTTATGGCTTGGCACACGCCAGACTCGAATTGACCTCAGGAACCCTTACTCATCTGAAAACGAGAGTAGTTGCAAACATTCCCTTCTCATATAGCAAGAACATGATATATGATCTGCCAACATTCAGCCAATGGACGTGACTGTACACACACGAACAACACGAGCTCATCCCCAACCAGTGGCGAGGAACATGATAGATCCACACGTGCTGGTTGATCGTCGGTCAAGTCTTTGCGAATCAACCACCAAAAGCTTGCAATTCATCCCAAGCCCACAGAAAAGTGGGCAGAGTCCTGAAACTATTTTTAATATGGAATTTTGGACTGGGAGGGTCGTCTGTCTAACGTACATCATTACTGTCGCATCCGCAAGCCACCAACCTTCCTCTGACAGGCAACATCTCACTGAATTTCCACCTTGAGCCAAGAACAGTTTCCACTGCCGGTTTAGATCGATACTGTCTATGATTGATCTAAGTCAAAATGCAATTGTCTGGCACATGGTCCTTCCTTAATGGCCTCATCGCAACCCTACTCTTCTCAAATTTAACGTTTGCGATCGAAATAGACATCAACGATAAAGGTACGTCGCATAGGACTAACACAGACTCATAACCTGGCTAGAAGGTGGTAGAGGTCTGACTTTACTTTTGCTGGACAGAGTCAATCAAAGATGCCGCAAGTACGAGTACTTATGCTATGATGGGGTGGTATGCCGGTAATGAGACTGGACAAATCCCTGGCTCATTCCCAGAAAAATGGTGGGAAGGGTCTACTCTCTTCCTCGCGCTACTTCAATACTGGCATTTCACCGGCGACGAGACATATAACCCTCAGGTGAGCCAAGGAATGCAGTGGCAATCTGGCGATGAGGGTAACTACATGCCAAGCAACTACAGTAGCTACCTGGTGAGAGACTCATTGATATCATTGATTGAAAAAAAACCCCCAAGATTTATGTTTATCTAACAAGTTTTGGATCCATAGGGAAATGACGACCAAATGTTCTGGGGACTTGCAGCCATGATGGCCGCCGAGCTAAAATTCCCCGATGTTGAAGACGGATTCTCGTGGCTTTCGCTAGCACAGGGTGTATTCAACACGCAAACTGCCCGGTGGGATACGACAACATGTGGTGGCGGTCTGCGTTGGCAGCTTTTCCCTTACCAGGACGGATATACCATGAAGAATTCCATATCGAATGGCGGTTTATTCCAGCTGGCTGCACGCCTAGCCCGCTACACGAATGACGACAAGTATATCAAGTGGGCCGAGAAGATTTGGGATTGGTCCACTTCCTCTGTTCTGGTGAACAACAAGACGTGGAGCGTCGCCGACTCAACGGACATGGCCAATGATTGTGCTGATTCTGGTGACTACCAGTGGTCCTATAATTATGGCACCTATTTGATGGGTGCTGCCTATATGTACAATTTTGTAAGTGAAAGCTGACCAACTCGCGCACCATGCGATCATCTCTCCTATTATCAAGTACTCATCGTCCATCGCATACAGACAGATGGAGCTGAAAAATGGAAGAAGCCAGTGGATGGTCTTTTAGGCAAAACATTCAAGACCTTCTTCCCGCACGGCGATGTCTTCGAAGACATCACCTGCGAGCCGATCAAAAAGTGCAACTTCAACGAAATTCTCTTCAAGGGTCTCACCTCATCATGGCTCGCATTCACCGCGCTCTTGGTCCCCGATACAGCAGAGCTGATCAAACCGAAACTCGCAAGTTCTGCCGAAGCCGCTGCAAAGTCCTGCACAGGAAACAACAATCAGTCATGCGGAATCACCTGGTACCAGAACAAGTGGGACGGGACAACTGGCATGGAGCAAGAGATCAGCGTAACGAATGTCTTCCTTGCAAATATGATTAACTTTGACACCGGCACGTTTGGCCCTGTCACATCCAAGACTGGTGGACGCAGCTCTAGTGATCCTAATGCCGGTGACGGCAAGGGGAAGGACGGCGATGACTCCGAGGATAAGCCTATTACGACTGGGGACAGGGCTGGTGCTGGTATTTTGACGGTGATCTTTATCGCTGGATGGGCTGGATCCATGGCATGGATGATGATTGGTGCCTGATTGTTTAGTATCTATTATTTCTTGTTTCTATTGGTATCGGCTATGGGAGGATTGGAGTTTATAGAGGGCACTCAATAATGTTTATATATAGCATCTTAAAATCGCTTTTACTCCCCCTGTTGTGCATATTATGTGGGCTTGTAGGCTTACGATATCAACGTCAAATCTTGAAGTTTTGGATACATTGTCTGGCAACTGGTTGGCATGGGAAAGTTGCTGGTTAAGAAGTATCTTGATCATCTGAGAGGGTGAGGTGCGTGCATCTATCAACTACCTTTGCGACACACAAGCTTAGCAGATGTTAGAAGACTAGTAGATTATTTACCAATAGAACTCCGACATACCCTAACCAGAAAGGATAATAAGTATTTCGCATGGACAAAGCAGTGTCGGCCTTTGCATTCGCATCACAATATGGGGAAAACCCTGTGGTTTAGGGCCAAAAACCCAAATCAAGGCATCCATATGTATAGTACAAATTATAGATCCTGATTCCTTCATGTTTCCTTCTCCAAGGACCAACCCTTACTTGTCCAAACCGTCCAAAATTGTTCCGAATTCCTTCGTACTATGTCAGAAGGGAAGAATTCCGACAGGGATTTCGGACTATACCATATCTTTTAGATGTCGATGATATTTCCCAGCTGTAAAATATACATTAAAATTCTATCACCCGGTGATTTTCAATAATTGATGGGTTGATTGACTAACCAATTTTCCGAGTTTGCCCTTCTCGGCCTTGGGCTTCTCCTCCTTTGCCTTCGGATCGTTGACTTCATCTGCCAGCTATTCAGAAGAGTTCTGTCAGTAACAGCCAGAGTGGCATTTGTGATATCCAATATTTGGTGAAGTGGTTTGCTCACCGTCTGGAGAGTGTGTTAGTTTCTTCGCTTGGGTTAAATCTGAAGATTCCATTATTCTCACCCCCTATTATCGAATATGTGTAAGTATTGCACAAATATTGTTGCATATAAATCAGCTTTTTGCATCAAACAAACTCACAATCTGAATAGTTAGCTTTTAGAAACGCCCGAGCGTTGACAGTGCACTCACTTGCTAATTATCGTGATTTTTGTCAGCTCTGTACATCAAAGTGCTTCTCACAAGCCCAGAATCATCACTTACATTCTGAATAGCGGCCAAATCAGTCATGTGGTCAAAGACAGCTTTCGTCGAGAGCAAAACTTACGAGCTGCTCAAGCCAATCTTGTCAGAACCATGTTCTCATAGTGAGAATATAGAGGGAAATTACTCACAACCTATGATCGTAAGACAGTCATTTCAAACCAGATAATAGGAATAGCCGAGTTTGTCTCGATTTACTCACAGTCTTTTAACGGTCGTTAGCATTTAATGGCGCATTTAGTCTCGCTGCAGATTTGTGTTTACTCACATCCTGACTTGTGTTAGTTTTCAACTCAATACAGACAGCAATCAATATCGCAATACTTACTAACTGTACAGATGAAGCAATTACACCCATTAGTCTTGCAATCCGTAGTTTGGGCTCAACATATCTTCACTCACAACCTATAGGTCCCAACTGATGTCAATTTCTAGCCAGAAAAGGATCCGAGGTTAATTGATGACTTACAGGCTTTTTCTCAGTAGAGTCAGCTCTCAGGTGTCTTTGTAGTATGTTGGGATAGTCCGAGGAACATTGCTTTACTCACAACCTAGATTTTCCGGGTTGGTGAGACCAGTGATAGCTATATAGCGGTGGTGATACTCACAAGCTAGTCGGGCATTAGTAAGTTATGCCACAAATTATCTAAAATGCAATAGGAAAGGTTTGGCTCACGGGTCGATCAACATCTTTTGCGGTTGAATTGTCGGAAGTGGTGAAAATCGGGCTTGCGAGTGTGAAGCCGAGAAGCATCATAATCAAAAAAGCAATAGGCTGCATGTCTGCGAACGATGAACTACCTGCGAATTGTTAGAAGTTTGAAGGGAAGGAAAAGGGACTCGTGGGGTCAATATGTCGTGTGAATGTCGGTAACCTGCGAATATCCTCAGCCCGAAGGTGAGTCTCTCTCTGCCTTTAAATATTCCTGTCTGCTATTATTACAACAAAAAAAATGTAATATCCTATCCCTTGATGTGGCACATTTCAACAATGGGGAAAACGAATAGAACAGGCTGATAAATGCCGTTGACACGTTGAATAATTTTTCGGCTGCATATTTGGATACTTCATCCAGTAGTTAGCTTTCCAGGGACTATTACGAGCCTTTTTCCATGCCCGAGCTTAAAAGATAGAGGCACGGTGTATAGTGGTAAGCTAATTTTTGAAGCATTCTTTGGGATCTAATATGTACTCCACAAACATTCCAACGGCTGGTAGTTCCATTGTAACATTTTGGATCATGCATTCTCGACTCGTCTGTCATAATTCACCATCGGAGATGGGAAAGAAGAAGCGATTCATCGTGGACCGTAATGTCTGGATCTCTACTCAGTACGCCATACAAACATGTATATAGATTGTTAGCTGGTACTCAAGGGGACCCGTGATTCTTAGGTCTTGGTGAGTCAAATCAGTATACCGCTGTTTTCCCTGTGCCACTAAACACTGTTCCCACAGACCTTCCAGAGTCAGGTTCAAAGTCTAAAAGATATAGGTCAGCATATAACGGCAAAAAGACTTAGTAAGAACTCTGCGGCCGTTTGCTCAATAGCGAGGTAGAGAAGTAGTACTCCGTACCCCTACTGAAAATCCAATACGGGTTGAGGCATTCCTGGGGTCGCTCATGGCGCCTACTAAAAATGCCCCCTATATCACTAGGGCTGATAAATACTGTTCCCCTGCCCATAATAAAAATTTCCCAATTCTATGGGAATCGCTGCAGTGTACAGTGATATATTGGCAGCGAAAGGATACCTGTGAAGACTGAGTGTCAGGAAAATTAATTGGAAAGACGCATCCCTACAAATTGACAGTGTAATAGAATCAAGAGATCACAATCAGTGATTTCAGGTAGATTTCACCGCGAGATGAATGCATGCCTTTTCAAGGAGGGGATAGTAAGGGCTCAGTCCAGGTAGTTGGAAGAATGGAAAGGATAATTCCAAAGTGGAGACAGTCTGCAGCTGGACCCACAACCCTATTTTGGCCAAGACGTTAAGGTTGTTTATACAAACCCAAGTCTTTGGCCACCCAACCCCAAGTCCTCTACTCCATTTGCCACTCCCCAGCTGATCTTGAATCCACTTACACCAGCGCCATAGCAATGGATTAGCGGGAGGGCATTGTTGGGATGATTGGGTAGGCTGTCCATGGCAAGACGGAAACCACCATGTCTCAGAGGACGCCGAGCAACGTAGACTTGCTTCACATCGAAGCCGCTAGTCTATTATATCAGGACAAAGATTCTTCACCCTCTCTAGAATAAGTTTTATGGAGGCATCGGAAATATCCCCAGACCTGAGGAGATTAGTGTCACTTCCTTCAACTGGGGCATTGATTTGATCATAACACACCATCCTCGAGGCTACTTAGTACCGCCGATTACAATACCGCCACCCAGAGGTCGCGGTATGATTACCGTCGAAGATTCATCACTCCAGTGATGACTAATGGTTTTATCACACTGGTTTGACGCGATGCTGAATTGACCCCGCGATGGGAATGAAACGGGATCATTAAATCCCCGGCCACTTGCATCGACTATAGCCATGGCATTCTCGGTATCACCCTGAGCTCTATTCTCCTGGTAGACAGATACAGCCTGCTGCAAGTCTGTCAACTGTGCTCGAATGAAATGAACCTCTTTCTCCTCTGCGCGCATTTGCAGCCATTTCAGATAAATCGGCGAGTTGACGACCCGGCTTCGATATGTGACCCAAATTTGAATCATTGCATGCTTGGGAGGGTACTCCCAAGACTCGAGAATCCGAAAATCTGGCCGTGTTGTGTAGCCATTCTCCTCTGTCGGTAAAGTGGTTGCATTAGCAGCGTCGAAATAATCAACCGCAGGGACAAAGTCCACGCCTACTTCAGGATAGTGTTTTGCAATCCCCTCAAGCTCTTTGTAGGTTTCCCGCATTAGACGCTGTTCCCATCGCTCCTCCTGGGTCTTTGCGGCGGTGGGGCGAAAATGTGCTCCCGCCCATGGGGAGGCGTAGTCGATGTCGACATCACTAGGCAACTCTCTCGCGATGACGGTAAATTTGTAGCCCTGTGATAGCTTTACTGCAATTCTGAGACCAATCACTCCGGCTTTGTATATAGGCTTATTATCAGAAGAGAGGGAATGAACCTCGGAGGTGGGTAGACTTCCCAGGTGGATTCTTGCCCGACGATGACGACACGTCCTTGAGTCATGTTGTGCAGGCTCGTTTATTGTCCGGAGTTTCAAATCACGGTGTTTTATGTGGTGTACTCCGTACATGGAAATAAGCTCATAAGTTCATCCCTTATTCACTCGCTCAAGCGACAAGTGAGTCATTTGAATGCGAGGGCGTGAAGTCACACCGGACAGTCGTATTGGTGAACCGAGGCAATTAAGTCGAGAAGAAATAAGCGAAAAAGAACTGAGTCACACGCATCGATTGCCCTGAGTGAGTATACTTCGTATTCCGTATCTCCTTTGAAGCGGTTTACGCGGTTGTTCGCCGAGCCGGGAGATGCTCCGGAATGCGGCTGTGGAACAACGACCAAGTATACGTAGGATCTGATAAAACAATCAGAGGCTCTCGTATAGACTAAAATTAACTGCCATTCGCCTGATAAATACCTTTTCACTCTGCGACATATCGCAGTTACGCGCGCCACGCGAAAGCGGTGTGGGCCCTGAATGGATTCTCATCTTCAACTTTCAATTCTTTGCAAGTCAACATCGTCGGCTCTTGTGTCTAGTTATGGTCGCCATCACACCACGGACAGACCGCAAGCATGATGCAGTTTCCCAGACAAATTCAGTTGCCGAACTGGGCGAGGCAAGGGAGCATGTAGATGAGACCACGGCTCTCTTAGGTTCAAACAAGGCCCAATATGATGATGTGTACGCATCGGAAAATCCCGAAGGCTCGTCCGCGACAAACAGAGATGACGAAAATGTTGATGAAGAAAAGCCATTGCCCGGACTTCAAATCTTGCTGCTCTGCTACGCCCGAGTAGTCGAGCCCCTGGCCTTCTTCTCCATCTTCCCGTATGTCAGCCAAATGGTTCAGGACAACGGGGGCGTTGCAGACTCGGATATCGGTTTCTATAGCGGAGTTATCGAGTCCATGTTCTCCCTCACCCAGGCTATTGTGATGATATTCTGGGGCCGCGCAGCCGACCGACTCGGTCGCAAGCCGGTTCTGGTCTCCTCTTTATTCGGCGTAACCGTGGCAACCGGCCTTTTTGGGCTGGCAAAGACTATACCACAAATGATCATTTTCAGATGTCTTGCCGGAGTCTTCGCTGGTACCATCGTCACCATCCGCACCATGATAGCCGAGCATAGTACGCCCAGTACACAGGCCCGGGCCTTCAGCTGGTTCGCCTTCAGTGGGAACCTGGGCCTATTCCTCGGCCCTCTGTTAGGCGGTGCTCTGGCTGACCCTGTACAGCAGTATCCGGGCGCTTTTAGCGGCATTCACTTTTTTGAAAAGTATCCCTATGCGCTCTCGAGTTTTGTGGTGGCACTGGTGGCAGCTACCGCTTCCTTAACATCCGCTTTCTTGATCCAAGAGACTTTGAAAAAGGACCCCGTCATCTCACCCCATGATGGGGAGGAGGCGGCTTCTGAGTTGCCGGCTCGGCGCGGCGATATGTCGACATGGCAACTTTTACAATCGCCAGGGGTTGGTATGATCCTATATACATATGGACATCTCATGGTCCTCGCCTTTGCCTACACCGCCATCATCCCTGTCTTTTGGTTCACTCCGATTTACCTCGGAGGATATGACTTCACGCCCCTTGAAATATCATTGATGATGGGCCTGAATGGGGCTGCCCAAGCTATGTGGCTCCTCCTGGTGTTCCCGCCGTTGCAGCGCAAGATAGGGACGAACGGAGTGATACGCCTTTGTGCCTGTGTCTATCCGTTCTTTTTCCTGGCTTGCCCCCTGGGTAATGTCCTCCTACGACTGGATACCGAAGGATCCATCAAAACATTCTGGATTTTCGCGCCGATAGCGCTGACTATCGGCAGCGGAGTGAGCATGAGTTTCACGGCAATCCAACTTGCCCTGAACGACGCCGCGCCTTCCCCGAAGGTGCTGGGCACGCTTAATGCGCTGGCCTTAACTGGTGTCAGCGGGCTGAGGGCCTTCTGTCCGGCCCTCTTTACCAGTCTCTTTGCCCTCAGCGCGAGGACCCAACTGGCTGGGGGCCATGCCATCTGGATCCTTATGGTTTTGCTTGCTTGCGGGCTATCGTTCACGGTAAGATATCTTCCCGAGCCTCAAAAGCCTCGCAAACGCCGTAACGAGCAGAGATGAAAGACTTCTGAACATCCCCCTCGACAATGGCAAGATCATGTCCAGTCCAAAAAGCTGGTTATATTCTCATGAGCGAGAGGGAGAGAGAGTTGCTCGACAGATTGAGTTAAGAGCACAACACACAAAAGTTGCACCAATACCAAAAGTTGTATCAAGCGATAATGGGCCACTGTATGAAAATCAACCTATCGTCCTATTTGATAACCATTTTATAACCATTATATCGACAAGACATTGTTTAAATCAACAGCAGTATTATGTCACCCAGACGACACCAAAATTACTGGCTTCTAAAACTGCAGGGCTTCATAAAACCTTTTTTTCGTAAAATAAACTAGAACCAAAACCATCAACTGACAAGTTTACTGAAAACAGAGACAATTACGATACCTAGGTACTTTGTCCGTTTTGCAAAACATAGAGCTCCCTGCATGCGCAGGTGGTACCTAGATATGTGCAACAACTTAAACCAGTTGATGCGCGATGATTCATGTTCTTGACTACGAATAAGTGCCTAATGTACAATAGTCTCAGCAATCTGATTGGTGAGATGGCAAGATGGTAACCCTTTTAGGCAAGCACCACATGGGATCCTGCTACATGTGCAGGCAACTACGTACTTTCTATGGACGTCTGAACGAGATCGCACTTGCCCCCGGAGTTTCGGGGCTACTGCCGGGCTCCCCGGCACCGCCTTGGGGGCGACCGTTGTATATATACGGGCCTCCCTCCCCGGATCCTTCTTCTTCTTCTTCTTCTTCTTCTCTCTCCATGCCTTTTGGCTTGTATGAGGTAAGTGTTCCTACTCCGCTTGTGATAGCTTCCAACTGTGGAACTACATTCGGTTTGACCACTGAATACCTTTATCTTTGTTTTTTTGACCCCGCGACTTGACCCCCGCGCTTGCGCATGTCTCGTTGCACCGTGTCATTGGGCTTACACTGCTCCCGAATCGACGCAACCTCCTTTTTTTCATCAACTGTGTTGGCTTGTCCGACCGTTTGGAGAAGAAAAGAAATGTTGTAGTCGTCATGCAACCATTGATGGGTCACTTTGTTGTCATCTTGAGGCTTGTTGACATCCTGTCTTCGCGCCTTGGAGACCCTGGCAAGTCACCATCCAACCCTCCCCAGGCCCATGAATCACCCCTACGTAAATTATCCATGAGTCTATTGAATCATCTACCACAAAGACCGAATCCATGCGCATCTTCAAGTTACTAGACTACGTACTCCGTAATCAGCTCGATGTAGTTAATGTAGATCGACCCGAGACCCACCTAAGTCGATGCCCGTCGATCATGTCCATCCCAGAATGCCAATAAGGCCTTGCGGCATTCTGGGCAGATGCAGGGGGCAAGGGATCGAGCCGAATGGCCATGTTGTCGCTACAAATTTCCCTCGTCGCGTTCGTCCAAGGGTCTATTCGATACTACCAGGGTCAGTCCAAGACGACCTAGTCCCTCCCCAAGCCACACACGATGCCGATGCCCCCGGAGAACGAGAAGAAGGTCATAGTTGTGGACTTTGAGGATGACCACCCCCAAGACTGGCCCGCGTTACGAAAATGGGTCATCATGGCCACCATTGCGGTCCCCTTGTTCCTCATGCCCTTGTCGTCAACAATCACAGCACCAACCGTCAATGCAATTGCAGATGAGTTCCATACCACGTCGACCATCACAGGTCCTCTGGCGTTATCCCTGTTCCTGCTCATGTACTCCATGGGACCAATCTTACTCGGCCCATGCAGTGAGCTATATGGCCGGTGGCCGGTGTTGCAGGCTGGAGGCGTCTTTTACCTGGCCTTCAACCTTGGTGCTGGGTTCTGCACAAGCATGACACAATTGTTGATCTTCCGGTTGCTGAGCGGTATTGGAGCAAGCGCATCTCTAGCTGTGAGTTCTACCTATTCTCCTTGTTGACAACTATAGTCTAACACCATCGACTACCAGGTCGGCGCAAGTATGGTAGGAGATGTCTTCCGCAAAGAGGAGCGTGGACTACCAGTTGCTCTCGTCAGCCTTGGCCCTGTTCTAGGATCGTGTCTCGGCCCTATTGTGGGCGGGTTCATTGCAGATTACACCAGCTGGCGATGGGCATTCTGGTCAACTTCGCTTGCCACAGGAGTATATTTGGTACTATCATTCATTCTCGCGCGGGAAACATACGCACCCATCCTACTGCTTCGCAAGAAGACAGCACTGATTGCAGAGGCAAAGAGCGTGGGGAAGGACGACCAATACATCTGGAAGACCCCCTTTGAGAAGGACGAGACAATCGGCCAGCTGTACCGACGCACCATCTCCCGGTCCTTGTATTTTCTTGGCACGCAACCCATTATTCAAGCTCTAGCTTGCTACTATGGGTATCTCTATGGGATTGTCTATCTCCTCCTCTCCAGCTTCTCGGATCTTTGGTCAATGCGGTACAATATGAAGATCAGCACGGGTGTCCTCAATTACATTGCTCCCTGCATAGGCTACGCTATTGGAGCACAGATCTGTGCCTTCTTGACCGACCGACTATACCGATATCAAGTAGCCAAAAACAACGGCGTCGGGAAGCCCGAGTTCCGGCTACCCATTATGGTGCCAGCTTCTTTTCTGGTCCCCATTGGGCTGTTCATTTACGGCTGGAGTGCAGAGTACAAAACCCATTGGATTATACCAGATATTGGAATCGCCCTGCCATTGATGGGGGCAACTGTCATCTTTCAGTGTTGCACTGCCTACATATTGGATACATTCCCTTTCTACGCCGCCAGTGCCAATGGTGCTGTCTACATTGTGCGAGGGTTGACTGGCTTTGGATTCCCGTTGTTCAGTCCGGAGATGTACGCGAAGCTTGGATATGGATGGGGGAACAATGTTCTGGCATTCTTGGCCTTGGTGATTGGATGTCCCATCCCATTCATCTTGTGGAGATACGGAGAGAGATTGAGAGCCGGGAGTACCTTCGCAGATCAGTTAAAATAGCTATGTAGTTATCACATTCACTATATAATCAGTGTCTAGAGATCCAGAATGACATTCTATGAAGTGTTCCTCATTCCTTATTCATCTGTACAATCTCCTTCATCATGTCATAGCAGACGCTCTCACTAACATGACTGTCCTGCTGATAGTCCTTGTGCGAACGCACAAACTCCCTCATCCATCTTGCCGGTGTCGGGTTCTCGCCGCTGGCCCGCTTGGTGATCAGATCAAGGTACGGAGCAATCTTCGCCTGCGCCACTGCTGACATTTTGCTTTGATCCAGGTAATACCGCACAATAGCCACCAAGCCCGGGAACCCACTTGGATCGCCTTCACCGTTGAAGATCTGGTCTGCCGTCATGAGAGCGAATTCCTCACCTCTACTCTCGTCACTCAAATGTCCGTGCGACTGGTCTTTACACATCGACCGCGAGGGCCTGATAGTGTGAGAACCGGACAACCACCCGGACCGACGGAACCACATCTTCTCTTGTCGAACAGCATCACGCTCCTTGGCGAATTCCATCGACTCGCCCACCTTGTCGATTGGGATATAAAAGTTCAAATGCAGAGTGACAATTGCCCGGGACAGAAGGTACGCGAAGATAGCAAACGCCGCATTCTCTTTATCTGTGAGCTGGGATTCCATTGTGCGGAACTCGATGCACCATCCTGGCCCTGTGTCGGCGGTTGGAACCTTGAAGCGGACTGCATGCCAGACACAACTCTGGAGAAGCTCAAAGAGCTTGGTATTCTCGGTATTGAAGTTTTCCATATCATCTTGGGTTAGAACGAGTGGGTCGCGCGAGAGGATGGATGCGAAGTGTGTCGCTAGGGATTCATCCATGTCGCCATCGAGGAGACGCTGTTTGATTGCGGGATCCATGGGTTGGAGAGGCTCGCTGCTATCAAGACCTGGAGGTCTAGCTTCTGAGAGGTATGTGCGGTTCCAAGTCCAGCGTGGGGGCTGTGAGGGTTGTCAGTTAGTCTGTTGAGGTTCTCTGCTTTGGAGGCTGGACACATACAGTGGTAGCCATCTCCTCTGGTCGGCGATCATCTAGGATGTCTCCAAATCGCTGCCAGCGGATATCCGTATCAACCAGGTATCCTTTCCAAATTGGGACCGCGGCTGTCATGGCGAGGAAAATTGGGGCGAGAGGAATTAGCTGGTCGTGCAGCCATCGGGCCTCTGACTCGCTTGATGCCTGGAATGTTGTTTGCAGACTGCAACAGCCAATTCCAATCTCGAGATCGCTCAAACAGAGGTGGTCCTGGACTGTTTCTCCCGAGGGTAAAGTATCATGGAATGATGTCGGCGTTTGGGTATCTTGGTATATTGGGTAGTGTGTCTGTTTGCGAGTTTGGCATCGGCCGAGCACGTTCTCGGGGACGATTCTATACCGCGGCAGTGAGCACACCGAGTGGTTTGTCTGGTGCGGGCCATGGGGAGTTGTCCACTGGTCATCCACTCCAGTACGAGGAAAGAGAGATAGTGAAAGGGTGTGTTGATTCGGTGAGAGCGAGCGATTGATGATTTCTCGTCTGGTTGATTGAGTTAGATACTGATCTCTAGGCGAGCTAAGAGCAACTTACCTTCTCTTCATATTTTGCTGAACACTCAGCAGATCCTCGATGCTTCCAGTGTAAGGCTTTGCTGGCGTCGTCTCCACGACATATTTCGCCCATTCCCATTGGAGCACGACCCTGTTGAGGCATTAGCTGAGTTACTTTTAATGCGGCCGATAGACTCACGGCTCATCCTTGCTGACGGAGCTCTCTTGCCATTGCCGAATTACCCTCTCCTGGTCCAATAGCAAAGTTGCTCGCTCGGCATTTGGATTCAAGTCGATCAGACTATACTCAATCTTCATGCCACGTCAGCATGTAAAACCTCCTTCACAGTTTGATTCAATACGCACCTCATCGCCCCACGAAGCGACATTATCGCTACGATATCGCTGCTTGCGCCAAAGGTGAAGCAATTGCTATGAACGTTAGCAATGTCCGGAATGGCACGAATCAGCGGAACACACCTCGGTTGCCCATCTCCGAACATTTGGCGCAGCTTGCTCAGTCTCAGGCCAGCCTATCGATGGTCCTTGCACGCTATACAGAGTTAGAAATTGCCATTGTCTGGGATGCAAAGAGTACATACGGTAAACCCATATTGAGGTGATTTCGATGTGTGATTTAAAGCTATCAAGCTCCGAAGTAAAACTTAGAGACTGCAACTGAAGTAGAGCCTTGAAGTGTTTATAACATCTATTGGAATTGTAATATTGACTGCAACGTCATTTGCAAGGGTATCGACGGCGATCTACTGAACATCGGAGCGATCATCGACTAACTTGTCCAAGCTCATGGAATGCTCTTCGCGTCCCTGAGACGCTCTCTGTCCATCCACAGATGTTTCAAGACCAGGGAAGCATGCTTGGCAGAGTTAGCTCCCAGCCCTACTCTTTCTACAAGTCCTCCATATGACGCGGCACGTTGTAGGGATGCAAGGGGTAAATCAAGTTTCTTGCTCGCAATACTATTTTCGAGTTCCCCCGACCAATCGACAAGCCTTTTCTTTTTTTTTGCCCCTAGTTAATGAGAATTTGAAAGTCGCATCGGTTGACGTAGGAGCCAATAAGCAAATGGCCCATGGATTAATCAACCCAGAATGCTTGTTTAGTGCACAGTACGACGATAGGAACAATTCACCGCGACGTGAGTTTCTCATACATGATTTCCAATACTGAGATGTGGTGGTTTCTCAAAATAGAGCCTCTCAATCCTTTTTACAATTCTGCATCCACCGTCACAGAATACAAAATATGGAGTCAACTGGTCACTAAGATCCAGTAGTTTTCAAGGCCCTTCAAGACGTGGACCACATTCTTTAATGCAATATACTATCTCACATCCCATACTCATGCACGGGTGTCCCAATTATCGGTGTGACTTACGCTCAGATTTCATATGCCGACTGTTCTCAAATTCCTGGTCGTCCCAGGACTTCAAAAACTCTGAATTCGTGTATTCTGAGGCTATCAATATCCCTGTACTTTCTCAAGAGTCAACCCTTGGAAGCCCTACCCTGCCTTGGAAGATCAGAGAAAACCCATGTGGCGTGAGGAACTCAGAACATCCCGAAATATTTAATCCCATCGTCGGGGTGATCAGTTAGGTCAATTCTTGAAGTTGTGAATCCTGGCGAATCATATCAACCGCTTAGTCTCATTTTCTTTACAGAAGAACTAAAAGATCTTCCAGTCCGATCGCAGCGGTGTAGTCGTATCCATCGCCTCACTGGGTGCATATGAAGACTAAGAGTGAAAAACACTAAGCAGTTTCCTCTGGAATTTGTTCAAGATTATCAAGCTCTGACTCCCTCCGTTCAACTTCATCCCAAAACCGAGATTCTGCTCATCCACGGATGAGTATTGAACTGACTAATAATAGTGTATGCATACTTTAGGAGAAGAAGATAGTTCTTTTCGCTGAATAAAAATGAGTGGAGCTCCAGTGACTATAATACACTATGCTGTTGTATCTAAGAGTCACGAAGCCGCCCCGATAGAGAGAAAAGGTGCAACGGCGGAATCAAGACCAACCCCTGAAAGGATTTATGGCTGCTTTCAATCCAAGACATATCTCAGGAAGATACCTCTCATTTTAGGTCTTCGGTTGTCGAATCAATCCCTTGAAAGGGCGGAACTCATGTGCAGTTATCCGTATATAAGCACCCAGGTACTACTTCCTCTTACGCTGTACGGAGTAATGTACCTATCCAAATACATTTTATGTGTACAAAGTATCCCCACTCCACAGACTTATCTGATTGGTTCAGCCTTGAATAGAGTTTCGGGCCGCTAATTAAATTAGCCGCAAGTTCCCCGCGCCTGATTTCTGTATTAAGTTGGTACATCCAGACATGCACACGTACTTCAACTCTGCTCTGCCCAGGTGTCTAAGGTGAAATCCTTTACAGGCCGGGGAATATTACTCAACTCATCTACAAAATAGATTGCTATATCACCCATGAGTGCGTATCGATTGGTGTTACTTACCTTGTGTGCAACTAGGCACTTCAAATGGATAACCTGAGATGACCACGGGATAGTAGAGACTGAACGGCATTAGCTGGATAATTGATCACTGGTTCTGAACACTCTGGTAAATTGCGCGTCATGCTTTACTGACGAATCACTCATTCAGAAACGACCTGATGTTTTTTTCATTATTTACTTTTAAATGGCATGGCTCATAAGATGGGAGTCCACTTTTGTTCTCCCCCACACAAAATTCAATATTCCGCGCTGGATTATAGAAATGCGCAAGGGTGGGTGTGATATATACATGTTGGCCTTGGTGTAGAGAGGTGGAATAGATAAGGAAACAGATAATAGATGCATCGCTAAGTTGTTGGAGTATACGATTGACGAGTCTAGTTGCAGGCGGTGCTTGATCGGTTATGACATATATATCCCAAATGGAGTTGAGAATCCTATTCGTCTACTCCGTATACGGCCTAATATTGCAGAGAACTTTGGTATTTCTAATCTTGTCAGCAGTAAAACGTAACTCCATTGGATAGAAAACAGGGGTCGATGTACAGGGGAAAAAACAAAGAAATCGCCATGACAAATACAACAACCAATAGATAGCAAAGAAAGACATTGTGGAATGAACCTAGCAGATGAAACCAGATAACCGACCCAAAAATCAAAGACGAGACTTAAAGTGGTGGTCGGTAATGTGATTTGAACAAAATGCAAAGAAGTTTGTAATGGAGGAAGTTCCATGATTTTTGCTACGTATAAAAATCAATACAGAACGAGTGTGGGGAGAGCTAGGGGGTGTATATATAGCCAGAGGCCGGTAAATGTGGACAGGAACAACGAAAGGTTGGACCTGAGCTAAAACCAAAATCAACAACATTGATCCTCATTCCAGGACAAGGAACAAAGAAAGGGAGGAATGATCGAAGAAGAAAAGGGCAATCACCATAGATGTGTTCGGCCCTTCCCGCCTTATGTTCCAATCCTAGCTCCGATCTAACCCAGAGGTCCAGAGAATCAGGGATTGAAGGTCGGGTTGGTTGGCTTGTAAGAAAGAGGGAAGGAGAGAGAAAAAAAGAGCCTCATGAGAAGTAGGGGTTACATTTAAAAGAGAACAAGACCAAGAATCCAGAACAGGAGAGGGAATAAATCCTGCATTGCACGCTGCTGCAAGGAAGGTAAGAGATAAAGAACCAGGTACAGTATAGGCATAGTAGAGGAACAGTAACAGACACTCTATTCTTGTCCAAAGCCAAGCGTTTCCTCCACAGCGATAGACATTTTGTGCTCGAGGGCTTCGTGCGTCTTGTAAGGAGGAAGATCAAGACGATTGAAGCTGTGACAAGAAAAACGGTTAGCAATCTTACGCAAGACACAAGAACCAGGTTGGATACATACCAAGTGTGGGATTTGGGCAACGCAGCAGGATCACCAGACTTCTCAATAGTAAAGCGCCTGGGACCATCAGAGCCCTGCAGATCCTTGAATCCATTGACGGGGATACGCGAGGTACCAGTGGTGAACTGGAGAAGACGAGACTTTTGCTCAGCATCCCAGGTGCGAACGATCTTCCAGAAGTTCTGGATGACCTCGTCCTGCTCCTGGTAACCGCGGTAGTCGGTGTGTTTCTTCCAATCCTCGACATCAATATCGGCGATACCACCGATGAGCAACTCGAGCTCACGCTCGTCAAAGACGTTGACAAGGTCGGGAGGAATCAGCTCATTGAATCCTGACATGAAGGCATTGAACTGCTCCTCGACTCGCTTCACGATCTTCCATTCCGTAACCAACCTAAAATATCATCAGTGTGGGTTCATCGGGTAGAAAGACTGGATTAATTTCACTCACTCAATGTACTGTGGCTTGTTCTCATTGGTGACGGGAATATCCCGGCCACCGGGTATCAAATCAATAGTGCGACGCTCGCCAAACTTCTCATCGTCGACCGAGAATGTGAGTTCCACAATTCCGTCAATGTCATTATCCCTGCCATGGTGTTAACGGCACAGTTTTTTTTTATATGAGATTTCACGGATCAAACTTACAGTGTCCATGCCAAGTTCCGGTGCAGATCCTCGTCCACACCCTCCATATCCTGAAGAGTAACCTTCTTCCGCAACATCATTTTGTAGAAAGCTCCAATGAAGAAGGAGTCCAAGAAACGACGGTGGAAGATAGCCAGACCAACCACTCGACCGATGAACTTGAAGTAATTGAGATGCTCGGGGTTCACGCCCGAGTGGGGATTAATCTGCAAGGTATAATTATCGTGGGCAGAATATTCGAAGAGACAGTAGAAAGGATTGAACATTTCGTGAGAGAGAAGGAAGAAGAATTCACTGGGAAAGTTAGTATCGATTTGAATAACCATCTAAAAGAAGAGAATCCATCATACCGTGAAAGACCGCCATAGTCGAGACCATCTTCACCATCGAACTTGATCATTAAGCGCTTCTTAAGATCGGAGGCGCTCTGCCGCATAATCTCGGCATAGGAATCCTCGAAAATGTTATTACGACGAACCTTGACGTGGCATTGTCCGGACATGATGCGCAACGCGGGTTGGGATCGGAAGTAGATAAGCTTGCGTCGGAAGTCACGCTTGTACTGAGGCACGCCTTGATCCAAGGAGGATGGCAACCGTGGGTCATCCCATGTAGTTGTCTTGGTGTTGTGGTCAACGAAATATACTCGCGCAGTGTTGGTCAGACGCATCTCCCAACCGCTTGGGAGAGGACCCAATTGGGATACGGGCTGCTGTTGAATAGTGGTATTGTTCGCGCCTCCAGTGGTCTGGCCCTGGCCATACATGCGAATGTACTGTTGTCGGCGAGGATCAACCCATGTCGTAGTGCGCGTGTTGTGGTCCACAAAGTAGGGTCGTCCCTCGGGCGTCACTCTTCGTTCCCACCCTGGTGGAAGCTCCCCTGTACCTGCAGTGGTGGCTCCCGTTGCCATCATGGAGACCGCAGCAGCGTTGGAGCCAGCCGGGGCTCCAGTTGCGAGAGAGGTTCCTGCGGTAGGCCCGGGCGGTGGCGTAGGTATCTGCTGTGCATCCGGTAGGTTCGGTGAACTGGCGCCAGTTCGGTCTTCCGGAAGCATTCTGCTCTGATGGGCCCGACGTTCGAGCTGCATGTTGGCTTCGCGCTGCGAACGCTGGGCATGCTCGTTGTAGTTGGCGGATGGTCGTGACCAAGTCGTGGTGCGAGTGTTGTGATCCACATAATATGTTCGTCCCAAGTTGTCCTCGCGACGCTCATAACCGGCAGGGAGTCGACCCTGGCTATCCTCAAAGGAGCTGAGGTTGGCGCGAGAAGGGGCGCTGGGTCCAGGGGGATTAGTAGGAGCTCCATTCGACGGGGGAGGGGCGCCGGCTGGCGGAGCGGTCGACGGGCTACGCTGGTTCAATGATAAGCTTGAAAGGGCGGCTGTTAAACTCGAATCTGCGGCAGTAGATGAATCAAGATTGCTCGGGCCTGCTTGCGATTGCGGAGTTGATGCGGCAACCTGAGGCACAAGGCCGCTCGATGTCGACGTCTGGGCCTGTTGACGCTGGAGGCCATTCTGATTGGGGTGCGGAGTGCTGAGGTTTGATGATAGATTAATGATCAATTTTCCGTGGACCACAAGGTTATCATTTGACTTTTTCAAATCACGCGTGAGCATTTCTGTGGTGGGGGGAGCACGAAGCCGTCAGGTCAGTCCACGTTGCGATGTCTCGCGATCGGCATTTTTGGGGACATACCATCACCACCCATCGACAAATCAATGACATCGCCGATGCGAACATTGATGACTCCGAGGAAACCCTGGTCCTTCTTCTTGAATTTCTTCTGGTCGAAGATCTGGATCGCGAGAATACTGTCCTCATTGACTTTCCTGTTGCGATCGATACACGGTCAACACGTCCCATTTCATGAGAACGGCGGAAATTACATACAAGTCGAATGGCTCATTCCAATAAGGATTGAGGGTCTTCTTAATCACGGAAGTTGTATGTGTTTGCTCTCCTCCAACAGTAGCCACGGCGAACGGATCGGGGAATCCTAGAAAAGAGGGGGTCAGCTCAACCCCGCGGTATTTGATCGACCGATCCCAAGATCGAAAGATGGGGATACACATACGAAAGACATCTCGTTTGTACAAGCCGTCAGCCGCGATAACTATAGTCAGAAAGGTTAGTCTTGTCCCGACGCGGAACCCCGCAGAATCGATGAATCGACGATGACCAGGGCAATCTTACTCGTGACCCGGAGATTTGGCTGGCTGCAATTCATGAAATTAGCGATGATCTCAAGATCTCAAGAGGTCACCAAGTCCACCTACGCTGGGAGATTTGACGCCATGATGCGAAGCGATCAATCACGCCCAAAGAATAGCGCGGGCGCGCACATCCACGAGGGGGAGAAGGGCCAAACCAAGTTCGCCCAGGGTCAAAGCCTGGAAAGAGTGGGTAGGAGAGGTGATTTGCAGGGTGTGGATGGGGTAGTGTTGAGAGAGGAGAAGGAAGAGAAAGGAAGGGTTAGGCGTTTAGGTGCGCCCGGGTTTGTATGGCGCAGGTACTCGGACTACGTATTTCACTATTACAAGATACCCGGTCAGTACTTCCTGGGGCTGAGCACGGGAGATCAACTCATACACCAAACCGAGCTATTACTTTCTCCATTTTTTTTTTATTCCCACGATCTTTCATTTTCTGGTCTACTGGGCATATGTAATATTGGAGGATTCACTGGCTGCGGGTGCGGGCGGGTAGAGTGGCGATATAATCGTGTCCAGGCAGCCAGATTCAGGTCTCGATGTACGGAGTAGGCAGTCTTTTCGATCTGGTCTCCGGAGTATAGAATATCTAGATGGTCATATAGGCCAGCATAGTCCCTCATTCCTCTATGGGTTCCAAAAGTCCACGGTTGCTTCTATATCATCCAAATTGCTAGTACTAGCGTACATTCGTCAAATACAACCCTCTCCACCCCCAATAGTCATGAGCCTCTTCCTCTCTGTTCATCTTTGTTTTTGCTTTGTTTTTTTCTTTTCTTTGCTAAGTCTCTGTTGATTGCCCGGAAATTATTGTACAGCACACATCCCACAACTCCAAAGCCACACCTAGCGAAATGAGGAAAGGATCAGTTCGGATTGTCGTGAACTCTGACGGGGCTGTCAAAGCACCTTCACCAAACACACTTAGTAGGGCGAGAAGCCACGTCCCCTGCCCCGGAAGCCACCACGATATCCACCACCACGAGGGAAGCCACGACCACGACCGCGGTAGGCTCCCCGACCACGGCCACGGTGCATACCGGGCAGGTTGGTGCGCTTGGGAACCACCTATCATTGGATGTCAGCAGCTATAAAGGGAATAGTAACAGTCTTCAGAACTGACCTTCAAGTTGCGACCGCGGAAGACGCTCTCGTTCAACACCAGAGCCTGCGCGACCAGGCTGGGTTCCGCAAATTCAACGTAGGCATAACTGTAGGGCCTATTAGCACACCTCAATCTGTATGTACCTTCTGGAAGTTCGATTCTCACCCTTTCGGCTGGCCAGAGAACTTGTCCAACAAGATGGTGACCCGGTTGATGGAACCACAGCTCTGGAAGTGAGCCTGGATCTCTTCAGGCGAAGCACCGTAATCGACATTGCCGACGAAAATACTACGCGCGTCAATATCTTCCTTGTTCTCCTGGAGGCTTTCGGACTGCTGGTCGAGATCGGCCTGCATCTCACGCAGCTTGGCAGCCTCTGATTCCATCTCGGCCACTCGACGCTTCATGGCCTCAATCTCCTCCTGTAGGAATCAATCATGTTAGCGGGTAGGTCTCATATATAAGGGGGAACAAAATACGCAGCGCGACCATAAAAGAGAAAAACTCAAAGATCTTGAACAAAGAATCGGATTGCTTTCAGTGCAGCGGAATGGACCTGATCACACCCTACCTCGTCATCTGCGCCATCTTCCTGAGCTGGGATCTGCTCTGGCTTGATCTCCTCCGGAATCTCCTGGCCCTCTGCAGCCATTTTGTCGTTCAAAATAAAAGGTCTCGCGGGTGGGCGGTAATCGAAAGGGTCGGTGAAAGCGCCGGGGATATCGATGAGGGGAGCAATCAGAGCTCTCCGAGGATCTGTTTAATCTGCGCGCTCCAAATTCGGCAAAGGAAAGGGGAATATTTGGATCGCTGGGGATTGGGAGCTGCGCAGATGATTTGGATTTGAAAGGAAGTAAGTAGACCTCTCTCTTGAGGATCTCTAGGCGGGAGAGAATTGCAGTTCTGGGATTTGGCAATGAGAGGCCTTCTATTTTGGGAATAGCGTCTTTTTTGGCTGATGAATGGGCGGTATACTGCCGGGCGGTGTGTACTCCATACTACATCGGTGGGTACATACATACATGCAGAAGCCATAGATCTCTCGAGGTATTTCAAAATTACAGAAGAAACCCCCGGATGATACTCTTCTTCCTCGATTTTGCGCTACCCTAAAAGTACTTGCCAATCTGCTACAGGTGCAAGTCTTGTTGCTCTAGGAACGAGAGTCTTGAGCATAACCAGCACTATGAGCATATCAAAGAACAAGCGTATTCAATTCTCTAGATGTATAGCATACTGGATAGATATCAGGCCAAATAATTCAACTGGTGAGCCTGGGAATGCAACATCATGACTCTAAGGAAATGACTCGATTTGAGGTATCATGTATCAAATTAAAACAAAAAGCTTGGAATCGGCAAAAGGGAAAGCGAGAAGAACGCTGCCCAGGCAAACAACAATACAAATATTTACACGGCAGAAAGAGGAAGTGAGGGGGATGGAAGACATTGTGACAACGTCACGAAGCCGGGGGATGGTTCTTGCGGAAGGAGACCTTCTCCACGGCTACGTTTTCCACACCATTGGCATCGGTCTTCAATTGGTAAACGTACAACACAAGGACGTCCCCTTGGATCTATTCAGAGTCAGCATGTCCACAACTCTCAAGCCCATCGGAGCCACTCACGTCCATCAAGCAGAAACTCGGCGTAGGCTCCTCTCCATCTGGCCAGAAGCCCGAGCTCATGGCCCCCGTTGCACTTCCCGGGTTGATAAAGAATCGGCCCTCCATCTCAAATGCCTCAAAGCGATGGGTACCTCCCCACAACAAGACATCAACATCCATCTGGCGGGCTGCGATGAGCAATGCATCAGCGTCAGCGGGTGGTACGATGGTGTGGCCATGAGTGAAGCCGATTCGTAGGCTGCCATGGTTCACAATTTTGGAGAGAGGGAGATTGGGAGAGTCAACATCGAAGTCGCCCTTCACCATCTGCAGATCCGGGGCTACTTCGCGGAGGAATTCATAGGTCTCGCGATCGGTCAGGTTTCCGAGGCATAATGTCTGACCGATCTTCCCGGGTGTCAGGAGTTTGCGGAACTAGTATTGAAGAAAGGTATCAGTAGGGCTGCAAAATCGTGTCTCTTAACTTCAAGACGAACCTTGGCTGGAAGATCCTAGACAATGTGTTAGCGGACGTAAAGAAGCTGAGCTGAGGACAGCTTACAGGAGCTCGGTCAGGGATGAACAGGTCACCAATGACCAATACCAAACGGGCGGTCATCCTGAATGGTGCGTGTGGGGTAAATGGAGATCAATGAACCATCTACTGTGAACAGAAATCAGAGAAAGCCAGATAGAAACAATGCCTGTTGGCTTCAGCCTGATGGAGCTTCCCGTCGCGGGGAAGAGCACTACGCAATGCCCTAAGCCCTATAGCGCGGGCCTAACCTGGCTAGCGCTATCTGGTCTATGAAGCCATCCCCCGATCTTTGTTTTTGCTTTAGCATTGGCTTGTTAGGCCGAATGTCTCGTCCGAATGCTGCCCGGGTTAATAAGTCCAGCCCACAATCTACCCCATACTCCTTCGGAAGTTTCCTAATCCTTTGCGGAGGTCACCGTGAGGGGTTCAGGACATAGTATACTGCGCAATCTCCGGGCTGCATTGGGATCTAAGAGTCGAATTGATTGACAGATGCCTGCAGACATCGGCCTTTAGATTGATAGATGGAATAGATTGGCCAGTACGGATGGATATGTGTTCAAAGGAGAAAGCGAATTTTCATACCGTGTACGGAGTACTATATAAGAAACTCCATCTTCAACAATAGATAGCCAAACAATACTCCGTAGACATACCACCAATTCCATTGCTCATAAAATACCATACGATATAAATTGGAAGGATCACATACATTACCCCAGATATTGATCAATTGATATACCAAATCCAAATATAGAATAACCCCTACAGCGTATCTCGTAGGCTGTTGGAGTCACTCGGTAGGGCCCGGCATTCTCTTCTCCGACGTGGAAACGCCCAGCCAAAAAAAAAAAGGAAAAAAAAAAAAAAACAGACAGATCTAGAGACACAGGCACTTGATTCATGAATATCCGGATTCTCACATCTTCACATTCACCTTCGGTCTCATCCGAATAAACAAATCATCGAATCCCAATCGGTCCTTCACCCGATCAATCCACCTGTCGGCGGCGATCCCCGAGAGTCGAAAGTTACCCTCGGGAACTCCTCCAATCCCCTTTCACGCGAAGGTACCCCGCGGCTCGCCGCACTCGGAAAGCTGGCGTCCAAGTCGACTACGCAGCGTCTGAGCCTGATTTCCAGACACCTGGACCAGAGCCTTCCGTTGCCCGACCTCAATACACCATTCTCGACCGAGAGAGATTCGCTATTTCCCGACGATATCGAATATAAACCTATCGATCGCTCCGTTCCTGCCCCTCTTCCAAACCCAACTCCCACCATGTCTGCTCAAGCCCCTCACAACACCCTCCTTATCCCCGGTCCCATCGAATTCGACGATGCCGTCCTCCAGTCGATGTCCCACTATGCGTGAGTGTCCAAGTCTCAATGCTTAGATGCTGCGATGAAATAAACTAACTCCCACAGTGAGAGCCATGTCGCTCCCGGCTTCGTGAAGGTCTTCGGCGAGACTCTGACTCTCGTGCGCAAGCTCTTCCAGTCCACCAACCCCACCGCGCAACCCTTCATCATCTCCGGAAGCGGCACCCTTGGCTGGGATCTCGTCTCCGCGAACCTGATCGAGCGTGGCGAGAATGCTCTCATCCTCAACACCGGCTACTTTGGTGACTCATTCGGCAAGTGTCTGGAGATCTACGGTGCCAATGTGACACACCTCACGGCGCCCATTGGTGAACGCCCATCGTTGGAGGAAGTGGAGCAGGCGTTGAAGCAGAAGCAGTACAAGCTCATCACGCTTACACACGTCGATACCTCGACCGGCGTCCTTTCGGATGTCAAGGGTGTGGCGCAATTGGTTCGCCGCGTCAGCCCAGAGACCCTCGTCGTTGTGGACGGCGTGTGCAGTGTCGGCTCGGAGGAGATCGCTTTTGACGAGTGGGATCTCGACGCCGTCCTCACAGCCTCACAGAAGGCCATCGGCTGCCCGCCCGGTCTGAGCATCGTCATGACCTCCGGCCGCGCCATCCAGGCTGCCCAATCGCGCAAGACCCCTCCTGGCGCTTACTACGCTTCCATCGCCAACTGGCTCCCTATCATGAAGAACTACGAGAACAACAAGCCCTCCTACTTCGCTACCCCGCCCACCCAGCTCGTCCACGCCTTGCACACCACCCTCAGCCAGATCACCGTTGATGTCCCCGGCCGCTTCGCCATCCACACCGAGATCTCGGATAAGGTCAAGGCTGCTGCTGCGGCGCTTGGTCTCAAGCAGCTCGCTCCTCGGCCTGAATGCCAGGCCCATGGTATGACTGCCATGTACCTGCCTGACGGTCTGTCCGCTCCCGATGTTCTGCCTGGTCTGCTCAAGCGTGGTGTCATCTTTGCAGCTGGTCTGCACAAGGACATTGCTACCAAGTACATCCGTTTCGGCCACATGGGTGTCAGTGTCACTGATTCCAACCGCGGCGACGTTGACAAAGCCCTCGCGGCGCTTAAGGAGGCTCTTGCCGAAGCTAAGCAAGCCAAGGGTCTGTAAAATTTTTACCTCGGCAGGTTTGATGTATATAGCATCACTATGGCTTATGGTAAGCCTTGTGGATTTTCTTTTGGGTAAAATTACTGCAATGAATTATTGATTATAGACAACTTTTTTCTTATTACATATCCTCTTGTTTGGGGGCAAGCCCGACAACATTAGTTATGCCTATAGGTATATTTGAGAATCAGTGTAGAATGATGTAGGTATTCTTGGGTATAAAAGCAGGCCTATTGCTTTTGGTGTTGTCTATTCCTTTCTTTCTATCCAACTGATGGAGAAAGGTCACAGCTCAACTTGGCAAGAAAACAGTAGTTACATACATTTTGTAATGGACTACCTGGCTAGGTACCTAGTCCATAGTATAGTGGAGCAAAGGCCAACCACCTCAATTAACGTTGATCTAACATTCCTCAGATCTCGACACAAAATAATCCTCGAAACAAAATAACCAAAATAATATGCAGGTATCTACCTCCTTCACCTACTGCCCAGGAAAAATTCTCCTTATTGGCGCGTGCGCAGAACAAAGATGCCAGGGATGCAGCACAACAACCTTGAACCATCAGGGACAAGAATGTAACGGTGTGCTAGGAATTAATCTCGCCCCTTCCTGTCCTCCTCCAACCCCTTAGCTCGAATTCTGTTTACTCCGTAGGGTCAGATAGCTCGAGATTATGTTGAGGGATGGGCATTTAACCAGGAATTCCACGCCCCGACCCATCCCTTTCTTGCCAGACCTGGAGACCCAATTGGTCTCTGGATTTTGAGCGTTGAGCTTCGACAATATGGCCTTCTACGTTGTCATTCAATCTACTCCGTAGATGATCAAGATATTCCCTTCACACATGGAAACTCGCGTGGTCATCCATCACATTTGGAAGGGGGCCAGGTTATATACAGAACCGAAGCAGACGTCGGGGATGGAATGTTTTGTCTTTGATAGAAATGCAGCAATGGACACATTATGCTTATAATATTCTGGGTTTCTTTAATCATACTTCCGAATTTCATCTCACTCCTACTGTGCCAGTTGATTAAATTTGCGGGACGGTCTTCGCCTTTCTAGTATAGGACTGCCAAAATGCATTACTTGAAATCCACGATCCCACTGATGCTACTCGCGACGCTCGCCTCAGCAGACACAACGGCAGCGACATCGGCAATCGGCGTAGTAAAAACTACCTGTGCTACAGACAAGTAGGTCGAGTCCAACGTCCACGTGGATACATCCATTCGTGAATGTGTTTTTAATCCACCCGGGGCCCAAATACTAACATTCAACTGCAATAGTACCATCGCACAATGTATCCAATCAATGCAGTCTATTTTGAACACATGCGCACTGGGCGACTGGGCCTGTCAGTGTACTAGTAGCACGAACATGGTGAAGTAAGTCCAATACCTAACCTGCAAACCATCACCATGCATCCCAAACACATTGCAATGCTGATATAGTTTCAGTTGCTATAAAGACTGTCCTGATGACCCATCCCGGGTATATGCAGAGTCCACGCGCCAACAAAAATGTGCCAGGACCAAACCATCCGTGCGGATATCGACACCTGCATTGGCTATGCGCTCGGGTGCAGCTTCTGTCATTCCAAGTGCCAGCGCTACTGCTGGTGCTTCCAGAGCCTTGGCTACGGAGACCAGCAATAATGATGAGGACAATGATGGTTCCAACTCTGATGCTGATGATGATTTTAACGAAGGAGTCCCGACTAAATCGTATAGTGGGTTAGAAGCCAATTCGATTGCAAGTCTAAAAGAGGGGAGTGCTTCTGATATCAAGGCTTTGACTTGGGTAAGCTTGCTAGGACTCGGGGTAGCGGTGCTGTTTTGAGATCTTTAGGTGCTACCTGTTTTTCAATATTTGCTGTACATTAGCGGTTGCATTTGAGATGAGATACCCAAAATGAAGACTATCTTTCAATATATGTATGGGCTTGCTATCACTTGAGTTGAGCAATCTAAATGTTGAGCATGGAGAAATGACAAATCTGAGAGAACTAAGAAGACTACCTAGGTATATTCTATTCAGTACCAATGAGGTATCATTTCTGAGACTTCAAAGGTAGTGAACGTCCCGATTGGCAGTCGGCGTAAACCAACAAATACCTCGACAAGCATATATCCTCGAGCACTAACATACAAGACGATTACGGGAAGAATGATACCAACTTCCCAAAGTAAGATAGGCTTTGCCTCTTTTTGCTCTTTTTCAAAGGCGTCCAAACGACTAACGGTGTCCTGACGTGCTAGAGTAGCTTCTGCATCAATATGTCGATGTGGGTGCGGTTTTTTCAGGCGCAGCCAGATTAAATATTTGTCCCATCTCCCATAACGCTGACGAGCAGCTATTGTTTCGAGAACCCAATATAACACGGTTGCTCCCGTTACAATCGAGCTTGAAATCCGCCAAAGAATCTGCTCAACTCGAGATGGAAAGGCGAAATACCATCCTATGAGGTGAAAGGAGGCGAATGCCGAGGTCAGACAAAACAATGTGAATTTTTCGAATGTTCCGATATCCGGGAACCTATCATTTGGAAAGCGTCGCAGGGGTCTCTCGCGGTCATCAAAACGTAGACCGAAGAATCCCATCACCTCATAACCACAAGTGAATGATTGTTTAGCAACAAAGTCGAGAGGTGTATGGCGGTAAGGTGCAGCAGCGGCATCACCAGCTTTGAGGAGAATCTCGGCTATGCTAACGTCCATGCTTAGCACAATGCCGGTGTGTACGTCGCTTGGCTTGTGCATCCAACAGATAAACGTCCCAAAGGTACAAATCACAATCGCCCCGGCGGATAGTTCAAGTGTAGTAATTGGAAGCTTGAGGATGAGGCGGCCAAAGAGTTGAATCATGAGCCAGATGGATTGCCCTAAGCTGAGAAGCCTGGCGAGTGTATCCGTTTTTGACTTGTCCCATATCTCACTTTGAGTGATTGGTGGGCATTCCAAGTACTGCTTCTCGACCAGATACACCAATTGACGGCTATTGACCAGAAAAGGTGTGCTGTCGACAGGCTGAAGGAGCATCCCACCCATGTCGGCATAGAAACCATGACGGAGGGTCCATCTGTTTTGATCCACTCCGAGCTTGCGGAAACGCTTCACAGATCGTCGTGCCGATGCATATTGGCCTATGGCTACTGACAGGACCAACTCCGGGGAGACAATCGCCCAAAACATCCATTTCGTCCGGCGGCAAAAGATTTGAAATGGAGTATCTTTAGGATTGGGAAGATTCAAACAGACTGCCGTCCAAGTACAAAGAAAGACTGTCAATAACGAGGACCAAACAATGTCCATCGTTCCCCGTGTATTGGGTCCTGAAACCCAGCCTGCGGTGCCATTGTTTGTCGTGACATCCATAGTGCAAGGACAAACACAATAAGGAATGGGTTAAGTGTAAGGATGGGGAAATGGGGAAATTGTGTCAATATAGTTATTATATGGATGATAAACATTTGTTTTATGTTTAACGACATTGTAGAAAATGCAGGCGCATATAGGAGCCCCAAGCCTATGCGTTCTACTCCAGGATCAGTCTTCTTGCTGCGACTGGTCAACCACCACAGATAAAAATATACCTGCATGCATTCAGCCCTGCTTTCAGGCTGAGAAATTATGTCCATTGCCATGGAGCCGCCGGGCAAATGTCCAAATAGTCCCTGAAACGAGCGATGTGCTGCTCGAGGACACGCTAACTTGAGACTGGTAAATCTATAATATTCTAAACCTAGAACGGTATGTAAGCGTTAATTTTAGTCAAATTCGTTAGGTTTTATCTTAGCTCTGGAAGTGGTCATAAAGATCTATACAACTGAGACTCGTAGATTAATTTGCTTTGGCACGAGGAACCCACTACAAAGTGGCTAACATAGCATCAAAATTATGCTAACGCTGGTAAGATTGTTACGTACCTAATTATGTCGTTTATCAAGAACTTTTTGGAGTGTCTCTCCGAGGTTAATGATCGATCTGCTAGTCCTGACACGTGTTCGGTGTGATGAGTTTCACAGTCGCGTGTTGCGGCGCCAGGGTGGGCGCTTAGAGACTTAGGAGAAACATATGCACCCCCGCCAAGTTGTTTCATTTCTCAACATATCTCCAAAATTTCTAGGCAATCTTCCAGTTGCTCGTTCCTTGAGACCTCGACCTTGACAGCTTCAGATGCCGCTGGATGACTGCAAGGATGACCCGTCGCGCGATGTCTTCATCCCCGCTCAAAGATCCCCAGTTGACGGAGAGCCCGCCAGCTTCATCCAAGCTAGATAATCAATCATACTGGCCCGCCATTGGAAGCAAAGAACAGATTCCAGGATGGCTGCGCGATAATGACTATATTTTGGAAGGCCACCCGATGCCCACATATTCCTACACGCGATCTTTGCGCCTGTGGCGCTGTTTACATATGGAAACAATGAACATATGGACCCATTTATTAAGCTCCATGGGCTTTATTGCTGTTGCAATTGCATTCAATTACTCGGTATCGCTTTCAAAGGACTTTGATGTCACCCGCGCCGATGTTCTTGCTTTCGGGTCCTTCTTGTCCTCGGCAACTATCTGCTTTGGCCTCAGTGCTGGGTTTCACACCCTCAGAAGCCACTCTTACAACATTCATCATCTCTGGGGCAAGATGGATATCCTCGGCATCTGCTTCCTTGCCCTTGGAGCCGGTACCTCTATGACTTATTACGCGTTTTACTGCAGACCCTTGGTTCAACGGGTATATTGGGGACTCAATATTCTCTCGGCAATTGGCGCTGCCATCACGTTGTTCGATACCGGTGGTGGAGGGAACAAAATGAGAACTTTGCGAGGAGGTGTTTTCTCTTTACTCGCTATCTCTGCCATGTTGCCTATCCTGCAGAGTGTGATTGAACTAGGCTGGACTCGCGCGAGTAATGAGATCGGGGCTGGGTGGTATCTCGCAGAAGCGCTCACCCTTTTAGTCGGAGTGAGTGTTTTTGTCTATCGATTTCCAGAAAGACTGAGTCCTGGCACCTTTGATATTTGGGGCCATTCACATCAGCTTTGGCATATCTTCGCGGTGATTGGCAGTGCTTTCCACGTTGTTGCTTTGGTTGGCGCATACAACTATCGTCGAGAAAACAAGATATGTTGAGTTGTCTTCCAAGGTTGCATCGTGGTTGTACTATCCATGCTGATCTGTAAATTAATCGAAAGAGAGCAAACGTCATAGAATTGACTCTTCTTCGGACAATTTGATCTGTCCATTTAGGTTCCTAGGTAGCCCTCTGGGCCTATTGTAATATAGTACCGTAAGTTACCATGCTCAGCGTGTAAAATACAAGCCATGACACCGATATTACAATGGCTTACCAGCTTCCGACGCCGCGATAACGACCAGCTTTATCTCCACGCTCCATTCCCTCCATCTTCACAGTCGCGGTCTTCAACCATGGTCAAGAAACCAAATACAGTAACAGCTGCTGTCCAAAAAATTCAAGTTCGAGGCAAAGCAGGTAGTGATCAAAATGATGGTAACAAGCCATGCGTCTCTTTCCATCCGCACCATATCACCCCTGCAACATTCCGCGAGCTGCTATCACGCTACTCGTCGACGGTGGAGCAAGCGCACAGCCACAAGATCAAGCTGAAGCTGCAGTCGAAGTCGAAGTCAGCAAAAGGATCAAAGCGCAAGGCAGAAACAAAAGATAGCGCGGCATCAACCGCAAAGACAGACCTCGATCCATCCGAGGACAAGCATATCCGCGAAGAAACAAACAAGTATCTTCAACTCGATCAATGGCGGTATGAAACCCTGCCGAAGATTATTGCGGAGCGGAAAGATAGTGAATCGAGAGATAATGAGAAGGGAGCATACCTGCTCAGAGAGGAATTGATTGATATCATGGAATGGAAGCTGTAAGTGACCAGTTGCCTTTGAGAAGACGGTCTCGAAGTCCATCTGACCGATTTCTCCAGGAAACACGGAGTTTCTCGTCCCATGCTCATGGGGATGATCAAAAATAACCAGGACACGACAGTCATCAATTCCACATCAACGGCTTTTGCTGCCCTACCAAATGCAGACCCCGTGCTCGCGCCGAATGACGCGTTTCCAAAGACCAGTCTGGATGCTCTCACTGGGCCTCTCCGTGGCGTTGGGCCAGCCACGGCATCACTGATTTTGTCTATTTCTACCGTTATCGGTGACGCAGAGAGACAAGTCCCATTCTACAGCGATGATGTTTATCTCTGGCTGTGTCTGATGGATTTCCCTGGACTTGGAGACCCCGAGCTCAAAGCGTCCACTGGTGATAGTAGGGAGGGCTTCAGGGAACAGAAAGGGTCGCAATACAAAAAGCCCAATGGAGACTTGATTGCCAAGTACAATATGAATGAGTATCGAGATCTGTGGAATGCGGTACAGGAGCTGCGGGCGCGACTGAACAAGGACATTGGCGAGTCTGGGGATGGACCTATCTCTCTCATTGACATTGAGAGGGTCGCGTATGTGCTTCGCAATATCACTTTTTCGGGTTACTATACTGGTCAATATCCCGGGTTGGCTGTTGAGCCGGTGAAGTCAGTGAACAGTCCACCCAAGGTACCAGAGAACAATGTTCGCAAGCTTGGAACAAGAAGTAGCAAGAGGCTAAAACAATGAGTTGTGAAAACTAGGGATGTGGTATATGTACAAATCAAATATAATTCAAGTCGAGTGAAGGACGTTAGAACAAAGAACATGTACTCCGTACACCCTAGCCACACGCCTCACTTTCCATCCCAGACACAAATCATCAACCTCAAATCACAAACTTTATCACCTGAACTCCAACCTCTCTTCATCTAACATCCCCCTCAAATCATATCAGACCTCCCCTGGAGCCTGTCTGGCATGACCCAAGGATAGATGCAATTAGTTGCAGATCAACCTGTGGCATGGCTATCCTAACACACATCACCTGTCACTACCAGCTCTAGCAGCTCTCAACCACCCTGTGACTCTTCTACCAGGTATCACATCTACACTACATCACACAAATCTGACTATGTCAATATCCAGGACGGGACTCATCTATGCAAACCAGTCGCATTTTTTTTTCTTTCGAACTTATCGCTATGTACAAATTGACGGCCGTGAAGTCTTGATTAGAAGCAGATATCAGATACAGGAGAGGACGCATGCATCACGAAGAATAAAAGGTGGGGGGAGGGGAGAGACAGAGGAAATTCATCAAATCATCATGCAATCCATGCATCACAGGCCATCGTCAAGATGGCCGAGGTTTCCAGTGAATTTTGTTTTCGGCATGACGAACAAAAGGAAGAAAGAGGCATAGATTTCTCACGAGGGAAAAAGTCGAGAGAAACATCAGGAGGGAGCAACAGGAGGAGACTCAACATCTGCCGTTGAAGGAAGAACTGGGACAAGGGGCAAGGAAGAGGAGGTGAAACGAAAGAAGGGACGGTAACAGTTGGAACAGTCGCGGTTCAAATCGCATCAAGGCACCAGGTAGGTACTGGTATCAAATAGGGTGTTATAGCCCTGAAGTGGTTTGTTTTGGGAAAGACTTTTGTTTGACGTGTCAACAACCAGATGGTCGTGATATCAACGCTTGGATGGATGGAGCTGGCGCTCGGGGGTGCGTTTGGCCTGAGTGGCAGTATCATCGGACTGGATATAGCCCACGCGATGGCTATCCTTGTCACTGAACGGGACCATGGAGGATATTTTCTTGGGGCGATTGCGCTTCAATGGCTGAGACAAGTGCTGCGCAGATTGTGGGGCGGGGCTCGCAAGAGAAGAGCTTGACTTAGCGTCAGCAGCAGCCGAGGGAGCCGCGGCACGCTCGTCGTCTTCAACGTGGATGTGTCGGAACTCTTGTTCTTCTTCATCTGCCTCGGACGAGGAAGGACTGTCGGAGTCGGAGGCCGCTTCGTAGTCATCCTCGTCGTCACTGACCAGACTAGGAGCTTGGTTAGATTCGATCGCGTGAGGGCTGAGAGTTTGATGTTCCAGACTGTCCGAGTCCCGAGACTGAAATGACTGAGACTGCCCTGCGAGTGAAAGGTCCAGGTAAGATTGTGGGCGCGACGGGGTAGCTTGCTCCATGGTCGGGCTATGTGCTCGGCCGAAGTCCTTTCGGCTCTCTGGCTCTGCAGCAGCTTGACCAACAGGCATACGCATTGGCTGGCGACCGGCGCGAGCACCGATTGTGGCCTGGCTGGTCTCCGTCGAGGAGCGGCGAGAATCATCGGTTTCCGAGTCATCACTGAAGATACTGCTAAGATCAACAGGCCTTCGGGATTCTTCCACCAACTTGTCCATATTCAGACCAGCGCCACGGGATTTCATGAGAGCTGAAAGATGAGGAGTCGCGGGAGAAGCCAGGAATCGCGGGTTTGGAGGCAGGGCGACAGGCTTAGAACGTCTTTGGGAAGCTGGTTCGGCAGAGGTGGGAGGAGTGGCAACGGCGGGTGTGGTCGCCGCAGTTGGCTTGCAAGGTGTGGCAGAGTCCTTGGCGAGCGTACGGAGACGCTTCCAAGGCGTAGTAGCAACATGGTCCGACCGATTCAGAGGATGCACAAAGCCCGGAGTGGTCGGGTTGGCAGTAGGTTCCGCAGAGCCGCCGACGACAATGCCAGCGTCGTCCACCTGAACAGATTGACCACATGCCATGGCAGCGGCATCGTGGCTGGCAAAGTTTCGGTTGTGCGCAATGCGACAGTGATTGATGAACCCCTGGGTGCTGGAGAAGTTGTCGCGCCGGCAGTCCAGACAGACCAGCTTGACCAGAACACCGTCCGACTTGCGCCGGATGAGCATCGGCCCGGATTTCTCCTTGACCACGGGATAACCACTCGACAACGATGTATGCTTGGTACCGGTTGAGCCTCGTTGAGGACGCATCTTGCCGGCCAACATGCCCATATCACCAGGATTACCACGCGTGGAGCGACCCTCAACCAGCGAGTTGGCCATCCGAGAATCGGACTCTCCGCCGTCAAAGCGTGGATCGGGCAGCAACCACCGAGCATAGTGGCGTGCATACGGACCTTCTGTCACTCCCCACGGCGCGGGCGACATCGGTGCCGGACCATTTCCAGGTGCCAGCAACGAGGCGCCAGTGCCAGAGCTCACGTCGGATGAGATACCAGCGACACGGGATCCAGGGTAGGGGATTTCGCCACAGCGTCGCAGCTGTTCCAGAGCGACTTGACACTTGGCAATCTCCTGATCAATGAGACGAAGTTCATTGTGCTTGAGCAGCACTTCCAAGCTCAGTTGAGCGGTGATGGTCTCGCGAAGTAGAGTCACACTAGGTCCAGCGGCGACGGCGTCCTGCGCCGACGGACACGCGGACGCGACCGGTGGATTTGACGAGGATTCAGTTGACGTGGACGCGACTGGTTCAGTTGGCACGGTCGGGATTGAGCGCGTAGAAAGCGAATCCGCGCAGACTTTCGTCGGGGCGGGCGCATCGGTCGCGTCCGAATCGGAGCGTTTGCGCTTTAGCTGGGGCAGTGGTAGGGTATTGATTGCAGTGCAGTTGGGGGCCAGCATCTTGACCTCTTCCATCACCTTATTCCCTCCTATTGCAGAGGGCCAGGGAAGCAAGCGAAACATGCCATGTGAGTGCATAGAGGTGTTGAATTAGTTGGCAGTTGGTCCATGCGCTTATTACGAGAAAAGAATGGATGTCGCGCGACAGTTGATTACGGAAGGCGGAGAAAATCTATTAATAAGAGGAGGAGAAGCGAGTACAAGGAAAAGAAAAAAGGGAAGAGAAAAGGTGTGTACACAAGATAATGGGGCGAAATGGGAAAAAAAGAGAAAGGGGAAGAAAGGGGGATTTTGAGAAACCAAAAAAGGGCAATTGGAAAGAAGAAAGGGTGTGGAGTTCATGATGTGATACTTGTTCTTCTGCTACTAATTATATGGTCCGATCATGTACCCCCTTTCTAGGCATACAACTATTGGATCAGTCTCATTCATCTGCGACACGTCATACATTTATGAACTGTGTGTCTTTTTGGGGATTTCTTTTGTTTTGGAAGATCTCTATTCATATTGTCTATTTAGACAATACCCTCTATTCAACGAATACTGAATGTTCTCTCTTCCCTTTCGCATTCACAAGTACATAGTATGGTCGGATGCATACGGCTGAAGGTACCCATCGTACCCAACATACCCAACAAGCAAACCGGGCTGATTACCATTCGCCCATCGCCAAGCCAATAACGGTCTGGGCCTTAGTTGCCCTGGGATTGGTGCCTAAGTCAGTTGTGTCTGCGATCTGGGAGATCCCCAGCAAATCAGCATCTACTCCGTATATCTACCATTTTTGCAGGGGGCCCGGCTAGAAACAGGTTCTGACTGCGCCTTGAGCAAATAGGGGAAGCCGTTCAAAAGTACGGAAACCCATACACAGGTCAGATGTGGCTGAGAAAGTGAATCGAAAGTTGTGGAACTTGGTCGAAAAGCCAGCAGATCGGACAATTCCGCACTTTCCCCGGATCTTCACGTGGACACGATACCCTAATATATCCTTATAGCCACGTATTCTTATATCCAGTACGGAGTCCTCCGTACTCCGTATGGAGGAGCTACTTTCTCTCGGAGATCCCGATCATTCATTCCACACTCGGATTGTTGTGCCCCCGAGAACATTCCTTCGGGTTAACCCGCCGATCTGGATGATTCAAACTAAGCTCCCCCGTTTTGTGCTCCACCCCCTTTTTCCTTAGCCACTTTATACATACTCCGTACGGGGTATGAAGTATGGAGAACTCCGTACACTAAGCCCAGTTACTCCTATCTAAGTCCACTGGCTAGATTGTGCTTTACACTGCCATTCCAAGATTAGCGGAGTACTGAGCCACTCCGGAATCTGTACGGAGTACGGAGTATTCCGTATTGAATATCCCTACTCCGTACAGAGCACTTCGTATATGCTGAGATTTAATTCTATCCCTAAAATACCACGGCGAATATACGGAATACTCCGTACGGAGTATATAAACGTCTGTTAAAATTACTATCGAAAAACTCCACATTTCCCACAATATGCCCACAAGGATAGAATCGGGGTTTGTAGGCCAGTTTTGCTCAACAGAGACCCTTGAGCCAGGCATAGGTCGAAGTTCAGTTGAGCGTTATTGTGTCCATGTGGTAGGAACTACATATGTTGTAGGGGCTACTCACGGAGGACGGAGTACGGTGTGCGGTGTACATGATACTCCGTACCATACATATGTGAGGTACCACATTGAGGATAGCGATGTTTTCAAATTTAGAGATCCGATCGAGATCCACCGTCTATAACCATTAATTTTCGGTTCCATTGTCTCTTTCCGGGCCGATCACTGCAACAATGTGCATTATATTTCTTGGAAGGTTCCAAGGTTGCCCAGGTGCCCCCAGTGGAACGCGCGTGTTAACGTCAGCACCGAGGTAACCTTAACAACTGGAAAGCTTCGCCACTCTGACCAACCAACGAGAGGTCGCATAAAACCACCCAGAAAGATTTAATGGTTTTTTGGGGATTTTGCCACGGGATATGACCTTATCCTGCACTACGCTAACTACGCTAGCGGAACAACACAACCGATTACACTCGTAGTTCCAATATGTTCGCTCTCTGAGAGCAGAGTCTCAAGGGACGTACTTGGCAGGGGTACCAATACTTGCCTTCAAGTGAATACCAAGATAAGCGATGTGAAATGAGAATTGAATTCAAGTTCATTCGTTCAATCTCTTTGTTTTTCGCTTGTCAGACAAGCCAAACCCAAGACTCCAGTTGCAATGAAATGACAGACCCTCGAAACTCGATGTGAATAAGAAAGAACCGTTCAGGTCTCATAAGCATAAAGCAGACCAATATACGCCAAATGGATACATAAAATAAAAGCACAACGTGGCTAGCAATGAAACATAGACAGGAAATGAACGGGGGTTGACCAACGCCATCAGTGGTATTCAGATGGCCAAACAATAAGCTCTTCAATCCAAAATAATCAAGGCAAAGAGAGGTAGGGAATAATTCTTATAATATATCCAAATCCTAGTTCATCTGCCCGTCCTTGATCCGCAGGATGAAGTTGACAACCACTGCAGCCAGGAGCGCAATGGCGAGGATTGTAGGGCCGAAGCGGTCATCAATGCCGCTCTGCCCACGGCGGCGAATGCTCTGCGCACGCCAATGGAACGTTACTAGAGCGTAGATCATCGCCCCCATGGCGATAACGGTGAAGAGGGCGGCGGAGATGCGGCCGATGCGGTCGCCGAAGTTAAGAAGGCCGACGGCTAGACCACCGAGGATGACAGTGAAATTGAGCCATGAGAGGAAGGTGCGCTCGTTGGCGAAGAAGACTTTGGGCTCGACTCGGGTTGGGAGAGCAATTCGCTTGCCTGTTGGATGTTAACTAAGCTCGGAATGAAGGGGTTGAAAGATTGGAGGGGATGGCTGGGATTTGAGGGGGCAGTTGAGGCAATGGCCTTGTTTGGCGGCTTGTTCTCTTACCAAGCTGCTGAGCTTGGAGAATTGTCGGACTTACCTGGGGCGGTTTGGAGGAGAGGTTGGCTGGACATGGTGGATCGGATGAAGAGGTGACGTTGGCGGGTTGGAGTTGTGGGCGGAGAATGCGATCGGAGGTTGATAGAAGGGAAATCTCAGAAGAAAAACCCGAAACCGATGCAGCTACGGAAATTGAGTCAAAGCCAAAGGAAATTGAAGAAGCGAGCTGGAGTCGAGAGCGATGACTTTCCGCCCTGGGACTAGCGGATACAGCTCTGTTGCACGTGCGCCCGTGATTTGATGAGAGGATCAGGTGACTAAGTATATTACGGACTAGCGCGGGTTCTGGCTTATGATGGAAATCTTAAATATTAGACGATCTAATGCAGATAGCAGGAATCATTCCAGGCCAAAACTGTGAGAACAGCGAGAAGAGCGAGGTTTCTACGGAAAGTGGACTGGTTCTCTCCGTATTATGTGCTACAGAACTACCTAAATACAACGTTCCCCGCAAATAGCAATGGGCCGAGACCCTTAAGAGGTCTCAAGCTATAATATCGAACATCTACAATAGAGTAAACCTTTGATAGATTATTTATGGGACTTGATACGCATAGCCGGCATCATTGTCGTAAGGCACTACCAAAGTATACAAAGGTGCTAATTCATCTACATGTGAAAATAAAAGTAGTATCATTTACCGCGGCCTTTTGTCTCAATTGCTCTAGCATTTTCCATGATCCAACCTGTAGAAGCATTCAGCCCAACAGTGGCCAAATGCGTAGCTCAAGAAATAGTTACTTGATTCATAGGGACTGGTTTTTTGAAATGCCATACTATCTCATTAACGAATAACCAAAACAAGACATGAAGTGCAATCCTACCGGGGGACCAAAAGTCCTACATCATACGTCATATGTCATCCAATAGCCCTAAAGAGCTGAATCCTCACGAATCATATCGGCCGCCTTCTCCGCAACAGCGTATACACTGCTGACAATATTGCCAGAAACATTGTTCGGGAATACCGACGCATCCACAACACGCAGTCCTTCGACGCCCTTGACCCGCAATCTACTATCTACAGCGTCACCCATAGCGACAGACCCGTTGATATGGTACACACCCGCAACCAGGTCTTCCACTGATTTTCGGTTCGCATCCATATCCTGTAGGTCGATACTGGGCTCTGGACACGCACGCCGGAGGATTGATGGCTTCAGGTGCTTTGATTCCGCGACTTGGTCGATCCAACGGAGGCACGCGGCAAGGAGAGTCACGTCGGCGGGGTGTGCGCCGTAATTTGGCTGGATAATGGGGGTCTGGTTTGGGTCTGAATACTGGTTAGGATTTCATGTGGCTCATATAGAGGATCAGGCGGGATTCTTCGGGTTAGTTGCAACATACCTGCGCTCTCGATGTGGATAGACCCTCTGGCTGCAGGGTACTGCAGACCAAGTGTGAAGGTCACACCACCCGGTTTGGTTGGATCGGGTGGAGCGGCTGGATTCATCTTGTCACCGTCTATCATCGTCTTCGTATCCATGTTAGAGGGAACCGTAATTAGCTGCAGGTTGGCCGAGTGGTCACTTTGCAGATGCGCAATGACCTGGGCGAGTTGTTTCTCGTGGAATGCGCTGGTCGGCTTGACATCTCGAATGCTCTGGATCACATCTGCCAGCTCATCTTCCAAGAGGATCTTCTTCGCTGGGAAGAAGCCTTGCATATTAAAGATGGAGCTGAGTGGGCCTTCACCGGTCTCAGCATACTGCTTGCCGGCAGCTTGCATTGCCTCGGGCACTTGCAGAAGCGTATTTGCGGTGATTACGTGTGGCTTTACTTCCACCACTGCGAGAGTGATTATGTGGTCTTGGACATTTGCGCCGACGCCATTATTGGCGACTTTGCATTCGACGCCGGCGGCTTTCAAAATCTCCGGATTCCCGATTCCTGATAGCTCCAATATCTGCGGGGTCTTTATCGTACCACCGCTGACGATGACCTCGCGCCGTGCCGAGACCTGGTACTCGACTCCATTGTGAGTGAGAATTGCACCGGTGGCTTTTGTGCCGTCTAGCACTACCCTGTTGACAAGGGCCTCGCAAAGCACTTTGAGATTGGGGCGAGTTGCGCGGTTGTCCTCATAGTATCCGCGTGCAGCGTAGCTACGTTTTCCCTTGTTTGGTCCAGTTCGAGTCACAGAGCCGAGAGTGTGGTAGAAGCCGATGTGATCGCCATTCCACGGATCAGTGGGCTTGGTCGGGATCCCAGTTACCTCTTCACAGGCTTTGATGATATCATTTTCAATGGACAAAACTGAATCGTTGAATCCAGTGCGTATGGGCCCGCTTGTGCCATGGAACTCATCTACCAATGGCATCGTAGAGCGATCAATTATGGAATTGACTGGTTCGAGTGTCTGTTGATTCCGTAAGATTTCATCCAACACGACAGCGAATGAGATTAGAAATTCAGTGTACTTGGATCGTACCTGATGCTTCTTCATATAATGCTGCATATTCTTGGCAGACCATCCATCATCCTCCACCAATGCTGCCCAATCGTCGAAATCCTGAAGCGATGGCCGCACGTATATCATATAGTTGATGCCGCTGGATCCACCGAGAAGCTTTCCTCGCGTGATCTGGTGCTTTCGGTCATGATTGCCTTTCTACAGACAAACGAAACAGTTGGCAAATTGACAACAGACAGGCGATGTGGAGGAAACTTACCTGCGGTGCCGTATACATACACCAGTCGTAGTCGGGATTGCCCATCATATGCGAAGATGCCGCCGGGGTGTCAACCAATGGATCCCCGATGCGATACTTTCCTGCCTCAATGACACCGACGGTCACATTAGGGTCCTCACTGAGGCGTGATGCCACAGTAAGGCCAGCAGTTCCACCACCGCAGACCACATAGTCGAATGTGGTGCGTGTAAATTCCTCAATGGTGCAAGTTGGGGACGCCATTTTGCCCGGTATGTAAGAGAATGATTTTCCAGGAGAGTTATAATGGGGATATACACCTGTTAAATATTCTCCGGGACAATGGTATGTACAGTCTCTTGATTAAACTTATGCTTAGGGGCTGAAGGGTCAGTTTCAATCTCTTGGCTTACAGATGAGGCGACCAAAGCTAGGGTTAAGGCGTTCCCCTGGACTGCGCAGTCGTGAGGCTTATTCCTGATCTCGCGAATCTCGAGGATTTTCCGGATTTAGGATGAGAAGGAATCTTACAATTATGTAGAAGGGGTTGTGGACAAAGGCCTGTATTCTATAAACTTGAAGCCGCTTCTGTAACATTGCTACAACTCTTCTTCAACTCCAAATGCTTACATGCCCTTCGATCTCAATTATGTCCCTTCAAAGATCCCTAGTAGTTGAGTTGTTAGAGTAAGAGTGTACCCACCAAGCTCCTCCGGTGCAAAGCCCTAACCCATACATACTCCGGTCATCACTCATTGTACCTCCATACGAACATATACTTGCTCGGAGATCAGACCTGTTTCGGCGAAATCATTGACCAAAAGATGGCTCCATTTTCTCAGCTCTAAACTATACCGGCATATCTGACACCCCGCCGAGACTATCGTTTCAGCCGCATTGATCCGATCAGGCAATATATTTGTATGCAAGGTCCACCGCGGCTGAGAAACAACGCTCATGCTAAGTGACGATTCTCAGCTCCGTCTCTCAGCTGCGGAAAAACGCCCGCTAGTCCCCATTTCGCTCCATCGTGCGTGGGATCAGCAGCCACCACTTGGCCCACCGTCGGGGCTTGCAGCTCGCCCACTGTTGAGGTCTACTGTGTGGGACTCAGAGAGAGGAGGAGGGGGGAGTTGTATTAGGAAGGAGACGGAGCTCCCGACTAGCTATCTATCTAGGGTGATGCCTGCTACATCACATGACTCCTGTCTCAACACCCACATCGCTAAGTTATCATCCCGAAAATTTTGATCGATTTTGCCTGAGGGTCAGACTGCAAGTATTGAGTTTTTCCTCTGCGCCCCGATAATCTAACGAATACAACAGTTCGCCGTCAGATTATTGATATACGTCATCTGGATACCCTTAATGTGTTGGCTGACCCAACAGCGGAATCGGTTTAGGCCCCAATAATGTCATATTTTGTTCTGATTCATCAGTCGCGTAGTCTAGTCATGCGAGCAGACGTACGACAGAGATATCCACGCGTTGATGGTTGGAAAGTACCATAGTAACCGTAGAGAGAATGGCCCTGAATACTTTATCCCAGGTTTCTGACGTGAATCTGCGCTCGCTGCAATTCTCAGTCCTGACCAGTTCCCGAAAAGAGAAATAGATTCGTAGATTTGAATAAACCGCTTCAAAAATGCTATATGTACAATAAATTAGTCCCAAGTGTCGCTTTGAGCTTAAGTCATGCTGCGACTTTAAGCCTGATTCCAGTATATCTCCTTCTGATAATTAAAGCCGTAGCTTTCCCTGCACCCAAGTAAGAGCGCCCTCCCACCGCGGATCCCCATCTCTTAGAGCTTCGAACAACTCCCAGACCAGTGCTCTCCCTGCATTCCGTGCCCACCACCGCTTCCCATCGAGTTCCATCAGTAGCACACCCCAGTACATAAGAATGAGCAATGAAAACGGCTGCCGACATTTCAGACTATCCACAAAATCCTTTTGAATAGCCCCCAACCAAGCAAGTACAGGCGCCGGATCCGGCGAGCGCGCAAACTTGGCATAACAATGTCGCAAGTGCGTGATAACATCCTTATTAATACGGTGCTGTTCAGAGTAAATCCCGATCATAACCAGGTCGTTGAGCGCAGCTAGATGTGCCAGCGCTGCCCCAGTATCAGGGTCTACTTCAACAGGGGTGGTCTTCCAGTACTCGCCTTGCGAGAACAGTTGCAGATTAATCCATGACTTGCTGACCTGCAGAATCTTCTTCACGCCTTGCAATAGCTCAAACAGAACGACAATGTTCTCCGTGATGCTAGTACTCTCGTCCTTCGTGGCGGTCAGTCGCGGCGAGGCAATGCTGACAGCAATCATCACTATCGAATGCGCGAAGACGGCATTGCAGTTTTGTGGTGTGATGCTGTCAATCGCGTTGCGGAATGGCGTTATGCTGCGGTTGTAGTACTGCAGTCCTGTGTCAAGATAGAGCTGTGCTTCATATGGTGCAAGGCAGGTTGTTGCGATGTGCATTGAGGCTAGTGCCAAGATGCCATTCATTAAGTAGGGGTGTTTGAGGGCCAGCCTGGGGATGGCTGTTTGCCAGACTTTGCTCTCCGAGTCGCTGATACAGAGACTTGCATATGTTTCTGTTGCGAATTGGTGCATCAGTTCTAGGTTGTCAATGCCGAATGAGTTGCTTTGCGCTAGAGCAGTTGCGACTGGGGCTGATCCTCTCACGACTGGGCCTGGGCCAGGTGGCGCGGCTACGGGCCAGTCGTGGCCATCGAACGACCGGGGTGGGGGCACATCGGATGTTGAACTAGGTGGGGTAACCATATTGGCCGTCGTGCGACGAGCGGCGGCGACTTTCAGGTATGTGCATTTTAACTCGCGTGTTGTGCAGTTTGAGCATGGTGGCCCCTGCTCATCACATTTAACCCGCCTGCTTCTACATTGATCGCACCCGTTGCGAGATTTTGTGTGCGCTCGGAGAGGGGGCATATTCAAAGTTCATTGACATCCCGGTGAGCCCAAGAAGCCCCAATCATGAACATGGGCTGTGGACAAATGCGAGGGAACTATCCGAGATTAAGATTGACATCTTTTCCGTGTATCATGTGACTCGGGTCTAGAACAGTAGAAGTATACAGGTCGAATGGAACTTCTGCTATTTATGGTTCCATGGTACTTTTGTTATGTGATATGTATGGGCATTACGGAGTAGAATTGTCCAAATTGTCATACAATTACTCCGTACGGTACGGAGTATGTGCATCGTGGATGTGTTCGTGGTCTGGAAAATATATCCCGAGGCTTCCAGAGAGAGGCAAGGAACTATTATTCGAAGGAATCAAAAAAGCAGATCCCCACCCAAAGCATTTGAATGGAAACTCGAGGTACATACCTGACGTATTTAAAAGACAGCAGCTACAGCGAGATTTGTACGGCCACTATTAACCAAGCGACCAGACATCTTCCGAGCAGCACTAGTGTACTCCGTAGAATGGAGAAGATGAAGCAGCCACCCTAGCAGAAGAGCTACTCCAGGACCCATACATAGACTTGGAAGAAGTACGGAGTAGGCAGAGTCATATTCTTCTTACAACCTATGCCTGTAGTAGTCTTTTCTCAACCTATCAACATAAGCAATATCACCCCCCCTCACGGGCCCCGGGGAGCGGGAATAGAGGACAAAGAAGTACCAACAATAAAACAACCTTGGAGCCTCCCAAGGTTCCAATAGTTGATCTTACCTCAGCGATAGCTGGACCGATAACCGCAATACCCTTGGGTACGGCCCCAGTGAATTTTCCACGGCCCATGAATTCAACAGTAGTCTAGGTGGAGCCGCCGTCGGTGACTAGCCGAATCTGCGCGGTAATCACAGTGTTCATCGGCCCCGCCGGAAGAACGGGGGAAGCCTTCACGGACAGGAGACGATGAAGGGTGAGGCGATAGTATACGCGTCATCGAAGCAGATAGGGTTGTCAGAGGCCTCGGGGAAGTCTCCGTCGCTGATGACGGCCCGTAAATAGGCAATGTAACTGGCTTCTGTAGTCAAGTTGCCACCAGCTGCGATAAAATAGGCACCGCCTCCAAAGGCTGCAGAGAATGTTGATTCTAGTTGATAAAGGTCGGGCTTTGGGTGTTTTGAGACGCTTAAGAGGCACTGTCAAAGGCCAGGAAGATTTTGTCGTCGGTGGACCGGGGGAAATAGACCCAGCGTGTAACAGGAGAGGCCCTGAAAGCTCAGAACATGTCAAGATCTTATCCAATATTTAATTGGATGAAAGTGCTTGCATTCGAGGGTGGAGGCAAAGAACCTCTCGTCCTCCTTCTCATCAGAATAAAACCCGCCTTCGAGTTAGCGTAGAAGGGAATTCCATAATAACGTTGGAGAATACTCCTGAACGTAGTTCTTGAGTTCCTTCCCGTAGAAAGAACCCTCAAGATTCTCGATGGTAAAAATCATAGTTGAGAATGTCGGCTGGAAAAAAAGGTAATCTAGATGCTGATGGAATGATAGCCTCGGATATTAGATACCTTGGATATTAGATATCCACTGATGGTAGTACCCTAGAGGACAGAGCCAGCGCTAGCTAGGCCAATGACACCACCGGTGGGTATAAGATCAGTGACCTTCAGTTTGAGGATAGTATGTATAGTTCTGAATATTGGGAGTCTGCGTGTAAGTCAGGTGTAGCGGTAGGGAAACTGATTCTTTTATAGCCTTCAGGCTAGCAATTTGGTGAACCGATGGAGGAATCCATTTTTTGAGGGTAACAATGTCCTTGATCAAGCTCGGGCTAATCGTTCCTTGTCTTATTTTATGATTTTCGTGTCTGATTTGGACGACATCCTAGGTGGAAAAGTTGTCATCGGCGAGCAGGGTAGATGGGAAGATTTAAGTGAACACTCGCGGAGAGGTCAAAAATAACTCTGGTGGCACAAGAGCAGAGCGCAGGTGCCACACGATATCAACCGCAGTGACCACGATGGATCAAGGTAAGGTCAGAGAGAGATGCAACTCTACTGATGAGCTATAGACCGAGACCGAAACCGAGACCGAGACCGATGCGGGGACTTTCGCATACCATACATGTATGTACCTATACATACCGGATTGTCCCTGGTGGGTGGGGCTTTCCTATTTGAGCTGCCATCCCTTTTATGAGGGTGCTCAGGCTCAGGCTCACTGAGTAGATGTCAGCACGGGCTCAGATCAGTGATCATACTCAGACCAGTCACGTGTAAAATGACTGATGCTCAGTGAGCGGTCAGTGAGTGCTCATTAGCCCTATGTTGTAGATAAGATAAATTAAATCTAATTAGACTTTATAAAATAAAGATTCACAGCATTTGATAAGATTGTAAACTGATAGAAAGATACACTTACCTAAAGTTGAACCCCCGAATTAGGTGACGGGCCGAGATCTTCCGCTGTAAGCTTACAGACTGAAATATGCGTAAAGAATAGGGATTAATTAGTAGGTTTATAAGCGCTAAGACTATGCTTATGCATATAAACAGGCTTTGTTGGGGGCCTCATGGGCCCCATTAATGGGCCGTGGGCTTGGTTGGGCTTCGAGGGTAGGGCCCATAGCCCACTGCTGGTTGGGCCGTGGGCCTGAAGTCCGGGCCCAACCAGGCCCATTGCGGAGGTCTACAGCGGACGACGTACTCGGACTGGTTTTCCCGTCTCATCTGTTCTCATCCGCTCGATGCAGATCGATGGGTGTATGGCGATCAGTAGTCCGCATGTTATGGCGAACCCGATCCAGAGACATGTTTTGCCGACTGTTGGGAGGTAGTCGGTTATCCAGGCAAAAATGAATGATCCGATGAAGATGTATGAGTAGAAGAATGGTTTATAGTATGGGACTGTGTAGTATATTTTGTATGGCTTTCGTGGGCGCTCGTCGTGGGATTTGTTGGGGAGTAGGTGAGTGTTGTCTGACATTGTGAATATTTGGGGAGATAGATGGGGGAGTGCCTGACGAGCTGGAGGCCAAGCTAAGAAACGACTTTTGGAGTCGGAGCAAGGATCAGCGATCAGCAAACAAGCTATTTTCACTACACAATTTCGGGCAACAGGGGTCAGATTTTCCACAACTTGTCATCAGTCCGTCGCATCTTCATGTGATTCTCCAGGGCTAAGCAAAATCGCGCACGCTAGGCTTCTCCTATCCCCATAGTGCCTGAATTAAATCCAAGACCTCCATGGATGGTTGGGGGCGGCGAGGTCATATTATATATAACGTTGTTGAAGCACCTAGTCCGGGCTGCATGTACTATCGCAGACATGCTATAAACTTGACTATATCACGTCGTTTTCCCGTAATTGTTCCTACTTAGACGTTCATCTATTAGCACTTCAAACAATGCTGGTTTAGTTCCGTGGGAAAAGCGACCATCGTCTCGCGAAGAAGGACTTTGGTAATCACCCTCTTGTGCTGATGTTTCGATTCGATCCTTTCAAGCAATACGCTCATTATGAGGTAACTCAACCCGATCACTTAAGAGAGCTTTTTCTTTTCGCATCCCAACGAACTTTTCTCCATTGGCATCTAGTTTTCCCAGACATCAATACTAGGAAAACGCATACTTCACAATGACGGGATACGAAAGTGAGGTGGAGGAGTTCCTGGGCGACCTGCCTCCTTCCACAAACAGATACACCTACGAAGGGAAAGAGCAATTCCAAAGAATTTTGAAAATTGAACATGAGCGCCTATGCATATTGCCCCGTGACCCTTCAAGTTTCGATCCCACTCTCGAGATAAACGAACACTTCCTTATTTCCATTGATCCCTCCTCTTTCGAGCAAGACTTTCTTCTCCTTGATCCAATCACTGGTGATCGTCTTTTTTACAACGCGGCCTTACACCTCCTTCTCCTCAGAATGACAACGCCTGAACATGCTCAAGTTGCCGGTGAATTGCACGGTGCAGTCTTAAGAGCTTTGTTACCCATGCAGCTTGATAAAGCAATTCAAGTATATGGAACAGTGAACGTTCCCGTCGGCAACGGAAACGTGAAACAGCCAGATGGGGGCTGGGGCCCCATTCGGCGTCCTCGTGGTGTCGCCAATAGACCTGGGGTCGTCGTTGAGGTTGGCGTTTCTGAGTCTGAAAGAAAATTGCGCAACAACGCAAGAATGTGGGTGGATCCCGACAGAGGCGAAGCAAATATGGCAATCACCGTGAAGGTCAACCGAAAGAAGGCACAGATCAAAATCGACACTTGGGAATGGGACTCGGGTGCCCAAAATCCCCGTCCACGTGTCACCCAAGCCTGTGTGATCGAAACGGCCGGAGATAAGACCACAGTCTCGCAGTACCCACTTACAATACCCTTCCAGCACATCTTCCGACGATCCCCAGAAATCCCCAGAGAGACCGATGTCCGGCTTGACAAGCAGTGCCTCACCGACATGGCAACTTCGATTTGGGCTGCCCAAGGGGCGTGAGTTCCGTGAGAAAGAATCCCACCGCCTGAGAGTTGTTCATGTAGCGGCAAGACAGATCCAGACAATTGTCTATAGCGATAGACATGTGCATGACTTCTCTTGGAGTATTAGAACCAGAAGAGAGCTGTTGTATCAGTATTCAGAAGAATCAATCTTCCCTCGCTCACCATGTTTAAGGATCCAACTAGATGCTAGCGAGATCAATGGAAATTGAAAATCATATTTACAATATACTAAGGATCTGGTCCAGCTGCTTCGATGTTAAATCCAAGCATTTCATGAAACTACATATGTACATGTAGTCTAATCTAGAGTTTTGAGGACTCGCTCAAAGACCGATGCCCAAATACCACCCTAGAGGGTAATTCAACACCCCAAGCGATCTTACAATCCAACCGTGTATGTTCCTCACTCCCCAAAGTCGGATCGGAGGCCTGATATGGCTTGATAATATCCCGGCAGACGAACTCGCCCACACCACCCTCCCCTAACAGAATCCATCTGCGAGCGATTTCTATCGCTGCCTCATCCCTATCACGTTCCGCATCTAAAGTCAAGAGAGCTCCGGTAAGAATCTAGGCGAAGGTAAAAATAACTCTCCGGGTATCGGCTAGTAGCGTAGCGTGCGGACGAGTAGACATCACGCGAGAAAGGAAGGAAGTTAGAGCCTACTTTAATATTGTAAAGGAATACTAGGTTTTCAGGCTAGCACCTATTGGTCAGGCAAGAAAGATAGATGGAAGGGAAGACAGTATAGTGTTCTTCGTGCAGAGACTAATTCTTGCCAAGATCAGGATTGGGGAGAGAAGGGGACCACCTTTTACCTCTTCGTCCCTGACCCGTACCCATCATAATGAGAAGCTCACTTTCGTCACATTGAGAGCCTCACCTTGCTTCCATGACTCATTGCTGTCATAATGAGAGTTCCACCTTACTCTCGAGTCAGGGTATCACATGATATCAGGACCAAGGGTCCTATTAACAAAGGGGTCAGGCACACATGTGAACTCCATTTTCCATGGTCCTTTTCTCTTACAGCCAGTCCTTTTTTGATGGGCGATCTAAATGAGAAGGGTTGCACGTGATGGGCTTAGCGTGTCGCATTTTATTGATGTAGCTTACTCAGGGCGCTCATCCCTACAGTGGACTCAGTGAGCACTTAGTGAGCAAATCAGAGTGCTCAGATGATCATCAGTGACTGGACCAGGGTGCTCAGGGGATGATCAGGTGATGCTCAATGATCAAAAAGCGGCAAGGGGTGAGCACTAAAACGGAAAGGGAAAGGTCTCGAGTGCCAGGCATTATCCGGCACATATGTATCATACAACAGATATGTTGTATGTAGTAGATCGATCCAACTCGCAAACGGTGTGATGTTACAATATTTCCCACAACACATTTGATGGGATTCATTCAATTTGTTTCGGTTCTCTCCGGTTTCCGAATTTATGTCCCCAGCCTCCAATTAAATATACATGGGACCCCGTCTTACGAGACACCCTTTTTAGCCATACAACATATAGTCTTTCTATGTAAAACTCAGTACATACGACCATAGGGTGTGGAAAACAGGGCTTCCCGTCCGCTCAGCCGTACTTAAGCCACACGCCGGTGAGTTAGTAGTTGGGTGGGTGACCACCAGCGAATCCTCACTGTTGTATGTTTTCTTTTTTTCTTTTTGCTTGTTATTTTATAATTCATTTTGGAGTAAGGATCATTATTGATGGAAGCAGGATAAACACAACTTGAAGAGCATTGAGTTTGATATAGATCGAATCCAAGTCTTTATAGTCACTGTATCAAGGGAACACCAAAGAAGTAGAAAGTGGAAACCGAACTAGGAAAGCTTCTTTCCCTCTCAGGATACATACTCCTTCAGTTCAAAAAGTCTCCCCCCGTCTCCTTCAAAACCAATTGGTATTCGGGTTCGAATTGCATATACATGACCTCGGGAGTGCTTGTTCCTTTCTTGGTGTAGAGTGCAACTTCATCATCAACCAGAGTCTTCTTTAAAACTCCTTCGGTCGCCCCAATTGACCCAGGTGCTGTCGAAGATTCCACTAGAATCTGCGTCTGACAAGCTCTCTCCAGGGCGATAAAAAAGGCGGCCGCTTCCGCAACCGTCCCTCCAGAAGTGAGAAGTCCATGGTTCTGCATTATCAGGTTCTTGTTTTTGGGGCCAAGGTAATCAGCTATCCGTTGGCCCTCTCCCTCTGCGAAGACAACGCCTCCAAAAGCTGGATATACTGAAAGATCATCGTAGAACATGCAGGTATATAAATTTTGACAAGAGTGTCAGTAAGACTGCGGGTACCCTTTGTGTACTAAATATTACCTTGATTCAACATTTCAATTCCCCTACCAAAGGTACTCCAGGATCTTCCAAAGGGGCTATGCATATGGCAAGCTGCATGAATATCGGGTCGCCGCTGGTGAATTGCTGAATGAATAATAAAGCCGGCCGTATTGATAGGCTTATTTGCGCCAGCAACCCTGTTTCCTTTCTCGTCTACTCGAACCATATCAGAAACCTTGAGAAGAGCGAAGTGTACTCCGTATGGGTTGATCCAGAACGTGCGGGGTTCGATGGGGTCTGGAAATGTCAGAATCTCTAGATGGACAACGAGCAATATCTCCAGAGCACAAGAACTTCAATTAGACGAACATGACATAACTCTCACACTGATATGGCCACTGCTACAATCTGAGAATCCCAGTTTCGCGAATATGCGAAAAGCGCCCGCCATCTGCTCGAGAAGCCATTTCCGCTCTGTTTCTTTATCGCTAGGCCGCGGGATGTGGTGAAGCCTTTTACTTCTCCATTGGTGCCGCTTTCTGTGTTCAAGGCAGAAATATTCGTTGGTGGTTCAACAGTGGGCAAGACTGACGACATTTTGTGTATCTTGTGCTTTGGATGATAATGATAATCGCGAATCTGGGCTGATGATGCGAACGATAGCCAAGGTAGGTAAATGTTAGCCCCGCAAACCCATGAACAGGTACATTGCATTTTGTATTAGTTGTCAGAATCAACAGAAGCACGTAATTGCCCAGTCAGAATTCCTGAAATTCCTGAGACACAACAGAAAGATGAGCCATAACTTCCCTCATCGACCAATTGAAATTGCTTTTGTAAAGACACTAAAGAAACAGTGACAAAAACAGTACCTTGGTACAACTAATCGAAACCATAAGTAAATGAAGAAGTGTTGGATAGGTGGATCTGCCTTGAGTGGGAAGGAATCGGAAGGACTTCGTAAAAGTCTAGGTGGAACGGCATGCTACTATAATCTCCCAGATTTAGACAAATGTGTTATAAGTTGAGGGAGTTTTAATTGAAACTGACTTGTAGTGCCTCCAACGTGTGAGTGACTTGAGAGGTCGGATATCCTCTTCGGTTCCCCAACGCGGGAATCCTCCGACCTCCAATGTAAGGCGATAAGCTAGATACCTCGTCTTTTGCCACATCGTATCCTCATCTTCGGGCCTAGGAACTCCCAAGATGGGAAGCGTCATAATTCTGTTCGTTTGTTCTTGGAGCTTCGTAGCTTCTTCAGCCATCATATTCTTCTCATGGCGTTGCAACATCTCAGCAGACCAAGGCGAGAAGGATCGAGCTGTTACTGGCTAAATATCTTCTTCAGGGTTAAATTTGTGAACTTGTGCACAAGAAAGACTGTCAGAGTCAAAAGATAATTCCGTGGCGTCACTCAGATTATCAAATAGTTGTCGCAGGCGTTCGAAGTTGCGGCCATGGGTATGGGCTGTAGTGTCAGAGCTCTTGAGACTGGCGAAGTGCCTGAAGCTGCAGAGACTGCAAAGGGTGGAATGTTGACGGGAAGTCATGTTGAGGTTTGGTGGGAGGGAAGTCGTGAGAGTCAAATAGCTGGAGTGAAGTGGTGGAAGTGAAGTAAGTGCTGGGGGTAAACCTTAGAAGTGTTTAGATCAAACGAATGTTCCAAATTTAGTCAAAGTCAACCTTATGTATTTGTAGGCTGTTTTATAGCACAGAGAAATGGTTTGATTTTATCTACTACTCGCACCACTCAAAGTTCACACAGAACAAAGCCCCATGGAAACTCGGGCTTCATTCAATAACTAGCAGTACAAGTCTTCAGCCACATTATTACATCTTGAATAGACAATAGCCATTCTCACAAATTCTTAAACCTTGACTGAAGCCACTCTTGCTGTCAGATTTCGAACAGCGCCGAAGGGGATCGGGACTTTCGGCTTCCTGTATCCCTCGAGATATGGAATGCGATCTTCTTCTGTCGGGTAGTCAGCATCAACTTGTCGCAACAATCAATTATTCAGCGAGAAAAAACCACAAAACATACCAAAGAAAGGCCGAACCCAGCTCTTTGGCGCTGCACCAAATTTATGACGCTGATGGCATTTTCGGAATTGTTGAAGCTTGGATTGACCCTCATGGCCTCTACCACGCGTGCTGCGCGAGTCTTGGCTGCCACCTCGACAGTGACATATTGATTCTCTACAGAACCTAGCGTGTCGTAAAGGTGGAGGTCCTTGGCAACTTTCGCCCAGATATTAGGGTCGAAGTGCACATTGTCGCCGAAGTAGATGTCGTTCCGTGAGAGCGACCCGTCAATTTCAATATCGTCATATCTAGCCAAATCAACGAGACTCTAGGTCGATAAGTTTCCTGTAGTCGTGAGGTTGAAGTTCACGGCTAGCTCGAAAACACTGTCCATCGAAGGAAGCTCGTAGTTATAACCACCCGAAATGGCGTGTTGGAAGGTGGACAAGTCGATGTTTTTTCCTAAGCGAGGAAGCCAGCCGTGGTTGGCCAAGGCGTTGAGACTAGGGCATGGAGACCGACCTGCAATATCTGTTTAGTGGCTTTATGGGGAAATTGGATGGTGATTCTGAATGACTCACTGTCAGTTGGTAGTTGTGCACGGTATTCATGGCCTTCAGGCTCCCAGCCGTACGAGCTGGCTGCAAGGCTGAACTAAACTGTCTTGAGCAAGTCGAGCTTCATGGTTTTTATGTTGTTATTTACGTTGAACTTGGTTGAATTGGATTGTGAGAACGACGTGTAGGTCTCCTAAGTCAGAAATTGATTATCTCTTATATATCTTCAAGCCATCTTGGAGTATTGTAGACTGATTCTTTGTCAATGAGCGTATCCATCTGGGAAAGGCTAGCCCGATAATCCCGGAGCGTATCCTATACGCAAAAAATGCAGCGTATATTCGAAATGTTGACGCATTCTCAGCCTCGTCAATGCCCCGCCGTGCTGATTGGCATAAAACCATACTAACAGGTACTGTGTGCAGTTTGGATTATCTCTGGGAGTAAGACTGCTGCGGCACAGCTCAAGCTCATGAGGCTTGTCAAATCAATTTCAAAGATCAAGAAGGATCCGCTTTTTATCTTCTGGATGAAAAGTTTAATTAGCACCTTGTCTTCTCTATAACTACACATACTCTTGATTTCGAAAGATTGATAATGGAATTATAAGTCATCTACTTGAAGAAGGCAAAGTACCCACGTATTTTGATTTACAGTACTCCGCACTGTCAACTCCATCGCTGCAAAGGTATTCACTATGCTTAGATCCTTGGATTGTCATAGAGAGATCACGCAAAAAAAAGATTCCAAATTCCGTAGCATTCAATAGGATTCTTCGGATTGTCATCAGCTTATCTCATAGGGATGAATTAGGTTTGTAGAATCCGAGGTATACGAAGTGTAGAAGATGATCACAGATGGTGTACGGCTAAAGTGAGTTTGTCGTCAGAAATAACTTATTCCTCGAGGGGGTATTATTTGGGGAGTTGACATCCTTTTTCTTTTTCCTTCTTTTTTTTGGGGGGGGGCACAACACAGTGTGTAATTGAGCCCTACAAAATAAGGATTCTCAAGATAACCAATAAGCACTATACAGAGTACTCCGTAGCTGGATATACGATGTATTTGTCAACCCCCTGACTCCTACCTGGGCACCTAAGCGAATACGCACTTGCATGAAGCTTATTCTCTTGGCATTTAGTGCGAGAGATCCCTAATCAAACGGCAATTGCAGATCATTCAAAGGGGCATCTCATCTCCTAACTACTTATATTAAACACTCGGACAAACCTGCTAGGGACCAGAAAACTAAAATCTGACCTATCTACATATGTTGTACTCCGTATATCATAGGCATGAAACACCTGAAACGTCGCGTGTAAGCAGAAAGACTTTTTGACCGTGGGGTCTGAACGCCAAGCGTGAACACATGGGGGCGCAGCTTCTAAGCTGTTGTCATGCTTCACGACATATTCGGAGATATGTTATCTTCAGGGGCTGCGACCGGGCTGTGATTCACAGCCTCAACTCCCGTTTTTTGGGGCAAATTGAATTTTCCTCACCAATCTCACCTCACATGCTCAGTGATAACCTTGAGGAGATGTTCGATTTCCGAATTAGTGGCCCACGTCGCTGATGTCCAGCATAACGATATAGGGCTGAGTACCCTATATCCCGTAATGTTCTAAGTAAGGGCAACTATTTGGAATCGTCAGGGATATGCTGTTGGCTAAGACACTAGATGATCGACTGGGAATGACCAACCTAGAATGGAGTCCCAACATAACCATCCTTATAAGCTTCGGCTGAAAGAGCCTTAGACATTTCGTTGTTATAACTTTCTTCGCTTACCATTTTCAATTGTCAAGCATGGATAAATCAGACCAAGGCAGTACCTGCACAAACTATAAGGCGCGTAGATCTCACAGAAAGTCGCGATTTGGTTGCGAAAAATGCAAGTTACGCAGAATCAAAGTACGCATGATATCCAATGAGAATTTAAGATATAATTTTGCTAAAGACAGTATACAGTGTGACGAACAAAAGCCAAAATGCTCAAGATGCAATAAAATGAACTTGATTTGCAAATATCCCACAAAGAGCTGTGATACAAAAACACTAGAGCCAACCTTCGGACAAGAGATAGAGATATTCGAATTCTCTCAAATAGATTTTGATGAAATCAGCTCTAAGACTTCTCGTGGCTCATCTACGGCTATAGGAAGCCCAAGATCGTCTCTATTATATATACCTACGCAGTGACCATTGAGCTTGCCGAGACACAATATAATTCCCGACAATTTCTTACTATCCTAGACAAAACTGCTGCCATCTATAGAAGCTTTATTGTTCAATCACTATCTCGAGCACACTAGCAAAGATACGACCGTTAACGATAAAGAACAGTATATTTTATAGATCGGCATTCCTAGTCTCGCCTTCGAATATAAGCTACTTATGAAATCTGTACTCGTATTCTCGGGAGTATATAAATGCTACGATATAATCAACTAGGCGAGGATAGAACGCGAATAAGTTCAGTTACTACTCTCTATCGTAGATCGTTATTATATAGAATCACTACGGAAAATCTAAACCACTCTCTCTAAAACCAAATAATACGACTATATCCTTGTAAAAGCGGCTATAATAGGAATGTACGGGTCGAGCAGTGTTAAGGCAAGTGGGCCTGACACCACTTGCAAAACTAGGAAGTAATGGTAAGGTAGAGCGTTTACCAAAAGAGCCACTATGACGACTAACTAGTCGTCTTGTCAGGTTACCAACCTAAATACCCAATATGTGCTACGAGATATACGCACCATATTCGTGCTCCGCACGTTAGGTTGAAACAAGCAGCTACCGCATTCGAATCTAGTTATTAGAAATAGTATCCTTCGACGATCCTAACCTAGGCGCTTTTATACCTAAGAGTTATTAATAGATAAGTCTCTTTAGCGCTATACGTATCGCTTATATAGGTCTGCTTAATAATAGGCTTAGAACTAAGGATATAGTATAGCTTACCACGGCGACTTCCCCTATGTTACGACCCTCTGCTAGGAGAGTGCCTCACAGGCTGGATCCCGCCTGGTCCTGTGACCCAGAACCCGTGACTAGACCTGGCAGTGACCCGCGGGTGACCCTCACGACCCTCGAACCGCCCCGCCACTGGGGCGGTTCGAGGGTCCAACCTTCCGACCCGGAGGGTAGTCCACCTAGAGGTTGGACCCTCGGAGGGTCACCCGCGGGTGACCCTAAGGGTCGTCAAACAGGACAAACAAGCAAGTTTTATGATAAAAATAAATTTTATGAAAATAATTATGAAGATCCTATTATATAAGCAGATCTATACATCCTAATTTGGCTTAGCTCTGTATATTTATGCATCCGAGGGTCGCTGCGGGTCATGGAGGGTCACCCGCATGCGACCCTCATAGAACCAGGGTCAGGGTCAGGGTCGCTCACAAGCGACCCTGACCCTCGGAGGGGCGGGTGGAGGGTCCAAGATCATGGACCACCCGGAGGGTCACTGCCAGGTCTACCCGTGACCCAGCAAGGGTAGCACGACCCCCCGCCAGAGACTGCACTAGGAAGACTGAGTCCTGCCGGGTCAGGTGACCTAATCCCGTGACCCGCCAAAGGTCATCTATATAGAGACTGCTAGGGGAACTTAGCTCTTTAGCGATTAGTTTATAAATATACTAGCACCCTACTATTCCTTCACTCTAGTTCTATATTACCTACTAGGACCCGCTAGTACGCCGGTCCTAACATTCTAATCGCTAAATCTCAATTAAACTAGACCGTTAGAATACGTAATATTAACGACCTAACGTACGAGCGACCGCCTAAGGGGAGCCTTAGCCCCGATCGCGGAAACGAACGACGTCCCGGGACCCCTATAACCCCTACTAGAAGAGGTAGAGATATAGGGAGTCGACGATAACCCTTAGGAGAAAACCCGCCGGATCCGATAACCCCGACTAAGGTAGACGAGGAGGCGGAACTCTAAGAGTTAGAGACCCTTAAAAGACGTCTAGCTCTAGTAAAGGAGAAAAATAGAATCCGCGCGGAGCTATAGGACGAAGAAGAAAATATAGTAATCTTATAGGCGAAAATATAAGGATCTAGGATCCGTTAGGGTTCGCTAGATAGTACTACTAGCTAAACTACTTACTAACTACCTAATATTACCTATATAAACTTAATTATATTATAAGGAAGTACCGGAGGCTATCTATCCTATTAAAAGAAAGTAAGAGAACTATAAATATCTTATAATATAATAATATATAGAGCTAAGAGTTTAGACGAATATAATCTCTTTAAATCGAACTAGGAAGCTTTCTAGAATAAATACCCTAACTAATTCACTAACGATATATATAAAGTAGACCGAGTAATTAAGTTCCTAACGCTAAAGGTTAATATAATATAGATAGAATACTATAGGAATAATCTAGGTATAATATTTACTTAGTTAGTCTTTAAAATATAGGCGCTCGCTTAGGTTACTAACCCTATCGAGATATAATAAGAAGCTAAATATAACTAATAGTAGATAATATAAGCTAAGTACTAAGATATATACTAATATACCTTAAAACTTACTAGACTCTATAACCGCTTAAAAGATATACTAACTAAATAGATAAGAATTAACTATTTAGAGATAGGTATTATTAAGGAGATATAAGACGAAATAAGGAGATTTATAGCCCCTATTATAGATTAATAGAATAACTAGGTAGCTTTCTATAACTAAATTAAGAAAGTAATACTAGGTAGGATATTATATCTTAGGGAGGCTAGGAAGATAATACTAAGAAATACTATAGACTTATAAGGATCTAGTAGAAGGCCCTTTAAAGGAAATAGTATCTTCCCTATATAGTAAGCTACGACTACTATAGAGAGTAGAAAAGCTACTATAAGGTCTAAATAAGACTAGAGCGGAGATAGTAAATTCTATAACTTCTATAGTATATTACGAGCTAGATCTTTAAAGAAAGAGTGTAATTTAACGAAAATACTAAGATAGAGAAAGAAAGGAAAAGAGGAAAAGGAAAACTTACTATTACTAAGTTTTAGAGAGTCTTCGAGTTATAAACCTTATAAACCTCGGACCTACTCTACGATAGCTATAGTTACGTAACTTAGTTTCTTATCTATAATCGTTATATACTCCCCTATCTAAATTATATTTAGTCCCTAAATACTAGCTTATCGTTATCTTCGTAATCTTATAATAACTTCTCGCTTTCTATAGCTTTAATCTAGTAGTGTAGACATACTAAGGGTCCGGGCTTTATAGGATATTTTTTATAGAATTCCTT